TCTTGTCAATGATGAAGTGACAGGATGACGAGCATGTAGAATCACGTAGAGCCACGTAGGAGCCCAAAAATTTTTTAAGAAAATTTAAAACGTTGATGGTGCAACCATCGCATCCAACTCTCAGGCTATCTGACGAACATTCCCGGTTTCATGTCGACGACGGCAAGCACAGAAGCAAGATTGGCCATTTCTTACAACTGCGCATGTCGCAACGGCATAAAATTGGAAATATCGACAGTTAGTCGGAAAATTAGGATTTTTAGGTTTTATATTTTCGTGTTAAGAAAACTCCATGTTTTTATCTCGGAAAAATTTTCAATTGAATTTTTGTCGAAATTTGAGCGTTCGATAGTGGATATTGTTCCTCTTGATCGTTGTTCAAAAGGCTCCGCTGAAGTATATTGTTCATTCTTGATCATTGTTCAGAGGACTTCGCTGAAGTATATTGTTCATTCTTGATCATTGTTCAAAAGACTTCGCTGAAGTATATCGTTCATTCTTGATCATTGCTCTGAGGACTTCGCTGAAGTATATTGTTCATTCTTTATCATTGTTCAGGACTTCGCTGAAGTATATCGTTCATTCTTGATCATTGCTCTGAGGACTTCGCTGAAGTATATCGTTCATTCTTTATCATTGTTCAGAGGACTTCGCTGAAGTATATCGTTCATTCTTGATCATTGTTCAGAGGACTTCGCTGAAGTATATCGTTCATTCTTCATCATTGTTCAGAGGACTTCGCTGAAGTATATCGTTCATTCTTGATCATTGTTCAGAGGACTTCGCTGAAGTATATCGTTCATTCTTAATCATTGTTCAGGACTTCGCTGAAGTATATCGTTCATTCTTGGTCATTGTTCAGAGGACTTCATTGAAGTATATCGTTCATTCTTCATCATTGCTCAGAAGGTTTCTAAATAGGAAAATAGAAGCCAATGTCAGCACGATATATTTCTTGAAAAATGTCGAACAAAATGATCAACGTAAAAAGTAATACTTACTTTGAACATTTTATTCATTTTCAAAGCAGTTCATGGGAAGTAGAACTTCAAAAAAAAGTTACAGAATCTACAGCTGGGTAGAACAAATTGTTCGTCTTTATGCGTTGCTCATCCTCTAGGGAATGGTGGACAAGCCACGCTAATGCCCACCGACCATGATCAACGAACACATTTTTGAATTATGCGGATTCCATCATTATGATTATTGTTCATTGACATAAGTTCGTGGTTTCTCAATCTTAGTTCGAGATCACTTGTCGTTTACCAGAAAAAAGTTCAACTCTAAAATCAACCATAGAACAAACATTAGTTCCGAAGCAAAAACTTTAAAAGGAAAGGTCATTTTATTTAGCATGAATAAAGATTACATGTTGTTCACAATTTGCAGTTCGATCAATGAAGTTTCGTTTCTGTCAAAACGAAAGCCAAAAGCACATTTACCTGAACAGGATTTCAAAAATTTCAAACAGATAGTTCTCAGATAAATTTTACGACTTTTGCTATCTATTCGTCCTTCTCGTACTGATGTACAAATTCATATGACTCGTTCACTGTCTAAATTGATCTTAAAAGATGCCACAAGTCGTGTTGTGTTCTGATTGGTCAGTTCTTAGGTGTGTCTGTAGTTAATTGTACATGCTACCCAGGTAAAAAATTGAATTATTAATCTTAATAATACGTGTCACAGTTAAAATTTGCAATCGCAAATATGTATGTTGCAGCTAATGCTTATTGCAAATGCCAGTTAAGAAACTTAGTGCAATTACGTTTACGCCTCCTCAGGGATCAAATACTGCTGAATCATGGAATTCTAAATGTCGGCCATCTTGAAAGAATTGCAGTTGAGACACCATGTTGAGGAGAGGTTTACAAAGACAAAGAAATCTGAATTTTCTTAATCTTTTTGATCCTTTATGACATGGGTCTTTTTATTGTTCCTGTGATAAACTTTCTTTCTTTAATTTTTTTCTCTGCGTGTGCTTATGCTTAGTTTACTTGTGTGAGCCAAGCTTCACTTTTGTTCAAGGGTTTTTGAAAGTAATACTCAAGGAAGTATTTTCATTGAAGTTGACTTCGTCAATGCACAAAGTGTCTCATGAAGTCATGATATCGTTCTCAGAGTGTCTAGAAATTTACCTTTCGTGAAATTTCAATATTTGATCTCTACGCTAATTCCACAGGTGCGATTCTGTGCATGTTTTGCTGTGAGACGTTTTGAGTAATTTCCCAGGAGCAAAAAGCTTCTTTGCTAGTAAAAAAATATGTGGTAATAATATGCACGTAGCTGACAATATTTTATGTACCCGTGGTTTGGCGCAATGATCGGCCTTCAATAAATACATCAATTTTTATACACCCTGTACGACAATTGAGTTACAAGGCAATCTGTTGGTGCTTTCAAATAAAAGAATCATAATCGTTATTCCTTATAAAAATACAAAATAGATAAAAAAATATAAAAACAAGAAATGAAAGAGATAAAAATCCCTTGCGTCACATTATGAACATCCGGGTGGACTCACAAGTCATGACAATGAATCTAAACAACGGGTCTACTTTACAGTTCATGCGTTTACCACAATATGTACAGCAGCGGGCGAAATCCTATCCTTTCCTGAAATCTGGTTGGCTGCAGTAGCGGGTGGGTTTTACGATATCTTGACCGCGGTACGAAATCCTGCATATCTGACTGCTGTCCTGAATCTCATAGAAAAGTTGTTTTGTTTTGCTTCGTTTCGTTTTGTTTTAAAAAGGAAATTATCAGCCAACTTTTGATTTTAATAACCTATTTTAAGTAATGTTTGAGTTTTTAAGTAAAACGAAGAGCAAAGTTTGATTTTTTACTTGGTAGCCATCATTAAATCTAACTAAGCAATCAAATAAGACCTTATGTTTCCTTAAGTGAAAAAATATACGTTATTTACCGTTTAGGTCGGTCTGGATGAAAAAATATTTCCCCTACGGTCTCAAAAAGGTCGAAAAATTATTTTTCCATCCGGACCCAGAGCCCTCTATTAGTAAGAGTTGGGACAAACGGTCTGGGGCGAGCGCGGAGACGCCATTTTGGTTCCTACTTGCAAAGTTTAACTATAATAATACTATTGGAAATTGGGTTTATATGCAAAAGAAGAAGGCAATTTAAGCTTATTCCATGGTAGTATCAAATATATTAGGAATAATAGCAAGCTCTTTGCGTTTTTTTAACGATTTGCGGCAGACCTGATTTAATTTCATTGGTTTGAGCTTCGTTTGCGGTTTACTAGTTCGTGCTTCAAATTGATCGTGACCCATTGTAAGAAGTATTTTTCGTACGTGAACGTGTTTTCTCGGCTTATGTTCCGACTCTGTAACAAGTTTTCAAGATCTTTAAGCTTGGTGGCAAGCGGCAATGTTATCCTGGCATCAGTGTTATCAAATACTTGGACAAGACTTTGTTCGAAACTTTGAATCATAGTAATCATGCAGATTTGGTCCGGAGAGATTTGTGTTCAAGATTTGTAACAATTTAATGGTAGTGAGTGATTTATGCCCCCCCAATTTAATCCAAGCATGATATTTTATATTCCGAAAGATCACAAAATTTTCTTGCTCAGCAGAAAATGACAGACTTTTTTACTTTTTAGTTATTGAAATATGATTTGACCAAGATGCATTTGACCTTAAACGTTTTATTCCTGTATATGAAGTTATTTCGCCTTTATCACTTTATAAAGTATTAAAGTTTATTTCTAATAAAGTTTGTTAGGGATTCTGCTGAAAATTTTGGTGAAGCATTTCTTTAAAATGAATATGTTATTTCTATAATATGAAACATTTCTGTTGTTGAAGAACAGTCTGTTTGCTATAAATGCTACTGTTTGTAGTCTTTATACAGCATATGAGTCTGATCAATCTTTAATTTAGCAAAGAGTTAAATTTATTGGTTGAGGAATGACAAAACTTCTATATGTGTTTAATGATCAAACAGGGTGTGTTGAGGGAGCTCAGCCCGTTTGTTCAAATTCTATGCCTTGTATTGCCAGTGAAATATATATATCAAAAGCTAGCAGCACCTAAATATATATCAGAAAGCCGCAATATTTTAATATATATGAGAAAGGCAGTAACAGTTGTAATATACATTAAAAGCCCAAATAGCTGAAATTATGGAGATATGCCTCTGATCTTATAAACCAAAGCCTACAATTAAAATATCAAGAAGTAATGTTCTACTTTGAGCTACAGAAGTAGGGTACATTTGTACAATTCATTACCAAAAATATATTGTACTCAGATGTTTCAGTGAATATCCTAATTATAATTACTTCATTTTTAAATGATGAACTAAAAATAATAAATACAACATGGAAAATCATAAGAGTTTCTGTGATTTGGTGTAGTTGTTTCAGTGTGGAAGTGGCTGAGAATTGAGAGGTTTGTAGATTGACCAATTTCAGAACATAATGAGAAATCATCTTTGATTAAAAAACAAGCTTTGGAGTAAGAAAACTATTGAAACTGCATCAGCACGAACTTTTCAATGTTATTTGGCCCAAAATGTTTCTCTACTTGAGTCAGTTAATTGAACCTTATATCAAAAGCAGTTCAGCACAACAATCACCATACGCAATCAAATTTCGTAAGTTCGACGAAAAGGTTTCTTTAATTTTTCGTAATCCTCGATTCTTGCGATATGTAATGACATTTAGTAGTCAATCAGTTATTACACACTTAAATATTATCTCAAAATACTGTATTACTAGCAGCAATTGCTATATAAACACTAGCTGAAATTTCAAAACTAGGAACCAAAATGGCGGAAATTGATCAGGTGATCAATATTGCCCAATCAACGTAAGCTAAACGGATAACAATAGATGTCCCAACTCTTACTAATAGAGGGCTCTGTCCGGACCTCCCAAGCCTGTAAGACATATATGTACGCACGTACCTATTTTGCAATTTGCGAACGAGGTGCTATCACATAATCTTACATAAAGTATTTTGACATACTTGTTAATTATTATTTGGCAATTTTGTTTTTAAATTAGGCAGCATTTGGATTTTGGCTTTTCTCACATGTCGTAATCATTCATGAGTATGGTTTGGCACAGTTTAAGAGTTTTTAAATCTCTATCTAAAGGTAGCTTATATTCTCTATTCAAAAATAAAAAAATAATTTACTTTACCTTTACTTTAAAATACAAAAATAAAATAAGGATTAATGTTGTCTAGTTGTCAACCACTTACAGATAGTAGAATCTCTACCTTGCAATACTCAGTTATATTTCATCTGCAACAGACAATACGTGAACCTATGGATTGCAAATGAAATGTTGAATGCTTTCACTGATGTTGTAGGTCATGTGAGACAAATGGTGAAAAGTTCAGTTGCACAAATGTCTTCCTTACTTAATCACGACTTTGAAACTCTTGAATTGACTCAACCAAGAAATCATGTGTATCAAGTAAATATTAACAGACCAGAAAAACGAAATGCAATGAATCAAACATTCTGGAAGTAATGCATAAATTTGTACTTAGGCTTTAATTACTTGAACTTTTTATTGTGCAAGTCACTATTCCAATGTAAGAATTTTAATTTCACAGAGAGATGGTCACTTGTTTTGAAAAAATTGCTAATGAATCTGACTGCAGGGTAGTTGTTTTATCAGCAGCGGGAAAGATATTTACAGCAGGTATATTAAACTGCTAGTGTTTTAACTATCATCTTTGATGTAAACCATTGAACATCATAAACCATTCAAGATAATGTAACAAAGATAAATGTAAAGTACATGAATAATTTTAAGTGTAGACCATGATTTATAATCTTCAAGTGCAAGTTCAAACAGAATAGTAAATTGTTTCATTGGTAATTATTGTGCAAATTTTAGGATTAGATCTGATGGATTTTTCATCTATTGTACTGCAACAGGACGATAAGGATGTTTCCAGAAAAGCTTATAACATGAGAAAAACAATAGTACAATGTCAAGAGTCATTCTCTGTAATAGAAAGATGCCCTCAACCAGTCATTGCTGCCATTCATTCAGCATGCGTTGGTGGTGGTGTAGACATGATATGTTCATGTGATATACGATGGTGTACCTCTGATGCATGGTTTCAAATAAAGGTAAAGCAAAGGCTTATAAACTTTCAGCATCAAACAGACATTAATGTTTTCAGAGCAAAAAAATTTTTTGTTTCCTTATATTAGTTATGATTGTAACGATCAATGCTCTTTAGATAAATGGTCAAAAGTCTATATTTCCTGATGTTGATTACTGTCATAAGTATGTATGTATTGTGTGTTAGGAAGTAGAACTTGGATTAGCAGCAGATGTTGGGACATTACAAAGATTACCAAAAATTGTTGGAAATGAAAGGTACAACGCAATTGACTAAAATATATTTACCCAGTGATATAACTGCTAGAGTTAATGTTGAAAATCCCTACATGTAGCATAAGCAATCTGACTGGTAGTTTTAGTCTTAGGATTAGCCAATCAGTGGTTTAGATAGAGGTAACACCTTTTCCCTACGATGAAGAATAAACAGTTATTTGATATTTTTGGATAATTTCAGTTTGGTCAGAGAACTCTGTTTTACGGCAAGAAAATTTATGGCTGAAGAAGCCAAAAGCTTTGGTCTTGTTAGGTAAGCATTACTGCAGATGTTGTTAGATGTACGAAATCATACACATTGAAGAATTATAAGTAATTCTATACAATGAAATAAACAGGTAATTTATAAATTTATATTATAATATAGAATTTTGCAAATACTGTACATTGACTTGTTAAAAGCCATGTTAATGAAACACAATGTGAACATGAAAATTTTCCAAAGTAAACGAAAAACATGTTGTTGAAAAATTTTATTATTGGGTTACCATATTTTTCACTTATAAAAACAGAGGTTGATGATTGGTACAAGATTTATTGAAATGTAAAATGGCAATTGCTATATAGCTTTCACGTATTTACTTATTTCAGTCGCATATTTCAAGACAAGGAATCTCTACTGAATGGTGCATTAGATTTAGCAAGTCATATTGCAAAAATGAGTCCTATTGCTATCACTGGAACAAAAAAGAATTTAAACTACTCAAGAGACCATGGAGTCGATGAAAGTCTGGAATATATGGTACTGAAGCTGAGCTAAGTAAAACAGGAAGGTCCTCTTAGTATGAAGATGAACAGAGGATTTAAAGTTCTTATTCTATGCATATCTACTTTTATCATACTGCATGTTTATCAGCTGTTTACACTAATACTAAGTTAGCTATGGTGTCTGCAGTGAACAGTATCAACATATATCAGCAAGCAATTGCTTTTCAAATGACAAAACAATCATTGAACATAAGATTGGGTGCTAAAGTTGTAAAGCTTTCCCTTAGGTCATCAGCTTTTTATACATGTCAAAGACAATAGTTCAATTCATTTGATAGTCTAACATTTATTGAACACCCTCCCTCTTTCATTTGTTAGATAAGCTTCCCACATTATATTTTACAATCAAATTGCAATAACCATTCAGGTTTTTTTCACTTATCTCCAATTGACTGAAGGTATTCAGAAATTCAATATAATTTATTACAGGCTACTTGGAACATGAGTATGTTACAGACAGAGGACATACTAAAGGCTGTTCAAGCTGGAATGAACAAGGAAGAAGCATCATTCTCAAAACTTTGACTCATTAAATGATAAAAATTCAGGATGCATGAGAATGATGTTTATACAAGTGACAATAAAAAATTATCACACATAATGATTTAAACTTTTCTATGTTAATTAGGTGTATGAATATCTCATGATTTGAGAAACTACATCACACACAGTTGTAAATGAAAGAATTATTGGGATAACTTTCTTACGTATATAAATACTTTGTGAACATCTTAAATAATAGTAATTCACACAAGTTCACAATTTTTACTAACCTCAGAATAAACTGTTCATTATTGACAAGATAATTAGGGTATTGGCAGCCAAATAATTTACTGATTCAATTAATTGGCCAAAAGCGGTATTGAGTGCAATCGTTGCATCTGGTTCAAGTCAACCTTTGTCATCCGTCTTCTCTTTATCCATTAAGGGAGTACAGATTTTTTTAGATATACCAATCTTTGCTATGAATTCACAAAAACACTTAAAGAATAGACAACAAGAAATGTAGGGCTTTTAACAAATGTCCCAACAAACATAAAATACTTTGTTTGTCAAACCTTTTATTTTCTGGTTTTCATGTTTCCTAGATAAAAACTGCCATTTTTAATATTGACAAAAAATTGATGTTTCCTTCAATGATTCTCCAACATAAAATATTACATAGCATAATTTGCAATGCCAAAATAAAAATCAACTAATCACCAGTTCTCACCAAGCATTATCTATTAAAAACACAAGTTCACCTTTTCACTTGCTTTCCTTTTACTCACATATCCTCTTGGTTGCCATGGTACACCTGATGTTTGAGGATCTAATTCAAACACCTTTTGTACAAATCTTTGAACATAAAATGCCATGGTTTACTAACATAATCAAATCATAAAAAACAAACAGCTAAATGAAAATGAAATTTAAATCAAATATACAATGAGTCTGAGCAATGATACTAACTTCTTATGTTCCTTCTCAAGTTCTATGACTTTCTCTTCAAACTCTTTAATTTTATTTTCAGGATATGTATGCTTTCGTGCTCCAGACAATTGCTAAGTAGACAATATGTGTGAAAAAAAAAATTTTTTTTGACATGCATAAGTGTTAATGAGCAATGATTATAGAAAGAAACACAAAATGGTTGACAGGTACAGAAAAGTGAAAAAAATAACATTAAAAAATAAAGATAAAAACCTCAAGACAGTAATCCAATTCTTTCTTGATGCTAGGAATCCATTTCTTCACCTCTTGGGCAGATTTTAAATGTTTCTATAAAACGTTTCAAAAATTTTCTTCAATTCTATAAACTTTATCTTAAAAACATCATGTGATTTTAATAACAATATGGCACCATTCTTTCATAGTAGTCATTTAAGTGAGGAAGCAACTACGTATGACACCATAAAATGAGAGGGGAAGCAAAAATAAAATAGTTTTACACAACTCTACTGAAAAATACATCACACATTACATTAGTTCAATGACTGCAAACATACAGCATATTGTTTACAACTGTTGTTGCAAAGTGCTTGCTCATTTATTTGTGCATGTTTTTTATCTTAGGAAAAGAGAAGTTAAGTATTTGTCCTAGACTTTGGGAAAACTATATAATCACAGGTCTAAGAAGTCAAATAAGGCATAAAATTTATATTCTTTGAATATTGCACAGCATAAAACACCCAATGATGTAATAATTGTGTCTGGTATATAATGCTCAATCATGGTGATAAACAGAGTAAGAACATTGACAACATGGATTTATGTTGAAATTACAGTAAGCAATTCCAAAAATCCCTGGAACCAATTCAATGGTGATGAACAGAGTAAGAACATTGCCAACATTGATAAATGATGAACTTATAGTAAGCAATTCCAAACATCACAGAAACCAATTAAAGCACTTATAAAATATAAATGAACAATTAACTGTGGTTACATGGTATCAAATATCAGGTATAATGTATTTTATCGACCTAGCTCGCATTCTATTGTCGACATGTCTTTGCAGATAATTTCAAAAAAGAAATTAATCTTCCAATGCGATTCATCAATTTTCAATTTGTTTTAATTATCATAAATTTTTCGTGGAATTATAAACTTACCAGAGGAGGGCGTTTCGGACGTTTTATACTTTCTTCTGCAATCAAAAATTATATTTAAATATTATAAAATTATCTTCAAATAAATAATTTTAAAATGCGAGGGACAAAACCAACCTTCTTGTTGTTGTTTGATGTACATTCGATTCAAACCAATTAATTTTTTCTCACAATTACGCGCCATGTTGTTTAAAAAGTGATTGAAAAATTGACATGAACATATCCGCTGACCATGGCAGATATTCGTCGTCTCATGGATTATCTTTCCTTTTGCCGAAAATCGATTCAATATGGTGGGTTAATTTCTCTCTCTAACATACAATCCTTCGACATTTTATCCATCGATCATTCAAACGACTTAATTTTACCTAAAAGGGGAAAATAAAACATAAAGTTATTTTTTTACCTAATCATTTCACTTTTAATTTTAAAAGTTGTCTGCCAAAATATGATATGAATTCCAATTATATATTAATGTAACTCAGAACTCATGAACTTTTTGCAATCAACATTTGCAATTAATCCTCAGTTAAAGCTCTGATATGTTAAGTTTTTTTATTGATATTGGTGATAGATATGAAAAATTTGCATTGAAGTTACAGTCTATAATTATGTAGTGGTTCGTGGATTTTATGTCGACTATTTAGGCAGTTAAATGTAGATATGATCTTCGCACTTTGCTGGACTTTTCAAACACCGCACTGCATAAAACATTCATATTTAGGCAGTGTTCATCACTATTTAGGCAGTAGCTTATATCTTTACAATTGCTTCATTTAGACTAAAGGAACATCAAGTTTTGGTAAACGTCATAACAAAAGTCACACTATATGTGTACGATGTGGACGTGTATCATTTCACATTCAAAAACAAAGATGTGCTCAGTGTGCTTATCCCAAGAAAAGAATGAGGAAATGTACGATATTTATGCAACCATTGAATTCCTTCATCAAAATATCTATGTAAAGTCTATTTCTTAAATGTTTCAGACAACTGGAGTACTAAAGCCCAGCGTCGTAGAACCACCGGAACTGGTCGTATGAAGCACCTGAAGATAGTTCAAAGGCGTTTCAGGAATGGTTTCAGAGAAGGCACGTTTAAAAAATCCAAAATTGCTGCATCTTCAGAATAAAGCTAGATTGTACTATTTCTTTAAATGAAATATACATTTGAAATGCACAATACTGTTTCTTTGTGGTTATTTTACATGACTATTGTGTAATTCTTAGGAATGTTATCTACATTTAACAAAAAAAGCTGTCTGAAATTAAATTCCAACCTGAAATTTGCCAACCTGAAAATATTGATATACCAATGTCTTCAAAATAAATAAGCATTAAATTAAAATAATATAAATGTTTGTGTCCAAATGAAATTAAATATAATTGGTACTTTAAAAAGTCATGAGGTGAACACTGACATCCTGCTTCAGAATGTTGCTAATAGGTCGTGAAAATGAGGTTTGTGATAAGAATGTAGTTTGACTCCTAAATATATGGAAAATGTACATTGCATAAAAACAGAATATGAACAATAATGCTATCTACATTCAGTAAAAAAGAACTTTAGGCTGTGTGCCAGCTTATTCTAGCAATTCTAAACATAGAATTTAAAATTTTAAATATCAACAACATCACAGTGGCAACTAAATGTTAACAAACAACTCTTGTAAATACTGCATGTTTAAGAAGTTGAAATGCAGATGATCTTTCAAGAGGGTTGGTTTCCAAACACCTCAAAATTAAATCTCGGAATCCAGGATTGAGTCCATCTGGAATGTCTGGAGGTCCAGTGGAACAAGCAATCTAAAAAAGTAACAAGACAAAAGTAAAAGTTTACCGTGCATATTGCTCTTCAAAGATGGTTACTATAAACTCTACATTTTGTGAAAAATTTCTTTCATTCATAATCCTGATGACACACCTTAAAAATAAGTGCAAGATGATTGGAATGTTGGTCGGCATTCCAAGGTGGTTTACCAGTCATCATTTCTATAACAGTGCAGCCAATACTCCAAACATCACACTTTCGTCCATAGTTTTCACCTCGAAGCACCTAAGAAAATGATAAATTGTATATTCCAGGTGTTCAATCAAAAAAGAAACGAACTTAGAAATCATACCTCCGGCGCCATAAAGGCAATTGTTCCTAACAGTTGACCTTGAAACTCTCCAGCATAAGTCTTTTCCATTTTGAGCCGGGCCACAGCACCAAAGTCAGCTAGCTTGACCACAAGACCAGTTGAATCCAGAAGAATGTTAGCACCTAACAAATAGCTTATAACCCACCATGAACCTAACAACGACTTTCTCAAAAGCAACTAAGTCACACAAGACGCTTTATATGCAAAAATTACCTTTAATGTCTCTATGTATCACCAGTTGCTCATGAAGATATGCAACCCCTCGAATTATTTGCAGAGTATAATTAATGGCAACTTTTTCTTCCAAGTGCCCGTGAATGGAGAGCAACTTTGCCAAGGAACCACCTTAATGAGATAATTCGGTCACAAATAATGTACTGTAGACAGTTATGAGAAATGTTAAACGGTTCGTTTACAGTATTTGTCCAATGCAACAAAAAAAACCCAGATATTTTAAAATTTTCGTGCCATCTTGCATCCTCCACTTCACCAAAGCAGTTGGCAACACGTTCTTCAGGGCCCAATTGCACGAACGCCGAATAGCGCTATCCACTGGATAGTAACATTTTTGAACGCTTCAAAAATCTCTTAAAGGGAAAAATCTACGATCGAAAATGGACAATCACTGAAATGCAATAATGATACGAGAATTACAAAGTTTCATTATCGTGTAGTAAATATAACTACTTTTATCAAAAGTTTGAAAAAATTACTATCCAATAGAGAACGCTGTCTAGTCCTCGGGCAACCGTCATCTGGCGTTCGAAACAACGATTTCTTCTCTTGCAAAATAAACATTTCTTGCTGCAAGTCACAAAACCCAAACTAATATATCTTTGTATTTACAAGCAAAAACCAAAGTGTGCATGCACTATCTTCATTAACATCTCACAAGCAAAACTTCCTTTCTTACCTGCCATCCATTCCAAGAAAATATTAAAATGTCCAGCATGCCGTGTTACTCCAAGACATTTTGTGATATTTGGATGATGCACTTTTGATAGAATTTCTATTTCTTCTAAAATAACATCTGTTACTTTTTGCTGTTCATTTGAGGAGTTGCGGTAAAATGAAACCTATAATTGTTACAAATGCGAGAAAAAATTCAAAATTTATCCTTCAGTTGCGAAGAATAAAATCTTTTATCAAAATGTCTGTTAAAATATACTTTGTGTCCTCCATTCAAAGTAATTACACCTAATTTAACACATATACTAACATAATACGATGGGTTCCTTATTCCTCTATTTAGCTCGTCGCACCAATAGTCTCCCCCATTAAAAAATAAACCCCACCCTCTATACTCCACTCTCTGAAAAGTAATAAATCACCAGGAAGACAATCTCACAAATTACACTTATGTTGTTTTTCAACAAATAAATATGTACTGCATTGGGTATTGTAATGTATAGAAATTGATATTGGAGTATGTGCTGCGTGAATCAGTATGTCTTAGCTATTTTTCGTGTATTTTTCACCTTTCAACCTTTTTTAGCCCCCTCCCCCTCTGTCTGATAATGAATGCCGATAAAAACTACCAAAAGGCGAAAAAAATAAAGTACCTGTTTTACAGCCATTAAAGTACCACTACACTTATCCCTAGCGGAATAACAGGAGGAAAAAGCACCAGTCCCCAGCAGTTCGGTTTTAGTCCAATGAACACCTTCCAAATATACATGTTTATCGTCGTTTTCATAGGCTTCATCAGTGTCCTAGTTAATGATTAAAATATCCATCAAAGCAGACTACTGGCTGACTGTTCAGTGATAGAATGGTAATTAAGATAATTAATTTTTGTCGGACAAATATTAAAGGACGAAATGTTAGCTGCTGGTAAATTTATATTAGTTGTAAAAATGAAAATAATTATGATAACAAAAACCAAAGTATAGTACTTAAGAAACAAAAGATGTTTACTGTGTTTGCACGGGCTTATGCAAACCGAGGAGACCTTTGGGAGAACTCGAGAGCAGATCAGTGCAAGCCCGAGACCAAGGTCGAAGATTCTTGTTCTCACAAACTTCTCCGAAAAACAGCTTTTATTTCTTTTATAAAATAACAATTATGCGAAAAAGACAAACATTTTAATTTTTCCTCAAAAATAGTATTCATGATCGATTTGCAAATTCTCTTTGACTGATTGATTGTTCTGATTGATTTGATTGGTTGAGCTCAGATGTGTTGTGCGCAGGCTAATGCAAACACGGCTCTAGACCAATCACCACACGCGTTTTATTGCTTTTATTTTATAAATGAATATATTACCTCAGGTTGAACTCGAACTATTATTTCTTCACAATCATCGGCCAAAAGTTTCTCTAAAGGAGGTGGCACTAACGGTTGTGCCGTTGATGCTTCGATTGCTATAGCCAGTGCCTCTGCTTCCTCTTCCTCGATCTTTTCCTGGCATTTTGTTGTGGTTAATGGAACATCTATGGGTGGTAAAACTGGCGACAGTACATTTTCTCTTTTTCTCTCATCCTGTCTTGGCGAAGTCGGTGGAGTGAATGGAAATGAACGATCGCTTTCATTGTCAACTCCATCATCCGTCAAACAGAAACTCTCCAGCTCTGACAATTGAACGTCCACATCTGACCAGTTAGAAATTTCATACACCGCATCGCCGTTGGCATAACTAGTACTGCGTGACGTTGTAGCCTCTGGGTGACTATGGAAATTCTCGCCACAACTAGAATCATAAGCCGAGTCCACCGATACGACCCTTGCTGGCTTATGCCGGTGTTTTAGCTGTCTTTGAAGGGCATTTTTATCACTTGCATTCAACTCATATAAACAAGTTTTCACTTCGATAAACGCACTGCAAACTTTCGAAGACAATTTAAGGCACTTAGTCAAGATCCTCAAAGCCAATTTATTCCCCTTACTATGAGGACAACTGGTCGCTTTAATTGCAAAATGTACTATGAACATTAGCCGTGTGAAATTGTTCTCCCATTGATTTGTTTTTTCAGGTAATCTGTTAGGTGAGGAAGGAAGTGTAATGCTTAAAGACACCTTCTTGTAGTCCACTGTTTCAGTTTCAATCCTAAAACTATCCAAAAATTCATCCAATAACTTTACAATAAGATACAAACGACCAAGCCACCATGGCCATGAAATACCCTCGGGTGAGCGTACGACGGTTCTTGACAAAATATAATTTATGCCACCAAGACTTTGAGGGCATTCAGACATGGAAGATAACGCAGATCCCAGAGCCATGTCTCCGTTTTCATCCTTACATAATTCGACAAGAGTCTTTGCCGACAACGAACTAACGCGACTATAAACACAATACAGACACTGTTTGCTGTCAAGCCTGCTATACAGCAAAACCTTAACTGTTTATCAAGTCCAAATAAATTGTGCATAACACAAAGCACTTCAATATTTACCGATTAGAATCGGCGCATTTCATTATAATCGCATCCAGGACAGGCGAGATTTCTTGTTGCAAAAACGACTTCTCGGCATCAGATTTGTACGACATGTACGCCAGGAAAACGCGCAACAGTCGCTGAAATGAAAAAAGACGCTAACATCCTCTAAACAATGATACATGCAACATTGAAGATAAATACGAGAAAAAGATTATTACCACGGCATTGACATAGACAGGATAGACAGGATCAACACACATCATAGCAATGATTTGAGAGCAATTGACAATCAATCGTTCAGGAAACAAACGATTGTCATGGGTCAAAGCTTTTTTTACTTCATTGCAAAGATGTTGGAGACCTTTCTCGCGATAATCCCAAGCTTTTGAGTACAAGCAGCATACTAAATCTTCACCAAACAACTAAACCAAATTAGACAATACATTCAAATTTTTACTACGCAAAAGAGCGAACTTTTTCATGCATAGTTAGGTAATTTGAATGAGATAAACACACCTCACACCAGGGTTTCGATTGCTCTTTATGTTCAAGAGAAACAGGTTCACAACGAGGTAACACAGATTCCTGGTCCAAAGGTAAGTTATCAACTTGAGTTGAGGATGGTAGTACCGCCGTACCTCTGCTATGTTTGCTAAAAATATATATGTATATATATATGATAATGATAAGGATTCTCTGGATTTTATTTTGAAATCCTTATCATTATCATAATATGCCTGGGTTACCAATTTTCAAATACATATATATATATATATAAAAGATAAACGTTTATAATAATATATAATAGTTTATAATAATTATATATAGTTTATATATAATTAAGTTTTTATATATATAATTACATATATTTCGTGTTTTAATTCATTTATCAGTATTTATCTATGCTTTTTCCCTTTAGCATACATTACATTATTTCTCTTCAGTGCCTGTGAAACGTCATTAAAACCCACCACTTATCATTTTTGTCAGCACTCTTGCCTTTGCTGACCCACACTTTTCGACACAATGGGCAAACTAGAGTCTCTTTTTGTCTCTTGCATTCAGCGGCCCCTAATATTTTCATTGATAATAAAGAGCATGTTTAAAAATCAAAACCAAATCCAGTTATATATGTCTTGTCATATCTTAAGTATAGATTTCAAACTTACATATAGCCATGCAATGTTGATGAAGTGTATTACAGCAACCATCACATAGAGTCAAACTTTCACCTTCGACCATTTCCAATAAACATATGGGACACTGAAAGTCTTCATCATTTCGTAGTGTGGATACATTTTGACTACTAGACTCTTGAGAAGTACGACGTAATGTATGCTTGTTCTTAGCAACCACCTTGGCTTTTTTTGTTATTCTTGAACTGACAGATGCATGAAATTTATGGAACAGCATTTCAACCTGAAGAAGTTCAATTCGTATAACAGAAGAGATGTTGGCAGTCATTCTTCTAATCGTTTGCATTTTATTTTTATAATATAGTTCTCAAATATTATAAATGCACTCATACCTCATAATTCTTTAGTGGCTTTTCCCACAGAAGTGGATCGTTTTCATTTACTTTAAACACTCTCAACATGACAAAAAGAAGATGCACACAGGATGGACCTTTACTGCAACTACACGTCTTAAACAAAACATATATTTAACAAAATTGCAACACATGTGCAAACTGCTGAGATAATCTTTCATAAATTTCCAAGTTTGGCATGATGTGGGAGAATTATTACACAAATACAAAACGATAAATTGTGCAACAGCAAGCATTAAATACCTGAGGACCAATCATGACACGAAATTTATGACTTGGTGAATCTCCACCAATCAGAAACGAGTTTGGCCCAGTTTGTTGCAAAAGATACAGTCTAACTTTCATGGCCTTTTCAACTCGATGTCGATTTTCTGCTGCCATTTGCAAATCAAATACAGGTGTTGGAGAAGCACTTCGAGGTGTGCTCGGGCCAGGCGAACCTGAAGGTGAACTGGATGGTGTCTTTTTCCTGTGAGGAGGGGAGGATGGTCGAAGATTCTGTTGAAGAACAAATAACTTTCATGACATTAATTGAAACAGGAAAGTCTTCTTCATGCTGATTATAAATACAATATTACTTTACCATTCAGAATGCAAGACTATTCATTACTGTCTGAAGATGTTTTAAGTAAAAACAAAACCTCAAAATAAGGTCTATTTTTAAAACACTCTATACTTAATTTTAAAGTATACCAAAGATGTTTTTTGATTAAAACAACTATAACTCTGACTTCATCAAATGCAACACTTACAAGCACAATGATCCGAACGAAACTAACAACTTAATGACACCAGCAATGATTACTTATATCGAAAGTACATCTGAGACAATCTCGCGTATCCTACGACCATACAACGCTACGACAAGTACTAACAAACATGAAGGACAAAGAACAACCCAACGAACAACAAGGTGCAGTTTACAAAATAAACTGCTCCGACTGCCATGCTTCCTATATCAGGGAAACTGGCAGGAACTTAAACATAAGACTTACTGAACACAAACGAGCTACAAAGAAACAAGTCACTAAATGAAACTAATCACATTGCTGAACATCACTGACTGACAAAACACAACATTGACTGGGACTTGGCAAAATGCATTACTTACAGCACTGACTATAGACAACGGCTTACTTTAGAAAGTTGGTATACCAACTTGGAACAAACCCCCATGAACAGATCACAGCAAATACCTGCACCTTGCAAACGACTTATTCATAATACAAACAAATGATCAACTAAAAACATTACACTTCACAATAATCCACAATGACAATACACAATTGACACTCACACACTTCATGTACACACAATATGATGACGTAAGAACCAGATAACAAATACGGCTAACCAGACCTTTACTCCTCACTTGACTCTGAAGATGATTACAGCTAAAGTTGTCAAAATGTCAGTCTACATCAATACCAACAGTCCTTCTCAGGACTCTACTAACCTGGATGATATTCATCCACAAACTATGTCTATATAAACCTCACTTCTGTGCTCAACAATTTTTGCTCAAAAACTTCAAATTTATACACCTGGAATATTGCAAACCTAATAAGAATACACAAACCTGAGTCAACTGAGGAGAAGCTATCACATGGTTTGCTGGTTTGACACAACTGTTTTGGGTTGTTGCATTAAGATTAGGTGATGGTGGTCTAACAATCTAAATATGCAAAGTATGATTTCATTTAATTCATCATAACAACATACGATAATATCATTCAATAAAAATTCCATAAAAATACAGTTCAAAATAATGAACAATGCAATAAAAATTCTTATAGATGTTGCAGGTACATAATTTTAACTAAAGCTTTGGAAGTTTTTTATGAAAACGCATACAAACAAACAAACATTTCAGCATACAAAATTGCAACACGCATTTTGACACATTCTCTCAGTTGCATGTGCAATAAAAATAAATGTACAATTACAACATGACTATCGATCCTGACCCCAAATACTGAAGGGCAACGTTATTTGAAATGGTTTCGAATTTCACAAATAAATGATAGTTGAGTGAAATAGAAGACACATTTTAGTACAAATTCAAGAAACATTGGAAGTTCAAGTCACATATTAATTATCATTCAACGATAATTCAAATGATAAAAAAAATTTCTGCTTTATTAAATACCTCAGATAAAAAAGACGATCTCGCAATAGTAATCCTAATTGTACCAAAAACATGAGCGAAAGTTATAATTGCAATAGATTTTCAACTTTATAGTCGTGCCAGTTTTTAAATGCGAGTATAAAAATTAGCGTGACGTTAAATAATGAATGACTGGACTAACCCCTCCGCATGAAAGAAAATTTCGTGATGTTATAGATAGTTAGATATATATGCTATTTATGTATGCAATTGTTTGCAAATTGCAATAACAAAGAACTTGCCACCAAAGAAAATACAACAGTTAAGTGGCCAAAATGTCCAAAATTTGAAATCTCCAAACAAAATATTTGGACAAGACAATTAACGAGTGTAGTGAGTTTAGTTCGTAATCATACAAACTAAACTAAGTTCAATAAGTTCTAACACATCATGGACTAATATGTACATTTGTATGTTTTACTTACGACAGGTTGTGTTTTCTTCTTTGGTAATGCATCTTTTCTCCATGCTGGAGCAGATTTCAATCTTTCGCGTAAAAGAGCCTGCTCTTGTAAAATAGGCCTAGAAACATTAAAATAATTCCATTGCTTAACACTAATTCAACACCGTACATTGCAGAGTGATGAGGGCCTCTCCAAGGAATAACATAAATATACCGAGCAGTTTCAGAAAATTTCGTCGCTTTCGGCTTTTTTTCTTCATCTTCACTCCTCTGATCTTTTACTTTTCCAGTACATTTCTTCAGCGTGTTATCCAAACTTCCCGAATACGCCATTTAGTACATTGTTGCTAAGAATAATTTGCATCAAAAACCAAAACATGTGCCTGTTCTTAGCGGCGAGAAAATCCGGCCGAAACCCGAACTTATTTATTAGGCCAATATTGGCCAATCATCATTCCTCTCATCAATCGACAAAACTCGGTTAGCGATCGAGAATGACGTCATGCTATTTTTAGTACATCACAAAATCGCAAATTTGCCATTTTGGCGGCTAATTGTCACTAGAAATGTTACACAGCGACTTCCACTCCAGAGAGTTGTAAGCTGCAAAAAACAATAGAAACGGTAGTACGATATTTTAGAAAAGATAAAAACATAGGTTGTCATGTAAGAGTGAAGCTAGGAACCCTGAATGGGTAACAACTTCTATAGACAATGTTATCTGAAGAAAAAGATCCGTGGGAAGATGAAGAGGACAGAATCTGGGCTCAAAAAAACTGGGCTCAGGTATGTTTTATCCGGCAAAAACTACAACAGAACAGTATGGTACCTACAGAGATATCTGATGGTTAAAGTTTTATACGAGCAACCTTAATTTCTTGTTCCAGTTATATACAAAGCAAAAACATGCTATATGCAGCACGGGTGCAGCCGTAACGACGAAAGCCTCGCCAAGAAGTACATTGTACATCTTGTACATTGTACATCTTGTACATCGATATACGTTTGCCTCGCCAGGCTGAGAAGATTTACATCTTGCATTAATTCTCTTCTTCGTCTATATCTCAAAGTAAATACTTTCACATAAATGCAGGATGAAAAACGTTTCTGCAAACACCCCGCCCGCTTTCCACCTAAACCGGTGCTTTCATTCTGACAACTATTGTGTAATAAGAATCGAAAATGACCGCACCTATGTACCCATTAGTTCATTCTCTTACATCTTGTATTAAGAGAATATACTGCGTATTTGGAAAAAATATAGCTTAATTTTTGACATTTTGCAATAAGGCTGTTTGATTTCCCCCAGATTTCTTCGTAGTTTTGATCAGTTTAGCAGATTATATAAAAGACGAACCACCAGAAAACCTTGTACACCTGTCTGCACTACGTATTTTTGCGCTAAGTGCCTCGACAGCCCGACGTTGTTGCTTCGGTTACAGTTGACCCTCGTACAAAAACAAAACAGAGTATTCTTTTACTGTCAGAATGGCTTTCCATGTGTTTAGGAATGTTATCTGCAATGCTTTAAAAACAAATATACGAAACAATCTAGTACGTGCAAAACCTGAGTGGTTAGCTTCGTTCAAGAAAGACTCGCCCCTTACCATGAAATTTTCAAACAGCAGGTAAATAAATATTGTGCATCGATGATCGGTTCATCCATCTTTTTGTTGATCGAAAATCTGAAGTTCAGAGCTGGTTTACGTGGAGCGTATTGACAATTTATAAGTTTAAGTCTAAAACAAATCATTACTTGTGTTCGATCACTTTCGCTGATCGAGCTTTTCAAGCTGTATGTCTAAACACCGATTCACTATAATGTTAATGGTTCACTCAAATTATGCAATATTTGTCAACGTGGTCTCGGCTAAGGCCCAACTACATTTATCATAGCGGTTGCAAAGAAAACAAACCACCCTGAAATGAATTAACTATTAAAAAATTAGTCATACGGAACAATCTGATTCTCGATCTGGTCAAAGGAATAGAAAAGCAATCGTTCTCCTTTGATCGACTTCCCAGAAATCAGTTAACGATTCTCGTACAATCAATTTGAACACAAAAGTTACTCAATATGTTTTTTATGACAAGTTTCATTTACTAGCAAAGTTAGTTGTTCGAAACTGTAATGTTACAAAGCTTGTTCAAATTCTTCTTGTGACCAATAAATCCAAATCATTAATGTTTGTATAAGTGAAAAGAAAATTGGCAAATCTTTTACATAGGCTTAGAACTTTGTGAAAGCATACAACTGAATATATATAAACTAAACATATTCACTGCTATGTAATTTTTGAATGTTATCATTATTCATTTCTTTAGAAATTTATTGTTTTTGCAGTAAATGAACTGAGAAAAGTTTAAATTGCAGTAACAAGCATGTTGGCTGTTTCACTGATGTTCACAAATCTACTTATAAAATAATTTTCCTGTACTAGGTCTGGTTTACTCATGCAATTGCTGACTGTAGTTAGCTTTCTGTTTTAATTAATCCAAACCACTTAGAGCACTAAATTTCATTATATGTTGTAGTGGTAGTTTTGTATTCTTAATGCTTGATGAATTTCCCAGTGCTGTGAATGGAGGGGGCTCGGGGGCTTGCTGAAAGGGATGCACAACCCTCTGCACCTCAAATTAAAAGTCATCTATTTCCCAATATCTTCTATCTAGCTAATCCTGAAGATAAATTTATCAACAGCAGATGGCAAATTTAGAAAGCATGTGTAGAAATAACCAACTTGCACCATTTTATGGTGTGTCATACAATTTTATATCAAATCTTCTGATCACCCGATATGTGATTATAATCAATCAAAGTAAATTTTTGCAATAGAATTTTTAAACATTTTTAGAACTTAAGTGTACAAGCTTTTTAATATGATCATTGTCTTTCATTAATGATATATATAATTGTTGCATTATGATTTGCAGTACTCACTACACAGGTCTAGGGTAAAGTATAATTATTCAATTCAAATTACCCTTGAAACCAAATCAAAAGCAATCATAAATCATTAATAAAGAAAGATTCATTCTTCCACTAATATCAATTATTATCAATAATATCAATAATATCATTTAAATCTCCAGACTTTTTTAATAGTTTGTACAATTTTCGCATTTTACCTAATCAATTAGGTTGGCAGGTGAGAACAAGCATGATCTACATGTATGTAGTGAGGGAGGGATGCCAGTGCAAGCTCGTTCTTAATATTAAACTTTAGTTCACGTGACATGTGTTTTACGCTTGTATTGTATGACGCGCAATGATTACGCGACATTTGTGCCTTGCAGTGCAGGTGGTTTGGATGCAAACGGCATTACATAATCTTGATATAAGCTTAACACTTTGTGAGCACGTACACGTACTTTATTTTTTGTAACTTTGGGAATTACCAAACTCATTATCACACAGGTGTGTGTACATTTAAATTTCATTGCTTTAAATCACAAATTGCATCAAATTTTTCTGCTTCTTCAGCGTAATCATGAGCAAAGCGTTTATCCAGAAACCGGCACCTTCATTCAATGCAAAAGCTGTTCTGAAAGGAGAATTTGTCGACATCAAACTGTCTGACTACAAAGGTTGGTTTTGGTTTATGTATTTGTTCAATAGTTACTGATTAGTCTTTTTGTACATATCAAAACATCATTCGCATGTAATATTTTGTTAGGGAAGTACTTGGTGCTTTTCTTTTATCCTTTGGATTTGTAAGTATTCATAATACACGTGTAGATAATCGAGATAATTTTACTCCATTAACTTTTATTCACCGTAAATTGGAAAACCGTCCTCTCTTGAGAATTAAAATTTATGTATACAATTTATGTCAAATGCTTCTTCAAATAATTATATTTTGATTTTTGCAGTACGTTTGTTTGTCCAACTGAGATAATTGCATTCAGTGATCGAGTTGACGAATTCAAGGCTATAAATTGCGAAGTTGTTGCTTGTTCTGTAGATTCACATTTTTGCCATTTAGCATGGTAAGTATGCTCTAGTACAAACTAGTAAAAGTTTGCTTCCTATTAAACATTTAATATGCCACAATAACTTGTTATTTTGAGAGAACTTGTGATTTATGTAACAAGGCTTAGAAATGAAATGTACATATAAATCGTCAAATACTGTTTAAGTATTGTGAAAGTTCATATTGATCATAGTTTAAGATCACATGACCTTGATCACATGATTATAGTTGAATTTGCTTATGCTAAAATCAATTGAAACATGCTAATGGTTATAAATACTGTAAGCATACATAAGTGTGCATGTAATTATAAAAAAAACCCAATTATTAAATACCATAAATGATTTCAAATGCTTTCTTTTATAATTGACAAATCTTTATGACAAAGCCAACAACAAATTCTGTTGCTAAATTACATTTATCAATTTTCTGAAAATTGGTTTTCACAGGACATCACAACCTCGAAAGAAAGGTGGTCTTGGTTCAATGAGCATTCCTATATTATCAGATATAACTAAACAAATTTCAAAAGATTATGGTGTTTTATTAGAAGATCAAGGAGTTTCTTTGCGGTAATCTTTCACTGATCTTTTAATGTGTACTTTTACAGTAATTGAAGGCAGTTGCCTAAATTACAAATATTTCTTTAAAGTAGTATTTCTGATATTTTAGTGGTCTATTCATTATTGATGATAAAGGAATTCTCAGACAAATAACTGTGAATGATCTCCCAGTTGGAAGGTCAGTAGATGAAACGTTGCGCTTGGTTCAAGCCTTCCAATTTACTGACAAACATGGAGAAGGTAAGAAATATTTTTTCTGACATTGGTGTTTTAGGAACTTTGTAATTTAGTCATGGTATACTTTGCGTAAAATGATGTAATAATTGAGGTGGAAATCTGTTAAAATGTACATAATCCTTTGTATTTTTCCCTTTAAGTGTGTCCTGCTGGTTGGAAACCTGGAAGTGATACTGTGAGTATTTTCTTAAAACATTTGACCCAAGTTATCAAACAATAATTCAATGTAAGTTTATATGCCTTCTAGATTAAACCTGATGTGGATAAAGGAAAAGAATATTTTTCCAAACAAGAGGAGAAGTAGACTAATGCAGCATAAATTAACATTTTGAATGTTGTGTTTTCCTGTGGTGATAAAATAATATTATAACCTGAATGATTAAAGTGATCATGGAATAAACATTTATGATTACATTTTTTCGGTTTATTTACTTTGAAAGTTTTGCATTGCGCATGATTGCAATTTACATTAATTTCCAATAACTTATGGCGATAAAAATATAAGTTGATAATGAATAGCATTCAAGGCTGTTACTATTAAGCAAATGATGAGGGAGGGGATATACATGTCTATTCACCTTTGCCTATCTGGTTTCTATTGAGAGTCATTCTTCTTTCCAAAAAAAATATCTTTGGCAAAACTGAAGTAAGAGACCCACCTACCATCACTGAATGCAGCATGCATTTATTACCATTTATTAACTTGGTTTGGAAATGAAAGTTGTGGACTGTATTTAATCATGTGTTAGTCACATGAACAAGTAATGCTGCTGGAAATAATGATTTTGTACCATGGCCATTCAATGATACTTGACGGTAACCTACAATTAAAAAAATTTTGTCAACTATAAGTATATGACAATTAATAAAGTCTACTCTCTTTCATCCACTACCTTGTCAACAGTATAGAGATATTGCTTTAAACAAAACAAGACCCCTTACAGAGACAACAGAGACCAGGATGTAGAAGGAACACTGCCCCTCACCCCCCCTCAAATTTTATGGTTCAACTTCTTCAAGAAATAGAAAAAATCTATCAATGTTTTCATTTTATTTTGCTATATTTTGCTTCCCGATTTCCAATTTATGTGAAAAACAACCAAGGATCTGCAAAGAACAATGATTAGTTGCTGTGTCAAATAGCAATGATTATCATGCTCCCAGCAAGAGCAAAGAGCTAGGGTGATTCATTTTATTTTGTGATTTCTATTTCCTGTTGAGTATCCTGCCACTTATATCCAGCCATATGGACTTGTCCACCTGTGTCCTCAAGTTAACACCCCTAAGCCCTAAGCCTACCCCCCTCTGTGCACAAAGCCTAAATTGTTCAACAATTTACTTTCTAAGTATGAAGGCCACTCTGCACAAAGTCTAAATTTTTGTTTCACAATTTACTTTCCAACAAAGTAGTTATTCTGTGATTAAAACAATAAATAATTTAAGCTATTCACCTGGTTTTATGCTCAATAACGGAGTAGAAAATTGAGCAATAAAATCATCTTTACCAATATCCTCATCATAAACGGCAAATCGTAGCATTGCTAAGTCAGGATTCTTTATTTCAAATTCAAAAGACTCATTCCAACGGGGATTGAAGCCTGGGTAAAAGCATTTTAGATATTAACTGTCATCAGTGAGTGAATGGTTTCACTTAAACAAACTTCAAAAAAATACACTTTCTGGGAAAATACATGAATGGAAAATGAAAAATATCGTTATGCCTAGTACTTTGTAAACTATCCATTTCTTACCATTGTCTTTGATAGACTTTGTTTGAAAAATTTGTTTCGCTCCATGTTCATCATACACCGCAACTGTGACGTAGGGATCTATAATCTGGAGAATTTCAATACCAAAGTTTCACACGTTACCAAAATGACAATATTTGCTGAAAGAAATTTAATGTTTCTTAGGAAAAAATCTTCAATCTTGTTCAATATTTTGTTTTAATAATAAGCACCTGAAAAAGTGTAATCAAATGCTACCCAATAGATCAAATTGAGTCCTACCAAGCTGAAACGAGCATTATTCACAGGAATAACCAGGTTTGGGGGCGAGGATCAGAGATCCCCTTTTATTTTGACAATGTATTTGGGTGGATAAACTTCGGCATCCCAGCTATACAGTATGTTATCATCCTATTCTAGCTCCTCACTTTAGATAATGCTTCGCGGTCCCTGGTTTTAACTTAGGCCTAGCAACCGGTAGTGTAAACTGTAGTACCGGTATTGCACTTGTTCACTCTGCTGTTTTAAAGCGTGAATTGTAACATACCTCGCCTTTTGAAGTACCACTGACTTTAGGTATTTGTTGACCACTTATAACCTTAAAAATTAAGCCACTTTACGTCATGGAAAGTCTCAGCCACATTGTTACGTGTAGAAATAAAATCATAACGAAATATTACCTCAACTTTAAGTTTTTGCATTTTGGGTGGAGATTTTATTGAATCTGTAAAAAATAAGTGTTTAATTTGGGAACATGAAAAACCTTTCAGAAGAGATGTTTAAGTAAAAACAATGCGGAACTAGGTTTCGCGGAAATGATTCAAGCAAAGATGGTATCACATCAAAGAATTTATTTCTATCTTAAAGTTTTCCCTTTTATATTACGGCAATTAATTTTTACCAAATAAAATATATGAATTACAAAGAAAAAATGCAACAGCGAAGACTTCAGGGTTGCACGTACCATTTCTCATATAATCTGGCTTTAAAATGTATCCAGAATTTCCGTTCGTACGAAACTTGGCAAGATACAAATCCATCATCACACTCTCTGTTTGAAAATTTAGGGCCACTAAAAGATGAACAAAAGGAAATGAGTATTTTTGAAATTCATAAAGAGAGTATAGTTATTAGAAAACCATGAAAAATGTATGGAAATTCCTACCTATTTGGCATCCAACACTCCATGCCATTAAAGGGTTGAAATTACTCGAATCCACTCGACTTCCAGATGGATAAATTCGACTTAATTGCTTCTTGTTGTACTCTATGAAATCCAATGTGGATTCCTTCACTAGTTTCTTGGTAAGGCTTTCGCCAAATGACGACATTTCATAACATTTTCCCTTTTCTTTGCTTTTTGCAAAACTGTCGAAATGAACTGCTTTGCAGTGGTTAACAAGTCTTGAAAGCTCGGGTGAAAGTTTGATTTTCTTTTTTTTCTCACTCGACTGTTTATCATTCTTTAAAAAATATATTACAATAACTTAACATGAAATATCGTTGTAAAAAAACTGCAGAAGAAATAAAATTTACAAATTCAACAAGTATTAAATAGAGACTTAGTCGTGATGGAAAATCTAAAAATTGTTTTAAAAATTGAAAAGACCATGGTGAATGGCCAAAAAATAACTCAATGGTTCTAAAAGAACTGTTCATAAAGTTAAAAGACACGATGCATTTTAGCATATTACATCTGCTAGTGCAAAATGAAAATTTAAAATCTACCAAAATTTATAATGGCAAGAAAGCGTGTACGTCATCTCCAAACGGGGAGATGACCATGGAGATGACGCTATGAACAGTGATAAATGAAAAACATAACGGTTTTGTTTTGTTGGCAAAGAACGGGACTAGTTAACTTAATCAAAACGGAATGGGTTGGTGCATGTTCTAGTTTTAAACTAAGAGCTACTAGATTATTTTTTTGGCCATTCACCATCTTATTTGCGATTTTTAAGTCTATTTTTAAAACAAATATATGGAAACGTTTTTATATCTCTCAAATTTTCATAAAAAATTGTACTCTCACAAATGCGAAGGGGAAGAAGATAACCGAAGAAGTGTTTAATAACTCTTTGGTCCAGCAAACAAGTAAACACAAAGGACTTATGAGTATACTACATAATCCTCTCACCGGTTCCATATCTAGTTTATTTGGTACGGCATTTCCTTGTTCATCAAGTTGGACATCTTCATCATCTTCTTCTTCTTCTACTTCTTCTCCTTCCAACATAAAACCATCGTCATTAAATTTCTTTCCCTATGTGTAAAATAGCGAATAATCTGTTTGTAGTAAAAGCTGGTACAGGCGTAACACACCTGCATACTATAAAAGTTATACTTGAGAAATAAGTGACAAAGAAGAAGAATCTCAGAAGTTTAAAGGAGACCAAAAGCTAAATAGAAACAAGGAATATGTAAGTATGTCGGACCTGAGTCAAAGCTATCAGAAATGGAACTAATCCCATTTTTTAAAATACTAAACTATTTTATTCAGTTAGCAACGTCACGTCTCTGAAATCTAAACTTGCACAAGAAATGCATTTTAGAGATTCTGAAGTTTAAAATTTTAAATTATGACCCCACCCCCAAGAGTTGAAATTGCAGGTCCCCGGAGTCAGTCCGAGCCTGGTTATCATGAAACAATAACCACAAAAAAAAACACAAATTGTTTGATTGTCTTATTACCTTGATGAGTATTTTGTTTTTAAAAAATTCCGGAGAAGGAAGATCTTTCAAACTGGTATCAACGCATTTGGAAAATAATTTATCTTTACAAATAAAAGTTAAGTGCAGTAAACTGACTTTTCTTTTACAAATAATGAATTGCAATCCAATGCTTGAGCGTAAACACTTGAAACAATGTTTAAAAAAAAGGATACCACCTAAAATCGTTTTCAAGTAGGACGCCATCTTTTCTTGTTGAGAAATACTGCAATGGTTCTCCAGTGACAAAATCACCGGATACCTAGAAGGTCAACAGTAATGAACAGAAATCGTAGGTATACAAATATTTTGTATTTTTTCTAAAATTGGCTGCGCGAATTTGAATTTATCACTAACAGCAGTTTTTAAATAATTCTCATAACGTTTTATAAGCAAGATCACTTTCAACATATTAAAAAGAAGACTAACTGTGAGGTAGTGAACGCAAACTTCTCTATTGCTTGGATAACATCCTTGAAGAGTATCTTATTGACTAAAGTATGTCCATGATATATCACTGGCTCACCGTCATCACCATCCCAACAATCAACTGTTTAAAACATATGGTATTATAATTTACGTAATGGTTTATTAAATTCTGCATGGTCAGCGTATGATGAAGTGCCACTTTGCTGGCCGGCAAAGTGTCCACTGATTGTGTTATAGAAACAACATGAAGTACAACTGAAAGGTCTGCCCTAACATGTGATATGGTCTCATGCAGATTACATATAAAATAAAATTAACTTATCGTAACAAGCTATATCAATAATATCTTCTAATACATGGCTTACAAAATACATGATTGTTGTTCCTATAACTGCCTAAATCGGTGTACCCGCTACATCACCCCAATTTTGAAACTTCAATGAATCATTAAAGAACAACATACGTTCAACACAACGGCAACCTTTCTTCAAAGCACTGATGTAAGCCTCAACTGAAGCTGTTCCCCTCAATTGATCACCTTCCAAATACCTTAAGATATATAAATAAATATAAGACAAAAAAACCAGCAAAATCACTTTTTCTAGTATGAATAACACTGCTAGCATTGTCAACTCGTACTATGTACTTCTTTGATATAAAGTCGTTGTCTTTGTTATATACATACGTACGTGTTGTGAGATGAAGATATGAAGTAATGAGACAATGGCTGTGTAAAATCCTGATACAATGAGTCATGGCTGTCATCATATATATTTCCTTCTTTCGAGAGTAAATAACAAGAGAAACCTGGAACGCCATAAAAACAGAGTAAGACAAGACTTGTACGCAGGCGCACTGATATTTTGAACCATTTGGTGCAATTTGAATGTCCATTTTTATGATTCAAATCATCAAATCGCCTACGTACAAGGGTTAGCACTATTTTCCACCCAGCAAACCGCCCTTTACTTTACACAATCGGAAATAAATTAAAGATGGCGGCTAATGGGAAAGAACCAAAAGCTAAAAGGAAACCATGCATGCACTGGTGCTAGGTCGTTTTGAGATGGCGAGTAATTTTATATTTTTATAATACAGTTTTTAATATCAATATATGAAAATATTTACAGATAAATGTTGCAGTATAAATTTTCATGCAACCACCTTAAGTTATAAACTTATAATCCAGGCTGGAAAATATGTCGTTTTTCGACGATTGTGTAAAATATTATATAAAATATTATATTGTGTAAAATATTATATTGTGTAAAATATTATATTTCAAAGTAAAGGGCGGTTTGCTGGGTGGAAAATAGTGCTAACCACGTACAAGACTAGAATAAGACTTATTTAACTGAAGGGTAAAAAACAAAATACTTAAAGGTGCAAAATTCCTACCATCAATGCTTAAACAATTTTTAGATTTGTATTCATCTATCATTTCATAAGACTGGATTGTTAATTTACAGTCTTCTACTGTTGCATTCGTCATCTAAAACAAGAAGTAACATCAGACTTGATAGTTAACATTATAAATAAGAGCTATATTGATGGGTTTTTAACCAAGCAACTTTTCACATGCAATTTCACCAAAATACCCAGTTGAATTATATGTTGATTGGATTGAAAGTCAAATTAACACGTTTCATCTCAACACAGGAAATTATTCAAGCACTATGTTTCACAACTCTATTCTTCGTGGTTTGGTTTTAATAAAGGAATAAAATATGAAGGTTCGTGAAGTTGAGTTTGATAAATTGATAAAGAACTGATCATAGATAAACGGTTCGTTAACAAACCCCTTGTGACTTCGTAAGAAAATTGTGCAGTTCTTCACAAGTAAGATAAGTTCCATTGGAAGAATATTTGGCCATTACAGTTTCTTCGATATCAGATCGTTTTGAAATACTTTCAAAAAATGATGCAAATTGGGCTTTGTCTAATCCAGATTTTTTACCAGCAACAGATTCATCAAGGTCTTGGTTGAACTCCTAATGTGGAAGAGAAAATTTTACATTTCATTGAACAGAAAATAGCTCTATTATTGGCAGGGGGGACAGAGAATGTTTTCTTCAACTAAAAATGTTTTAATTTTGAAAAAGAACCCCTTGCATACAGATCATTAACAAGTTAGCCAATCTTAAATAGAGAATATGCCTTGTGTTATTATTGCTCTTTTAACTACGGATTAGGACAGAATCGTAACTTTAAAATTTTGAAAATTTGCTGGAAAAAATTCATTCTACAGAATTTCAAATAGTTTGCAGTAAAGATCGTGGTAAATTACCATGGAAAATCTGCAGTTTTTATGAAGTTTAGACCTGCAGTTTTATGAAGTTTAGAAGTAATGAAAAATAGACAGCCTTTATAGTTTGAAGAACATTTGATTTAAACTTTGACCCTTGTATTGCCATTTCAGCAATGATTCTTGGGTTGTATTGTAAATAAGATTACTTATGTCACAGCCTCAACAAATATAACCCATGTTACCCTACCTTATACTTATTCATCAATTGCTCTTTTGTCATTGCAATGTTTAGAGACGCCACAATTTTGATGAGTTCCTTAAAGTCAATAGAGCCACTTCTATTGTTGTCGTAAGAGTCAAACGTGTCAAATAACCACTTACTATTGTTAAGGAAAGCATTTAGCTAAACAAACATAAACACCACTCTATAGTCAAGAGCGTACGTGCAATTGTATATTACACCAATTAAAAACAATAAATTTGCTAGTCTATTTCACTAGCTGATTACATATTAAAGTAAAACAAACTTTACCCACTTGGGCATCAGTATGTGGGTATTTTTTTTATCATTTGAAGAGTTTGATTTCGGCAATATTCGAGGCAAATTATTCACACAAAGAACATATGGACGCTATAAATGATGCACAACAAGCTTGACAAACAAAGCAAACAATTTTAAGGATTTGCTCAAGGAATTTATTTTTTTTCTCCATGTTTGACAACAAATTGAGTTAAAGTCAAAACGTTAGAACAACCACATATCTAGTCATTTTAATAACTCAAATCTTGTGTTTCGAACATGATATGTTATTCGGAGTTTTCTTGGCGTTATACAGCCGAAGCAAAGCATAAAGCATTTATAGACGATAATACAATTTGTTTACATTTCAATGGGTATCGACGGAACCGAACTAATTTTTTCGATCAATAGATGTTATAGAAACCAACCAACGCCTAGTTGAGCTGGTTAGTTATTCATATTATTTTTATTACAAAAAAAGGATATTTTCTTTTTGGATGAAGAGAACCATCAACTGCAGCTACACACAAATAAAATATTTATTTGCTGTCATTCAGTTACGAAACATTGAAGGACAAACTCATTACTAAAGTTTTAGCTAATTTAAAATAACAAAACAGGTGTTTGATATGGCGTTAAACTCACGTCTCTTTGCTAATTAGTTTTCGTCAATATTTGAATAATAAAATTCTAATTTCATTACAAAATTAAATGAATTTCACCGCATTATGTTTAAAATTGCGTAGTGAAAAAATTTACCACAAAAAGTTAAATTAAGACTAAATTAGGAAGTTAAAATAATTAATTTTCAAATGTTGTGTAATTATGTTCAATTTAATGCCATAAATTGAAATTCCAACATGCTAACTAAGCAAAATACCTTTTTGGGTGATTAGTAGTGCCAGTCCCCTCACCCAACTCTCCGCAATACGTTTCTCCGAAGCCAAAACAACAAGTGGATGCCGATTTATAATTTCAACCGTAAAGCAATTGTCTCGTGAAAATTTAAAATTTTTAACAGATCTTGTTAAAGGCGTGAGGGCGACGCTTTTTATTGATTTCAAATCCACTTAAAATGAAGAATAAAAATTTTATTTGACAAAAGCTGTTACAGCGGGAGAGCGGTTATGATTGCCATGTACAAGGTGTGTCAAAATAAGGCAATTACTTAATATTCTAAAATACATGTTTTTCTTAAGCAAAATATATTTATGTCTTTGGAACATAAAAAATGGATTCTAATCGGTAGAGTAAAACTTGCTAATAGCAACGAGTACAACAAAGCAGATATTCCTTTTATACACGCAGTGTTTTATGGGCAAATCCAATAGCATTGTTTAAATATATTTTAAAATTCAAATCAACGACCATAACTTATTTTGCCCAACAATGGTTAATGATTCAGTCTAATAATAAAGACAGACATTTTATTAACTCATGCTAATGCTATACAAGTAGTTCGACGTTCATATACTGTGAAAATAATAGATTTCTCGTGAAAGAAATAATGGTAATGTTTCAAAGATACATATACCGAAATTGCAGTCAGTCTACACTGTTGATTCCCATACATAAAGAAACCTGATAAAGACTTACCTCGGTTGCTTTTTGCACAAGGTTGATACCTAAAGCCTAAAAGATCGTCATCCAATATGAACGTCTTCATCGCACCACGTGATTTACGATCAATCTTTAACATTCTGCTGCCCTGTTGCATTATGGTTATCAGCAATTCCAGTTCTGCAACGAAAGTCAAAACTTGTTAGAGTGAAAATATGTCAATGTAAGGGAATGGGAAATTTCAAGTTGATTTGGCCATTGTGAAATAGATGTTTGTAAATGTAGATCGAAAAAAAATAAAAAAAAATAATTTTTGACTCTGAAGATGACTACCGCTAAGGTTGTCGAAACGTCAGTCAACAATAACAAAAATAGTCCTTCTCAGGACTATACCAACATGGACGATCTACATTTACAAACATGTAACGATACTCCCGGGTTCAAACCATTTACTTTATTGTGAAACAGCCCGTGTAAAACACAAGAACACTATGTTGAAATGAAGGGCAACGCATGTTTACTAGGAAATACGTTTAATAGAGAAAAGAAAGAGGGAAGGTTAAGGTAATCAAGCATATGACATAAATTTACAAAATCATGAGTAAAGGGACAGGCTCCGAATCAGGAAGGTTCCGCTTTTCAAAAACACAACTGAAAAAACTAATTGACAATTGAAATTGCTTAAATTCAGAATTAAAAAGACCCAATGCAACCGAACTCAATCACGTGTTATTTTCTCAGAAGTCTCACTCAAAGCGCACGTACCAAGTTCATTCAGAGTAAACCAAGAGTATTTGTAGAGTATTTGTATTTGTAGTATTCACGAATCACATTTTATGAGTCGAGTATTTGTGGTATTTGTAGCATACAAAACAACGTCATTTACGGCCGAGCCAGAGAGACATTGTTATAATTAAACTTTATCATGATAATTTGCACGTTATTTGCAATTGGTATCATTTTTAAAAGCACACAACCATTAGACATCGTTCAAATAACTAGTAAATAATAAAGAGCATTAAGTTCTCTCGAATATCAAATGATAAATCACAATAAATTTATAGAATATCGCGTGACTTCTAAAATTTCTCCTCCGATTTTCCGATTTAGTTGTTCAACATGTATACATGAAGTTCATTAACTAAGGTGTTGAAAAATATCTATTCAAATCATAGTAAACATTTAAAATTGCACCTGACTGCTCAGATTCGTCGTTCTTGAAAGAGCCTTCAAAATGTCGTCTTGTTGAGGTTTTCATTGTTGTACTGGCCCAAACGAAAGACAAGAATAAATTGGCACGACCAAAGAAATAAAATATTAATCAACTCATTTTCGTACAACGATACATAAAAGCGAAATGTAATATTGAGACAGACAATTTTCAATTGGTAAGTGCTAAATTGTAACAAACCGGATCTAACAGCGACTATTTCACAGAGAAGCGAGAAACTTTTATCTTCCAAATTTCACCGTTTTGACAAAGGCGTTGTCGTCCCCAGAATAGCAAAGAATACACTCTAAAGAAGTGGATACTTTAGCATAAGTAAATGTGGAAGGCAATTACGCAAATTTGAATGAAGATAGGAATTGTAAATAATAAATCAGTAACCTTACTTCACGATCGACGCTCTGAAGGTCAAGATAATTGGATCACGTCACGCAACAGCAATTTGTAAACAGATAAATATACTTTTACGGCTTGCTATTTTAAAAACCTGGTCTAGATATAAGATAAATAATCAAAATACAAGCAATTACGAAATTTCATATCAAAACAAGAATATGCGCAAATTTTTGTATTGTGTGTAATTTATAATTTGCCAGGCAACCACTGTCGATTTAATATTGTGAGCACATGATATGAGACAGTTTAGTTTAAATAAAGACAAAAAAGTCTCTGAATAAACATAAACTTAGGAGGTCACACAAAAAGCAGAGATGAAATGAGTGGGATGTAATGAAATGCAAAGTATTTATCAAGAGCGACAATTAAAATTCTTTTAAAAGGTGATGACTAGATATTCGAACAAGTTTGATATTTTCAAAATTTCATAAATATTGCAATCATCTGCTTTAAAAAATCCAAAGAAGGCAAGCGACATCACATTTGTTTTAATTTGAGGCTCGATTTGAGGTTCTATAGCACATAAAAATAATAAAATTAATTATTGACCACTTCCTTTGAATCCTGTCTAGGTTGCTTTTACAGGATTGATTTGTTAGGTAAATTTATAAAAAAGTTTTGTGTTGGTAATTAACTCGACGGTTGTCCGTCAAAACTAGTCAATATATTAATCGAGAAGGTTTCCCTTCAAAACATGAATCTTGTGTAACATATGAGTATGACGAGACTTATCAAGAACATTGTATTTATTTTACCTAACTTTGAATTGATAATCATAATTTTCTATGTCATTGTAAACCTATACTTTCAACGATAGTCATATAATATATATATATGTATAAATTTTCAATTCAAAATTTTCATTGCATACGTTTCAAAAATTAAAACGTCGCAAAAATTGATATATATATATATATAATAAGTTTGAAAATTTGTAATCCGGGCATTTAAAATCCGGAGAAACTTTTATCTTATATATATATATATATAAAATGAAATAAAATAAAATGGACAATTGTTTGCTGTCGCTACTCAGAGTTTCACGCCGTAGGGCGATCTTCAGGCAACTGACAGATAATATTTTATTTGCTGACTATATACATCGACTAAAAGGTGTTAAGTTACGTGACGGCATGCACTAAACATATCGGAACGTTTATTTAAAATGTTCTTTTTACGTCCTTTCAGGATAAGTAGCCTTTCTTCAAGGCAAAGACGGCAGGTTCTTTGGTTTTTGTTCGGAGGTGGAAGTTGTTTGATGAAGTCCCATTTAATGTTGTAGTTACGTTTGTTTTCTTTCAGTGTCCACGTGTATTTAGAAAGTTCTGTCTCGTTGCGGTATTTAATGTTCGTAATTGATTTAATGTGGTTTCGATATCGTGTCTTAAAAGCGCATGCAGTAACACCTATGTAAGTTTTGTTTCGTTGTTGTCAGTCGTTGTCACGTCGGCTTTGTAAATCACGTTGGGTTTCAGGCAATTGCCATTTGTCGGGCATAGATGTTTCTGTCTGCAGTTACATTTCTTTGGTGGGTTGTTCTTGTTCTGGGTTGTGTCTGTTAAGTCTTTTAAAATAGTCTTGTTGTGTCTGGTTATGAAAGTTTTCATGTTTTCGCCGCAGCTGTAGCTTACGCGTATTGTGTGTCGGTTGAATATCTTGGAGAGTATAGTATTTGGTGGGAAATGTTTGTCGATAAGTTGTAGGAAGTCATGGGCGATGTGAGTTTTACGTTTTGCTGTATGGTGGGTTAAACCAAGTGACGTTACGTTTTCTGTTGTACGTGGTGTTTACATTGATGTTTGATGGATTAAAGGTGAGTTGGGTGGTGAAGTTGCTTTGTTTAAGAGCTTGGTTGTAAATTGGTGCGGCATTTTCGAAGGTGTCTTTGTCAGATGAGAGTGTGTTAATTCGGTTGTTGATGGATGTGGGTAGTTGGCGTAATACTGATGGTGGGTGGTTGGAAGATCTGTGAATGTAGAGGGGCTCGTCGTTGGGTTTTCTATATGGTTTGTAGGTGTCGTTGCTAAGGTCAAATGTTACGTCAAGGAAGTTTGTCCGTTCATGGTTTGTCATCGCTGTGATTTTTAGTCCAAGCTCGTCAAATAGGTGTGAGGGTTTTTCTTTCTTTGTCGCAGAGTCTTCCAGATTTCGTATTTATGACTGCAAGGCCATCGTCACGGTATAAGCCGACGTTGCTTCCGTACCGCTGCTGTAGTCGGTCGAGTAAGAATAGCCCTACAAGCTCGCAAACTTCCGCTCCATCATAGCTGCCCATGGTTACATCAAACGTGTTGGTAGCGTTGCGTTTGGACCATGATTTGTTTTGGTGGAAAAGAAGTGATTTTCTTGCGTGTTTTATAATGGTGTGGTCTTTTTCTGTCATTGTTGTGTATTGTTTTGCCCACGCTAGGCATTTGTCCAGTAGGTGTTCGGTGATCGATGGGTAAAAGTCAACTATGTCGAATGATATGAATGATTTTCTTCGAAACATGAAAACTTTCATAACCAGACACAACAAGACTATTTTAAAAAGACTTAACCCAGACACAACCCAGAACAAGAACAACCCACCAAAGAAATGTAACTGCAGACAGAAACATCTATGCCCGACAAATGGCAATTGCCTGAAACCCAACGTGATTTACAAAGCCGACGTGACAACGACTGACAACAACGAAACAAAAACTTACATAGGTGTTACTGCATGCGCTTTTAAGACACGATATCGAAACTACATTAAATCAATTACGAACATTAAATACCGCAACGAGACAGAACTTTCTAAATACACGTGGACACTGAAAGAAAACAAACGTAACTACAACATTAAATGGGACTTCATCAAACAACTTCCACCTCCGAACAAAAACCAAAGAACCTGCCGTCTTTGCCTTGAAGAAAGGCTACTTATCCTGAAAGGACGTAAAAAGAAAAATTTTAAATAAACGTTCCGATATGTTTAGTGCATGCCGTCATGTAACTTAACACCTTTTAGTCGATGTATATAGTCAGCAAATAAAATATTATCTGTCAGTTGCCTGAAGATCGCCCTACGGCGTGAAACTCTGAGTAGCGACAGCAAACAATTGTCCATTTTATTTTAGTTCATTTTATCTTACGCTCTTCTAATATATAGAATATTGAGCGCTCTTTTATCCAGGAATATTATCCATAATAATATATATATATATATATATACATATATACGCTCTGCCCTCGGGCATCGAGCACTGTTTTATACGGAGAATCATCAAATATAAACTTCCTATGTATATATATGTACATACTACATAGCTAAAGCAATTTTTTATATTTTTGTTATCTAATTATTTTTCTTCGTTTACTACACTACAGTCCACTTTCGATTAAACCTGATCAAGTGAACAATCCGCGATGATTAAAACTGATCATGTGAACAATCATGTAGAATTTGTATTGAATCAACGATTAAAAAATCGTATTGATCATGAATTAGTGCCCCATTCTAAGGATTAATGCTGGTAGAATTCAGGCAGTTAAAGGTACAATATGCAATTATCAACTATGCTTTATATACAGTTATAAAAGAAAAACAAATAAAACGTGTGTGGTGATTGGTCTATAGCCGTGTTTGCATTAGCCAGTGGAAAAGAGAGCTGAGCTCAACCAATCAAATCAATCAAAACAATCAATAATAAAAAATTTGCAAATCGATCATGAAAACATTTTACAGAAAAAATTAAAACGTTTGTTTTAAATTTGTCTTTTCGCATTATTTGTATTTTACAACAGAAATAAAAGATGTTTTTCGAGTTTGCAGTGGCTTATGCAAACCTCCAGACGTTTGGGACAACTCCCGAGCAGGTGCAGCCCTCGACCTTTGGTCTTGGACTTGCACTGATCTGCTCTCGAGTTCTCGCAAAGGTCTCCTCGGTATACACAAGGCCATGGTGCAAACAAAGTAAAGTCTTTTCTTTCTTAATTGTCTATTCATATATAAATGTTCTTGAATGTGCGTGTATGTACGTACCTAACTTCAACATTATTCTTGATGTTGCACCTGTAACTAATATGTAAATGTATCATGTGAACGATGAGTACAATATCCAACTGTGTGTTTCGACCATAATTTGACCATGAGATGTTTCATGGTTTACTTCATTCTATTGCGTGAATTATATGTGAATTTTTACCGTTGTTATTGGTTTAGATCATGTGATGTGTTTTGGAAAATTTATTTCATCTTATTCATCACTCGAGCCAACACGATTCATCATTAATGATTCATCACTATCGCATGAATTTTCGTCACTATTAACCAAACGATAGTCGACGTATATCTTAGGTTTTTTCACTGATGGCAGTAGCAATGGAATACACGATGCAATGGCCACATGCCATGCACTGTGAAGATATTTATAATTGGCTGATGTTTCCAGACCAGCGTAAATTCCGAGAGCAATGGATGCGATCAGAAATCCAGGTATAAGAAAGAAAAACCATCTACAAATAGTTAAACATTTACATTACATCAAGTCTGATTTTCTTTAAATCAATTCAGTGATACGAATGGCTGAACACTTCTTTTGAATTGTTGACAAACTTTGCTCGATGGTGCGAGAGGTACAGAATTCTGACGTAACAATTCTTAGGTCATCAGTGACGTCACTAAAACGTCATCAGTCGACGTCACTCTACTAGTTATCAGTCGAGAACGAAGAAGTCAAATGGCCATATATATTATTCACACCCTAACCAACCCCCGTGACTCAGGGTAAGACTCGTTTGATTTTACAATTATCACATCAATGCAAAATTTAAAAACAATCAAGATGTATGTACACAATATATTTTTTACACACAGTTTGGAATTGCATTTGGGAAAGAAAAAATGGATGAAACATTATCAATGTTACATTTAGATGCTTGTAGAAGTAGATCGTCCATGTGAGTAGAGGTCTGAGAAGGACTGTTGGTGTTGATGTTAACTTAGCGGTAGTCATCTTCAGAGTCAAATGAGTACAACTAGAAACCACTAGTAACCACTAATAACCACTAGTAAACACTAGAAAAAAATTTAGGAATTAAGTTCATACCTTTTTACGCTGGGAAAGAGCCGCCTTCGTTTTATACAATTGTACCCCTGAAGAAAAAAAATTATTATACGTCTACACTACACGCAAGAATGGAACAGAGTAAAACATAAAGAAAGTTCAATAACCATGGTCCACTTTACAATATAATCACAGTCAAATAGTATTTACACATTCTAAGAAATTACTAGTTAGCTTGCCATCTTCCCTATAATGACTTAAACAAAAAGTAGACAGATGATCAAGTCGGCTAAAAATCTGACTTTAGCCATGCAATGTGAGAACTTACAAAAGAAATGAAGACCAACTTCAAACCGATACCAGTGGGAACGACAAAGGTCAGGAAACTAAATCGAGCGAGATGAGTAGCAATAAAGAGACCCAATACCGCTGCCATATTTAATGTTAGACGCCATAAAGTAGGTAATTTAATCATGGTTACCAGTGTCACCCATACAGAAAGAATTGAGGCAAAGAAATCACTCAGCTGAAGTGTATTATACTCGTAGATACAATAACCATGGCTGTCACACGCGTGGTACATCTTGAAAAAATAATAATTTAAACGAAGCATTACTGAATTATTTTGTAAAAAAACACGTCAATACAATTAAACAAAAACTTCAGGGATGGATCCATGATTTTTGTCGGGTGTGTCTGTGTGTGGGTGCTATTAGATTTCGGGAGTGCTATTAGATTTCGGGGGCATATTGTTGCAGTGCCATATCAGATTTCTTTATGGTAAAATTGCGTTATCTTACTTCAGAATGGGAGATTTTTTGAAAATATGCTCCATTAAATACTAATCACAATTACTTTTACTTAATTGTTTTGTAGCTATATTCGTATTTTGTAAAGAAATTATCACCTATCCCTGCACCCCCTCCAACTAAAGCTAGGAGGGATGCACAACCATTCCACATTCTTCCGCTAAATCCATTCCTGATTAAAAATTCAGGTGGAACTCACGCTCTCTTTTCAACGCCATGAATGAAAACACACAATACGGACCCTATGTTCCAATAGATCGTTCATTTTCTCCCTTTCAACATTAAAGCCAGTGGTATCTTGTTATGTTTATCTTATTGAGATACAAAAATGTCGTACCTTGAATTTGTATACCTTAGAGTTTGAGTAGTAAACCAGCGTTGAAATTTAGAGAATGAGGGAAAATCATATTTCGATGAAATTGTCAGAAAACGTTCTTTTAAAATCAACATGTATAATAATTAAAATTTAAACGTACCGTCGAAGAAAACATTGTGAAAAAGTAAACTATAGATTCTGCATAAAATCTTTTCACAAAAGCGATGATGATACCAGGAATAAACGCAATGTTACTGATGGTAAGCAGGCAAATAGCCAGTATATCAAGACTTTGGTAAGTAGAGCATGTCAACCCACTGTATCCATATTTGCAAGTACATATTTCGTAAGAAATACCAATATCACTCTTTACAGAACAATAACCATTTTCATTGCAATTGTTTACACAATTTTGTGTGCCTGCTGTAAAAATGGCGATTGGCGAGGGTTCCTCGATGTCAATAGCTACATACCAAAAACCAGCTTGAGGGTAAACGACTTTTATGATTAGAGCTCCATGGCTCTTTTCCCGGCAAAATTGTGGAAAAATCTCATGCGACGTTTTGTCATGGAAAGGTAAAATGTCCTTCGTGACGCACATCTTGTATTTCGTTTTGTTATAGGAAGAAACAGGTGTGAGAGCAAACCGCAACGTAGTACCAACCAATTCTTCATCGATGTACAGACGGAAAACAAAATGCACAGAGGATGCCTTAAAGACGAAGTCACCCCAGTAATTATTAAGGTCCTTCCGTGAGATAATGTCCAATGACTTCATATCAAAGCAACCGTCAGAAGTGGATTTACACTCTATAATAAAGTAGATAACATATTACTATAAAAATTCATCGAAAATTATAGATCTATACACGTTCGTCTTCGTCCTGAAAAAACAGTCTTGATTGCATCAAAAATTCCCAGCATGCATTTCGAGGAGTTGACTTTTACAAAGCAAATTGGTAAACATCTTTGTTGAACTAACTATAATAAATTTTTCAACATAAAAATCTTTCAATTGAATTCTCAGGGATAGAAAAACCGTAGGGGTAGGGTGGGGCATGAAGGGTGCAACCCCCTCCTATTCTTTGAATAGAGGGTGGGGCTTGAAGGGTGCAATTCTCTCTCAGTCTTTGCATAGAGGATGTGCAGTAGGGGTAGAGCACCAAGGAATAAACCAAAGCAATTGTGTCTTGTATTTGACAAAGCACACTTCCAAAAAATAACTCAAAATTATGGAATAATAGTAACAGAATTTGACAAACAACATCTGGCATGGTGACATTCACAAAATAATCACCAAAATCCAAGGGTGCACCCCCCACCCAAACTAAACCATACTGGATCCATCCCTGATACTTTCACTTCAAGTTGATGGTCAAAATTTATATACAAACACCACCAATCAGGGAATAGAAAATTTAGTTTATAGTACATGTGGAAAAACTCGCATGGTTTCACAACAGCACTATATATATGTACATTATTGGGAAGTAGGGAACAGGTGTAAGTTATAATATATTAATCCTAGGATTGACATATTATATATATATTTTCTAATAATGGCTTTGGAATAAAATGTTTAAGTTATATAAAAGGATTATAACACAGTTACTATTACAAAAATAGTTCACCTGTATGATTTGCCATAATCTCATACGACAGGGTCTGACCACTGACTTCTATATAGTAATAGGCAGGAAATTGAGGCCAAGAAATTGTGAGTGTACATGGCGCTTTACAATTTAGTGATGAAGACTTTGGTAAAGACGACAAAGATATCGACAATCTCAATGAGCAATTCATAGAAGAAATACAGTGAAGTGAAACAGATAGTTCTTTAGAGTATGATGACACATAATATTTGAAGTATAAGGGCAATCTAAAGTGAAGAGAATGACATAATAACAATCAATAACAAACATGAGCAAACTACATAAAAAACTATGATAAACATTTTTACTAGCATAAATAGAGATCAAGCAACAGTGAAAAGTTTAAAAAACACTGATTCCTTATTTGAATTAACCATAAAACAGTTCTCATTCTAATTGCTCTTCAAATAAAAATACTATAAAGCTTCTGACCAACTTTGCACTTAAAACCAGAAGAGATAAGAACTACCCTGAATGAATGTAGAGTTGAAACAATTTTATAAGATAATATAAACACTTGAGCAAAACAGTTGAAAAATGAAACAAAAAATGACCATGAATGATACTAAAGTATAATATTCTTGTGTATGCATGTGTACATTTAGGTACCTGTGGCTAGCTATAGTTTTCCATGATTGTCCCTTAGCGAGTACAACAGGAGGTTGAGATGGAGATGTTAACAACTGCTTAATTCCAATAGCACTCACACATTTCTTGTCTTCTTTAAATAAACCCTATATATTTTGATGGCATAACAACAGAGTTAAATCATTTAAATTAATGATATAAATAACACACACACATTTTGTACCTTCTCCTTAATTTTTGTCACTTTTTCCACAAAAGGAAGATATACAGTGACATACCATTTGCCAGGTAAAGGAGATTGGATTATTTTATTTAACCTACATCGATGGCATGCTTCTCCTTTAAATGCAGGGACAGTTATGTTGTAAATCTCATTATATGTATAAATTTCTTCCACAAAAGGTATCGCTGGGCTCCCTTGTTGTAACAGTCTGATAGAAATGCGTAAAAAACAAATAGCTTGTCATTATATACACATGGAAAAAAATGTATACTATCACGAAGAAATTTACTAAATGCAAGACTTACACTGAAACGGTTTGGTTGCACTGTATATTGGTTCCTACATAGTTTCCAACATAAATAAAAGATATTTCCATTTTACTTGAGTATTCAGGGACATCTAGTACATAAATCTTTGCATCCCATAAAGATTTATACTCTTTTAGTCCAGTTTGTGGATGCCATTCAATATCTAAAAAAATTAAAAGATTTTGTGCAAATAAAAAGATAAATCAAGACTCCTGTTTATATGTAATGTATTACCAATGAAACAGGCATGCAAACCAACAAGTAAATAAAATATTTACAGTCAACATAAATTTTTGGAATTTTTTATTTGACAAAAACCCTTAATTAACTTAGCTAATAACATACATACATAGCAACTGTTCACAATTGTCTGCTTATAATATAATGTTCTAATGTGTATCCTATTTTGGATAAAACAATAATAAGTTGCCTAAAAATATAAAAAAGCTTAAAACCAATCCAAATATTAGATGAATTTTAAATTTTTTGCAATGTGGTCAACACTAAGTCCAAAAACTATTACGTAAGTTCTTGCCAAACATTAAACATGCACAAAAACTAATTTAATGTTTTTCTTGGGTATTACCAAATGCACCATACATAAGTATTTCCAATTAAGCTGAAAAGGAGCTATTGCTTTCTAAGCAATAGCTGACAGACAGTTAAAATTGGTATTTCATACGTATGCTGTTCTACAGTCAGAAAGTCAAAGACTGACATTGATAATATATTGACGTTGTCAACACTTGTTGGTTTATAGGGCATAAACAAAAAATTATGGCGGTATACCTGCGTTTTCCAACTGTGAGAAGACCAAGAAAAGGTTTCCACAAATTATGAAGAAAAACAAGCTACAAGCTTTCTTTGATAACGTATTACCAACCATGATAGCAATTGACGTTTAAAAATTCTTGAGTGAGATAATGGACGATCAGTCAGTGTATGTCAATCTATTGCAATTAATTTCCAGTTAATTATGACTAAACATTACTAAATTCAAATACTTCACTCATTTTTAATTTTTATAACTTTAAATCCGACATGTTTCGATGCGCTTATGCCGATATCTCGTTTCGTGACTTTCATAGATTGCATTTTGCATTTTTGTAATTTTGCCTGCCCGAGTCTCCTCGGCTCGGTTGAAAGAGAGACTGGTAATTGAATACCAGTCACAGTCAATGCTCAGAGTCACTACCACAGTGAACTCGACATTTAAATAACTGGAATGATAACCGAAGCCAAAAATTGAAGCCAAAAAAATATTTGTTGTCATCATTCGTCATCACACGTCAGGCTCTAGTCCTCGCGTGTTCATTTTATTTTTTTTAAATCATTTGTCCCTTGGTAATGGTAGAGTTCGGATCTTGATCAGAGCGTAAAAATAACGAAATTTTTGGAATGAAAAGGTTCACGGAAAGTGAATCAAAGTGATAAATCGAGAAGCAAGATGAGGTGAACTTAGTCGATCTGCTCTTACGCTGCGGTTTTCCTTTAAAACATATCAAAGTCTTTAAGGATATTCAATTATTGATACCGAGATGACAACCATTTAGTATTTCAAGTTTCAAGCGCTATCAAAATCGATGAAAAATACAATCGCTCTGTAAAAAGTAAAAATGCGAGTTATAGACTCAATATTTTTTATGAAACTGGATATTCAAGTTTCTTTTTTATTCGGAAAAACAGATCTTTAAATCCACTTAAATGACAAAAAAGACAAACGCTGTCTGACACCGTTTGAAAGTTTACCTTCCGACGAAAGAAAAATTTATGCTTGAATATTTTCTCGTCATATTTTATTGTATTGTCTTTTTAGCAAACAGTGTAATTTTCAGCTGGCTTTTCCTCGTTACAAGTTGTAAGTTACAACGAACTCACTGTAGTAAAGTTTCAGCTGTAAAAAATAACCTTTTGCGAAGAGTTGGCCTCGTGTGTTGTTTGTCGTGATGTTGTTTATATGTTTATGCTTTTGCAATTTGTACTCAAATTTATATTGGCCGTGTATGTTTGGCACTCAGGGGAATGAAACTGACGTACAAACCGCGTGAATATTCGACTTTGAAGGACTGGAACTGACGTACAAACCGCGCAAGAGACTAGGACTTTGGCTTCAATTTTATATCTATAAAATGTATTGTCGTTATCATTCCAGATATATATATATGGAGTTCACTGCACTACCATTGGTCATTTCCAGATTCCGTAATTCAATTGCGTTTGTTAATATTTCGAAATTTTCGTTATTCTAAGGCAATTGAAAATTTTTAATAATTATTCTTTTAATATTTCGCAATTTAACATAAAATTATGAATACAGGGGCGGCGGAAGTAAATTGCATTTTTTGATGAGGGGGTAAAAGCGCAACAAAACAAATCAAACAAACTACAAAATAACAAATCAGTTGGAGTTGCAGGGCTTTGACTTCCTCATAACATTCAAAGAGCAATCAAAACTGGAATTATATTGAAATATGAAAACGTTATATACTATCAACATAATTCGTATCATGCATAAAAGTATAATGGGGGAGGGGGGGCGCTAAACTCATTGTGATTTTGGGAACATCCTCTGGTTCTGCAGCCCCTGAATTACACAATTTCCGTAATTATACATCTCACCATTCAAATTATCAATCGAAATAGTTCTACCGTTATGTTATTGGTTATTGCAAGTTTGTTGTGTTACGAGTCAAATTTTACTGTACACATGATATAGTAGTTTTGACAGTGCAAACTTTTGGCAACACATCCCTAGGTACCTGGTATAAGGTGTTTTAACCTACTAGCTGTTTAGTTAGCATATTTATCCTGCATGCAAGATCATGCAACTTCCTTGTAATTTAGCAAACTTGAACGGATACGGTGTATTTATGAATCGACTATTCCTTATATGTACCTAAAGGCGTACGAAGATCGATAATTTCCATATTCATTCATGTTATAATCCGTAGAAAACAATGGATTTTTAAAGGAGCTTAATACAGTATATCAAGACTATTGGAATACGAACATACACATGTTATCGATCTTTCTACGCCCATGCTTGACATTGCTTGTAGCATCTTGGAACTCTTCTATAAAAATTATAACAACTTTTATTACTTGACCTCATGCTCTCTAATGAAAGAAGCGCAACGTGACGTCATGGAAGTCAACGGTTCGCAACGTTCCCAACACATGCTTGCTGTCGTAGCAGTTCGATATTCGAAAAAAATATTTTAGCTTTTCATGATCAAATGGCCGAGAGACAGTTCAATCGGGTAGGTTTTTTACTTGTGTGCAGTTATCTACTTCTATTGACATGTTTTTGTGACCAGCAACTAGTGAAATATAAAACAAATACATTTTTAGACGAGAGATTTTTATTTTTTTGTTAAACAATTTAGCTGAACCATTTAGTTCTTCGACATGATCTTAAATAAAATGTACTGTTGTTCCTTTATGACTTCTGTATTTTACTGAAATTTATTAATCTTCGATTTGCTTCGATGAAATGACTTGTCAGAGGGCAAGATAAAAGACAGTGAGGCTGACAGATTATTTAGTTTTGGTGTTGTAGCTGATGTCCTCAGTATTTGATGTGTTTCACCTTTCTTAAAGTCGAATTATAGTTTGCTAAATATGATTTACGATCGCACTTTATGTCACACATTTACTGCATCGAAAAAAGATCAAAGAAACTGTGTACTGAAAGTAGTTTTTACATTATCTTAAGAGTAATTAATCGAAGAAACTATATTTTAAATTAGGTCTTTTGCTAAATTAAATGTCATTCTCGTTTGCCAAAAATTAAAATCTCTCAGCAGATACCGATGCCTTATTAAACGGCTTGCAGAAAGCATATGCAGTTTATTATATGTAAGCGTTCATCGGCACACTTAAATGACATTTTTTGACAAACAATACGACATCTTTTCAGAGGTACAAGCGTGAATATGAGTATGAATATAATGCAATGAAGAGTTTGGATCATCTGAATTCGTTTTTGTATAAATTATGGAAGCTAGTTAACGACGAAAATCTTTCTTCAATACATTGGAGTGGTGACGGCGAGAAAGTTGTCATCGAGCATCCTGCCGAGTTTACAGCTGATGTTTTAAATGCAAGTGATAAAAAGCATTTCAAAACACAAAATATTGCAAGTTTCATCAGGCAACTCAATTTGTATGGATTTCGTCGTGTCAAAGATAACTGTGGAAAAATCCCATTGGTTTTCAAACATGAAAATTTCAAGCAGCACCGTCAAGATCTTTTAGGTATGAAAGTCACCTTGCATCTTTCAAAACAAAGCTTACCAATGCCTCACAAAAAAGGCGCCATTATGGAAAAAAGGCCGACCGATTTGCTTGACAAACATAATAAAATTGTTGTCAGATCGTTTACATATATGACATGTTGCATTGCCAATTGAGACAGCATAGTCTTAAAACATGTAGCTGTACACGCAAAAACGACTGAAACATACAACAGGATGACTATAGTTGAAATATATTTTAGGCAAATGGCAATTTTTTTATCACACTGTTGAAAATTGAACCAAAACATTTTTGCTGTTGTGCACTGTCACTGAAGTTATTGAGATGCACGAAAACTTCAGTGACTTGTCATAAAAATTTGTCAGCATTTAACTTACATTTAATAATAAATGCTTTCAATTGCAGTTCAAATAAAAAGAAAGAAACCTAAATCGCAAGCTTTACCAATGATACGACCGTCGTTACCAACACTTCACAGTAAAGATGTATCACTAAAACCAAATATTTTTCAACCTGGCAGATCTCCTTCGTTCCCTCCTTACCCCGGCTTGTCAACATGCCAGCCGTACTCTTACTTCAATAACACAATGGCAGGAAAAAATATTTCAATGCCCTATGTAACACCATTTGCTGTCAACCATGGTCCGACTTTTATCAATTTGGGATCACACTCCACAGTATATAATAAGTCACAATCATCAGCCCCGTTTACCTTAAAAAAGGTTGTTGAAGATGGTTTCAGTGACAATAACGATTCCTGTAAATGTCCCAACGAGTCAGAGTTGAATCATAATTTAGAGCAAGAAGTTACAGGTTTGGATAGCAAGAAGTTGGGAGTAAGCCCAAATTCTTACCAGCAGCCATCATTTATGTCTGCTCACGGCAGTTACCAAAAATATCGATCGTCCTGCTTTGAAAGTAACATCTTTTCAACTCCACCAAGAAAATATCCAAATCTCAGTGATGGTATGTCCTACAACAACGCATTTTTTAGCAAATCGTTTCAGCCTTGTTCGCCATATCCTTCCACACAGTTTTCCCCATCAATTTATTCGTCTGGCATACAAAATCCGAATGATTTCATTCCTCAATTCCCAAGAAAGGAGGAAGATCACCTTGGCAATTCAACTACACCAACCACAAGGGGTGAAAATGCAATGTTGGAATCGCTCAGTGTGATTGCTTCTCAGTTGCCTAAGAGAACTTAACATTTATATCATTAAAAACATACTTTTATTGAACGGAAACTGTTGAATTGAAGGTCATTTACAAAAAATATTATTTTTGAGATATAGATTCTACAATATGTTTTTCAGTTACGTTATTTAATCCTACTTATTTAAAAACAAGATTTTTTATCAATAAAAATGTTAATGAAAATAAATATTTACTGACAGGACACGATGATTTTAAAGAGATGTTTTACGCTAGTTTCTTGAAAATTTTATCGATCCAAATTGTTTTCTTCGGTTTCTGTGACACCGCGCTTTGTGAAATGACGATTAAAACTATGGACATTTTTATACTAAGACTCATAGTGTCAGACTGTATGTCTCTTGCATCTTTTTCCACGTACATTAAATTTCGACTTCAAATGTTACGACAAGTTGCAAAATAAGAATGTTCGAAAAATATTTATACATTTATACATACATGTTAAAATTTATTTTGTTGACGTAATTAGCATTATGAAAACGTATTGTAAGTGCTATTGGACATTAGCGAGTGATTTTCAAAAGTGAGTTATCATTTGTGGTGATTTGCATAGTTAAACGTAATCTTATACGATAAGAAATCTTATAATGTAGAATTACTCATAACTACTCTTCGTAATTATGTTTACAAAATACAAACCGTTCTTTTCATGAATTTTCGGAAGAGTAGACTTTTTACATGTCATGTCGGGAAACTTTGATCGAAACCGATCACTGACTTGCGTGTTCAATTTTTACATAAAACACAATTAATTTTGCTAATAAGTGTCTCCCCCGCTGTTCATAAAGAAAACTTTGTTGACAGTTTATGGTAAAAAAAATAACGTTACTATAGGACGTATCACTTGTAGATAGGAAGCAATGCAATCATTTGATATTCGCTCGTGTAGCTTTCGCTCCCATTTAAATCGTAAATATTCTACATGTAATCTATTATATATATTGTGTAAACATTATATACATGAAAGTCAGTTACGGTCGAGCACAAACATCGAAAGAAGATCATGGTGTCCTTATCGCTGCTTATTTTTTTGTTTCCCATATCAGCATTCGCTTCAACATGTGATAAAAACGCATACAATGACGAAGTCAACTTTTCATGTCGAGAGCGATGTTGCGGCCTACCTAAACAATGTCTACCGACGTGTGAAAATGTAACATGTGCGACATCAAACGATTGCGATGGATTGACTTGCTGTAATCAAAAATGTAAGAATATATCGCGCTGTCCAAAGAAGAAAAGGAGCGTTAAAATATGGTTAACAGCATGGTTAGCTTGTGTAGCTGTTGTTGTAATTGTTCTCTTTGGATATTGTTGCTGTATTAAAAAGAAAAGTGCGCTAACTGATTCGACAATCCATACCGAAATATCAGACACATTTTTGTCATTGGACGAGCGATCGCAAAGTTTAGAAACTGTTATTACGTGGCCATCAAAAGAGAATGTTCGCGCTCAAGAAAGTCCTTGTGTTTGAAATATTATTCGCGTATAAAACCAGATTTCTTCAAGTAAGAAAATTTCAGCGAATAGCTACTTCGAAGGCATGAGCAAAGATTGAAATTATAAAGATTGTTCTAAAAGTTTGCTAAGATTGATGACTTTTTTATGCGAAGTACAATTTATGCTATAGAGCAATGTGGTATTACCGTTAAGGTACAGAACAATTTTAATTTACAAATAATTTTTAAGGTTGAGTTCGATTAGACAAAATTAAATTACCTAAATACTTGACTCGATCATTATATTTATATGATTCGCAAAACCTGAATCAGGAATGAGCTATATCTAAATAGACTTGTCACGAAAACATGTCCTCGTTTGGTGCTCTCGGAATAAAAAAAGTTTTTAGGCATGACACAATGTTTCTGTCAAGAAACAAACTACTTTTTATTTTGGACTAAATCTTAGCTACATTATGGTTAACATGCGATTTTCAAAGAAGTGATGTTAATGAACAAACCAAAATAGAAGTTTGTATAGGATATGAAAAACAAAATCTTATTAGTTTTAAGTTTAGTATAACAAGTAATTTGTCGGGATGAGAACAATATAATAGGAATCACGAAAAGGTAGGCTAGCGTAGCGAATCATTAGGTAAATATTAACAGTTATGTACATTCGTTGTTGAATTTTGGAGTCATTAAATATTTATACATACAGTTTACTTGGCACATCGTCAGCTAATAGAATGGCCATTAGAATAGAATGGCCAATTGATCCACGCTAATATTTTCTTGCGATTCTTCCGTGTTGATATTGCCTGATGAATTTACCTCAATGACATTTTCTGCCGATTGTTCAGAGGACACATTTCTTTCAGGAACTGTATCATGAACTGTATCTACAATTTCATTAGTTGATACTTCATGTAAACTGTAAGGTGGTGGCTCTAATTCATCACTGAGAACAATTTGTGTTTCGTCATTGCCGTTCTCGCACAATGGCAGTTCATCGCCATTTTGAGTATCTTGGTGATTAATTTGACTGTACGGTGGTGGTGGAAAGTCGTTCATAGTCACTCTAAATCCTCGGGCAGATGAATTCAATTCATGGTTGTTATCGTCATCGAGTAGAGTTTGAACATTGAGGGAGTGATAAGTAGGGAGGTCACCTCTGTCTTCAGGGTTCTCTACAGCTCTGTCGTAAGTTGGAGGAGACAAGGGGAAAAAAGGCTCGTTATTCTCAAAAGCTAAAACCATAAACGGAAGTTGGTTACGCTCTTCACAATCATTTGTCCGTCTTTCAATTTCAAGTGTTTCGTCGCTGGGTCGTATTAGTGTCTTTCGTCTTCTATACCATCGACAAGTGCTGTAGACAGAAACCAACGCAATAAGGCAGACAGAACCGACTCCGAAAACCCCCCAACTCGACAAAAAGAAACAATCATTTTGCTTTGAACATTTGCCATTACAACATTTCAAACCTTCACATTCGTTGTTCGACTTGCAGTAGTAATGTTCACATGATAAGGCACATTCTCTTTGAAATTTTCCTCTGCAACATTTTGGTTTATTTTGAGGACAACTGTTACTCTTCGCGGAAGAAGAATACGAAATTCGGCATATATGACCTTCGACTTCGTAAAATTGGACAATCAAAGCGATCACAGATAAAAAAATACTTAAGTTCATAACGAATATCGACAAACTACTTTTCCTTATCGAAGTTCGATTCGAGCAACACTCATATAAACGCCAGCAAAGTCAAATTGTGGAATACAGATGAATAAATTTAACAGATGAATGAAATTAAAATATTTTTTTTATGTTTACATGAAGAATTTGCTGACGTGATATTGCTCAAAAATAGCACGTAAGACTTTTAACAAATTCCATTTTACGAAATTAATTTAACAGATCACTTCACATAATAACCATATAATTATTTATGTATATATACATACATGTATTGTAACTATTGATATATATATGATTATGATACGTAATGATTTATAAGAATACGTATAGCAAGTAATTTATATAAACGTAATCACGACAAACATAGAAGCCATAAATAAGCTCATTTAATCCAATATTTTTAACAGGTGATATGAAAATTGATATTGCTCTTATTGGGGGGTTGAACTAACACACCACTTTCTCATCAACAGAGCCAACTTAAATTACTTACTTAATGAAGAAATTTATTGCAGGTTATCACAATCTAATATCATAACAATCAGTTTAAAGTGTCCACACACCCTTTTCATCTTTTCTCATTGAACCGGGGCACGTGCATATTGAATTTTTCATAAGATACATTATTTAATTTCTTAAAAACGATTGTCATTGCTGGCTGAACCTTTCAAACTTTCAAATTTTTTCATTGTCACGTATGAAAACAGCTGCTACCGCGCTACCATTTCCTTTTTATGTTTCTGGACATGCAACATAGTCACTACTGGTTTCTTCTCACGTTGGCGTCATTTAAAAATATACATGTTTGTGGATGTAGATCGTCCAGGTCAGTAGAGTCCTGAGAAAGACTGTTGTTGTCAGTGCTGTAGAAGTGGGGGGCGCTCGGGGGAGGAGCCCCCCCTTCTACCTTTGAAAAATGGGTGATTTTTCATAATTTCATGGCTTCAGCTTCGTAAAGAGAGCCCTCCATCTGATAAATTTAGTTCTACAGCACTGGTTGTTGTTGATGTTGATTAACGTTTCGACAACCTTAGCGGTAGTCATCTTCAGAGTGAAAATACTCCCGGGTTCAAACCATTTACTTTAAAAATCTACAGTTCGGCGGAAATCCGTGCTTTCACCAAGGCCTTCACCCTTGCAGAGATTTATAATACGATTTGAATTGCGACAATTAAGGTCAAAGACTGCTTCCAAAAAATCAGTACAGAAAACTGATTCGTGCTTGTACTAAGGCAATAAGGAAATAACAAGAGCAAGAATTAGATGACACAGGGACGTCCTTGCACAATATTTTGTAAATTAATGTTCAATATAAATGTAGGGGTGTTTTGTTAACAATTAAAATTTATATTAATAAATAATAATTACAAGAATTGATTTCGCTTTTGTACATAGTTAAAAGTTACCATAAAACATATACTTCTCTATCACCCAACTGTTGTCAACACTATTAGACTTTCCAAGAATGATCAAAAAGAAGTCTACAAAAGTCATGTCATTTAAAAATTTCTCAATAGATATTTGTGAAATGTGAAGTCAAGACTACAACATTCGAAGGCCCGTCCGACTTTCGAAGTCGTTCTTGCTGTATCTATGGTGAGTCAAAAGCAGACTCAGTTACTCTCGGTGGCTTGGAAATCGGATTGCCAATGGAAATCACAAAGGAAGACTTGTGTACGCGTTCTAGGGTGCTAACGTCATCATATATGATTTCATCTCGGCGAAGATGACGACAAAAACAGCGAGATATTATGTAAGCCATAAAACAGACAAAAACAGCGAGATATTATGTAAGCCATAAAACAGACAAAAACAAGCCCACGAATTACAACGATGTTTGCCACATCAGGAACTCCAGGTTTTTCATTCGAACTCATGTTGAACAGCTAAGTCTTTCTCTCGTAAAGTAAAAAATTCTCGATTCAGTAACATTCACAGAGCACAAGTAGAAGAGCATGAAGCTTTGCTTTGGTAGAAGAGAACGCCACACTTTATGGTCAAAAATTTATTTTGCAATATCACGCCATATAATTTTGAATTTCAACATAAACGAATGAAAAATTCAATAAAAAGGCAAACGGCAAATGATCGCCAAAAGCTTAATAAATAAAAATCAACGCAAAAAAATCCACAATCATATTTTATTACATATATTGCAGTCGAAACAACGATCGGGGTAAAGATCTTATCTTGCAAATTATAGGAAGAACAATGCTTTCCTCAAATCCCGTGGGAAACAGGCGAATGATTATTCAATATCAAGTGCACTATAGTCTGCTGCTCGTCACAAATACAGTCTGCAGGTTGCGCTTATATTTTAACATTGGTCCATTTGAGAAATGTTGGTCCAATAACGACTTTAAAATTTGCATTTGAATTTTAGTCGGTCTGTTATATTTGGTGTTTAAATATAAAAAAACCACATTTTGAACAAAAGAGCTGGACGTTTGAATTACCACATTTTGTACTCAAAATTAATTGCAACAAAATAGTTTAAAATATTAACTGAAAAACTCCCAAGAAATTGTTAAAAATGGTTAATACATTTTAAGCTTTCATTTGGTCAACTTTCAAGAGAAGACCACGTGAATCACATGTGACATGCAATAATCACGACTACTATCGATCCTTGGGTGTGTAACGTGATCATACATTCACATTTTTATTCATAGATAAAACAAGTTTAAAAAGTAATATGTTCCACTGAGCAATTCCTATTTTAAATCACAATTTCTTGTTGAACCTCTCTTCTCTTATTATATGACAAGCGCAAATTCGGTTTGTTCAGAACAAAAAAGACTTGACTTAGGCCCCGTTCACACGAGCCCGGGTTGGTATGCCAACCCGAGTCAACCCGTCTACTAATAAATTCCTATTAACGTTTACAAGATAGCCGGGTCAATTTACCAACCCGGGGCACCCTTCTCAAGATCCGGGTCGATCCAGGTTTGCAAGGTGTTAGAGCATTAAATTTAGCTCATTTCTTCATTTAACCAGGGTTTGCTTGTCTTTGGCTTTATTTTCAGGTCAAGGCTGAGAATTGCTGAGTCGTGTTGAAAAATCAGTTCTAGCCCGGGTTCGTGTAAACATAAGCACCTATCGCAGTCTGACCTGGGTTAAATATCAACCAGGCTCGTGTAAACATAAGCACCTATCGCAGTTAGACCTGGGTTAAATATCAACCCAGGCTCATGTAAGCATAAGAACCTATCGCAGTTAGACCTGGGTTAAATATGAACTCGGGCTCATGTAAACGGCGCCTTAGTGCGATATAACTCTCAGTAAAGACCAACTGCATTTTAATGATAGAAATTATCATTTTTACGACAGATTTCCGAGATGCAATTGTTCTTTTTCTAAATTATATTGACATATTTGTAGCCAAAAGGAAACTGCAACACTGACCTTGTAACTCAGTTCAAATTTGAATTTAAGAAGTATTATTTTTCATGCTTGATTGTGGGGAATAAGGAAGTTTGAATGGAAGTCTTTCATTAGACAATAAATACTTACGAAGGGCAGGACGTTGAGAAAATGTCTTATAAAAATAACCTAACTTTGGAAAGTTCTCAAAAATGTCCTCAATAATATCTGATTCTACCAAATACAATCGAGTGTGTTTGACAAACTCCACATTTATGTCAATGAGATCAAACAAGAAATAGTCAATCCAAGTCAAACGATTACTAATAAAAAATGAATGGTTACTTTCCTTGTCTATAGCAGGAGCAAGTTTCTCAAAGTGAGACAACCATGTTGGCAGAATATTAGCAACATAATCATTGCGTTTGGTCATGGAGAAATTAGGATCATACATAACTTTGCCTAGCTTAGCACGAAGATCCTCTATATAAAAAATATTTTTTCACAAGTTTAATTTAACACATAATAGCAATGATAATAAGTTGTTCGATTCCTACCTGCTCCTAAGGCAACCACTTCGCAAAGATGATAATCATCACATTCACAATCAAGACCCAAAGAACGACCAATGTAATGAACAATAGCTAATAATAAAATATAAGTCTCTACCACTCAACCACAAACAGATTGTCAAGAAATGTGTCACATAAACCAAAAATGTTTTTATACATACCCAAACTTTGTACAAGTCTGAAGCCTGACTTTGTAGTAATTGCAGGAACTAAAAATAAAAATAACACAAAGTTTTACATCTGTTGGTCATACTCATCTCATTATTGGGGTCTTGTTGATTTAAATAGTTTATACAAACTTGAAAACTAATTTGAGTTCTCAGTTCTAAACACTTTCAACATGTTATATGATTACGTGGAATGAACAGAAATTCTTCGGTAGTTTGCTGATAAAGTTCTTTCATTGTAGAAAGCAAATTTTGGGGAGTTGATTAACTCAGAATTGGTCGTAGAAACCTGCTTGAACCTTAGCCTGAGCCCTCATTTTTGTTGTCATAAAAAGCATAGACAGATTTATGAGTGGGTGGGGGTGCCACCCCAAGCATCAGATTCCCCCCTAGGTAAATTGTGAACCCCTCTAAGAAACATTTCAATCCCCACTTTTAGCAACAAATCAATAGTATAGTTCAACTGAGTTTTTCAGCCAAAAATTTCTACTTTCTACACTACCTTCAAGAGCTTCACTACCATATCATCCCTAAATTCTACACTCTTACTTTGTCTAAAGTGACTATATCACCAGCCCCCCTCCCTAAAATTTCTAGCACCATCCCAGTAAAAAATATATAAATGTGTCCATGATATAAAGTTTTCAATGCATGAATGCATGCACTCAGTGTTCCTTGCTCAAACACATTTAGATGCTCTCATCCATGTACAGTACCTTGACCAAAGGTAAAAGTTCCACTTTCAATTCCTCTCTTTTTAATTTCAGCCCACTCTTCACCACTAAAGTTTACTTCAGAATAAAGAACGCCATTATCCTGTAAGATAATTCGAATGCCTTCACCTCTACCACGCACTTTAAAATAATGCATTGTGAGTCCTTCGATTTTTGGCGCTGGAATGCAGCCGTAAGACCCAAATATTGCTTTATCCACACCCCGCATGATTATTTTTGATCGCCCAGTGTAGTGAATTGCTATTATAGCAGCAATACAAACAAATATAACTTGAGTTGTCAAGGCCATTATCTCTAAACAATAAATTACTTGGCTGGAGAACAATACCAATCCAGTAAATGACATAATACATGAAGTTTTTCAAAAGGGCCGCAATAGTCGAGCCCATAATCAGCGTTGCCAACTTCGGAATTTAATCTCGGGATATATGGGAGGATTGCCATTGTTTTAGGATTTTCGTTTCAAAAAGTAGTAATTCTCGAGATTTTTTACAGTTTTGAGTATAAAGTCCAAAGTAAGAGTCTAAAGTTACAGGGAAGCTTTTTGTGAAAATTTATCAACTAATAAACGATTCTGCCGCACGTTATGCTTTTGAGTAGAAAAAAACACAGTAACACACTACCAAGACCGTTCACCTGTCACCCCCCTCCCCCCCCATAGTTAGCTAGTAGAGTGTTGTGACATATAAATAAAACCAAAACTTTGATGAGGTAAATCGGATTTTTTCTGGAATGTTGGGATATTTTAGGTGCTTACTCGGGACGTTTACAAAAATACGGTTGGTAACACTGCCAGACCAGTAATCACCATTCACCACCCATAATTAATAATGACATAGACCTCCTAACAGGGTTTAGTAGTTAGGTAACAGAACGTGTCACAATCAGAAACCAGAATAGGGAAGCCGCTTTACACATTGAAAATTGGTATATTACATTATGCACAAAATAGCAATCAATTGAATGATTTAAATATAGTTTGGCAACATTTATTGAACAGCGTTGGTGAATTATTTTGAACTGTCACTATCTGTGTCACTATACATCTCTGAAACTAACGACAACTGAGGTTCTCTCGACTTCAAATTTTCTGTAATGAACTCTTTATTTTCTCCATCGATAAATCTCTTGGCTGAAGTTTCTGATAAATTTTGATATGTATTGGGAAACGTTTTCGGCAAGTCATCGTCCATATTATTGCTGGAGTTTTCAGTTTTCTTGGCCACAGGAATATTATCAGTTCCATTGACTGTTTCCGAGGTGAGCAGTGAAGTCTCTTCAATTTTTTCATTTATAACCTTTGAAGTAGAATCATCTTTCTCCTTTGACACGATTACCGCATCATAGGATTGAGTTTTTTTAATCAATTCATCCTTTCGATTTTTTGAAAAATTTTCCAAAGAGGACTTTCTCGAAAACATAATTTTCTGTCGTTTTTCGAGCAATCTTGAACGATGAACGTTTGATTCAGACGATTTGGAAAACATTGGTCTGTTCTTAATTTGTAAACGTTTCTTTCGTTTTTCCAACTCATAACCTGTTCAAAAATACAACCAAAACCACGAGGAAATTGATTTTACTTCACTTATATTGGACGTTGCTGCGATGGCAATTCGATTTTCGTCTACTTTTATGAAGTATTTTTGTGTGAAGTCACAGCGAATGAATAAGAATTTTTGAAGAACTTTTGAAAAAAATTTGCTCAACAGAAGTAAAATTTCGGGATGCTTTCGACTGTGGGTTGGATTTGTTATACAATAGCACAACAGCAATATCCCTAACAAAACAGTCATACCCAAAACACAACAACACTATCCCTAGCACAACAGTCATGTCCCCATTACAACAGCAATATCCCTAATACAACAGAAGTACGCCTGACAAACCATAATCTCACCTTCATTACGATATTTAATTTTCTTAGCCAGAGCAATATCTTCAGGACTTTCATTTACCAAGTGAAGATTTAAGCCACCCTTCTCTTTAATTTCTTGATCTTTTTCTTCCTTTCGCAAAATGACCTTCTTTTCTTGTCGAAACTTTTTTCTAAGCATTTGATTAAGTCCAAAGTCGTCTTTCCATTGTGTTTGCATGTCCTGAATGAAAAATACAGTTGGATGGAAAAAACAAAAATAATCAGACTACTATGAGTACATGATTCCGAAGGATCTTGAGGTGGACAATATGATGATTTCAAAAAACCTTGATTTGAACCAGTCCAGGAATAGCAGCTTTTGATTTCTTCTTATCTTTCTCACCATGTTCAAGTTTAAACATTGCATCATCAATCATCTTTTGTTTATCAGCATGGTCTATATAACAAAAACGTAGATTAGCAATACGTCATTTTAAGATGTGTTCAATGTCGTTTTAATGCACAGATTCCATTTCCAAGCACACAACTTTACTTATTTACAATGTATTTTTGTTATTTATATAACATGTCTCATTCATGAAATAATGAATTGCAAAAGCAACTCATTTCTGCCGTAAAATAACCTGTGGCTATAACATTCTCCGCTGCAACCGGATCCCATCTTTCTTCCTTTCGTCTTGCACCAGCAACAATCGTATAGTCACAATTCTGTAAGTGTCAGACCAAAAATGATGGTTACCTCATAGATAATTTGATAAGGGTTTGCACCATAGCCAATTGAAAATAAAAAAAGTTCAGAACTCAAAACAACAATTTGAAGAGTTTTTTAAAAAAAGAATTAGCCATGAAAATCTCCGTCATATGTTGCATAAAATGATTAGCTGTAAATTTGTTTTCTACGACAGACCATCGTGAGATTTCTTTTGACATTTTTGAAGACAAATGAAAATATGCTGCATTTTATATCTGAATTGTCCGGGGAGCATCTGCTATCCATTTAAGTAATAAAAATTTCCGTGTTTCAATAGAGTTATATTAACATGTGACGAAGTCAGGGAACAACGAGAAATTGCGTGGTAAGCACGTGCACAAAGTGTGATTATTTCTAAGCAATTTTTGAGTACCTCACAAACTTTCACAAGTGTTTATTTAACTCAATAGACACAAGTAAACGTATTATATATTTTATTAATAAACAAAAAGTAAATATGTATGTTTTCTATTTCGTTTATAAAATAGCCTTTTAAAAACAATTTTAAAAAGATAAATTTATTGATTTTGATTGCATGTATATCGTTTTTATTTTGCCTTTTAAATTTCCAGTGCAAACCAATCAACAAGCAAGACTTAAATTCCTGTGTTTCTATAGAATAATAGAAACACAGTTTCTCACACATTCCACCAATCAGCACTACAAAGTATAAAGCTGTTATATAAAAATAAATTATAAACTGAATGCATAAATATGAATGCATAATTAAAGCTAATACATTTTTGGTACCTGGACATTGTTGATTAGTAGTTCAGACCATTCAGATATTTCTAACCTTCTAAAAATGTACACACTTTATGAGATTTACTAATGAAAATCTTACCTTTGGATCAGTTTCAATTTCAATATAGTTATCACAAAGATGACACTTCATGCGAAATCTGTAGATGGGTGTTGTGTAATAATTACCAACTTTTTTTTTCTCTGCATTGTATCTAACACCTATGGAAAAACAAGTCAAAAGTTATCAAAAATTATCAAGTTGTCCAAAGTCATGTTTCTCATTTGCATCAATTTGCAGAAATTATCTAAAAATTACACATCATGGACAAAAGCAATAAAGCAAGTTTATTGACAAAATTTGCATCATGTTTGCTTTACTTTTTCATTGTAATGTAATCCAGAATGGTTATTAACAATTTCAAACTGTACTTGAAAAAATTGAATTGTGCAAAGAGATTTACAATATTGTTTATTTGTTACATGTTTGTGGATGTAGATCGTCCAGGTTAGTAGAGTCCTGAAGGACAGTTGGTGTTGTTGTTGTTGACTGACCTTTCAACAACCTTAGCGGTAGTCATCAATATACAATGATGTACAGGATAACAAATACAGCTAACCTGATGTTTAATCCTCATTTGATTCTCAGGAGATGACAGCCGCTAAGGTTGTTGAAACTTCAGTCAACAACAACAACAACAACAGTCCTTCTCAGGACTCTACTCACCTAGGCAATCTATGTCCACAAACATATAACGATATTCCCGGGTTCAAACCATTTACTTTATTATTTATTTGTATGCATATAAATTTGAAAAAGCTCATTGAAAAGTATGAAAGTTATATACATACCCATTCCAATATGAATATTACAGCCTCCACACCAAATGTTGTATGGCATTTCAAATCTGTAAATACGTACAAGTTTTGTGAGTTGCATTAGTTGATCCAGCATTTGTCAAAAAAATATAGCTGCTCAATTTTAAATTAAAAGTACTTTCAGAAAAAACTATTGGTTTTGAATTTCTACAGAATATAATTTTACCAATGGACTTGTTTCTAAGGGGCTTAGAAATGTAAATATATTCCAAAATAACAAAAATGTGCTGCAGTAATTTATTTCTACACAACCTAGATCAATAACTGGTGAGTTGAAAATACTACACATGCAATGCCATAAAGTCGCATGAATTACCTGATAATTAAAATGCCTTGGGAAAGTTTTCGAGCTCTTTCCCGTAGAGGATGCTGTCCCACACGCTTGTTAACAGAACCCTACAATGAATTAGGTGCAGATAATACAAAAATTGATTCAGAATTTTGTTCAATCATACAGAATATGTGATTGAGAGCATTCAAATACCTTTGAAGGATCCCAATCTGGAGGGTAATATTTATTGACTGCTTTTCGTTCAGCCTACAAAGAAAATATTCACAGCATTACATAATAAAACCAATGTTTGTAACATAAAAACAAAGAGATTAAAAAAATACCATTTATAATAATTTCAGATTTAGAAAATCTTGTTTATTTTGTGTCTATGCTTTCACAACTATTGAACAAGTTACGTAAACACTGAAAACATCAAAGTTGTCCAGCATAGAACAAATAATCACTGCCCAGGGTTCCAGGTACAAACATACTGATCGCCTGTGCTGTGTTCACTTCGAATTTGTCTAATACCAAACTATCATAAACAAGTTTGTCTTGGCCAAGGCAGGAGTAGGATTTAGGAAGGATGATGATAATTGATAAAATCAAATTTTAGAGACTATTACAACCTTTCGTTTTTTACGATTTACGACATTAAATGTGTCACATACTCACCATTTTTTGAAAATCTTTCACCAATAACAAATATACAGGCGACAATTTTGCTCAGTCTTTCAATATTCGTATTTTCGACAATGTTATCAATGTCAAAATGACTCAATTATGATATCTGAGTTTCTGACACTGACCTGTATACAATTACCTAGACGTGAAATCTCATGTTGCAAAAAACATGGATCATGGCATCATTATATGGCAAATTTTGCATGAAAATATCAGCGGAGTTGCATAAGGCAGAGGCACAGGCTCATGCTGTTATAAAAAAACACCTAAAAAATGTAAGAATAGCAAACCAAAAATGTCAAATATGTATGATTGAAAATTGCTAAGAGCATACACAAACACCAATTTCAGAGTTCGCTCTCTCACAAATTAACTGAGAATTAATCTGAGCACGCATAGTCTACTCAGCTAACCCTCCAAGTTCATGGTCACGGCAACGACCAACCGTATGTACTAGTACCGATTAGAGGGGGTGATTAGCTCGCTCAGTCACAAATTTTCATATAAGTTATCTGCGCATGCGCAGTATGCATGAGCATGCGCAGTCGATTTGAGCAGCTGCACAAGTTCATGGTCATGGCAACGACCAACTTCATCTACTAGCACCGATTTTGAAGTAAATAGCATGCTTCGTAAAAATTTAATAGAGAAATCATCTGCGCATGCGTTTGAGCGTGCGCAGTCCACTCGACCAATTGTTCATAGTCATGGCAACGACTAACTATATGTACTTGCCTTACATTTGTGGCAATTAGCTCGCTTAGTTGCAAATTATCAAAGCAATGATCTGGGCATGCATAGTAGTGACTTTAATAACACCACAACTATTGTAAGCCTCTGAATTTATGTATATATATATATATATAAAGCTAAAACTTCATATAGTAGATGTCAACTAGCAGTGGAAGCTGGGTGCGATATAGTATGCAGTGGCTTAGGGGCCCACACTTCGGTCGCGACCGCACTCTCCTGCGTACCCCGAGCAAAGCCTATCGCAGGTGATATCGGGGTTCTGATGGGCGGAAGCTTGCTATTGCATCTCCCAAGTAGGATACCGAAATATCCGTACCGAAACGTTAACAAGCAAGTATCGGAAAGCATGGACCAAAAACGGGGTTTTTTGCTTTCGAATTTTATCTTTTTAAAATAAAATAAACCAAGCAATGCTTCTATTAAATTCTTCTGAAACTGTGCATTTTTATGACAATTATAATTTAACATTAAGCAACCTTATACATGTTTTATACAATTTTTATTGGTTTATATCTTTCTGATTTAATTCTCTCATTTACTGCTTCTCATGTATCACTAGCAAATCATCCATGGGCTTCTTGGAAAACAAGGATTATCTGGTTCCCTTTATTAACATGCTACGCCCTAATGGAAGGCATCTATCTCGGGGACCGGGAGGCATGGACAGAAAACGGGATTTCTTGTTTTCAAAATTTGTCTTTTTCTTTACAAAAATTCCTCTCATAAAAGAAACTAGAACATCGAAGGATATTGTAAAGGTTCAAACAACTTCTGCCTTTTTGACTTATAATTTAAACCAACTTTAAGCATGTTTATACGATTTTTTACTTGCTACCTTTTACCATGTAACTTTCTCATAACTCTCTCGTCATGAACGAGAGCCTCCTTATACAATATAATTCTCTCGTGATGAACGAAAGCATCCATGGGCTTCATGGAAATAAAGGATTATCTACTTTTTCATAATAGTTTCTACAAAATCTGGCTTCATTTTACCCCCCTGACTTTTTGTTCCAGATATATTTTAGTAGAATGTATAGAACTCAACGATTCTGACATATGAAGTGTATATAGATCAGTTGTTAGAGCTGATGTATCCACTTTGTTTATGCATTTTCGCATTGATTTCTTAATTTCTGCTAAAAGGAAATGCGCATGACCTAAGGTGGTGACCGCCGAGCCTCCAGTGACTGGGCTGCGGACAACCTTTTCATAAAGATCTGGTGAGCGCTTACTAGATGGCCTGTAAAGAGGATTAACTTTATAGTGAAAATTTCAAAAACTTTTTTACCACGACAAAAAACTTTACACCATTTCAAGATGAAACAACAAATGAAAAAACAGGTTTTGATAAAACATTTAATTCTACTTTCCTTCTTTATTTTGACAATTAAGTTATAACAATTTACGACATTGATTTGATGAAAAAGATTAAGTAATGCTACTACATAAGATTATAAGTACGTTAATTATTACTAGTATTATCTATTAAATACCAGTGGAAAAAAATAGTATAGATATAATCACATTTTTCAACTAAAATCCCATGACAAATTACAATAAATGACTTGAATGCTCAACTGTGGAAAGAAATTTCAAGTGACTTCCCAGCAACAACAGTAAGGACATGTTCCTTACCTTTAGGAAACAATTTAGTGGGAGCTTCCGGAAATGTCAAAACAATCTTCTCCTTTACCTAAATATCAAAACGAATTAGAACATCTATGTACACAAATGTCGACAACTATTGGATAATGGTTTGAGAATCATTCATGAATAGGTAAATTTGACGATTGAAAGACTCAAGTTTATTGAATTGGAACACGTAACAACGGAAGTGAAAAATTAAACTGCTTGCTTCAACCACAGAATATGGAATATACAGAAGGGTCACTCGAGTCTGAACCTTTGATGTTTTTGTCCTCACGCATGTTGTGCCGCGCGCATACCGGCCGCCATTATTCCAGAAAGATATTTATGGCTTTTGACTTGTTCCCATCCACTAAATGACCCGACGTCATTTCTTATATTGAAATATTTTGATTTCATTGTAAAGAAATGACGTCATGTAATTGCAGTGGTTGGAAACAAGTAAAAAATACTCTTTGAGGGAGGAACATATTTATATATGCATGTCTTGTCGAAATAAGTTCCTTTGAAATTCATTACTTTCTACGGATTAAGAAATGAACTTATGAATTTGTGCTCCCCAATTAACAAGTTTGAGTAAGAGTAACATAAAATTCCCCAAATCTAAGCAAATTTCGGAGGGAATAGAGCCAAGGACGCAGATAGGAGAACAAGGGTTGCATTAAAACTTGGGCATGTTAATCAGATCACTTTGAGTAATTTTCAATAGAACATAGATTCGGCGGAAACTAACTTGTGCAATAGCTGTCTTGATTGGAATTTTTTGTTTTTGTTTCTCATCATAAAGAAACGCGTCAGCATACGTGTATAATGGAATCACAAGTCCCAAGGATACAATTTGAGCCTCACCATGCGAAACTTGCAACTACAATAAAAAACAATCCTCGATAACTTCAATTCATGATCTTGCATGAACGCCTTTGCCTGGATTTACTGGGAAGCTTGTAGGTAGTTTAATAAAATGCTAGTGTCTAAACATTAAAAAACACAGCATGGATAAATACCTTTATGTTCGAACAACCATCGCTAATTGTTTGAGAAAAGCATCCCCATCCTGATGCGACAATAAAAAAACTCTTGAAGTTTTCATGGTTGAATAACGGCGCAAAATTGAGTTCTATTGCTTCCTCGCCAATAGCAAGAATGTCCCAACTCTAAATCATGAGGGAAAGCGTTATCAAATCTAAAATATCGAGTTCATTCATAGGGCCTAAGAAATGAAAATTTAGCTCGTTTAATTAAATTACATTTTCTTTGAAGACAACCCTTAAAATGACAGTGGACTTATAATACAGTTTATTCATATCTCTTTTCATTCTTAAGATATTGAAGTTTTGTAATGTCCGATTTACACAACCTAGTAACGTCACATTGTATGATAACTGACGTCACATTTTATGAAGCATATTTGCTGATAAGTTACCTTAACCGGACTAAGTTTCTGTTGTTGTTAATTGTTACCGGTATAAAATTCAGCGAAAACTTGTCCAGAAATTAAAGGATATTTATAAATTTTGATGATGTCATAGATTGTGTCAAACGGACATTACAAAAACTTCAATATCTTAAAAAGAGAAAGATACATGAATAAATTATTTTAGAAAGTTCACTGTCATTTAAAGAGTTCTCCTTGATGAAAATACAATTTAATTAGCGAAAGAAATCCGAACGTACATATAATTTACATAATATGATCCAACGTTAAAATAGTCACAACAAACATGAAATACATAACAAATAATAACTGGTATTAAAACGATGTTAAATTGGGTAGAAATACTGGCGAAATTATTGTAGCTCATACACGTGAATAGTTAAATTAAAAAATAGAACACGTTAACGTTAAAATTACATAAAGTATTATAAATTAAACAAGGTATAAAAAGAATAAACGAGGGAAATTGCAACCTATCACCTACCAATCCAGATCCAATATCAAGATGAAGGAACGCCCCCAATGCTCGACAATAGTGATCACCACATTCAATCTCGTTCCAAGGACTTCGTCTTGTTCCATCATATTTCTGACGACATTCTTCAAGCACTAATTGCAACAAATCAACTCAATTAATAACACTAAATGCAACAAATTAACTCAATTAATAACACTAAATGCAACAAATCAACTCAATTAATAACACTAAATGCAACAAGTTAACTCAATTAATAACACTAAATGCAACAAATCAACTCAATTAATAACACTAAATGCAACAAATTAACTCAATTAATAACACTAAATGCAACAAATCAACTCAATTAATAACACTAAATGCAACAAATTAACTCAATTAATAACACTAAATGCAACAAATCAACTTCATTAATAACACTAAATGCAACAAATTAACTCAATTAATAACACTAAATGCAACAAATCAACTCAATTAATAACACTAAATGCAACAAATTAACTCAATAACACTAAATGCAACAAATTAACTCAATTAATAACACTAAATGCAACAAATTAACTAAATTAATAACACTAAATGCAACAAATTAACTCGATTAATAATAACGATGAGGCCTGCACAAAGCTCGACATCTAATTTACCTTGACAAGCAGCTGGGAGCATTTTCTCATACAATAACAAGCCGGCAAAAGTATGCTCCAACCCACTCCATGCACCCTGTAGTAGAGATCAAATCAATCATAAATGGCACACGACATCGATAGTTTACTTAATGTAGACGTACACATATCGAGAAGGGGATTAACCGTTTGATAAAATAAATTTAATAAGCTCGAACATTAAATCAAAATACCTTTACAACAATGTTATTAATTACGAATTTCAAAAAAAATTATAGGTTTTACCACTCGAGCTGCTTTTAAAATGTTTTCAAATGCAAGTTTTTCCTTCCCATAATGAGCTGTTATAATTTTTATCAAATATTTGATCCGCCTTTGAACACCCGTGGCTTATGCCAATTTTAGATTTTTCCTGCAAACTTGAGCCCCCCCCCTGTGGTTCTCACTAATTTCAAGCCGAGTGAAATAAAAATTGAAGGTACGTACAAAATACATTAATTTCCTTAAATCGAAAAAGATGAAAAAGTCTGAAGTTCTATAACAACGCTGAATTGAATAAGGCAACGTTTAAAGACATAGTTTGCTGACAAAATACATTTTATATAGAATGAAATACAAAATCTTACCTCAAAGCTGTACAGTAATGGGTCATTTGGTACTTTTTCACCAGCTTCAACATCCCAATATGTTATGTGCAAGCCTGCATCCCGATTGTCATAAAATTTCCTAGGCTTCTGTGTCGCTGGAAAAGGATTTTAAAAGATTTATTTTAACTTCTTAAACAGAAAAATTTATAAAGAAAATTTGTTAAGCCGATATCAAAGTAAAAGATTAATTACGACTGTTAATATTAAATCTAACCTACCAGGGTCAAATTCCTCAACATGATTTCTTTCAAACACGTATTTTAAATGCGACCTGATATGATCAACGGGAAGCAGTGGACCAAGACCAAGAAAATATGACCACCATTGACCGATCAATGCATCAATAAATGTTCCTAACACGATAAGCAGGAATAATTTTATCTTTAAATCTATCTTCAATGATCACGTTTGCAAATGATTAAGATTACAAACGTATTTGTCAACGATTTAGAGCCCAGCCTTCTAGATGTCTAGCTAGCGTGACAAGGTGAGGCGAGGTTGCCATCTTGAAAGATGACTAAAGTAAAACTCAAAACAAAAGATTTAGAGCCCAGCCTTCTAGATGTCTAGCTAGCGTGACAAGGTGAGGCGAGGTTGCCATCTTGATAGATGGCTAAAGTAAAACTCAAAACAAAAGATTTAGAGCCCAGCCTTCTAGATGTCTAGCTAGCGTGACAAGGTGAGGCGAGGTTGCCATCTTGAAAGATTGCTAAAAGTAAAACTCAAAACAAAAAATAAGTTAAAAGAAAGTTCAAAAAACCAATCCTATCAAACATTTTAAAAATAAAACCTAGACTGTCAACTCTGCTACTGTATATCAACTCTGGAAAAGCAGATATTAGTCGTAAATATCATCATTGCACCTTTCAAGATGGCGGCTTGCCTCACTTGTTACTATAGAATTTCCACGGAGTCAGATATGTAGTAGATTGGGTTCCAGGTCATTGTTGTATTTATACATACCACAACCCAATGATTGGACTGGATAAAGCTGTGGTGTAACCTGTTTAAAGAGAAAATACGGATACTGATTACATAGAAAAAAACCTAAAAATAAAGTTTCTCCTGAGGTATATTAATATACATTCTGAACGAATGAATCCAACATAACTAAGCACATCACTAAATAATGATATTTGAAGAATGGGGTGAAAAAAGAACATATCTTTTTTCCTTAAATCCGTTTTTGTTAATTTCGTACCTCCCTTTCGTAACTCATTTGTTTTTAACTAGAGGCCCCCTTCTTCCATGACATCTATTATAGTTTCGTTTCCTATTATAGTATAGGTTTAGTTCGTGGACGGATTTTCTGGAGGGGGTAGGGGGTGCCAGCCTCAAAATATCATATCTCGCATGCATAATAAATTGTACATCCTCCAAGAAAAATTTTAACACCCACCCCGAATTTTTAGCAAAAAAAATCAGTATTACAGTTGAACTGAGATTTTCTGGGTAATTTTGCCCAAGCCACCCAATGCCCCCCGAAACCTAGACCTTTATTTTATCTTGCATAACTTCCTAACTAGCTCACACACCCCTCCAGTTAATTTTTCTGCACCATCCCTGTAAAAATTATGAAAATCCATCCAATGTTTTTACGACAATTAGTAGAACTGACAACATGGAATATTGTAGTCATTTGTAGACCATCAACAATCACTTACTTGTGTATACCATTTGCCATTTACAAAACAGTATTCATCAAGATTTTTTGAGCCAACAAGAAACCTTGCATGATAAACAGCAGCAGTTTCCTAACAAAACACAAAAACAAACAAATCTGTTTATTGTTTTCGAGTATTATTTTTATAGCCAAAAATTTCAAGCACATCACGATCATTCTTAATAACAAACATATTGAAAATATGAATGAACTTCACGAGAATAATTCATGATGAACATTTGGTCGACAGCACATCTTTACCATCAAGTTTTGTTTTAGATGTTTTCATAAACATCCAAGGCTGTATCCAAAGCTGGGATGCAAGGATAGTGCAAAATAAACGCTGCCTTTTCACTCGTAATTTGAGTCAACCATAAAATGTTTCTTACATTTACTTCATTTCACCAATGTCCATGAACTTCAATTTAATTTTGTTTTGTGTATCATAAAGCGAACATCATTGACTTCATGGCAAGCAAAACAATTTTAATACAACCTATCACCTATAACCTTAATAAATACTTATCTGCTGTTCCTCTCATTTCGAGTATACTAAAGTCACGGGCCATTTGTAATATTTATGTCCAATATACTGCATACAAATATATAACTTCAAAACGCTTGTATTGAAATTGTACCGACTGTTGACCTCTGAATGTTTTCCAAAAAGAAACCAAGACCAATTGATTCAATACTAACCATTTCGCCCATTAATTTAGCCATCTCTTCAGCAGCTCTACGAACAGAATAAGAACATAAAGAAGATTTACACAATACAATTAAACATGAAGCAATTACCATGCAGCTTTCCATGCGCACTAAACAAGCATTTACGTACTAACCTCAATGCACACAGATATAAACCTCCAATGAAGGTGTCGATACCATAGGTTGCACGATCATACGTACATGGTTGAGGACCAGTCAACAAGCCTGAAATAGCGATATAACCAAACTCTATTCAAATCACAACCATTCTAATTCGTTTATCTGCAGTTCGTTGAACCCAACCCACAATATTAAGATATGACACGGATCGTGTTTTGCCTAACGAAGTTTCTCCTATTCTGCAACAAATCGCAGCTCGGCCGTTCAATGAATAATGTGAAACAGCTTTAAGTGTGTATAAGCTGTAAAATAGGTACAAGTACTTCGAATGGACCTAAAAGTTTATACTAAAATATGTCTCACTATCAAATTCAATTTTGCAAAACAAGCCGCTTGGAGTTTTTCATAAACATGCATGTAGATTGAAACAAAAGAAGGAATGGATACAATTCAATTTGTTCACACTTCCTCCAAAGTGTTTGTATTCGAAAAAGTGACAAGCTTTAATTAAATCTATACGTACCTAGCTTATCTTTATCGAGTTCATTCATGTAACGACTCATCATAGCTTTGATTTTAGGCCATATTGTTTTCACAAAGTCTTCAGGAGCTGAATGTCGAATCTAGAAGAGCAATGTTGATCTTTTTACAGGGCATATTACTGAGTGCAGAAATATATCAATTACACAAATGTACACATGAAAACCTCCAGCTATACATTAAAAATAACCAGTCAAAATTTCCCGCCGTGCAATAAAATTTTAATGAACGTGACAATTATGTATGTGAAGATAAACCACCTAGCTTTAACGCAAAAATTCTGGGCAATGATATTACACCTATGCGAGTGAGTTTGTATTTTGTACTCAAGTCAACGTTTAATGAACAATTGAAATCTGTGATGAAGGCAATATTAACAACCCGCAACGGTCACGTGACGTGGTTTACGTACCTCGCGATACGCTTTCAACACCGTCCCTAAATCACCATCCAGACAAATTCGGGTTGAACTTAGGTTGACGACATTATCTTTATTACACCAGTTCCAATCTTCCCATTCTCGTTTATAACAAACAGGCATTGTGGTACGACTACAAAGTACAATTGAATGACTTTCACGAAAAAGAATGCTTTGCTTTATGCTCTGGGGGAGCTGTTGATTGGTCAGTTAGTCTATAGTCAAGCTGCAGACGAATTCTTTTCATCATGACATTACAAGGGAAAAAATACATACACAACATTATAGACTTGTACCTTGGTATGATTGCATTAGGCGCCATGTTGACTAGGAGATCAATGTTTCTCATTTTACGCTCAAGACTAGGAAAGCATCTAATACAAAAAAAAACAACTAGTAAAATACTCGACAACAAACGACTTTCATGTAAGAACTTAAATACGATTGATGTTAGATAAAACAAGTCAATTCCAACATATAAAATACCTTGCCAGGCCCATCTCGTAATTCAAGACATGAGTACAATTCATGGGACAGCAACCTATGCAAGTGATAATCAAATGCAACAGCTTTAAAAAAACGCATATAAATTGTGTAGGTAAGAAAACCTCGAAGACAAGAGAAAGAAGACCATTTCATGACACAAATAAGTACATTAAAAGATAACCTCATTCTCCGTAAAACTATTTAAAAATGTTTACCTGATTTTGTACTGCAGCCTAAAAATGGACAAAGACAAATTCTTAGTCATATGTCAAATAAATATTTCACTATCATTGTGTTAATTCATACCAATGCCCTCGCTCAACCTGTTCATGATGCACGCATTCGAGTGCAATTTGAAGTGTTCAAAAAACTCGCCAAAATACAGGCTGAACTATGCTATTACCAATTACTAACAAAAACATAAAATTTTTTAAATTCTGGTGATTTTTCACTTCAACGCAGAAACATTCAAGCATGTTATTTCAATTGTGGATTGATCAGCTCAAATTTTTAAAATTTCTTTGAAGATCTTTTTCCGCAACACCAATGCTTTCACACATGTCGCCAAAACAAGGTACTATTAATAATGTTTGTATTTTTGGAAATGTCTTGCAAAGTCTGAATTATAGTCTCAGCCGTCAATTAAAATGCGTACTTAAATCTTTACTTCCCAAGTATTTTAGTTCTTTGAGTTTTGAATATTTTCCTTGAGGTTGCTATACGGCAACGCTTGGAGACAAAGGGTTAATTTTGTCATGACTTTTCTTACAATATTTTTTAATTTTACCGTTAGCGAAATTTTTTATTTGATTGGCTCTTATGATTAGCTACTTCTTTGCTTGACAACCAATCAGAAGCACTTTCAAAAAGAAATTGACACTGGTATTTACTGAAAGTTACACTGCTCTGAACCGAACAGAATTGAGATTTTTTTTACGTATTTTATCAAATTATTTTATCAAATAAGAAAATAAAAGCTTTATTTTGTTTTCTTCCAAAATACTTTTCAATTTTTTTTTGTTAAAATAAATTTTAAACCGTACAAGGAGAAAATCACTTACCTTCAAAGCAGTACAAATTCCCATCCTCACACCACATAAATGATGGAGATCTAAAATTGAAAATTGTCGAAGAACTAAACTGATGCAACAAAAAGAGAGTTTTATGTCATGCGTATTTCTATTTGCCTCAAATCATACTTCATACTTCAAAATATAAAGTGCCTAAATGAGGGTGAGGGAAATAACTTGTTTAGTTAGATAAAATAAGCATTATATTTGATAGGTTAAAAAATTTATTTTCATTGACTTTTCGGCTTGAAAGTAGATGACTCCCCGCACCAGAAGTGACGTAAAAAGAAAAAGGAAAGTATTAACAAAGTACAATATTATAGAATTTCAATGGAAAATTACTTTTTCATTGTTTGCGATTAAGCTCTGAAAAATGAAAAAATGTCGTCAAACTGTACACCTGTGAGACATCTTAGATTTATATTGACGTTTTATGGGATGATTTGTAAAACAGCTCCATTGTTTACTATAAACCAATATAATGAAGCTTCATCTTTAATGCAAGTGTTGTCCTTTTTTATGTCACTTCCGGCACAGAGTCACCTAATTCTTGGACCGAAAAGGCCACGAAGAGAAAATTTTCTTTGTATCAAATAAGTTGCAAGTGTTGTTAAAATCTATTTCGCAATTTAAAAAGGGTTTTTTCCTGACCCTGTTAGGAAGGCCCTTTGAGATAATACGACTTTACCTTATAACAGAAAGTCTACCAGCAGCACTGTCCACCATATGCCAAGGTAGAGTAGAGTCATACATACAATCACGAAACGTACGAGTTAGCGTCGTCAGTCTTCCCAAATTTGAACCAGTGTACGTAACAACCTTTGTGTTTAAATAAACTACGTATAAGAAATATGTAAATTTATACGATTTCCATAACGATGCGTTTCCACTCGAATCATAAACAAATGTACGATACTCGCAAAAATATCTCAGGCAGGTGATTTGATTTTAATATGAAGAATTTGAAGACTTTACCTCATGGACATCTTTCCATATGGTGTTGTAATAATTACCAAGATAGTAACAAGTTTTGGAGTTCGCTGCTGGTGGTGACCACTGTCCCCACTTACAATACCTAGAAATACATACATGTCCCCCATTATAATAACTAAAAATACATGCATGTCCCCAATTACAATACCTAGAAATACATACATGTCTTCACTTACAATGCCTAGAAATACATACATGTCCTCAACAATAGCTTGAAATACATACATGTCCCTACTTACAATACTTGGAAATACATAAACGTCCCCACTTAAAATACGCCAATCGTTCCGTATCATACGCGTATCGTTCTCGTATCATACGCGTATCGTTTTATTTTATACACATATCGTTCTCGTGTCATACCCGTATCATTTTCTCAATATTCTCGTATATGGTTTCAATATAGTTTGGTTTCATCTACGTACACAAATATTAGTATAAAGTTTTCGAAAACTTTGCATTTACTGTTGCAACTGCCTATATCAATGATGGTTTACCTTTAAAACGAAGTTTACGCCGGTTTTAATATGCATGAAACTGTATAGCTCACAAGCCACAGATTTTAAGCCCCAGTGATTGGTTGATTGCAGTGCAGTTTATGTATAAAATGCACTGTGAAAATGTGTTAGTGCATCGTTGAAGTGTGCAATTGCACTGTAAATATTATTATTTCACTTATATTTTCTTATTATTTCACTTATACTGAAGATGGCATCATGAGAAGTCGAAACATGTCTATTTTAAAAAAACTAGTGTGTATATTAAATGCGCATTAGCAATAGTGCTTCTACGAAATTATGGAAACATCATTTACGACATAGCACAAAAATACGAAGTAAAGGTTTCCTTATCAGAATTGCGGAAGTTTGAAAAGCTTCAAACCAAACAAAAGAACTAGATGTTATGTTTCTCAAAGATTGTCTTTCACTCGGCGTTTATCCAAAGTTTCTCTGCTTTCCACTACCAAATGTCAACAATCAAGATAGCTTTGCGGTACGCAGACGATTATTACGCAGTGCAATCAAAAAGCGAACAAAGGAAGAACGGATGTTATCGAATGAAGTAACGAAAATGTCAGAAAGTTTAAAGAATAATCTATCCTCTCTCGACTGGAATATTTTAAGCAAAGCTCTGGAATTTATCTTATTTCCTTTTTATTGTTGTAATTTATGTATCATATTACTTTTATATAAACCTCGTATCATTTATTATTTCACTTATACTGAAGATGGCATCATGAGATGTCGAAACATGTCTATTTTAAAAAAACTTGTCATGTATATTAAATGCACATTAGCAATAATGCTTTTACGAAATTATGGAAACACTGTATATACTTATCCTTCGGACTCCCGCTATTTCACTGCTAACTTTAAAAACTCTTTCGTATTTCAATCCGTAATCGCACTCGAAACTTTACTATTGCCTTTAGTAAGACATGTTATCTCTAGCAGATACGACATAACATTAACAAAATTATTGCTAAAAATTTTAAAGCACTTCTTAAAACTATGCACACTAATACGATATGATTCGAAGAACATTCTCGTATCATACGCGTATGTTTTTCGTATCATACGCATTTCATACGCGTACCGTATGCTAACAAATACGCGAGCGGCACTGTACCTTGAAATACATAAATGTCCCTACTTACAATACTTGGAAATATATACATCTTTTATCTGACTTCGAGCAATAATGAAAACCGGCATTAAATACGAACATTCGTTTCGTGTTTGTTTTGAGAAAAACAGCTCTACGTACCTTCCTATCACATATTACAGAAAGGTTTTCATTTACGAAAAATTTATGCTACAATACGTACCTGTAGGGAAAATGCCACGACAGAACGAAAGTAAATGTCTAACAAAAAAATAAAATGTACCCTTGCTATTATAGTGAACATATATGTTTTAATGTCCATTAAAGGCAAATATATTGTATATTGCACGGTATAAGTATATTTTGAAATGTTAACACCAAGAAATGAAATCAGTGTTGAGGTCAATCAAAGAATCAATGTCGGATGGAGAAGATTCGGGCAATACAGTCACTTTCCAAAGGAGAAGAACATCCCAAACAGTTTGAAGAGGAAAATAATGGACACTGTCATTTTACCATCTATGACATACGGAGCAGAAACATGGGCGCTTACAAAACACCAATAAAGGAAGCTGGCAGTCACACAAAGGAGCATGGAGAGGAGCATACTAAATATCAGGCTAAAAGACAAGATCAGGAATGAAGTAATCAGAGAGAGAACCAGGATGAAAGATGTCATCCAAACAGCAAAAGAAATGAAAGGCAGATGGGCAGGTCATGTGGCAAGAATGGAAAACAACAGATGGGCCAAATTGACAACAAAATGGTATCCAAGAACTGCACCAGAGGAAGAGGAAAGCCAAAGAGAAGATGGAGAAACGAGATCGAAGAAGAAACTGGAAACACGTGGATGAGGAGAGCTAAAGACCGAATCAAGTGGAAGAAGTTGTGGAGGCCATCTGCCAGCAGTGGCGTGAACGGCTGATGATGATGATGATGATGAAGTATATTTTGTGGTGTATAACAGAATGGTGAAATAAAGATGAACTGTACAATGTACTATACATGTATGCAGTAACGGATCCAGCGTTCATAAAAATAAATAAAGATGAACTGTACAATGTACTGTACATGTGTGCAGTAAAATTTATAATATGATTAAAGGCTGAAGGCGACATTTTCAGCTTGTAAAATAAAACTTGCAACATGAATGATTGACGACCTCGCCAACTAAGGACGCTTTTAATTGGCGAAAGCAAGCTTAACACCAAGACTAAGCTACAAGGTAGTTAAATAAATTGGAATTCGACAATCAAATTTATATTACTAAATACCTCAGATTCATTGGGTGGAATTTCCCTGCAACAGCTGATTGCACCACTCCATGTTTTGTTTACCTAAAAAATAACAAAAATAAACAAATATCTTTAAGGGGTATTTGGACGCATATGTGAGCATTTTTGAAAATTGTTTGAACAAATTGTCAGCACCTAAAACTTTGCAAAAATGAAACGCCATAAGTGAAAAATCGCTGTATGAAGTTTTGTAACGTTGATTTTCCTTTTATGGAGCTTCATTTGTGCAAAGTTTGTCTGCTAGCAGTCAACATGAACAATTTTTCATAAATGCTAGCACATGATTAAAAAGTACCCTTCTAAGGTTACTCCATATAAATAAAAAAAAAACAAGCTTTCGTAATTACACGGTCGAGTATTCCATTTATTTTCAAAGGCTATGCTTAAAACACGCAAATATAAAGGACCCATAAGCCTTAAATCAATCTTGGCATTTCATTTTCTTTTATTTCAACGCATTTAAGTTCAAACTTCTCAGTGAATCAACTTTAAAGCTATTTTTACTCCGCCTTAAGAATCTTGGAAGAACTAAGGTCCGTACCAGAGTAGATGGAAAGAAGATTTTAAAATGTAGTAATCGAAAGTACTTATGTACTTGTTAAAACTAAAAATAAAAATTTCTTAAAGTTTTCCTCAACTTCAGTAGCTAATGAAATTTTAAGAACACTATGGAACTCAATCAAATGAAACTGGTAACTATCATTTCTTTCAACATCGCAACTATACAAGACTAGGACGGAGAAATAAGTTTAGCTGTGAGTCATTAAGCATGTATTTCGAAAGTTTTATCAAGTCAATTCTTACTTCAGAAGCTCCTGGCTTTCCTTTGCCAGAAAGTCCCTTGCCCGTAAAATCGCTCCACATTTTATCGAGATTGCATTCATCATAACAATCAGAGAACTGTAACAAGTTTTTACACATATCTCCTGTCTTGTTGAAAACTACGTAATGAAACAAAGACAGCTTCAAGGTGCACAAGAGGTACGTCAGGTATAATGAAGGATAAATATCTATAACAATACGTATCCATTTGAGGAAACTTACCTCCAATAGATAATTCCCCGTTTGTACTACATCTGCAATCGAGCTTTGAGTTGTTCATGTACAAGCCATAGTATCCACTACAAAAATTTCAAACAATATTTTTCCTAAATTACTTTTTGCTCGGGGTGAAAATGTTCACTTGAGCGGACAAAATTTTTCATTGTGTCAATTAATTTCCTTTTTTAACTCCCCTCCACCTAATTGTACATCTCGCTCCTAACAGAAACACATTTTGTACATGAAGCGAACAAAGTTTCCTTTTAATGTCGTCGGCCATGTTCACATGGGTAAACAACGACGAAGTTCCACTTGCGCGTTTTTATAACAGTACAGCTGGATGTTATCATGCTTTTATCATTGAAAGTTAATTTCAAAGTTTTTTTTATAAGATAACCAAAATTCCCTGATTGAATTTTGACAACCACGAGGTAAAGTGAGCATCAAGGTCCTGACACCAAACACACATCGTTTCATAAAGAACAGGTTATACACACATGGGCGTCAATCCTGTCTTAATTGGGGGTGGGGCGACCATATTCATATATTCTGCTATGCCTGGCTGATTTTTTTTCAAAACAATTTCATTTTCAAAAGAAATCAGCCTGGCATAACTGAATATATGAATATGGTCACCCCCAATTATCATAGGATTATCATGCAAGACTGATATGTCACGCAACACATAATCGAAAAGCTGCTACACAATTTATTGAAACAGTGTTTCTGAGTTTTTTCCAGTTACAAGAGAACAGCTATTCTACAAGTGAATCAAGGTTCACCCATGGGACAAGCACAGAACCCATTGGGAAAATGCACCTGTATGTATAAGTTGAAAAATACCCTGCCTTTCATGCAAATTTTAGATGCTTTTTAATGAAAATAGAATAACTCAAAGGGTCCAACGTTGGTACGACAGTCAAACCTGTATAAAGCGGACTCCTCGTATAGTCCCAAATATAATGTCATGTAGCTAATCTGTAACAATGAGACCTCTATGAAGCGCCGGACGTTGTGCGCCTGATAAAGGTTTGGTTGTAAATGAAAATTGAAATTTTATTGACGAGAAATTGTCGAGATAAAAGAGAATGTTGCAATATGCATGGCATTTACAATAAAATAATGCTACAAATTATATAAATAATAATAATTAATAAGCTAATCATAGTTCATTTTACCATGCTTGAAAACAATTTAAAAACACTCCTCACCACATATTTTTATATTCCGGAATGCCATTCGTATCCACCTGTCCGCCAAAGCTGAACAGTGTGTTTGTATTTCCACCAGGAGTGCCAGGCATAAATTTCTCTAATTTAAATTCGTAGGATTAGAGCAGCTAAAGTATGTTTCTTTGGAAATAAGAAATACTTAACTCTAAAATTATCCACCTTGCACAATACGTGAATTTTGTATATGACGTGCCAATTTTAAATTATTGTTAAATTGCAGTACAAATACTGCACGATTCAAAAAATTTATTCTTCAATAGTTTTAAATGAAAAATCATTATATATTCATATAAGCTTGGAAAATGCCGCATTTGTACAAAATGAATACGTATATTGATTTTATTCCATTTCAAACTAGCACATTTGAGAAAAATTCGGCAATCTAATACAACACGATTAATCAAATCAAATTTTAAAAACGAGAATAGAAGACAGCAATCACAGTCTTGCATCATGCATTTCAATAACACTCATAAAAATATTAACCACAAAATACTTCATTCACTTACCACACATGAACTCAGTTAGGCCATCCCATCCAACAAAGTTGAGAAGTGAAGATAACATTGTAACCTGTACTTAGGAACAAAACGATTTGATGAAACATTCTTACAGTAGTTAAAACATGTTTCAGTTTCTACTTTTAACTATTAAAAAACAAGAAAACACCTTTTTAATTATCAATATTCAATTACTGAATTATCGGTACAAAAGCTTTGCAATTTTCAAGTTGATTGAAAAGCCTTCAAATAATTGCACAAAAATCAACAAAACTGTAAATAACATGTTTTCATGGAGTGATTTTATGTGACATCAAGACAAAACTGCTGAAATGTAAAAGACACATCACCTTGAGCTTCTTGTCAGTTGGGTTTTTGACAGTGTAGTTAAAAATGATCATTGGTATTGCACTGTCCTTGGTATTGTGTGGAATACACGGATTGAAAGCTTCAAGATGCACATCAACAGGAAGTTCATTACTTGGTATGTCAACTAAGTTAAATAAAAACTTTGTTAGAAGAAAAGGCAAGCAATGCGTACACATACTTGGCATGTACATTTTTAACATGAATTAATTACAATTATAATACAATTCATTACAATAACTCTTAATATGGATAAGGGATATTAAGGGTTGTTAATTCAGTCAAAAAATATTTACAACCTATATCTATGTATCAAATAAAATGGATGATCAGATTTAATTTCTGAAAAATATATGCTTTGGTACATTTCATCAAAAACGTGCAAACCAATAAACACGAAAATAACAACCAAATGACTTTACTTCAACAGAGTACGATATTCATTAATAAAAGAAAGTTCCATTGACTGTCATTTTTGTGTTCAAAATATCTTCTCAAATATTGTTTTACATATAGGTACATTTTATTCAATTTTCAATTTTATAATCTGAACATTTAGTACATCTTTTATACATAACCAGCCGGCAGGTTTAGGGTTGTTGTATGAATTTCTGATCAATACCTACCTTTCTTTATAAATTTATAGTTTTTACAGATAGTGAAAAGCAAAATATTTTCATAGCAGTCCTGACCAAACTTGCATGCAGGAAAATGCCACTAATTACCAAGCACAACATTTTCAACAACTACCTTCAGCAATTGGGTATTTTGCAGTGATTTCAATTCTTTTTACACCTGGTAGTCGGTTAAGAAGAGCCTTGGATGCTTCTGGAACAACTGGGAAAGTATATTAAAAAGTTATCATTTGAGGAATAGGTTATAACATAATGCAAATCATTAAGGCTGAAGTTTGTGTTATCCACCAATTGATCATTTTTGATATCGTATAAAACTCAAATGTAAAAATAGTTTCATTACATATTCAAAAGGAGAAGTAATTAGGTAAAATGAAATACATTAAAGTACATAAATATAAATCAAAAGAAAATCGATAATCAAAATTGGAAATTTTGAAAGTTTGTGAACTTTTAGAAATAAATAACTTCCATGAAACCAACCAGGCACAATGGAGCTCCCATCCCCTTCAATTTTACATAATTTCAACACTTTGAACAGTATTTAGCATGCATGCTATTTAATTTAATGTATTTCTTGAAAATGACCTTGCACCTTATTGACCTTAAAACCAATTACATTTCTCAATTAAACAGTCAAGTTCAGTGTGCGGATTAGTTCAGAAAAAACGACATGCAATTTTTTTGACAAAAGTGTTTCTTTAGAGGCATAATCAAATTGATATTACATTAATTATTATATAGCGCTAATTGCTAAAATAATATTTTTAAATGTGAACAAATTCATATGATTTACGACAGTGTTTTTCATTAAAACCGCTGATTTTTGCACATCGTTTGAAAAAGTGATGTGCAGTTGTTTTCATTTTAGCTAAAACGATGTGCAAATTGCACATTGCACACTCTTAATTTGCACACTGATTGTATTACAGCTATTACATGGTAACTTACTATGATCAGTGACAATAGGGGCAGGTACAAATCCTTCACAGTCATAACAACTATTTGACTGGAGAACACGAGTCCTGGTACAGTTGGAGCTCTCATCATCAACTCTAAAGAATAAAACAAAAGCAATTTTCATTATTTACTTATGTAAAGGTCCTACTCATCCAAAACAAAGAAATGGGTAGAGCTATTTTACTTGTTGTGAGCTTCTCCTCAGTTAAAATCTATTTTCGCATTGTTTGCAGTTGTGGAACAACACATGGTAGCATTGGTACACATGCATTGAGCAGCAGTACACAACTTTTTTACAAGACAAACATAACAGGAAAGTCACAATTAGGGCATTACATATATATCATAGCCTTAAAGAGAACATGGCATGTTATAAATGTACCAAGAAACATTTTACAACCAGAGTATTTTAACAAAGTATACATACCTAATAGCAAAGAAACTGTGAGGTACATGAGCAAGATGATTGATCTCATTTGACACTTGCCATTGTCGTAATCCTCCATCACCTGCCAAAGCAATGCATCCACCTCCTACATAAAAAATCAGTGTTGGGTTTGAGATTGGCCCATGAACGCATCTATCAAAATACAACTAATGAAAGAGAAAGACAATTAACATAAAACAACTCCAAAATAATTGTGTTCCTTTCATTTTGAGTTCGAAACAAATACTAAATGTCACAAATTTGGCACAAAAATAATGATTAAAACAAGTCTACAAGTCTACTCAAGTACACAACTTCAGTACTCAAGTACACAACTTGTCAACTCAAGTTGACAAGTTCATATTGAATATTCCATATTTGGAAATGTAATTGGCAACATTAGAAAGTAACTTGGCAACCGCCATTTGAAAAGTTAACTGAAATCGACAATAAAACAATTGGCTGTTGCTAAAAATAAAAACAAAAACAATAACACAAAAAAAAGAAAATAGAGCAAGGAAAACGCAGAAAGAGAAACTAGGGAAAGTAAACGATACAGTACATGAAAAAAAATTTATCTAATGTTTGCACCATCCTATTATAACTTCAATAACAGAGGGTATATCAAAATATCTTTCTACGTACCTATAGGCCCCAGATGAAGAGTAACTGCTCTAAGTGCTTCATCAGCATATTTATATTCAGAGCATTGTGAATTCACCCTACAATATAAATCAAACATTAACTTAAGTCTAAAATTTGTCAAGATCCAGGTACGTATGCTCTAATTTTTATTGGGATAAAAAATTTGTTGACTTGTACACTGCATCTAAGACGGATATTACTATGGGACAAGTTAAGTGTGATAACAGGTCTGTCTAGCACTGTTAATTATAAGTTTTATAATTTTTGCATGTTCTTAATAAAAAAATTTGATACGCAAAAAGAACTTAAGTGAATTCTAATGTTTATTTCATGCAAGATTCATTTTTCAGAGATACAGCACATGTATGTTTCACAAATAAAGTCAGAGAGGCCAGAATTGTGCAAAGTTAATGTTTGCATAATTAAATTGCAACAAATAAAACACCCCATTGCGTATATACAATGGAATCCATATTTTGATACTGAATTAAATGAGGGACATACCAAATTTGCAAAGTATGGCTCCCATGTGCATACGTAAAGAACTTCATACTTTAAATTAAGGTATTTCTCTCTTTATTCCATATTATAAGTTTTATAGAACACAACACTCACACTTTCTTCAACTTGCGTCCATCATAAACAGGATTCTCAGGCATTGGTCTATCATAACAACACTGTGGATCGCTGATAATTTGAAATCAAAAAATTGACAATTTGAAACATAAAATCATTCACAATTACCTAAATTTTGCAGTACTTATTGAAGGAAACGAATTTTGGCTTAATGACTACTAATTATGGATGAAAAGTTATTTAAAGCGAAATTTAAAGACAATGATACCTAGAGCAGCATTCAGTGCTACTGCCATCAATATTGAGCTGAGCAGCTGTCTTTGTCACTTCTTCAATGGGAAGTACTTTTATGTGCAAAACAAGTTCATCTCTTGATGTTGTGCTACCATCAACTATTGCAGCTTGCCATTCTTCCTCAGTGCAACCCTTTACATTCATTTAATACATTCATTTAATACATTCATTTAATACATTCATATAATACATTCATTTAATACATTCATTTAATACATATAATATATTCATTTATATTCTTCTAGTCATGACAGAAGCTCAGTAAAATCCTAAAATGAATTTCTATCTTACTCTAGCATAAATTCATTAATTAGGGTACATACTGAGATGTAATCAGCTTCATCATCCAAGTATTGAAATGCAAGTGAAGAAGTCAGAGAATTGTTTACTTTCTCTTTAATTAATTTGCTTACATCAGCCCAACTACAAAAAAATTAAGAACTTCATGACTGTGTTTTCAACATTAAATAAAGGCTTAAAGCAGAAGCATTTCTCAAAACTTTAATCACCAGGATATTTTGGATATGAAATGTGTTTAGAACCAGAAAATATTAAAAACTAGCTTTGGTACCAGAGCTTAGTAATAAATAGCTTACAAATATATACATTTTTGACAGTTGCAAAAAAGCATGTAATATATTTTTCAATACCACCTAGAGTAAGAAATAAAAGTGCGCAAAGGGCAAGTAGCAATCACTGTTTAAAAGCAAAAAGCAGAATTGTACGTTGATTAAAGAACTATTGACATAAATCAAAGTACTACTGAGCAAAAAGTTCAATGACAGATATTCTTAAACAGCGAATGCCTTTATGCACATCTTAGAATTTCAAAGTGAAACATAAGAAAAATGAGGAAGGCTTTTTCCATATTTCAGTATGAGCCTAACCAGCAACCAAAAAACTGTACTATTCTTCCTTATGAAGCAGAATTAAGTAAATAAAATAAATTGTAGGATACATAAAATTAATGAGGCAGGCCTACGCTGCTGATCAGATCTGCCCCTGGTCTGCCTCTTAATTGCAATGTCGTATCCCCAAAATACCAGGCATATTATCCCAAGAAAACAACTTGTTTTATTACTTATTAGTGAGCAATATACAATAGAAAAAATCAAACATAAACATAGGAAGCTATAACAAATATTTTAATTATAAAAATGATTTTTAACAATGAAAATGCTAAGCAACAAAATGCGTGATGCGAAGCATTCACTGCGGTAGTTGGTGATCCGCCGTTGATGATCTCACCTTGTTTTATTTTCAACGTTGATAGAAATATTCTGATCTTTTCCAAGCACTTCGGCCGGATTTAGATGAACATTGACACGCAGTTTTTTGCTCATTTTAGCCCATAAGAAAAAAAATTCTACAAATTTTCTACAAAAATGCTACGTCTACAATGATAGCTGCTGAGCTACATCGCAATGTCACAATACAAGCAGTGGTCATATGATTATGATCAGTTACATTGTTGTTACCTAATACGAAATGGAATGGCATAGGTCGATCGATCCATAACCATATATCCTACTATACATACAGATATCCCAAGGTACCCCTAACATTAATATTCAAATCTGAACTTAGAAAGCTAGCTGGATTTACTTTTAAAATCTCAGGAGTAGAATATGTTCTGAGATTTGAGAACAAAATATTTTTTAATTAATAATAATAACTTTTATTTGTTGAGTATTACATGGAAACTATAGAAGTAAAAACAGAACCATATAGCGATCAAAAGCCTGGTAGTTCAGGTTTAAGGAAAAAAGTTACTGTCTTTAAGCAAGCAAATTACACGGAGAATTTCATCCAATCTATCTTGGATTCAATACCGACTCATGATAGAGAAGGTTGTGAAATTATCGTCGGCGGGGATGGTCGCTATTTCATGAAAGAGGCTATTCTAATAATTGCAAGAATTGCTGCTGCAAATGGAGTATGAAAAATTACTGGCCTAGCACATATGTGTCAATTCCTTTTCGAAAAATAGTAATTGTAGTAAGTGGGCTGGTAGTACAAGTCTGTACGGTACACAGTACTTCGTCTCGGTGATTGTCTCAGTATTTTGTCCACAATGGTTAAACTATTGTCTTTTAAAAACAATGAGTTTGTCAAAACAAGAAGCGACCAATTTTAAGAAAACAATAGTATGGAGACGTTATTGTAGCGTGTAATATCAAGGGTAACAGATTTGTCAATGTTTTCGTTTTATTGCGGTGTATGAATGTGACATGTAAAATGTGACATGTAAAATTTATCAAGCGAACTTACTTGAAACTACAAAATTCACAATGCTCTTGTTTTCATAGTATTTACAACAACAATATTAGCAGTGCTTATTGTCTGATGTGAATAGAGGAAATTTTAAGAGGTTACAAAAACTCTTCATTGCGCACATTTACTGGGTTGTAACGGAAAATATTCAATTTGCATATAATCAATATTTTTGAAAATCCCAAACCAATTTTCTCTTGATATTATTCAAGGTGGCTTCAATAGTTGTTGGTCAGAATGGGATATTTTCTACTCCAGCTGTGTCTTGTATAATAAGAAAAAGATCGGCTAGGGGTATGTTTTTTTAATGTTTATTGGTGTGACCACTCAGTTGTGGTACCGACTGTGCACCCTTAATTACCAAGTTTTCAAAATTTCAAACTTTCCAGTCTAGGTCTTGCATACAACATAGCAAAAACCGTCGTTGATATTTCATTTTAGTTGGAATTATTTTATCTGCAAGTCATAATCCTGGTGGACTTGATGGAGATTTTGGCATAAAGGTTAATACACAAAATGGTGGTATGTATCACATTTTTATGTACCTAAATTTTTGTATTTCCAGTTAGGCTTTTGTAGCCAAGTAATTGTTAGCATGATCTTGATCATGGTTTTATTTGTTCTTCATTTATTTATTTTTTCTTTAGCCCCAGCTCCAGAATCAATAACCAATAAGATTTTCCAACTGTCCAAAGAAATAAAGAGCTATCAAATTTGTGCAGATATAACAGTAGATCTTACTCGCATCGGGAAACAAGAATGGTCAATTCATAATGGAAAGAAATTTACTGTAGAAGTTGTTGACTGTGTACAAGATTATTCTGATTTAATGAAAGAAGTATTTGATTTTGAAAAATTAAGGAAATTTCTAACAGTGGAAAATGCTCCTAAGATTCTCTTGAATGCCATGCATGGAGGTAAATTCAGTGAATTGATTCGTTCTGTTTTTCTTTGGATAAATTGGAAAGATTTTATGAAAAACCACAATGACTTTATTGTAGTAACTGGTCCATATATAAAAAGAATCTTTGTGGATGAACTTTGTGCTCCAGAAACCTCAATAATTAACTATGTTCCAAAAGAGGATTTTGGAGGTACTGTACAATGGACACTGATGTGGATAAAATATTCACTTTCTCTAGAAAAATTGTAAATGTTCCTTTTCCAATTTTCATGTTAAATGATTTTAAATCTTCATCAAGGTCATCATCCTGATCCCAATTTAACATATGCAGCTGACCTTGTTGAAATACTCAAAAAAGGAGAACATGATCTTGGAGCCGCTTTTGATGGTGATGGGGTAAGTAGGTATATATGTTTGATGGCCATGGGGTAAGTAGGTATATATGCTTGATATTATACATCAAAAATTCTACATATTTGTCAAAAAATAGTGAAGGTCATCCACAACAATTGTGATCTCTTATCACCCAAAGATGTGCCAAAAACATCATATATGGAATAAGCAATAAATTTGAAGCAACCTGATAGTGAAGAATTTTAATTGTTAAAAAACGACACAACAGCACTACGTACATACATACTTTATTTTAACAGGATAGGAATATGATTCTTGGTAAAAATGGCTTTTTTGTCACTCCATCAGACTCCTTAGCTGTAATTACATCCCATATGAACTGTATTCCACATTTTGTCAAACAACCAGTAAGTGGTGTTGCTCGAAGTATGCCCACATCAACTGCAGTTGATAAGGTTGCTCAATGTAAAGGATTGAACCTTTATGAGGTTCCAACTGGTATGTGTTAAAACTTTGAACATTGGAAAGCACTCAGCATATTTAATGTTTTTCTCTCATCATCTTAATGTTGATGTTTGTTGTTGATTACATATTTTGCTGCTTATTGATAATTAGGCTGGAAATTTTTTGGTAATTTATTGGATGCAAACAAAATTTCCCTTTGTGGTGAGGAAAGTTTTGGTACTGGATCAAATCATGTAAGAGAGAAAGATGGAATTTGGGCATGTCTAGGTTAGTTTGATTTTGTATTGTTACAATTATGGAAAAATATTGATTGTTGAATCTCAGTCAATGCCATTACCAAAGAAACTGCATTTCGTTGCTTTTCAAGATACCAACAGGCTTCTTTTTTCAAAGGATTAATATCATTTTTTATTTTAGCTTGGTTGTCAGTCATGGCCGAGCGCAAAATTTCAGTAGAAGATATAATAAAAGAGCACTGGGTTAAATATGGTAGAAACTTTTATACAAGGTATTCTTTGATCATATGTATTATAATTATGTGCAGACTTTAGATCAAAAATGTTCAATCCTAACCTTCTTCCATGATGTAATGGCATCTTGTTATTTTTCTTTGTCATTTCTTCAAAACAATATGTGATGCAAAGTAATATTGAGCACGTGCAAATCAATTTTTGGGTTCTATTACATAGTTTCACTAATTATTATCTCCAGATATGATTATGAAACTGTTGAAACAGAAGCTGCAAACAAGATCATAACAAAGCTTCGTCATATGGTCAATGAAAGCAGTTTTGTTGGTGCCAAATTTTCTAGCAGTGACAAAATGTATGAAGTTAAATTTGGAGATGATTTTTACTATGAAGATCCAATAGATGGAAGTATTGCAAAGCAGCAGGTAAATGATGCCTTTGTTGATTCTTCAAAAACAGCATGGAAAAGATTACTGTCCATTACAATTTAGGGTGTCCGTGTAGTCTTCATTGACGGGTCCCGACTAGTGTATCGCCTCAGTGGAACAGGAAGTACTGGAGCCACAATACGAATCTATGTTGAAAGTTATGAATCCAATCCAGATACATACTCAATGGATGCACAGGTAGTTTTTCAGCTCTAATAATTTTGAAGTATGTAGTGTAAAGCAGAACTTATCAACTCATGAAATGATATTTGTTTTCAGATTGTATTGAATCCACTGGTTCAAATTGCACTTGAAATATCTTCTATCAAAGAAATAACTGGAAGAAATGCCCCTACTGTGATAACTTGACAAGCAAATAAAATCAATAATTATTTCTATAAAAAATGATTACGTTTCTTATTGTAGAATCAATAAAAAGTTCATTTTATACGAGGAATTTTAATACGATGTGTATGTTTGCCTTAATATAAATTCATCAAATTCAGTCGTTATTGACTCGACAAAACATTGTTCTTAACGACACGCACACCGGGTACAGTGGTTTGAAGTTCACTTCATAGTATTAAGTCATTAAGAGAAAAATTAAATAATGCCCGTTACCTTCGACTTAGTGCAAAATTCGATAAGTCATTTTGCAAATTTGCGTATTTCGCGGGCCCGCGGTGTAACGGGTCGGATTTTGATTGGGCGACTTAACTCATGTGACATGAGGATTGAATTGAAGATTGAGAACAGAGGAAATGAAAGAAAAGTGAAATTACTATGACGTTCTTATGGGAATTAACACTCACAGCGGCATCAATTTACTTTGACACTGCATGAAAAGGATTTGTTATTTTTCTGCTGTAACAAATAAATCATTTGAGTAAAAACATCAAGTAGAAAGAAGAATTTGGGACAATAAAAGGTGTACACGTAATAACATAAATATCAAATTGTTGGAAAATCAAATCGTTGAAATATCGAATTATGGATGAAGTGGAAAATATTCTTCATAGTGCATCGTCATTTCTGCATCCTTTTGGATTAGAAATTAATGCATTTAAGGTGGTTCATTTGAAATAGTGCATGCAATATAATAATAATGTAATCTGCATGATTGTACAGGTTTTGTTGAAGCTTATTTTTTTAACTGCTTCAGGTGGGCTGGTACAATGATGAGGTTGACAAAGTGTACGAGCTTAAGTACCCTTATGACACATTGGCCTTGTGTGTCATCAGTGCTCCTGACATGTTTGATAAAGGTTTCAAATCTTTGTGAAATCTTGTGAATTCACTGGTTCTTTAGATCCTTTGGACGAGTTTATATCTTCTAAAATAAAGAAACTGCATACAGTAATTTCAGACAAACAAATTGATATCATGTTTGACTACGAAGTGCTTCCAAATCGTCGACCAAAAGTTCTTGTTCAAACAGCAGGTCATGTATCAGGTGCAGCCTTTTATTACAGAAAGGAGAGTGTTAAGAATCAGCCATCATCATGGGGTGAAAATGCCAAAATTTATGGAGTTAGCATTCATGAAAACTATGGTGGTTGGTTTGCATTTCGAGGAGTAGTTATTGTCAAGGATGTCTTGGCCCCAGATCTAAAGAAGACTCCTCCGGTGGATGTATTGAGTGAAGATGAAAAAAAAATTGAAGTTCTTGAAAAATACAACTATCATTGGAAAGATTGGAGTTACAGGGATGTTGCTCCAGTTTCGATGAAATATTCTGATGAACAAAAACTGTACTTTGAAACACCTCCCTCTGAAAGAAGAAAACTTTTGGAAAATTTTTTTTGAAGCTACATATGCATCAACACACAAAATCAATTGCATCTCCTGTTTATCATAAAGATGTTAAATTTTAACATGGAAAAATATTAGCAGTTATTGTATTTAATAATATAAATTTGTTGTATTACTTCTTTACAATTTCATGGTTGTGTATTTGTGTGATAAATAGCATAAAGTAATAGAGTTTTTTAATGTAATAATTTTTTGGCATTTATTATGAGCTATTAAAAAGTAAAACATAAAATATACATATCAACTCGTTTAGAATACAATGATTAATATTGATTATTTTTTTGATAAAAAAAACATAGGGAATTCAACCTTTACAAATGTTTAACGAAACAACAAGAGCAATGGGTTTCACATCTCATTGTTAAATGTTGATAGTCGTCTTCTTTTTTGAAAAGAAGGAGGATAATCTTGCTGACCTCTTCCGCTTTGTTGTATCAATTTTCTTTCTAATTCTGTTATTTTTTTCTTTAGAACATTTACGTCCTTTTCTGCTTGTACTTTTGCAAATTGCAGTTTCTGGAAATAGGTAAAGTTTTAATGGCAGCTCCCACCTCCCCCCCTCCCACCATACGAGTTTTTTAACATATCAATAAACAAATTAGCAATAATTTAGTTTAAAAAATGTTGATTTCGAACAATTTGCGAAAGCGAGTTTAGTAAACTATAACAAAATTCAATTGTTACACTACAATTAAAAAAAATATGTTACAAACCTTGCGGAAAATGTCATTATTTACGTTGGTGCTTGCATTAGATACGTGTTTCATTTGATTTTTCTGTGCTTTCAAAAGCTTTTCGTCATACTTAAAATAATTTAGAAAATGTTGGTGACGAAACTGACGATTTTCCGAGGAGAGTTGAGTATATGATTTAGTATGAAACGCTTATGTAACTGTCACTGTACCTCTAACTTTAATTTGACAATTTCAGTATGGCTATCTCTTTTAAGATCACCAATTTTTTCATTCAATTGTCTGATCTCTTCATTTTTCGATTGTATTTCTTGTTCGAGCAAGGAGATCTTACGCTTGTCTATGAAACACAAAACAAAGGGAAGCTTGTTTGGCACAAATCCAATCTCTTTTTAATCTACTGAAATCAGTGAATTGTGTGGTGACAAATACTATAGAGAACAAAGAAACTTCTACTTTTTTATGCTACTTTCAACCCTTACGCTGTTGCTGCAAATTTTCTTTCATTTGTTGGACTTCTATAGTGTTAGCCTGTTGACAAGCTTCTAATTTCATAACAGCCTCGTCAATTTGGGATTTATGGCTCTGAAAAATGAGATGAATTATCGATGATTCGTGTTGTTTGAACAAGCAAACATGAATTATTCTTTTCTAAGGTACGTGAAATAAAGTGAGTTACCTTTTCCACATTCACAGCAATTTGTTTTGCATTAGCAATTTCTCTTTTTAAAGTCGCGTTTTCATCTTAAAATAAATATGAAGTAAAAAAATCAAATTATGGTTTAAGAACTAAAAGATGTTTACTGTGTTTGCACAGGCTTATGCAAACCGAGGAAACCTTCGAGAAAATTGTGGGAGATCTCGAGTTCTCCCAAAGGTCTCCTCTGTTTGCATAAATCTGTGTAAGTCAACATCTTTTATTTCTTTAATGTGCGAACTATAAAATCGGTGATTTTTTTTTTCGAAACGTTTACAAATTGTACCCTGTAATTTATTTTGGCTGTCCAGAACTGATTGAAGTTTGTCGACCATTTCTCGAAGATGAGTAGAACCTAAACGCACAAAATATTACTTAAAATGTCCTTCATGGCTTCATCATCATGAAATTGGAGCTATGTATAAGATGTCTAAAACAAGACTAAATTGTCATCAGTGACTCGCATGTTAACTATGTGGTGAACTAAGGATTTTTTAGATATTCTTACTTTCATTTGCTGTTTTTTCGGCGATTTCACTCCTCAGAAGCTTGTTTTGAACTATGTTTAGCTGCATCTTTAAGTTCGAGTTTTCTTTTGATAAGTTTTTCATAGTCTGGTCATAAAAAAGCAAAATTTTAATGTTTTTTTTAATGAATAACCATATGTTTGAAATGCGACAAATAAAAACCATCTTTACTTTTTGCCAGGCCAAAAAGTCATTAATAAATTCATCCAAATCATATTGCTCTTTTGTTTCCATAACTGCGAAAACTTGCGCGCTCTTTCCAACCAACTTTTTAAAATTTCAAAAGTGCAAAAAGTTTTTTCGGTACGAAATTTATTTCTAATTTGCGGGCTCAAATCACATTACCTCAAACCAGACAGTAATCTCAACCTTTGTTTAATACAAATCAATGATCTCAACCACTGAATTTCACAAGTCCAATTATTTATAACTGTAGTTGGTGAATACAAGGCAATTTTTAGTAATATTAAAATCATATTTCCACTACCACACCAGTACATGAATAATGCTTAAGAAACACACAAAACTGTTTCCAAAACCATGGAACACTTTGCTAACATAAAGGGCAAACATTTGACAGATTTTATCAGACTAACAATTTCTGGTTAAAACTTTTTACACAGAAATACATATTGAAATGAATTGATGATTCTACATCTATGATAATGAAAAATACTTCATTCCAAAGGCCAATCTCATAAATAAAAATTTTCATCAATATGGTTACACCTACATAGCGTGTGCAATATATTTAACAGAACAGTTCACAAGATTTACTCTTACATACTTTTAAATTCTCTTCTACTCCTTCAGACAATCTATACATTAACTACTGCTATGGGCATATTAGACTGCAAGAAAACTTTTTAGTTACCCTAATGGATGTCATTATTCTCTTGCACACTATCAATGGCCCTTTTTCACTATAGAATAAAAGATATAAGTAACATCCTTGGCAAGCTGGTTGTCCAACTAATCACAAGGAGAAATTACTTTACATCTTTAATAAGATTTAATAAGGATTTATAGCATTTTTGCACCATAGTATTTCAAGTATTCAGCAAGAAAAGTAAATTCATAGTTTTTCACCACACCTCTGCTCAAATTTTCGGTGAAGATGATCTGTACCCATATTTAAAAGAACCATTGATGACTATCATTATTTAATATTCTATTGTCTTAAAGATTCAAACAAAGACAAGTGCTTGTTCATTATTGTGATGACAGTCTTTTAAAAGACAGTCAATAATGTAAATACACCATATAGTAATGCACATGGATATGCAACAAGTAATTGTTGAGAGTCCATTGCTAATACAGACACAAAGAACTTTGAGGCAGACAAACTACACCAACCAATACCAACAGCACTGAAAAAAATTGCAGCAAGTCCTTGTAGTTTGATGACACTTGTTATAGCAGATAATGCAACCACAGGTAAGAGGCAATAACCCAAAATACTGACCACACAGCCTGCTGAAACACCAGTCATACTCATCAAATTAAGGACACCATACATGCTAGCACATCCAAGAGCACCAAAGCCATATATATAACCAAAATGGACCTTTCCTTGAAGTAGTAGAAGGGCACCAAATGCAAGGCAAAACACTAAAGGTCCGGCAAGGTCTGTGTCGTCCATGATATGGGAATCTGTTTCTTTAAAAGGATTTAAAACTGACTTGGTTTTCTCCCAAATGTGATCAAAGTTGATACCTAACTCTTCCAGTAGCGGTGGCTCATCCTCAAAACTAGTACTGCTGTAATTTTCAGACATATTCGGATATGTTTGGCTCATTGTATCAGGGTAGCCGTACTGTTGGTAATTGGGTTGATAAACACCGGAATTAGCATCAGAATTGCTTTGGTAGAAAGAATCCTGGCCATAGTTTGCTCTATATTGTTGCGAGCCATCGAATTGAGGATTGTAGAATCCTCCTTGATAAAATTCTTGATTTTCTGCGTAGAATTCGCCTTGATTCATGATGAAAGTTTTGATTTTGATCGTACGAATAATATCAAAACGAACAATGACCTATTTTCTTCTTTGGATTTTTGGACTTTCGGTTATTGGCGTCATGAGACGACATTTGGCGGACAGTGGCGGGCTAATGTATAAGCAATACTTCGTATAAGATATTCCTCAGTGAGTGGTACATGCATTGGTACAAGTCTGCCCCTAGACTATGTTTCTTAAATCTTTTATTATGTTGACAGCTTTAGAACAGTTTTTAAACTTTTAATCTATTGAACCCGCTCCCATATAACGCAGTATGACTGTTTGTATAAGTCAATTCTAAACAAAAAAAGGCACCATTTGTATTGGGGTACAACAACTTACAAGCACTACAAGACTAAATGATTTATATTATACGTTGTGAATGCCTATGACGTCATATGACGACGACATACTTTTTTACTGATTTCACGGCTTCTCTCTCGCCAAAAGAGCCCCCTTCTGTTAAATGTAGAGGTACAGCACTGGACAAAAACCAAAAAACGTTCCATATAAATCTGAACTACAAAACAAATAAAGGTGTACTTAAATCATATATAATAATTAATATTCAGTTCAACTTTGATTGCTGCAGAAACGTGGATAAACATTAATGGTTTATCAGGTCTAAAATCATTTTTACTGCAGCCATTATCAGAACATCTATCTTTAGATTATGGTGGTCGTTTTTTCGTTCGCTTGCGAAGAAAACGAATCCCATTAAATTAATAAATATCTCAGTATTGTAAAATATTACACAGAAAGATATAAACTAGCTCGACTTAAAATCTACCCTAAGTGAGCAAGCATTTTTACGAAGACTTCGCTTTATCTTCATCACGTGAAGTAGGAGAAGATGGTGGATTATTCCCTGAAGAAGTGATCGACTCATCCGTACTTCTTGATGTTTTTATGCCGTTTTCTTTTTTCCAAGATGGCGATTTACTCTTTGATGGAATGAATGATAAAATTCTGTATATAACAGTTAAAATGACACAGCTTAATTAATCGTCTCACGACACAAAACAAAAAGTCTATCGTCAATCCTTACTTGTCTTTAGCATCTTCCATAACATTGGTTGCCTTTTCCAAAATTCTCAAAATTTCTTGCTGTATAAAAAGAAAGTGTTTAAAAACGACATTGATAAAATGGAAGCGTTAAACTCTTCGGAAAAGCATAAAAGCACCAATATAAGAATAAGATATACATACATTATAACAAACTTACCCGATAAACATCATAAAACTTTGGAATAGTAAATGCAACAAACACACCTGTAAATTTTTTGAAAAATCAAGAATGGATACAAAGTATTTTTAGATGACATTCAAATAGAGACTGAATACAAAGGAAACATGGGTAAATTGGAACTTTTTCTCTTAACGCGACAAAGTATATTTCAAGGCAATGTACGTATATAATTAAGAAAAACTGAATAGTAGTAATCACAACTTACACATATACAACAATGTTGACCCACTGAACCAGTCTCCCAGATAGGACAACAAATGCACAATAATCAAAACCTTTGTGGAAAAAAACGATACAAGAAAAATATGAAATTATTATCGTTGCAATGTACATTAGTGCAAAAATGAAGTAAAGCAATTTCAATTTTCAAAAACTTTTGCAGAATTACTTTCTTTGACATATCATCACTTCCAGTAGTTTCTGTTTCACCTACCTTAACAGTATCAATTACATCTTCAACTAGCAATATGCGACGACATTCATTTAAGAATATTTTCAACGCCTGTGGCATTCCCTTGTCGCTTGTCTATACAGAAACAACAAAATATTCTCTAAAATATCCAATACAGATCTTAAGCATGACAAGTATGCGCGTATGAGAAAAACACAGTTAAATAACCAGTAACGAGATGATCAAGATTATATTTTGTATACTACGTATGATGTCATTCGATTCTTATCTTCGCCCAAGACGAGTTCCTTGTACGAAGTCCAACTGTACAACAGGGTAAACAACATATGTGAGCAAAAGTTGCACACATATGTATTCATGTATGCAAGTTCTACTAAATTCATTTTATGAGAAAACAATTTTTATTACAGATAACAACACAAACATATAAATGAGCAATTTTCGTGGCCAGCAACGCTACTGCAACGGCATAAGCAGTCTAAAAAGGGTTGTTTTAATATTGTAAATTGCGTCAACCACGCTAAATTTAGGTTTCAAGACTTCATATTCTTCATCGTGCATAGATGATACAACATAAGAAATTAAAATCGCAAAGATGGACAACTCGTTCCAAGGATATTTCTTTTCACGAGAGATACAGGAAGTTTGTTTGAAGGCAATGGTCATACTGTGATATAGATCTAAGAACGAACTTTCGCTAAAAAATGGTCGTAATTGTTATATCATGATTAAATGTCGAACTCACCGAGCCATAAATCATGACGTCGATATTCGTGTCCAGCAACTCCCTAATGATGAAAAAATGTCTTTACTCTCACACTGTTGCAGATTGGTAACCACTTGAGTGCATTACTATTCAGAAAAATATACCAAAATTTTCTTACTTGAAAGGGTGTTCGCATTCTGTTTTTGTCACGGCAGCTTTAAGACTAATTGCCAGACGAAACAACAACGTTGGTAATAAAGATATCTTCAATAGATAAGTGATCACGGTGACAACTGTAAAATGTTGAAAACTATACAATAGCAAGAGCAAGGAAACGAAAATTAGGCCTGTTTTCCTTGGATCCTCCAGAGAAGAATATCAACAACGGACATCTTTAAACACAGGTATAGAAACGACTAAAACGAGAAAAGACGAAACAAATTACGACATAGCATTTTCTCCATTTTGGAATAGCAAAGAAAAAAAGGTGCTGTTTAGCTAAGGTACCTGAAGTAGTACCTAAAGAACCTCACGTACTCTAAAACCTCATGGTAATTCATGTTACGTTAAAGTAGTTAACGTACTAGTAAAGCAACTTAAGAAAAAACATCAAAAGATCTTATGCGTTGAAATTAATCATGTAAACGTACGGTTTAGATTCCTCGCATCCGGGGACGTACGTCATTTTGTAAATGCTTTACAGGAATAATTAGATTCAGGACTCGAAACAAAATAACGCTAAAACATTCATAAAAACAGCACTTGAAATTCTTGTAAATAATTTATCAATGAAGAAAAAGATCTTTGTGCCCAATGGTCAAAAGCTGCACAACAACATTCTTATACAAAAACCAAGCATTTGTAAGGCATTTACACACAATCCTTCAATTTCTTGGTATACTTTTTTATAATAAATATTACGATGAAAACAAATGACTGAGTTTAAAACAGTGGAATTGTTAAATAATAAAAAGTCTCCACGAAAGCAGGCGAGAAGAAAAGCTTTTCCAATACATCATAGAACAATGTCTTGAAAGTATCAAACAAATGCGAAACTTGTGTGCACGGAAAAAAATCGAAAGACTCTGAACAAGAGGACGCGTGCATAATATTAATGTACAATATGAATTAGTTATGCGAACTGAATTGCATGATGTTCTTTGGGGGCAAATGAGCCAAAGTTACAGCACACTTATAGCACGATATTATAGTTCGCATCAATTTCAGTGACATCTTTACAATAGGAAACATGTTTCTAAGTGAATATTTCATCTAATCTACCTTCAAGTATGAAATAAAATCCACATAAATAAGATATGACAATACTTTTTTCATCTCAGTTCTATTCAGATTGTAATATTTACATAAATTGTTGTAAATGTCTGACGTTTCGGTTTCCTCTACGGAAACCACTATCAAAGACGGTCATATAAATACTAATGAGCAGCTGAAGACACAAAATAATGCAGAAAACGACTTTGAACAGTCACAAGCAAACGAGGGAGACAACAGTTGTGATGGAACAGCTGTTGTTTGCAACTTAATAGATAAAAAAAATTTCCATACCTCAAAGGATTGAATTTCCTCTCAATTCAGACAGAGACAGCTTCAATTCTAAAACGAAGCGAATACTAGGTATGTAAACTACCTTAATGAATATAAATATGTTTATATAACTTTTCAACGAACTATAGAGCTCATACCAGATTTGTATGATAATTTCAATGTTATCTTTTACAATATCAAAGATGAACATGTGCTTCTCAACTTTGTGATGTACAATTTGCCTTCCACGTTGCGCAAGATCGTTTCGCTTTCAAGTCCAAAACAGTCGTTTTCGCAAAATTATGTCATGGGGTGTTGTCATTCTGTGATTGCTACGAAGAGACCTGGTAAAGAGTCACGTGTTTCGAAACCACTTTACTTTGTCAACCTGAATGACAAGACAAAAACTCTGACCGAAATGCAAATTACAATTTCCAAGTCAAATATTGAATGCCAAAAAATCATGACGCAGATGTTGTTTGACTGCGCGTGCTCATATAACAAGAAGAAACCAAAAAATAAATTTTAAAGTATGCATGATTTTATGGATTACATAGATATGGTCGTTAGGATATAATTAATGTTGTTTAGACAGCGTTAATTGATAAATATAAAGTGAATTTGCAAGGTAATGATGTTTTATTGTAGAAGATCGTTCACGTTTCTCGCCTATCGCATAATCTAGAAAATTCTAATCCTACAGCAATAATGGAATCATGCACTTTCGAGATTTTGGATAATCTTTGAACTCTTTTCGATAATTCCTGTGTTTTCCTTGGGCCCATTGCAACATTTGAAGAAACCCAGCAACGGTAAACAGTCCAGCTATTAAAATAGATAGCCTGCACTATAGTACATCAGTAATACATAGTCAAGTTGAAGTTCAAAGAATTTATGAAAAGTGAAATTGACAAACGAATTTCGTTCTCATACCAGGAAACGTTTGAGTCATAACTGTGAAAAATATCCACGCAGCCACCTAAAATAATAATAGAAAAATACACGTGATAATACACGTGATAGTTACGTCACATCTCACAAAATTAGTACCTCGTAAGTATAGTTTGGACAGGAAACAAAATCAAACAATGATGTCATGGGATTAGATGATGGATAAGGAATTCTTCTTTCAGTAGAGCCTGAAAAACGAAAGCAATTGTTATCGCATATTGTAACATCAATAAAAAAAATTTCGAAAGTGAACGTTATCAATTCTACCAAACTACAATTTTGTTACGTAAAAGATAAACTAAGATAAGCTAAACGTTATTATCACAAAAAGGCTGCAAACCTAGAGGACGTAAATCTCTCAAAAGACAATGAGAAGCAAAGTTTCCGTACTCAGAAACCTAAAGAAATAACAATATCTATGTCTAAGAAAACAATAAAAAATTTCTTCATGTTGCGATTGGCAGGGCAACAAAAGTCTATTACAACATAGGAAAAGAACTGTGAGCAGGATGTATAAAAAATGATCGTGGAAAAGTCAAGAATTAAGGATAACCAACCAGAAAACCACCTAATCCAACATACACTTGAATGTCGCCAAATGCTAAATAACAAAATAAATGGGGGGAAAATGAAGAATTATTCATTACTAATGATCACTAGATCGACTATTTCTAGTTGTTGTTCATTTAAATCATTAAGGCTTTTTTCAGCCACTTTAGAGCCACAAATCGTTCTTCTTATTAGTAAAGTAGATGCTTACCTGGGGGTGTGTATAATGGATGATTAATGAAATAACTGATAAAGGCGGCAAATCCCCTGAACAAATGGTAAAAAATATTTATAATAGCTTCATAACTTTGATGAAATGCAAGTAATAAGAATTCATAAAAAAAGACAAAATAAGGTTTTCTGAGCATACCAATAATACGTAGAATTCTTTAATTTTCCAAGATACGTTTAAATTGAAGGAAAATTACAAGAAAACAAAAGCATTGTAAATATCACTGCAGTAATCTTCTATTTAAGTGCAAAATGAATTATGCAAAAGAAAAATTGAAGTACGCAATACGAATGCATGCCTGGATTTCATAAACACAAAATGCTATTTATACCTTGAATAAATTTTGAATGGGCATCGTTCCTTTAGAAAATCTGTGCACAAACAATGTTTCCAGTATTCTCTTCATATAATGGAAAGACCAGCAAGCCGCAGCAATCCTTCAATAACAAATAAACAAATATGTCTGTCATGTTTTAGATAGACGTGTCGTGTACTGGGGCCGGTTGCACGAAGCCTGGATGGCGTTATCCATTGGATAGCGAAAATTTTCAAACTTGTAAAAAAGGTGTTTGTATTTTTCTTACGACAAAGAAATTTTGTAATTTTCGAAACAATACTTTATTTCAGTTATTGCACAGTTCAAATTGTATATTTTTTATTTTAAGAGATTTTATGAACGTTTAGAAAAATTTGCTATCCAATGAATAACGCTATTCGGCCTTTGTGCAACCGGCCACTGGAAGTTACACGACAGAAAATAGCTTTTTCTTTTTCATGCTCGTCTTGAGTGATTTGACAACAAACAACAAGGATGATTATTTACACAAGTTCATACGCTCACTGCGCAAAATGTCCCGAAGTCAAAACGTCCCAAGTCTTAAGACCTCGGTAAAAAGTCAAGAAAACGTCTCCAGAGGCTGAAATCCTAACTCTAATCATAATCCCAATCCTAACTTAAGCCCCAACTCCAATCCTAACTTTAATCCTAATGCTAACCCTAACCCAAAAACTGGCCCGTGCGCCGGGGACGTTCTGATTATAGAAAACGGACACGTTTTGACGCAGGGACGTTTTAACTAGCGCTTGTATACACAAAATGATAGATCACATTAAATGTTTGGCACTATTGTTGTAACAAATTTATAATGATGCACATACGAACCATACAACAGGTGCTCTTTGTTTCAAAGATGCTTCAGCACCATATATCAATGCAGGTCTGGGAACAAACAGCAGATAAACAAAGAGTGGGCCAGCATATTCAGTAAGAAACACCTTAAGTAAAATATAATATATACAATGGCAGCAACAGAGAAAAGTCTACACGTGTGATATTAAAAATATACGTACGGTAGACCATCCTATTTGTGGACCTGCATATAAACAAAAATGCAACGTTGAAAACATTAACATAATTAAATGTAACAGTAAAGTTGTAAAATTTAATATTTATTTGCTGAGTTATAAGGAAACGGTATTTTTCTGGGCAAAGGGAAATAATCCACAAGAACATTGATTTGGAGAAAGAGAAGGGCAAGAATGAAGCAAGATGGAAAATTATAGTTAGAGAGATTGCCACTGATTTAATATAAAGCATGGTTATTAGGCCACCCCAAATTTACCAAAAAACAGAATTTGATTAAAAAAAAAAATAATTAACAAACAAAACTTCACTTAATAATTAACAAACAAAACTAAGCAAACCTAAATCTTTGAAGTACAAAGTATTTTCTTCAGAGAAGTTGACATCAGCAATGGACACATCATCTTTCATAGCCTTTCCTCCTAAATAAGACAAACTAAGTTTAAGAAAAACAAAGAGTGGAAAGTAAATGACACAAGCAAGCTGAATTTCGCCCTTCATTTAATTTTCCCAAGAATCCTTAGTTCCTACATCACCATGGTTAATCCAAATATTGACATTCTATTGGTGAGCCCACCACTATGGCAGAATCTGCATATATAACTATGTACAATAATATATTTATACATATATATACATACACACATACTTAAACAACTATTTAATCGAACCATGCTTTCAACTAACAAATTTGCCTTACTTGGCTCCAATCTAAATGATTGTCGACTTGGATAGAACTTTGAATCTGCCACATGAAATAGTTAAGAATGAAAATTTAACAGTTTTTGATTGACATTGTTAAAGAGCAGTCAACGGAAGCAACAATTGCTATTGCAGGATCAGTTTGTTCACTATGGTAACAAGTTAATCTATTGAAGTGACGACACTTTTTTTATGGAAAAGTATCATAAATTATATTAAATGTTGCATAGAAAATGTCAAGCAAGCATTGAGTTAAATTAATCATTGAATAATTCCAATCAAGACTCACACATTCAGCTAGAAGATAAATTATATCTTTCCTAAAATCATACTGAATCTGCCTTTTGAAAAAAATTGTTGTATAAAGGAATATAATTTTGAAAGGTACCACTACAAAGCACTAAAGCACAGTTTTTATGGCAAGCTGGCATGATATAGGAAAAGAGCTAAACAATAAATTTCCTCAAAATTAAATTTCTTCAACAGGCAATTCTATGGTTAATTAACAGTAAATTTTGGAATATCATTATGGAAATAATGTTCAAGTTGTTCAAAAAATTTGTAGCCATTATAGGTAAAACATTTCTTGTTCTTACATTTTTTATACAAATGTTGTTTGAGGTTCCCAACTGTAAATGTTGATTCGTTCTGCAACAAAACAAATTGTTAAAATCTGTTTGGTTTTAATGGTAGCAAGCAATATTTATGTCATTATGAAACACATACAATTTCTACGACATCAATTTCCTTCCCACTGCTTGCAGCTACGATTTTCACCTGGAAGATATACGGAATTGCAAACCAACTAATGTTTCATGAGTCAAAGTATGCATGAAATACACTCTCTAACAAATCTTCATAATAATTTAATTTCAGATCGTTACATTCTAGCACAAAACCTTGGAAATACGAAACACAATATACACTACCTTATACTCTTAATGTTGTTTGAAAATTGAATTTAAGATTCGCTAGATTTACTAGTTACGTACCTTCATTACTGGATAAGAGAACTTCAGGTTTATAGTTAATGAAATTTCAAAATATACAAATATTCTAGTCGATGCTACTTTGTCCCCAGAAACTCACGCGATGTTCTCACTTATGGGCACACCTGACCTGACTATCCTTGTGATGTACTATACTTTGACCTTCGAAAGTCGATTTGTATTCCAGGTTTAGTGGGTACTTGGGGGATTTCCGCTTGGCGAGAACCAGCAGATATCCAGACAGACACCTACCTTTGTATTTACCCACAGACCGTGCTATTATGTACAACGTATCGCCGATTTACTGAACAAATGGCACCACATATGGAGCTTTATCTCTAACATACAAAATAATGTGAAGTCACATTAATTTGAATGTGCATTGACAGAAGTCTGCAATTGAATGTAATGGGCATTAACCGCAATAAGAAATTGTAACCATATTTAAAGCCATTTAAGTCATTGGACATGTATGGTATCACTTTTAGGGCAACCTTCACATGGAATGAGATGTGAACAAGATCTGTGAATTCAAAGACCCATCATTAAAGATATTATTTTAATGCAATGCTTGTCAATTTTATGAGCAATTTATGCACAATCAACACAAAGTATTCACCAACATCTTTTTAATCATTTACGGCAATGAAACATTGACATCTTACAAAGGAAATAACACACAAAAGTTAACAGATTGTTTTTTAGGATGACTAATATTCATCGCCTTCTTCCTCTTCTTCACCTTCAATGCTGTCCACACCAACTTCCTCATAATCTTTCTCAAGAGCTGCCAAATCTTCACGGGCTTCTGAAAATTCACCCTCTTCCATGCCTTCTCCAACGTACCAGTGAACAAATGCACGTTTGGCATACATCAAATCAAACTTATGATCAAGACGAGCCCAGGCTTCTGCAATAGCTGTGGTGTTACTTAACATACAAACAGCCCGTTGCACTTTAGCAAGATCACCACCTGGTACAACTGTGGGAGGTTGATAGTTGATTCCAACTTTGAAGCCAGTAGGACACCAGTCAACAAATTGAATGGTACGTTTTGTCTTGATTGTTGCAATGGCAGCATTGACATCTTTAGGAACAACATCACCACGATAAAGCAAACAGCAAGCCATGTATTTACCATGTCGAGGATCACATTTTACCATCTGATTGGCAGGCTCAAAGCATGCATTGGTGATTTCAGCAACAGATAGCTGCTCATGGTAAGCCTTCTCAGCAGAAATCACAGGTGCGTATGTGGCAAGAGGGAAATGGATACGTGGATAGGGAACCAAATTGGTCTGGAACTCAGTTAAATCAACATTAAGAGCACCGTCAAAGCGAAGAGATGCAGTAATGGAAGACACAATCTGACCAATCAGACGATTCAAGTTGGTGTAGGTTGGTCGCTCAATGTCGAGATTTCTTCTACAGATATCGTAGATGGCTTCATTGTCAACCATGAAGCAACAATCAGAATGCTCAAGAGTGGTATGGGTTGTCAGGATGGAGTTATAGGGCTCAACAACAGCAGTGGAAATTTGTGGGGCTGGGTAAACCGAAAACTCAAGCTTTGACTTCTTGCCATAATCAACAGAAAGACGTTCCATGAGCAAGGAGGAGAATCCAGATCCAGTACCACCACCAAATGAATGGAAAATAAGAAATCCTTGAAGACCAGTACATTGGTCCGCCTATGGTAAAAGACAAAACAAGTAGGACAAGAGAATAACCACATTATGTAGTTAACTGAAAACAAAGTGCAACACCTTGCCAAGGCCCACATGGGATGGGGATGGTTTGCAGAATATGCACTAACATTTCATTTTCCTCCCAAAATTTGAGTGGCGCGAAATAGTATGCGCGTTAAATTTAGTGGAATGTTACTAAAATCTTGTTAATTTTTTCTTTTCAGTGAAATTATTGGCTTTTACAAACAGCAATTCTTCGGAATAAGTTCAAAGACACTTAAAAAAATAAATTTCCGATTTCGCTCTGTAATACACTTTAGTCCGTTCGTTGCGCAACATATAGATCGAGGATTGCAAAGTACAAACTTTCCAGTCCAAAATCTGAAATATTCTAGAAAAAACAGCTAAGTTCTTGAAGAATAACAATTAACTATACGACGAATAGAATAGGGTGTCCATGGCATACGAATAAAAAATACTTCTTACTAACCAGCTTTCGAATTCTGTCGAGCACGAGGTCAATAAGTTCTTTGCCAACTGTGTAATGGCCACGAGCGTAATTATTGGCGGCGTCTTCTTTACCGGTGATAAGTTGCTCTGGATGGAACAGTTGACGATATGTGCCAGTTCTAACCTCGTCTGAAAAGATATAATGCAGTTCAATTAAAGAATTTGGGTTATTTAGTTTTTAAGCAAAGTGGTTGACGAAACGATTTAAAAAAATATGAAGGGAGCGGCCTTCAAACTTTCAAGCACGCAAACACAATTATATTGTCTTGTCGTGCTAGTAATATTGACAGCTTTTAACGAAGATAAATTACTATACCAACAACAGTAGGTTCAAGATCTACGAACACAGCTCTTGGGACATGTTTTCCTGCCCCAGTTTCACTGAAGAACGTGTTAAACGAGTCATCTCCTCCGCCGATCGTTTTATCACTAGGCATCTGGCCATCGGGCTGAATTCCGTGCTCTAAACAGTATAGTTCCCAACACGCGTTGCCCATTTGGACTCCGGCTTGGCCGACGTGGACTGAGATACATTCACGCTGTAAGAAAATTCGTGTTAAATCAACGAAGGAGAAACGCTTTGATGAATGACAAAAAATTTTTAATTGCCATTCGCCATTGCTGTAGGGTTGTGAAAATACAAAGAGAAAATTTGATGTTGCAATTTACGATAACAGTTCAAAAATAATGCATTTAGAAACATGCTTTGCTAACGCACAATGTAAAAATAAGTACTTACCATTTTTGAAAGTTAAGAAAGAGTAGTTTTTGCAACGCGCTTAAAGTGACGACGCTTCGCAGTTAGCTTTCAGTTCTGAAAATAACGGAAAGAAAAGGGCTTGGCTTTTCAAACATTAAACTTGAATGTTGTCATGACAACCTTGTTTCTATTGGCTCCCGTTCATAATTGTAACCATGGTTATCACCTGCAGAAAAAAAAGATATCGTTCGCAGGCTCAACTCATAATGAAATAAAACCTGCATTGCAAAATTATACAAAAGTTACTTAGTAACTTGTAAAGGGTGCACCACACCGCTAAATATTGTACAGATTAGACCCTGCCACTTGCAGAAGGATAGGATAGGAGTAGTACCTATGCTAAAGACTCTTAGGCTCGTTTTTGCTTGCGAAGGAGCCCGTTTTTTACTCGTACAATGCAAAAATTTTTGTGTTCAATAACTGGAAAAACAATGAATCGATTAAATTTTCTAAAGAAATAGAAATTTTGTTGAAAATTTTGCGTTTTTGTATTAAAAGATAAGGCTGGCTTCGCCTCAGGTTTATTGTGGTCTTGTTTATATTGATTAAACTACTGAGCGGTCAATAGCACACATTTTTTCCAGTTTATTCGTAGAAATCAAAATCAGTGCTCGCTAGCTGGGCTCTTTTTTGTAAATTATCTATAGGCGTTGTGAAATGCAAAAATAATGAAAAATAAAAATTACAAAAAATACCATTAATTAACAAAAAAATACATTTAAGAAAAATAAATGATAATAAATAATTGATAGATTTAAAACATTCTAAATTAAATATTGAAATCTTTGAAACTTTTGTCCATAGTATAATTTGAAATGGAAGCCAAGTAGTATTGACCACAGCTTGCAACTTATTACGGTTTCAGGTTTCGACACCAAAGCACTCAAATTGCAAATCACCTGATGCAGTCAATCAATCAGCAGAGATAGACCCATCTTCAAGAAGACATGGCTTTGCAGAATATCGACATAAATTTCAAATATGCATTGAATGATGGAAATTATATTCCTGTATTTGGTCTAGGTGTTTATCAAGGATCCAGTGATGATGTTGCTGCGACAACCAACGCAGTGTATTATGCTTTGCAGAACGGATACCCTATGATTGATACAGCGCAAATGTACAAGTGAGTATCCCAACTGTTCATCATCTTTACATTGTTTCACAGATGCTTGCTTTTTTATTCAATTGTTTTTTTGCGCACATGGCGAGAGCACAAAAATTGTTGCATGCAAGATACTTTGTAGTTCGGAATTGCACTAGAAATTATATTCATGGTTATAATAAAGATACAAAGTTGTTTCACTTTTGCTTTTATTTATTAAATTAATTTGTTGGTTTATAAAATGTTGCATCAAATAATATTGACAAATGAGTAAATTAGAAAAATGCTTTGATATCTATTGACAATGGCACTATATTTTAAAGTTAAATTTGGTCAAAATACTATTGTTTGGAATTATGTTGATTTGACTTCTTTTGGATTGGGTGGCTTCCTCATTCATATATTACTTGTTTGTAAAGCATTTTGTTGATTTTCTTCTTCAAATAGAAACTCTTTCTTGCCATTTGTTGTAGATATGTTTTTTCAAATGGAAAAGGAGTTGCCAATCAAAACTTTTTAATCCTACCCTTTTTGAACTTTTTTAAGTCTTACAATGCTAGTATATTGAAAGCTATAAAAAGTATCCATAAATGCAAGTTGTCACTTCTATATATGCCTACATTTTATCGTAGATGTGTGATTGCAATACCAGCTTCCAGTTTGTGTTTTCATAAACATGATTTTTATCTTTGTCCAAGAATAGCGTAACTCTACCCAACTATACATACCTACAGGTGATATATGAGTCATAAATACTGATCTTTTGAAATATAATAGTACAAATAGTCTTACAAGTAGGATTGATTTATTCATATCATTGCTTTACAAGAAAAATGTTTGAATTTCTGTTTTTTTCTCATAGCAATGAGGAATTAGTTGGTGAAGGAATAAAGAAATCAAAGAAAAAAAGAGAGCACATCTTTGTTGTGACAAAACTTTGGGAACAAAATGGTTTTGATCATTGTATGAAGTCCTTTGATACTAGTCTAAAACGGTACTCAAAGACACTTCATTGACATAAATATATCGTGTTGCATGTTTGTAAGTGTAGATTAACTAGGTTTGTGTAAGGACTGTGGGTCTGTTTTGATTGATGTTTTAACATCTTTTGCTGAAGTCTAGTGAAGAAAGAACAATGCTCTTAACTATAGTGTGTTGTATTTCCATGAATTAACAATCAAAATCTTTTGTTTTATTTGCAGTGAATTTTCGCAACTCTTATAGTTTGAGTTTCTCTATAGGTTGAATATGGAATATGTAGATCTTTATCTTATGCATCGACCAGCAGGTGATAAAATTCTAGAAACCTATGATGCCTTTGTTGAATTAAAGAAAAAAGGTCTGGCAAAGTAAGTTGATCAGTTTTGTAAATATAGTTTAACAGTGAAGTTACATACATAATGCTTTCACCATATTTACCCTTCTATTCCTATGGCAATTGTTTGTTTAGTTGTTGTGACATGCCTACTGTTTCCTTATATTATTTTTACGAATTGATTTTGTGAAAAGGGTATAGCAGGCTCCTAGACTGTATTATGTATCATTATGATGATCTCTCTAATTCATGTAATCTTCCAAATTTTTGTGGCATAGATTATAGGTGTGGCGCTATTGTTGAGAATACAACGAAATTTGAAGTCTCTCAAATGAAGTTACGACAGCGTTCGTTGTCTTGCGTTTGCGTGCGCTTGCGGATCTATAGTTGCATTCTCTGATATGTCTGTAGCCTAAATGTGGTTTATGCTGAATTATCTTCAGCATACAGTCTGGATGTAGTGCACATTGATTGACGGCCGTGTTTAGTAGAACTGTATATTTTATAGATCAATTGGTGTATCCAATTTTAATATTGATATGCTTGAAGGCTTGCGTAGAGCAGGCAAACCAACGCCAGCAGTTAATCAAGTAGAAATTCATCCATACATGAGAAGAGAGAAGCTTGTTGCGTATTGTCGAGAACATAACATTCACGTCACTTCGTATTCCCCTTTAACTAAAGGCAAGAGGTTGAAGGAACCAGATATGATCGCAATTGGCAAAAAGTAAGTTTTTTTAGAGAGTGTGACTTATAAAGGACACAAGAAAAGATAGGAGGATTTCATTTGGAGTTTGTGTTTCGTGGTGCCATCTTGTTTTCATTTTGACTGCTCCATTACTCTTCCATTCTCCATATTCCATAATCTCTATGCTTTCCACCACGTCATCTTCTATCACTCCCATGTTCGTTCTATCATATCATATCCCTCACCATATCCATCCACCTGCATGGCCTTCCTCTTCTTCTTTGCTTTGGCACTACCGCAAGATCCTTATCTTTCCTCATTACATGTCCAATCCAAACCACTGCAGCCTCGCCTCTTTCAATTTTTTTCCGATCCTCGTGATTTTTGCAATTTTGCAAAATATTTCGTATTTCTGGCTGCCATCTTCGATACAAAATTCCTTTGATAAATTTGGTAGAGAAAATGCATTAGAATAATTTATTGCTTTTATTGCGATAAAATATTTTTGCATGGATGTACTTAGTTAAAAAAAACACAAGATATGTCGAACATGTTTGATATATTGTTTATTTTTAAGGTACAACAAGTCTGTCGCACAACTTTTTATCCGCTGGTGTGTGCAGTCTGGATTTAGTACAATTCCCAAATCTTCGAATGAGAAGCGCATTATAGAGAATTCACAAGTGTTTGACTGGCGAATAAGCGATGAAGACATGAAAGTTCTGGTCAGTTTTTAATAATATAAAACAACGTGTGCATTGTCTTTTGTTTATTGGTGAAGAAGTGGATGAAAAATTTAATGAAAATATTTTTTGATCCGTTGTATTTAAATCGATTGAATCAAAACTTTATGAAATAAGTAATCTTAAACACGTGCATTGGAAATCAAGGAATTAGAGTGAATATCTGTTTCGTCAATTGGGGGCAATTATTTATAAATAGTCCGGAATAATTTGTCAATGAGTTTCAAAATCAAATTGTACTGGCAGTAACGATTCAGCCAGCTCGTTTTCACTTGTTTTATGTTTTCTTTGGATGTCGAATTGGCAGCCGGATTCACCGTAATACATTAATATGTTTCCAAGAATTTGTCAACAACTAGAAATTATCTCCTTTCGTGACTCGTGAAAATTAATTTCATGAAACAAAGCATTCCTTTTGTTGCGCATTTGTACATAAACATAAACGCAATCCATTCGGTAAACTATGTTGCTAACTTTATGTTGAATTCTTGTGATTTCATATTTATATAGAATGCCCTTCCAGAAGAGACTTGCATTGATAAGTCGACGGTCATCTACAATATTCATGATGTGAAGCCTACCTGGTAGTTGAACGTAATATGTTTTAATTATAGTTTAACCAAACTCGAAAGAAAAATACTTTCTAATCAATCATAATGTGTGTATGTTCGCCAAATATCTTGTTAAATAGAGTTTCTATATTTTAAAACGAGGATTGAACTTAGTGATGACGAGAGCTCCTCCCTCATATACAGTAATAACTGCCCTTGCTATTATAAATACATCGATACGTTGTAAGGGGGGGCACTGAAACTATCAAAACAAGTAAGGGAGCTTCCCCCCGCTCAAGTATCGAAAGGAAGATGTTTTGCTAGGATTCTGATGATGCACTGATTACACGCTTCATGTTTTTTTTTCTTAAAGAAACAAAATAACTTAGAAATCCGTGGTGTCAATTTTTTCTTACGAAAAACTATACCATGCATTGATAATTTTGAACATAAAGGTGATGTCTTTTTAAAGTTTTATATTGATGGGATTGAACCGTTTTTATCGACCCACTTCATTTTGCAGCCATGTGATCATTGTCAAGACCATCTATATATGTTTACATTACCACACCTACAGGTGATGAAATTTGTTGCAGATGCTGATGAGTGTGTAAACGGAAAGACACTTTCTTGTTAAAATGACAACGTGCATTTTAATTTGATTCCTAAAATTGATGAAATTGTGTCATGCAAAAGTACAATCAATTACGTAATTTACAATCCAATTAATTCCCTTCTCTATCTGTAAAAGTGTCTAAATAATCTAATGGTAAAAGAGTTGAAAATACTTTAAAAATGAGTAAAAAAGATGCTAAAAATGAGTAGAAGTATCAATTGGCTTTTTCGTCTAATTCTTCTTTTTCGTTAATCTTCTATGAGAAAACATAATTTATGAATTATGAATTACTCAATAACTCAATAAGACTTGTAAAATAATTACTCTATGCGATGTGTTCGCTGAGTAACTAACTCGTGTCACGTGAGCAGATGGTTTGTAAAAAAATATATATTTGCACCGTTCTAAGCATTGATTTACGCCATTTCTTTAAAGATCTCATTTTGATTTTTCAGTGAGCTGGCAAAAGAAGAAAAGCATGGTAAAAGAAGCAGCCGTATGCGATACCACTGACTGTGTACAATGAGGTCACAGAGCGAGAGAACATTTGTGTTCTTACTATTATGCGAAAGTGTTGAGTCAACTGAATCCTGCCTTTTCTAAAACCATGCTAAAATTGCTCTGTAACACAAAAACGAACAAGAAATAGTTTTTTCGTAAAACTATAAAACAGGGTTTTCCTAAAATTTTCCCAAAAAAGTACGTTCTACTAAAATCTGACCATTTAATGTAAAGCTGCCGTTGTGATACTTTAAAATTTAATTAAGGCATTGTCACACTACGGGAAATTAACATTGATCCATTTCACCGTGCATGTTGGTGCTGAATATTTAATTCTATAACTAGCTCAAATTAGCCATTTCGCTGGCTGCCATCATGGTATGGTAATCACATGCTTACTAAGATATACGTCTCATAAGAAGATCTAGAATGTCTGAGCTCGGTTGCAAGAAGCCTAGATAGCGTTATTCATTGGATAGCACTGAATAACAACAATTTTATAACTTGTGAAAAAGGTGTTTATACTCTCCTAATGACAAAGAAATTCTGTAATTTTCGAAGCAATATTTTATTTTTGGGATTGCCTAGTTCAAATTGTATATTTTTCTTTTTTAAGACATTTTTTAAACGTTCAGAAAAATTTGCTACCCAGTGGATACAGCTAGTCGCCCCCCTGATTTCAATAAAGGCTACTTCGTTATACCCACCAGGGGCGGATTGAAACTACGTCACATTCAGCACGCGACGTAGTTAAATTCTGCACAGCAGCGGAAAAAATTAATCAAATTTTAAATACCCTTAGCTCAAAAAAAAATCAATTTGCAGGAGTTGGAACGAAGCTCGTTTGGTCGAAACGATCAAGAGGAAATTTCTATGCGTCGTTTGCAAGTTCCAATCTCGTCTCGGTAGGGTGTAGTTTGTTTCGATGTGTGGATAATGATCATGAATTCTTTATCCTAAAATCAATTAAACTTTTTGTGTCCTCACAACGAAAGCATTAGAAAAATAAACTATTGTCAGGGTTAGGGATAGAATTATGAGAAATTTGTGCAACAACGTGCATTCACTGAACAATGTTATTGTTTCCAAGACCTGGATTAAGCATGGGATTAAGGAATCAAGTGGCTAAAAATTCTTATAATTCACTTGCGGGAGAAATACCCATAGCTAACCCGCACAGAGTCAGCACGCCTAAAATTGTGCTGAATTTGGAGACTAAAATCTGTCACTAGATTGGTTTATTGCCGTTGTGCTGAATAACGAGCCACCGTTTTTGCGGGAAATGTTCAAGCGGTGTTGTGCGAAATTCAGCACAGATTGAGATTGTTGATAGCCGAGGTTTTATCTTTGAGCTTCAAAACCAACAATATTAATGAGAAGCATGGCATCTTTTACTGATCGAGTCGAAGATGCTTTTACGAGGAAAGATGAGACTTTTATGGCTCAACTCTACGGTGAGATGTTGGATTGCCTGAAAGTTAACAGCATTGTTACCAACGATAAATCGTCTCGGTGTTGATATTTTCCGAAATATCAATGCCGAATTTTACATACCGCAGAGTGCCAAGACAAAGAACACAAATTTGGTTGCCTTAAGGTTAGAAAAGTACCTTCATAACAGTGCAATAACAGTCATCAATTTTCAAAATTTTACAAAACAAATTGCTTTTGAAGTGTGATTAGCTATATGTAAACATTAGTTGTATTGAAGAATAAGCTAAAAAATTATTGATAGTGATTAACCAATCTAGTTTTGACTTCAACCAATATATCTTCTCATCGACTTTCCCATCACAGTTTTCGAGTATAAATTTTTATATTCAAACGCAAACCAAATCGCTCCAGTTATCCACGTTAGAAACAATAGCCCACAATATAATAGAATAAGGTTTTTGTGAAACATAAATGGGGCAATGATACGACCTGCCACGAATCCAAAATGGCTGGCAGAAAACAACAAGCCTTGGTAAAATGAGGTTTCTTTTGGGTTTGTTATCCTAGATAAGAGAGTGCTTCCAAGAGCAAAAGCGAAGTATGGCGCACCTAAGCAAATGTAAGGAATGAGAATGTAACCGCCCGATGTGTTCATTCCAGAGTCCCAGTGAAAACCAATGAAAGTAAGTAAACACATAGGAGCGAGTTGAGTTAGTAGAGAGAAAGCCATAAGAAATCTTGCATCAAAGTATTTTGAAGCGATATAACACGATAGTATCAGGACTATCCAAAAAATGGCACTGACAAGAAAAAGCATCTGTAGATGTATCATTCTTAAGTGAAAATTTTCTTGCGCGAGCAGTGGAACGAAAAATGTAACCGTTACAGAGTAGAATACGGCAGAAAACACGAGATAGTAGAGCATTAACACAGTAGACAGAGAACCAAAATTTTTCCTAATTATTTTTGTCAGCTCCCCTTCGCCTTGATCTGCTTCATAGTTAAGTACTTTTTGTGTGCCAAACTCTAGCGGCAGACATAGAGAAGCTAACAGGAAAATGGAAAAAAGAAAAGCATTTGCAATACCAGGTGCATTTCCAGCATTAATTTTCCAGCCTAAAACATTGGCATTAAAATTTAAAAACACACTAACCGCTGGTCCAAACAACGAGCCGACAGTATATAGCCCATCGAGGATCAAGAATACCTTAGCTCTGTATAGTTCACTTGTATATTCAATCACCTTTCCATTTAATACTCCTGCAGATCCTTCAGCGATCCCGCTAAATAATCGCCCGAACAAAGGGAAATAGACTGAAATGGGAACAGCGTACAAAACATTTGATGCGACCTTGAGAGCAAAACATGCGATGATAATCGTTCGATGGTTGCCGTATTTGTCTGCGATTTTCCCAAGGATCGGAAGCGAGATAACAGCAGCAACTGGAAATGCAGATAGGACAATACCGAGAAATACCTTGTCCTCTCCCAAGGATTTAATGTAAAACCAAGCTGACGGTGCAATGAAGAATTCTTCTGAGCCTTCCATGAAATAGCGGAAGGCAGCAAGAAAAAATATCCATGGCTTTAAGTAGGTGAAATAAAGCTTCATGCCACCGAATTTAATGAACTCCTATTAAAAAGACAAACATGCTTTCGTGGAATTATGCATCGAACAGACAATATTGATTAGCTATGTAGTAGTCAAATTCGTCATGCCATTGTTTTTTGCAATAGAAAAATGTTATCATCACTGACTTTATTCAATAAATTTATCGTGAGCTTGCAGTCTGGCAATAAACAAAGCACGGTCAATCAAAATATTTCATAAATATGAAATAAATTATTCAGCCTCATCTGGTTTTTTCACTACTTGCTCCAAACCTTTCTTCTCACAAGTTCACTTAGAATATGACAAGGTGGTCTGCGCTTAAACACTCCTGAGTAACGAGTGCTTCGAAAATAGATTTATTATACAGCACATTTTAAGAACAAATAAAGGCTATGCATATTTAAGTACATTCCCATTCGTCTTTTCCTCACAAATCTATTGTTTTTGCAGTGAGTGAGCATTGGAAGGTTTCCATGGCATGACTGCGTGAGCAGCCAGGCTAAAATGCTGTACTGGAATTCCTACTAAAGCCAATCAATTATAAAAGTGTTACCAATGTTCCAATTCTTCAGATTTATTTTCTCCAACCCAATTTTTTAATTGAAGCTTGTTACGTAGTAGAAGAGGCAAAATAATGTTTTACAGATTGTTTGAGAGAAATTCACGGTTGTGAGTAACTACTTAACTAAATAAGCTGACAAATAATGATTGATAATAATTAATAATTGATAATAAATAATAATAATTGATATATAGCAAACAAATCAAATATGTGCAAGCTCTGTGCATGTTTAAAAAATCTTTAGTAACAGATGTTCTTGACATAGCTTTCAAGTATTTGTAAAAAACAAGATGATTTTAAATGGGGGGAGAGCTGATATTTATATATGTGCATAAAATAATCCAAAAAAAAAAATTGATTACAAAAAAGGCCCCATTGCTGCATGCTCTGACACTTTTCTCCTCAAATTTGTCACGCATATTCTCACACTCTATAATCTTGTAAGCAAACTGAAACAAAAACTTGACAGACTCCTTTCTCAGACATATCCACATTTCTACCAACATATCATCAAGCCTAACTGCCTTCTCACTCTTCATTCTGAAGAACACTTCTAACATCATCATTAGCAACTAATCTTGGCTATCTCCTGGTTAAGGGTCTATAGATCGTTCTCATGCCCTCCAGTCTTAGTTCAACCTCATTTTCGTTATTTATCAACTCTCAGAAGTACTCCTACAATCTTCCTGTCAAATATATCTGGAATATATCATCTGGTAACATGAGGAGATTGTGTACTAATGAAGGTCACACTAACAATTACATTTGCTTGAAGACGACTTTACTTTCCCAAGCTTGAGGTTTTTGTTTACTCTTGTAGCATGGGTAAATTTTTATTATAAGCACATTGGTATAACAACATGCAAGTCTGTTCACAGGGGTAGGTCTCTAGTATCCACATTTCCCTTTAAAAGCTATGCAGTTGGGTGTAAACTTTCAGAAAAATTACCTTAGAAATTGTACATGTATGTAAGGTTTGATCACGCCGTTGTAATGCATTTTTGACCTTACTTGCATCTGCACCATGATCTAAGTGCATTTGATGAGAACCTGCTTATCATTGCAGCCTTGCCACATGATCAATACCACTTATGTCTGAATAGCTGGTCTTATTATTATAGCCTTGCTATTACACAATGAATGGTTTTGTAAAGTCGAATTACACACTGAATTAGTTTTGTTACACAATGAATAGTTTTGTAAATTTAAATCAGAGTATCAGAGTATGTAGTATAAATTTGACTAACTAAAATCTGGATTAGCTCATACATAATGGTTGAACAAGTGTCAGACTTGGATCAACACGTTTTCCAGGGGTTGCATCGATGCACAAGCAAAGAAAACCCATCATTGAAACTATCACTGATATCCTACATTATAATATTATGTTTGGAAATTGTCCCATCTCCCTCGTCGACTCAAAAGCCCAATTAATGCAAAATCTCATTCGTGTCAAGTGGCGCGAGCAAGTTGCTCTCGTGTGCGCGTACTGTTTCCGACGACTTTTGCCTTTCCAGGCAGAACTGGCAAATATCAAACATGTTTGATATTTTTTGCCACGCGTGGCGAAATGCTTTGTCGATTTGTCCGTGTGCGGCGTCTTGAAGCAAATTGCTTTTGTGTTTTCATCACAGCGCATGCTCAATAAATCTCATATCAACTTCTTGGTTCTTGTCGTAAAACATGGACGAAGCGGTGGACTATGAGGTTATTAAATGCGCCTTGCACTTCTCGTCTCATAATCCACCGTTTTTTACGACAAGAAGCTGGTAAACGCCTGCGTCTACGGCGAATTAGCAACAGGCATAAAAGTGCTATTTCGTCTTGTTCTTCGGAATCAGAAAATGAAACAGAATTTAACTCATTTGAACTTGCAGCTAAATCGAGAGAACGGAGCACAGACGCCATATTGAAATTTGATGCGTGGGTTCAGTATATTACGTCATTATTTCTAAAACACGGCAAAACACTTGCTTAAATATATTTTCTTTTCCAAATGAGTTAAATTCTGTTTCATTTTCTGATTCCGAAGAACAAGACGAAATAGCACTTTTATGCCTGTTGCTAATTCGCCGTAGACGCAGGCGTTTACCAGCTTCTTGTCGTAAAACATGGACGAAACGGTGGATTATGAGACGAGAAGCGCAAGGCGCATTTAATAACCTCATAGTCCACCGCTTCGTCCATGTTTTACGACAAGAACCAAGAAGTTGATATGAGATTTATTGAGCATGCGCTGTGATGAAAACACAAAAGCAATTTGCTTCAAGACGCCGCACACGGACAAATCGACAAAGCATTTCGCCACGCGTGGCAAAAAATATCAAACATGTTTGATATTTGCCAGTTCTGCCTGTAAAGGCAAAAGTCGTCGGAAACAGTACGCGCACACGAGAGCAACTTGCTCGCGCCACTTGACACGAATGACATTTTGCTAAGCACATAGCTCTCGGTGTGCGCCGGGCTTAACAATAAGAAAACTACTAACCTCGTTTAAATGATCCCGTTGACAATCACTGGTTGCCCAGGCTGGAAAGTATGTCTTCTGCGCACCGGAGATTTTTTTTTAATAATATTATTGCACAGCAGGCATATTTGGGCGTGGCAAAATTCCGCCATATTTGTGGGCGTGGCAGGGTGATTCAAAGAGGCATATAGATCTATGAACCAAAACCTCATTAGATTGGCCTCCAGTTTTCTTGTGAGTACTGATAAGACTATAAAATCCTTCTACTATAGCCTCACAACCACTTGTGGAAAGAGCTACGTCAAGGGCAATTCACATTTCTTGGCCAATTGACTTTATTATATCTTCATTTGTGCACATGCTGGTGTACACAAATTCTTTGTTGATCCTTGCTTTCAATGCCTTTCCCGAAGTAAATTTCAGAGTAAACCACAAATCTAGTGCAGGATCCTCAATGCATTTAAGGGAAATTAGCTGCTCCTTTTCAAATTCTGTCACTGGTTGGTCCTTAATAATTTAATTGACAGTTCTGTGCAAACGTGGGCGAAATTTGAGATGTTCACATCCAATTCAAATGGAAGTTATGTATGGAGTTAGGAAGGGGACAAAATTAAATAACAAATCGTCGACTCGTGTTTCAATTCGTCGACTTGAACAATTCGTCGACTCGTGTTTCAATTCGTCGACTCGTATGGAGTTAGGAGGGGACAAAATTAAATAACAAATCGTCGACTCGTGTTTCAATTCGTCGACTCGTACGATGACTTGAACCTTACGGTATGCAAAAGACAGCGGTTATTTTTTGAGGATACTTCGTGATTTGGAGAGTTTGGATGCATATAAAATTATGACATATCGAACAAAATAGCGGAAAATCCAGTTGTTCGCGTTGTGTCTGTAATAAAAGAGGCATTTGAACGGATTCAGAATCATTGCCCTTCGACAGCAAGCACAACAAATACTTCCAAAATCAATGGAGTGCTTGCAGTGGCATCAACATCGTCGCATTCTCGAGAAAGTTTTAATGAAGCTGTACAACGCGATTTTAGGTAAGTGGTTATTAATAATAACAACTTATTATTTCTATTGAATAACCTAACAAAGAATAAAAAACAATTTGCATGAGAAATATTGCTAGTTTGGACAACTGGCTTTGGTGGTAATGGCAAAGCCCACAGTAAAACAGTGGCATACTCAGCTGGATAATTGGGGGTGAATGCAATATTTGCATGTTCATGTTCTGCTGTATTAAATTCACTTGAAATCAATTTTCTTTTGCGGATGATAGCATGCTTAAATGAATACTGCCTCCCTCCAAATCATCAAGCCTAGTTACACCACCACTGCAATAAAATAGGAAAAAGCACTAGATATGTACGGTACACATACACCTTCATTTATTACTTTTAAAAGTGTTGTATTTCAAGGCTGACAAAATTTATAAACTTTCTGGAACATAAATGCTAAAATCTTTGTCTTCAAAGGCGAATGTAGTTTTTTATCAAATGTATTTTGTCATCTCATTTGTGCATAGTATCTTGCTTTCTTTTAGCAAAGCTTTCCCAGTCTTGGTGGTGGGGGTCTGCGGCAACACCTTAACCTTTGACCTGCTAAAAGGGAAAATCTAGTCATCATTTATCAAAAAAAATCTTGGACCCATGACTTTTGCCTTTTAGCTGAAAGTAATCAAAGCAGAATTCCATCTATACAACAACTATCTACATTAAAAAAAGCTGGTTTGGGGAAAAAAACGAATTATTTTTCCTGACAAGAATTCAGGATTTGTCATATTGAAGTCAGTCATTGAAACTGAATTGCCTAAATTGAAATCACAAGATGGGGCGTTTGAATTTATGCGTGGAGAAGGTGGTGGATATTCACGACCTTTTTGCCTGATTCCTATCCCATCTGATGGATACAGTGTCCCATACATTAAGGATATGGTTGGTTTCAATACAAAATTTACATCTGCCCAATTAAAGAGCCATTGCCTGTTGAAAAAGCTCCAGTGCCCATCAGTCCAACTATCCCTTTGACTGTATGTACAAGATGCAATGAAAAACTTCCAATATTTGCCTTGCGTCAACATTCCAAACATTGTTGCTCTATATTAATTGAAAGTGAGACTACTGAAGATGAGGCTATTTCAAAAGAAGATGGCAGAGAAGTTGATGATGAAGTTGCAGAGCTGAATATTCCAAGCCAATCAGAAATTAGAAAAAAGCATGAACTTGAAGATTATAATAGGCCATGCATTTCTTCACAAAGCTGGTTAACAGAACTTATGAAAATATAGTAATCTTTTTCAACAGGTAACTTTATCTAGGTTTTGTGCAACCGGCCCTAGACTTTTAATGCCTTGTTCATTGTATAGTTAATAAACAGTTACTTTCAAATGTTTGTCTGCTGTTTAAAATTATTGTCACAAAACTTAAATTTCTGTAGCTAACATTTTTTGTTTAATTAAGATGATCAATTCTGAGTTTAACAGTTGGGATGATTATTGCCAGCTTGTGATTGGAGAATATTCTGAATAAAATTTATTGTGTTCAAATATATGTCTAGTCCATGTGATGATGATAATGCCTAGGATCAACAATATTCTGAAAACTATCCAATTGCCGGTCATTTAATGGGCAGGCTGTAGGTGGGACTTCTACGTAGCTTTCACAAGATATTTCACCACTGTATGTTTGAGAAGGTAAAGGTCCCTCAAAATCTACACCATACATGTTTATGTTGGTTTGTTCGAACATTAGATTGTGGTTAATATTAAGTTGACTCAAACCATACACCCAAATCTGATTTGGAGTAATGTTGGATTCAGTTCGTAATGGGTGATTATCATAGCCATTTCTGAAAAGATCAAGATGCCAATTAATTCTGGGAACAAAAACATAATGTAAACAAAAAATATGTAACTCATTATCCAGCTCCAAATGACCATTTTCCTCAAGGTACCAAAAGACATAATAAAAAATAAATAAAGAACCATGAAAGAGCTTTCAAAAGCTTTCAATCTGTTGATTGTGGCAGCTTTTATCAGCAATAAAACTACAACGATTAGGGCCCCTATCTGGATTGGAGAGCATGTACCACGGAACATCAATTTTTTCTACTCCTTGATCACCCCTAACTCTTTCTGGGAGGTCAAAGTTATTAACAGCTTCAATAAAAAGGTTATACACAGTACTTGCTTTATTGCTTCTATTCGCTTTTAAATACATAATATGCCTTTAGTAGCCATCAATGCACCCATGAACAACAAACCACCATCTTATTAATTTATGGTTGCCATCCAGGTGCCATAAAAACAATGGCCCAGGAATAAAGTACTTCCTTCGGTTAACTAGACTAAGTTGCATTGATTTTAATAAAATGCCATCTGGGTCAATTCTCCACAGAGATGGTCTCACTCTTTCCCATTGCAATTTTACACCTCTTGCCATAAGAAATACCTTCATTCTACGAATGCCACAATTAGGAAATTCTCTATAGATTTCTGAAACCATTTCATTAAGGTCATCGTTTGGAATATCAGTGTATTTGGGGACCTCTTCTCTCAAACCAAATTCTTTGATTCTCCGACTTATTGTTTATTTCGAGATGTCATAATTTTATATGCATCCAAACTCTCCAAATCACGAAGTATCGCCAAAAAATAACCGCTGTCTTTTGCATACCGTAAGGTTCAAGTCATCGTACGAGTCGACGAATTGAAACACGAGTCGACGATTTGTTATTTAATTTTGTCCCCTCCTAACTCCATACGAGTCGACGAATTGAAACACGAGTCGAAGAATTGTTCAAGTCGACGAATTGAAACACGAGTCGACGATTTGTTATTTAATTTTGTCCCCTTCCTAACTCCATAGTTGTGCGTTGAGAAATGACATTTTTATAAACAGTAACTTCCGATATTTTAATAGCAACAAAGGCTTAGAAAGAAAGATTCAGTCTCTTGCAATATCACACACTGTATCATCAATATTCCTTAAATTACTATTTTTCCTTCCAAAGATTTTGCGACGTACAACATGTTTGACACAACAAAACACTGAAAAGAGCCTGTGTACACCGAGATTAGCGATACTTCGTATATTAATTTAATATTATTATGCTTTGATCGTCATATGCGCACCAGTGCACCATAAAATTTATTTTGCAAACCAGCACACCAGTTATTTCATAGTGCGCACCGGAGATCTCGTCGAAAAACGACATACTTTCCAGCCTGGCTGACTGCTTATCCCAATCCAATCAATTGTATATTTTAGCTCATAATTCATAAAACGACACGAACTATTTTCTAAAGATGGTAATTATAAATTTGTTGACAAATTACCGAGCGTAAACTCTACCACGAGGCATGTAAATACAGTAAAGGCACAGAATAGATACATATGTATCTATTCTGTGGTAAAGGCCCGTTCACACGATCCGATTTGTCGGATCCGATTGTTTCGGTTCCGACTTTTGGTTGCTTGTTCAGACGGTCCGAAAATTTAGTTGATATTTATATTCGTTTTCATCGTTTAGATATTTATAGTGATGTTAACGGCCATTTGTGTTATCCAAGACATTCATGGGGGTATATTTATCGTATTTTTTGATGTGTATTTATCCCTTTTTTCTCAAATCTATTTAATTTGGCTAGTCGGCTTCTTCTGATCTTGTCTGATGAAAATTGAGCAAGTCCTATTTCCATCCGATTTTTTAGATTGACGGATCCGATTGTCGGAAGCTCACTTTATATGTGTTATCCGACAAAATCGGATCGTGTGAACGGGCCTTAAATCCTACCAGACGACTCTTGTTTTCCGCATTCCGGAAATAAATTGATTCATGAAATGAATTTATCGACAAATGAGTGGTGTCAAATGTAGATCAATCAATCCACCTTTCCGACGGCACAAGATGCTCTTGGGGCATTTGTAAATCTTATTTTAGAAATCAAGTACGACTGATTATAAAGGCAGAGGGTATAATAGTGAATAAAAACCATTTTCCGTCAAATCAAAGGAAAGCTTGGATATGACATTTAATATATGTGTAGATATAAAGTTGTAGAGAAAAACAGGGACGGATTGAAACTATGTCACATTCAGCACGCGACGTAGTTAAATTCTGCACAGCAGCGGAAAAAATTAATCAAATTTTAAATACCCTTAGCTGAAAAAAAACAATTTGCAGGAGTTGGAACGAAGCTCGTTTGGTCGAAACGATCAAGAGGAAATTTCTATGCGTCGTTTGCAAGTTCCAATCTCGTCTCGGTAGGGTGTAGTTTGTTTCGATGTGTGGATAATGATCATGAATTCTTTATCCTAAAATCAATTAAACTTTTTGTGTCCTCACAACGAAAGCATTAGAAAAATAAACTATTGTCAGGGTTAGGGATAGAATTATGAGAAATTTGTGCAACAACGTGCATTCACTGAACAATGTTATTGTTTCCAAGACCTGGATTAAGCATGGGATTAAGGAATCAAGTGGCTAAAAATTCTTATAATTCACTTGCGGGAGAAATACCCATAGCTAACCCGCACAGAGTCAGCACGCCTAAAATTGTGCTGAATTTGGAGACTAAAATCTGTCACTAGATTGGTTTATTGCCGTTGTGCTGAATAACGAGCCACCGTTTTTGCGGGAAATGTTCAAGCGGTGTTGTGCGAAATTCAGCACAGATTGAGATTGTTGATAGCCGAGGTTTTATCTTTGAGCTTCAAAACCAACAATATTAATGAGAAGCATGGCATCTTTTACTGATCGAGTCGAAGATGCTTTTACGAGGAAAGATGAGACTTTTATGGCTCAACTCTACGGTGAGATGTTGGATTGCCTGAAAGTTAACAGCATTGTTACCAACGATAAATCGTCTCGGTGTTGATATTTTCCGAAATATCAATGCCGAATTTTACATACCGCAGAGTGCCAAGACAAAGAACACAAATTTGGTTGCCTTAAACTTAATAAACTTATGGACATGTTATGCATGCATGCTTAAACAAGAATATATAAGCAAATATAAATTGACTTGATGTGATGCCCGATGGATTTGTCATTTGTGGTTTATTTATGTGATTCAAAACAAAACAAATTTTCAAATTTCGATCATATTTAAAACGTTTCTATTGATTTATTTCTTGATGTGTTCAATAGTATACTTAAGATATGATATACAAAAATGAACTGATGCATGATATTGGAAATTTACATAACATTATTTCAGATCTGCTACAAATGGCAACTGCCTCTATAGTTCATTGTCAATTCTGCTTGTTGGTAACAACTCTGTGGTGACTATTTTGAGGCCGATGACCTCTATAGAATTATTTTTATATGGTGATTATTATGCGAAACATCCATGTTTTTCAAATCTTTTTGAAACTCAGCATAACAAACACTTTGATTCTATCTCAAGCATGGTGGCCATGTCAGTCTCTTTTGAAGCTATTGATAATGCTGGAAGTGGTTGTTCTGTTGCTGAACTGGTCAGGGCAGAAGCTGTGTTAAATGCAAAAGATATGGCATGGACTGGGTTTGTTTGTTTGTTGGCACTCTCTTCATTTACATCCTGTAGCATTTTTTCTTATTATCCTGACATATACTCTAGTGCTTATAGGTGGAATTTATTATTTAACCAAAGAATTGAACCTCGAATTCTATCTAGAGCTTGTGCTTCCACTAGTAATTATTTGCAAGTTTTGTTTTGCTTTGAAGGTTTAGCTCCTCAAGCAACTGCATTCAAACACAATCATTATGTGCCTTTGATACTTGGTGGGAAGGGAACTAAAAGAAAGGGAAGTAGTCACTTGTCACAAGCTAAAAAGCCCAGTATACAAACAAAGTTAAGGTTTACACCTTCTGGTCCTACTGAGACAACCATGACAACTAAGGTTCGTCCATATGGTATATCTCACAGTAGCGCTTTGGGTTCTTGTGATCTTTCTTCTATTTCATCTTCTACCTTGCAATTACCCAATAATAAAACTGCAAATGCTGCTTTCCTATAAATCCATATGATGTTAGTTTTTATAGAGAAAAGGTGAGAGGTATGGAAATTCATGAAATTGAAAAACTTGTGAAGAATGTATTCGTACCTGATGAATGCTATGAATTTCTGTGAACTGTTGATGCAATTGGTTGCAGTAGGTCCTTTCGACATGATTGGCTGAAGGATTATCTTTGGCTTTCGTATTCTCCAAGTCTTAATGGTGCTTTTTGCTTACCATGTGTTTTGTTTGGTGATAAGTTTCCCTCCAAAAACAGTAGAATTAAAATATTTTTTCTGAAAGATTAACACATTGGCCTGATGCTAAAAGTGCATTTAAAAGGCATATAAGTACATCATCAGGTCTTCATGTTCTCACTTCTGCTCTTTTTATGGACATCTTTGATCAGAGTTCCGGTAAAAGCCAGCCAATAAACGTCATGATTGACAGTAACTTAAAGAAAAAGTTTTCAGAGAATAGGAAAAAATTATTTCCAGTAGTTGATACCATCATTCTTGCAGGTCGCCTTCAGTTACCATTTAGAGGTCATCGGGATGATTCTCACTATCATCCTGAAGTTGGTGAATATTCTGAGAAGAGATATGTTGGTAATTTTATTGAATTATTATACTTCCGTGTTCGTGCAGGGACACCATTTTGGAAACGCATCTTAAGCATCATGATAAAAATGCCTCCTATATTTCTAAAACTACTCTGAATGAGTTAATTAGGTGTTGTGGTCAATTCATCACTGAGCAGCTTCTAGTTGAAGTAAAGAAGAGTAAGTTTTATGCATTGATTGCTGACGAAACATGTGATATTTCTAATAAATGTTATTGGTTTTGCGTTTCATTGACGAGGAGTTTAACATAACAGAAGAATTTTTTCGTTTCATTCATTGTAGTGAGGGTATGTCTGGGAAGGTCCTTGCATCTGTGATTTTGAAATTTTTAAACGAAGAGTTGAATTTGGACATTCAGGACTGTCGTGGGCAGGGGTATGATGGTGCAGGTGCTGTTGCTTGATGCATTAATGGTCTTGCTGCAAGGATTAAGAATTTGAATGAGAAAGCCATTTACACACATTGTTTTCAATCACAGATTAAATCTTAGTATTTGTGGGACTTGTGCTGTTCAGTATGTAAAAAATGTTTTGGAACATGTGAAGGAAGTTGCTAACTTTTTCAACTCTTCCCAAGGCAGACAACTAATTTTGGAGAAATGCATTGGAGAGCACTGTCCAGATTCTGCAAAAAAGAGATTGAAAAGTGCTTGTAAGACAAGATGGGTTGAGCGTATTACTAGCTTAGATATTTTTGAAGAACTGTATGTTGCTATTGTTTTTTCCTTAGATGAAATGAGTTTTAACGTTGAAGGCAAGTGTAATCGTGAGACCTCTAGTAAAGCTTCCCCTCTGTTACATCTTTTGACATCTTTTGATTTTATTGCAGCACTCGTAATAACTAGATGTATTTTTGATCTTACTCTTCCAGTTACTCAGTTACTTCAGTCTTCTAGTAATGATATTGCTGACGGTTTGAACTTGATTGAGGCATTAAAAAAATTGTCGAGAACTGTAAGAAATGAAGTCAATGTTTATCATGCTAATTGGTACAGTATTGCATTGACGATGGCAGAAAAGATGGGTGTTGAAGAGAAATAACCTAGAACTTGTGGTCGTCAGACAATTAGAAGTAATGTTCCGTCAGAATCTGTGTCTGATTACTTCAAGAAAACAATTACCATTCCTTTAGCTGATCACTTGTGTTCTGAGTTAGAAAAAAGGTTTGATTCATCTGCAACTAGTATATATTATGGCTTGTTTCTAATTCCATCCAAGTTACTTTTGTGTCTTTCTTGTGGCGTTTCTTGGAAGGAAAAATTTTATTCATTTTCTTCTTTGTTCTTGGATGATCTTCCAAATGCAATGGCTTTAGATGGTGAACTTGATCTCTGGCAGAAATACTGGGAATCGTCTTCTACAACTTGTCTTCCTGAAAATGTCTCTTCTACTTTAAAGTCGGTAAATTTTCCAGGTTTTGAGAACATAAAAGTATTGTTAAAGATCTTAGGTACTATTCCAGTCACTTCTTGTGAGTGTGAGAGGTCGTTCTCTGCTTTGCGAAGATTAAAGCACTATACAAGAAGTACTATGGCTGCTGACAGGTTAAATGGCCTTGCTTTATTGTATATTCATCTGGACATTAATCCAGATATAGAAAAGATTATAGGTCTTTTTGCAAAAGACAAAAGAAGAATTGAACTAGCTTTCTAGTTTGGAGTGAAAGTTTTTGATGCCTTTTTTAAACTCTTGACTGTAAATATGACTGCCGCTAACCACAGTCAATATAAACACAAACAATCGTTCTCAGGACTTTACTTACCTGGACGATTGACATCTACAAACATTTTTTTGCTTTTTTTGTTGACAACTTCATTTGATAAATTGACATAAAATCGTTTGCATAATAATCAGCATATAGGTATGACTAGACCATTATAAAATGAAATTCCATATAAAAGATGATGAAGCGTAAAGAATTTTTTTAGGCTAAGTTTGCAATGAACCAGGCCGTCCATGTCGGAAGCCCTCAAAGCATATTTTTCTGCGAGTTTCCTAGGCATGCTGATGAGCTCTGATATTGAGCGAAACGGTCAAAAATCGATAATTTATGAGGAAGGATGTTAGCTCATTCCAGTAATGAATATTTTAGAAAACCAACAGCAAAAACGCAGGAAATAGCGTTTTTCGCAATCCAATTTTAAACTTTTACCGGGGGGACATGCTCCTGGACCCCGCTAGAAAAGTCGCGCTAACGGTGCGACATTGTGCCTAAGTTCATATACGAAGCTGGATCCGCCCCTGATACCCACCTCTGCAACCTTGCTTGACTTTTTACGTGTAGCATCAGATATTCATTTTTCATACTATAAATTCATAAAATTTCATTATATTTGTTTGATCATATAGTAATATGTATTTTGGGAAATTCCGAAATTTGATATCTTATTTTAGCTTTCCGCCTATGATTACGATAAGTCACCGAAATGCTATGTACGCGTGATGTTTGTATTTTGTCTAGTTTTGACTCTAATATGAGCATTAGTCAATGGGTCATTTATGCTTTGATTATTATTATTAGAATGTGGGCACTGAGCACTATTAGTGATAGATCATATAGATCTGAAGAATTGCTCATTGATGTGAAGTACAGAGTGTGGCAGTGTGAAACAGTGTGATATGAATTTGAGCAGCTCCTAAGGTGCTCTTTTTTTAGTTCTTGAAGTTGTTGCAGTGCTCAAGCTCCCCCCTATTTTTTCAGTGAATAAAAATATATTAGTATCGATATGGTATCGATTCGTAGTGTAACAAATAAAAACATAAATTATCATAGTAAGCAGTTTTCATTGAGTTAGAGTCGGGAAGATTTTCAATTCTCCACTCGGAAGTATTTATTTGGCGCCACCCTCCTCCATCTCAGGCCTAACCATGCGCCTAAAAATTGATCAAACAACTTTTTGGTCTAAAAAATTCCAAACGAGTGAGCGAGTGAGAAAGCGAAGAAAATTCTAGAGTACAACATTTCATTGTTAGTGGTTTGTGTCTGTGGTACTTACATTAAGTATCGACAACATTTGAAAACAGCCCAAACATGAGCCTAAAGCCCAAAGGATTACAAAAATTATTCTTTCTTGGGAATAGGTATTCGGATGAATGAAAACTTGCAAAGTTTTCTTTGAAATATTTTTTATGCTGCGTTAAATTCGAATTCATTATTACTGTATAGTTCATGATATGGCTAAAAGAAGTGTATCTTACTTTTATGATGAAGAGGTTGGCAACTTCCATTACGGTAAGAACCTTGACATTTTACCTCTAATAGTCTAGTTTACTAACTGTACATAAAGAAGTATTCCTCATAAAGTTCTCTTTGCAAGACATCATTAATAATTTAAGGCTACGTTAATGCAACTTTATTTTCAGGTATTAATCATCCAATGAAACCCCATAGGCTTGCTCTTACCAACAGTCTGATCTTAAATTATGGGCTATACAAAAAGATGGAGGTATTGATAATATTGATTATAAAATTTTTTCACTACCAGTGTTTTTTAGCGATGAAAGTCTCATTTAGCTTCAACCAGGTGCATTTTATTTACAGTAAACTAAACACTGAAGATTACTGACATTTCTTATACAATGTACTGGTATTGCAGAAATGAAATTTCTCTGCTGAAGATCTTTGATTTAAGTTTAACTAAATGTACCCTGGAGCTCATTCAACTTGTAGGCTCAGAGATTTACTGGATGCAAATTTATTTCTTTACGCAAAAATATTAATTTAGAACTTCTAAAAAGAATGCTTGTGTCCTAAGAGATAGAAAAATATTTGATATATTTATTTAAATTTTCCATTTGTTATCGTCTTTCAAAAGTGTTCTTTTGTAAAGTCTTGACAAAATTAATAAACAGATATGTAAGTAAATATGGTAAAATGTTGTGTTAAATGAAAGACTTAAATGAAAAAGGCTTGCAAAATTTAAATATCAACCCATATACTCTGTGACTTACTCTATTGAACTCAAGACTCATAAAATGTTAAGTTTTATGCACCATGTGCCCCAAAATAAACAAGCTTGAGTGGATTCCTTGAGGGTACTATTTGAATCATGCTTTTTTATTTTTATTAAGATGGAAATCAATATCTGGATTGTATTTTGAATAGTTTCCTTGGTTATTTGTTCAGCTATTTTCAACATCTATGTATTGTAGATACATATTTAAATCTTGTGTAAATGGATATTGCAACAATTGTTTTACAGGTTTATAAACCATATAAAGCAACTCTTCACGATATGTGTACATTTCATTCAGAAGATTATATAAAGTATTTGGAAAGGTTGGCTTTTTGACAAATATGTTATTATACATACCCTATAGTTTAGAGAGTATTCTATATGTTGGATCATTAAGCTTTCTGTACAAATGAGCTTGCTTCATTAGTACAACCAGTTTATAAGCACTTCCATGTAAATTTCAGATAATATTATCCTTATATATTCAATATTTATTTCTCTGTCATCAAAAATTGTTCTATATTGGTTGAATTTAATGAAATTTCAATGCATTTTCAATAATTACACTCAAACCATGAACATGTCATTCCCATGCAATTTGTCAGGAAATTTAATACTCAGAGTCCCAAAAAACATAGAATTTACGCCCTCCTCCCACCGGAAATATCCACATTGCTGGACTACCTCAACAGCTTGTAATCACTTGTCAAATAGTCATCTGTTCCTACGGCATTTTAGGATAACAAGCAAACCAATTTTCCCCAAAAAAAACATAAACCATTTCAATGTTGGTGATGATTGGTAAGGTTGACATGAACATTATAGGTATCTTATCTTAAAAAAACACAACCAAAAGGAGAAAATTGCTCATTTTAGCTTTCTTATTTTTCTTAGTCCTGTCTTTTCTGGTCTCTATGAATTTTGCTCTATATACACAGGAGCATCTCTTCAAGGAGCAATGCAGCTAAACCATGAGGTAACATGACTTTGATAAAATTGATTTCATACATTTGCTATATGATCTCAGCAATAAGCTAACTGGTGGTTTTATTGTATAATTCTAGAGTTGTGACATAGCCATTAATTGGGCCGGCGGCTTACATCATGCAAAAAAATTTGAGGTAATGAATTGTAGAGTGAAAAAGAGATTTAAATTGACATGTTTACAAATTCTCATTATCAGAAAGATTTTATAATATTTCTTTCAGGCATCTGGATTTTGTTATGTAAATGATATTGTGATTTCAATTTTAGAATTGTTAAGGTAAATGTGATGATATACATAGCAGATCTAGGGTATAAATGGATTTGCAGTCTTGGACTGCTCTTAATGTTGAGTTTCGTATTTTGAACTGTTAGAGGGGCTCTAACTGCATCTTCCCATTTTTTGACGAAGAATGTATTGTATTCTACAGAATAAAACATTGAAGGGTTTATATTTTCTTACACAACAATGTACCTACATTTCAGAAGAAGTTTGCAGTTCAGAGAAGTTAACAATTTGTAGTGAAATAGTTTAGTGTTTTAAAAAAGAGAAGTTGTTTCATTTTTCATGTTTTTGAGGATGGCCAAAGTACTTGCCTATTCCTGAGCTCTTTCTTGTATTTAATATCATATTTTATATTGGTGTGCGGAAAAGAGGCCCATTTTCATTTTCCAGAAGTTGTCCATTTGCCTGGGGCCATTGTTTTTACAGCAAACATCAAATTATTTGCATAAGCATGCTTCATTTGTTTGTTTGTTTGAAGCATGCTTCATTAAATTTTCTGACATACTATACTGAGGCAAATACTATTTAATTTATTTTAAAAGAGAGAACAATTGCATCACAGTCCAAGGAATAAATTGTTGGACCACTTTACTGTACAACTCAGTTTCATGTTCTTTCAACCAATTATATTTTAGATATCATCCACGTGTTTTGTACATTGATATTGACATTCATCATGGTGATGGTGTTCAGGTATACTTCATGTAAAAAAAACATTAAAATTATATTGTATTTTACTAGTTGCAGATATAATATATACCTCATCATTTGCTGTTTGTACATTCATTTCAAGATACATGTCTTTCAGCTAGCGTAACATCACTGTATATTTATTTCTCTATTATTTGTTGGTGCACCTCTTCGTCACATGTATTGTCATTCTTACCCCATGTATATATTTTATAAACAGGAGGCATTCTACTTGACTGACCGTGTAATGACTTTATCTTTTCACAAATATGGAAACGGGTTCTTTCCTGGCACAGGTATATAAGTGTGTTTGTTTAGATAGAAATATGTATAAAATCTACTAAATGTTGGTTTGTATATTTAAAATTGAGTTAAATTATTTCAGGTTGGACCATTGAAATGATTATAACAATATTCATTTCAATAGATTTTTGACAATTATTACATGTTGCACATGAAACAATTCAATTGTTGATTTTTTTTGGTTGACCAGTCTGGTTTACAATGATTATTGAACTTAAAGAGAATTGATATTTATATCATCTATTGAATAATTTTGATAGTTTATAACTTGAGTTTTCAAAAATTTTGTTTTTTGAAGAATATTCCATCCTATATTTTCTGAAATTTTCTGCTGAGAATAATTTTTTACACAAAAAATCACCTTGATAATTTCATTAGGAGATATGTATGAAAATGGTGTTGACAATGGTCGATTTTACTCTGTCAATGTACCATTACGGGATGGCATTGATGATCATGGTTAGTGCAAGCAATCAAGAAGCAGTAGAAAATATGAAGTAAAATTACTAAAATCCATTGTTAAATACTGATTTCCGTGTCCACAAAGGTGTTTAACTTTGGTATCATATTGTCCACAAAGGTTTACCTTTACCACACCATATCGTTCATGACGGTGTTTACCTTTACCCCACCATGCATTTTGTTTATGATCATGTTTACCTTTACCCCACCATGCATTTCGTTTATGACCATGTTTACCTTTACCCCACCATATTGTTTATGATCATGTTTACCTTTACCCCACCATGCATTTTGTTTATGATCATGTTTACCTTTACCCCACCATGCATTTCGTTTATGACCATGTTTACCTTTACCCCACCATGCATTTCGTTTATGACCATGTTTACCTTTACCCCACCATATTGTTTATGATCATGTTTACCTTTACTCCACCATGCATTTCGTTTATGACCATGTTTATCTTCACCCCACCATATCGTTTATGATCATGTTTACCTTTACTCCACCATGCATTTCGTTTATGACCATGTTTACCTTTACCATATCTTATCATTCAGGGCCATGTTTACCTTTACCCCACCATGCACTTAGTTCATGACCATGTTTACCTTTACCACACCGTATCGTTCATGGCTATGTTTACCTTTACCACACCATATCTTTCATGACGGTGTTTGTGCCTTTACCCACACCATATCTTTCATACGTACTTTAGTATTATTTTTATGAAGATCTATTTTTTAGGGTTCTTTAGCTTGTTCAAACCAATTGTGAGTGAAGTTGTTAACAAATACCAACCGTCATGCATTGTTTTACAGGTAGATTATTTAAGCCTACGTAAAAATTATTTTCTTCAAAATAAACTTCATCCTTTCTACGTATATATTATCCCTATTCTCTTACAACTCTTGGAAAATACGTATCTACCAAAAGAAAACTGTCAATGGCATATGCGCCTTGTCAAAAAGAAAAAGATTTGCTACAGCTATTTCCATTGCTGTTATTTTTCTAGAAAAAGCTTCATTATTTGCAGCGTAATCAACGATCATTAACAATTTTTTGCCAATATAAACTTTTCATAGTGTGGTGCAGATTCACTTGGCTGCGATCGATTAGGCTGCTTCAATTTGAGTATAAAGGGTCATGGGTAGGTATGGATAAACACTGCGCGCATTTTAGATGTGTTTTTAATGGCCAAAATTCGCCCTGAACTTGTTTTAATACTAAACAGCTAGCGGAAGATATAATGTGGTCATCAATGTTAACTGTGACGTCATAAAGTGGTCATTTCTTTAAGCTGTAACATAATGCAGTCATTTCTTTAAGCTGTGATATCATAATGTGGTCATTACTGTGAGCTGTGACGTCATAACGTGGTCATTACTGTAAGCTGTGACATAATGTGGGCATTACTATGAGCTGTGACGTCATAACTTGGTCATTACTGTGAGCTGTGACGTCATAACATGGTCATTACTGTAAGCTGTGACATCATTATGTGGTCATTACTGTGAGCTGTGACGTCATAACGTGGTCATTACTGTAAGCTGTGACATAAATAATGTGGTCATTTCTACAAGCTGTCAGATCATAATGTGGTCATTTATTTAAGCTGTGGGTCATTAATGTAAACTGTGACAATAATGTGGTCATTGCTGTAAACAAAGGCATTATATTTTTCATATTATTATTTGGATAATGATATTAAAACATTAATTTATAGTGAATGTGTAAAGTTCACAAGAAGTTTAAATTTACCTCTTTTGGTTCTGGGCGGAGGCGGGTACACGATAAGAAATGTTGCACGTTGCTGGCAAGTATATTTGTAAAATGGATATTATTTTATGCATATTTTCATCATCATAAGTTCTGAAGCAGCAGAGAATTCATTTTCTTTTTTTTCTGCAATTTTAGGACGTACGAAACTTCGATTTTGTTAGATCATCAAGTTAGCAATGAAATTCCTGTCGATGATGGTAAATTTTGAATAAAATCTTGGTGAATACATGTCTGGGTCTTTAGAATATTTATTTATTTTAAAAATGTTTCAGAATATTACGAATATTTTGGGCCAGACTTTTCTCTTCATCCCGAAATTGGAACAAAACACGAAAACCACAATACTAAACAGGTTTGTAAAGCGTTTTATAAAATAATCTTTTAAGAACACGAGCGCTGATTTGTCGAATGCTCGAAAAACCCGTGTTTCTATAACAGGGGAAGTGTTTTCTATTTTTTAAATACTAAACAGGTTGAAAAACCACAATACTCAATAAATTTGTAAACTTCCATTCTAAATTGTTTTATAAACTTCATCATTATAAATTAACATATGCAAAACGCGTGCTCTGATTGGTCAATGCCCGTGTACTAAACATGTTTGTAAACCACTGTAGTAAACAGGTTTGTAAACCACTGTAGTAAACAGGTTGAAAACCACTATACTAAACAGGTTGAAAACCACTATACTAAACAGGTTGAAAACCACTATACTAAACAGGTTGAAAACCACTATACTAAACAGGTTTGTAAACCACTGTACTAGACAGGTTGAAAAACACTATACTAAACAGGTTGAAAACCACTATTCTAAACAGGTTGAAAACCACTGTACTAAACAGGTTGAAAACCACTATACTAAACAGGTTTGTAAACCACTGTACTAAACAGATTGAAAACCACTATACTAAACAGGATGAAAACCACTGTACTAAACAGGTTGAAAACCACTATACTAAACAGGTTTGTAAACCACTGTACTAAACAGGTTGAAAACCACTATACTAAACAGGATGAAAACCACTGTACTAAACAGTTATATGTTTGTAACAGGTTGAAAACCACTATACTAAACAGGTTTGTAAACCACTGTACTAAACAGGTTGAAAACCACTATACTAAACAGGATGAAAACCACTATACTAAACAGGATGAAAACCACTGTACTAAACAGGTTGAAAACCACTATACTAAACAGGTTTGTAAACCACTATACTAAACAGGTTGAAAACCACTATACTAAACAGGATGAAAACCACTATACTAAACAGGATGAAAACCACTGTACTAAACAGGTTGAAAACCACTATACTAAACAGGTTGAAAACCACTATACTAAACAGGTTGAAAACCACTATACTAAACAGGTTTGTAAACCACTATACTAAACAGGTTGAAAACCACTATACTAAACAGGTTGAAAACCACTATACTAAACAGGTTTGAAAACCACTATACTAAACAGGTTGAAAACCACTATACTAAACAGGATGAAAACCACTATGCTAAACAGGTTGAAAACCACTATACTAAACAGGTTGAAAACCACTATACTAAACAGGTTGAAAACCACTATACTAAACAGGTTGAAAACCACTATACTAAACAGGATGAAAACCACTATACTAAACAGGTTGAAAACCACTATACTAAACAGGTTGAAAACCACTATACTAAACAGGTTGAAAACCACTATACTAAACAGGTTGAAAACCACTATACTAAACAGGATGAAAACCACTATACTAAACAGGTTGAAAACCACTATACTAAACAGGATGAAAACCACTATACTAAACAGGTTGAAAACCACTATACTAAACAGGATGAAAACCACTATACTAAACGGGTTTGCAAACTTCACACATTTTTACAAAAAAGATATCAAGTGTCTAGTACGCGTTTAAAATTATCTTTCAAGACGTTTATTGTTGCTGTTTTCTAGTACCTTGAAAATATCAAACAAACAGTTTTTGAGAATCTAAAAATGATTTCGGGAGCTCCGGGTGTTCAGATGCAAGCTGTACCTGACGATCTCTTATCCATTGAAGACAATAGAAATGGCAATGATGACAACATTAGATCACGTGATTATCATAGGTAGAAAGATGTCTTTTATGTTTAGACGCTAAGATAATCATTTAGACTCTCCAATTGAAAAATCAGCTATACTATACTATGTTCTGCTTCCCACACTTATCTTCCATAAGTGTATACGACACGAAATTTTTTATCGTTTTCAATGAAAGATCTCCAAAAACTCTAATGGACTTTCCTTTTAATGTTCATGTTTGCATGCTTACTTTGGGATTGATTGAACTTCTTGTGACATGTAAATTAGAGAATTTGGGTTCAGCTGTTTCCTAACCAACTTGCATTTATTTCAGCTAAAAATGAACAAATTTGCTTTTTACTAAGTGAACGCATAGCAATAAATTAGTTTTGATAGAACACAAGCATTTCAAGTTTTGTGCATTATGAAACGATAAAACATAAATTCTTCAATTTACATATAGCTAAAACTTTAATAATTCCAGAAGTTAGCATTGTAGAGATTGATGTTAAAAAGGAAATCTATCACAGCTTGAGGAGATCTTTTATAAAATACAATAAAATATTTCTCGTCATGTACACTTTAAAACCTCAAAAGTCAGGTGATGAGATTTTTCCTTTCATTTGAGGCATTTTCATTTATTTATTTGGTCTGATTTTATGTAATATATTTTCATTGCTGTGTTTTCCACGAATTCATTTTTTTCTAGAATGAATAACGAGTTCTATGACAAAGAAAACGATGTTGATAAGGAAGATGGTTATGTTGAAGTATGAGAGGTAAACCTTTATTCATCTTGTTTTTGAATAAAACTTAACCGTTTTCGTTTCTTCCCATGTCAATGGTATAGAGCCCCTGGATTTGCTTTGAGAAATCCCGCACTTGGTATTCGATTATTTTACACATACATGTATATGTAGATATAATTTTTAAAACTGTGTTATCATGAATGGCTTGACGCCGCACGGTATCGTTGTTGCAATGGTAATTTCGACTAATTCGTGATGTTGTATTGTGAGCACCAAAATACATCAAGAAATGATTGACATCAGCCTTAGAAACTTTGCATTATTGTGGATTGAAATGACATAAAACACTTTTTTTCTGAAAAAATATGGTGAATTTCTTTAAAGATTTTTGAAGCAAATGTCAATTGATGAGTTGATTTAATGTTAGATAAAAACATGAGTAATAGTGTAGAAAAAACTGCTTAAACTAAAATAAGGTTGCCTTAAATTTTAAGGAAAAAGACATTAGGTGTTTGAAACGTTGCAGTATCCTTGGATATTACATACATCTGTACGTGACTATAAATTACTACGTCGAATGGCTCTTGAAGACGTTAAAAATATGGGCAATTACACGCTACCTCCTGCCAGAATTGGAGTTTCCCGTACGCCTTTGACGACAAAGAAGAGCGGCTGGCTGGGCATAGCCGCGCTAATAATTTTTCCATCATTAGAAATGTGAACTGAACATCCTTTAGCCTCAAAGTTCATTTTGTGGGGAAAGATTAAAAACTTTTCTTGAAATTTTGTCACATGTAAATTTCAGAATTTTCGTAAAGTGCATTTTCTCAAAATGGAACATCTTCTCTTGTACTCATTTTGTGTTACGCAGCTGCGTTGTAATGATCTGGTGAATCATCAAGGACAGTCAGACATTCAGCATGGATTTCTTCTCTCGCATTGAGTATATTTCTCTTTCTAAAGGCGATGATTTTTCAAATATTAGGAATTATACACATGCTGCTTCCCAAGTCTTTATATTTACATTGAAAACGGACTGTATTGTACTAAATACACGCATACCCAGATGAAAAATACATGAATATGCCTTTTTGGATGGCCATTAAATTGAGCATTACAACGAAATATGTCGTGAAAGACGAAACTGGCGAAAAAAATATATCTTCTGTAAATTCTTGTAAAAAAACAAATATCGTGCACAAACAAATTGTCATACCCCCCTTCACCAATTTTCTAATGGTATGCCACTTCTGTGATTGAAGATTCCTTGCAGATCTGTTGCTCTATTTCTAATTGATTTTTAACTGAATAAACTGCATGATAAACAATTCAAATGATGCTTGCTCACAATTGAATCCAATTTAAATCCACCTTTAACCTTTAATTCATTGTCCACGGCTGCATTGTCGCAAGAGTCACGAACAAAAATGAAACTCAGTACGCAAAAATTTATCCATTAAAGCGTTAAAAACGCAATACACAATTTAATGCGTGCTATCTATGTCAACAATCAGTCCATTACTGTTTTGATGACAAATCACCCAATAGCGCACTCGCCAGGAATGGGGTAACAATTCACCGAGGATGCAGTGGCAAACAAGTACGATTTCATTTAACTCTTTTATTGTCCATCCGCCAATTTTATTTTTTTGAAGCGAATTAAACCAATCACATTAGCAGCGATAAAAACTTCAAAGACATAGCTTATCACATAGGCTGAACAAAGATGTCATTCGTAAAAACTAAGAGTTATGATTGATAGTGATATAAAATAAAAATGAGCATCTAAATTTATTCTAGCCCGAGTAAGAACAACTACCATTTTATTCCGACAAGCCTGTTTCGTGATTGCTCACTCATCAGGGGAAATGTATGTATATATATATACAACACAAACTTGTGAAGCAACAACTTATTCCTTTTTCATATATTACTTCATTTTATAACAGCTAATCTAATAAACTAGCATGGTAACTGATAAATTGTCTTGTTAATAAAGACTGCTGTCTTCAAAATTTCTCACATTGAAATAGTCAAATTTATAACTATCGCTCTGCTGTCGAAATAGTGGGTTGGTACTTTTGTAAATGTGATACACGTTCTTGGATTGTTAAAGAATTTTTGTGTTCATGGGGAGAGGTGGATTTGGCAATCATCACTGACCACACAGATTAGTCATACATGTTGAGAATCCGCACATTTGGAATTTTTGTCCATTCATCTTGTTAAAGTGCTAGAGAATAATGTATATTCACGCTATGACTATCTCATAACACGTATACAGTAGGTTTGTGAAAAAATATTTTTTACGCAGCCCCAAACATTGATTCGAGAGATACTAAATCATACGCTTGAAAAGTCAACGGCCAACTTCGGGCATAAATATCTCTGGTGCTTTACAAATTTATATTTTATTCATATTTTGATTAGGTTTTATCTGAGCCTGCCTCAAAAAAAAGTAATAGTGATTTTTTCAAGAAAACTCGTAAATTTTATTAATAAATCCTTGCCATTTTCAATGAAATATCTTCAAAAATTTGTCTTTCAAACGTTTAGTAAAGAGTGTGATATGTCGTTTACTCAAATATAGACTCGTACAATACTAACAAGCCTATATACAACTGTATTACTTACGTTTAGTATAAACACGCAGAGGCTTCGCAATTACCGAGCATTTCATTGTATTCTTTGCCCACTGCCTCACTCGCATTATGTATTCATTGTTATTTTTATGATTCTATTCGACATTATTCGTAATTATAAAAACAGGAAAGAAAAATACACCCTTTCTGATTTACATTTTCCTAACCAGAGCATCGTGAATAGAGTGTGAGATGAGTGTAACAATCAATGTAATGCAAGGCACCAGTTGATAAAAACACTGGACTCCCCTAGCCAGAACATGGTGAGGCGTAAGGGGGGGGGGAGGATTTCTAAACTTTTGCAATGCTCCCATAGAATGCCTGACATTCTACCGGTTTTTTATTATTTTCTGCTACATCCAGTTCAAACATAGAGACCAATAATATAGATGGATGCAGTTCGGAAGTCGTCTACTTTTTTACAGCAAAAGGTATAAGTACAGTAGAACATAAACGTTAGCCTGCTTACAGGCTACCCACAGAAATGAAATATACATTCAAAAGAGGGTTTCTAAAAATAGATTAAGGCTTTTATCGTTCAATTTGCAAAAAATACTTTTCATAACTTGCACTTGCGGTCACTAGGACTTTGTGAGGAGAAGAGGGAAGTTAGCTGAAAGACAAGAAGAGCAAAAAGCAAAAGCTAAGGATTGTGATCAATAATGAATTAAAGTAAATGTGTTCATTTACTAGATATGGGCTGCGGTAACTGATAAATTGTCTTCTCATAAGACTGTTTTCTTCAAAACTTCTCAGATCTAAATTCAAATTTATGCTTCTCGCTCTGACGTCGAAGTATGGATCCCAGAGTTGGATTACCGCAGTAGAAGACCGATACCTGGCCATGATCTTGCTGACTTATGTCAAAAAATACCTAATGAATAAGATAAACAAGGAACTGAAGTTTCGTTTATGGTATTTCTTGCTGTTTTTTTTTGCTTGTATTAATTGTTTACCTTATCCCAATTGGGACGTCCTGGATTGGTCCTTGTTTTCAATCCAGTTATAAGATCTTTGTCTTTCTTTTCACGAATGAGTTCCAAAGCAAGTTGAAGACCAAGTGCTTTTATGTCTTCTTTCTTTAGAGCCGCTGTCATATAAATATGTATATCCAGAAAGTGTTCATTAAACACTCCTTGTTGTTCTGTTTGCTCTACTTCTAATTGAGTCAGTAAACTGATAAACCATTCAAACGACGCCTGGTCACGATTAATCCAAATGAAATCCACCTTTAAAGTGAGCCGCTTATGTTAGTTAGCAGCGGTTTACTGAACAAATGCAAATTGCCGAAACGAGCTGAGTTTAACGGCTATACGGCCTCGTTTGCTCCCTGTATTTGTTGCTAAAAAGGACAATATCTTACATCCTTATGAATGTTTTTATGCAGTGCGGTGTTTGAAATTAAATGAGATATGATCTTCGCACTTAGCTGGACAATTTAAGCAATCGTCTCAGGACCTGAAAAAATCAGGTGACTCAAAAATCCCGTTGAGTCACCTGATTTTTTCAGGTCCTGAGACGATTGCTTAAATTGTCCAGCTAAGTGCGAAGATCATATCTCATTTAATCTTACATCCTTATAAGATCAAATCACTTTAGTAACTTTAGACAATCTTTTTTTTATCAAAAAGAAAAATTCTTCATTCTTCTGAAGCAATAACGAGGTTGTAGGGAAAAAACGGCATGAAACCAAACGAAGTAATATAATTACGTACCTTCTTTAACTTTCGCAAAGAAAAAGGAATATTTGCTACCCAGGTATATTCACAATTTGGACAAACATGAGAGGCGCTCTTGTATCTGAGCATAATCGTTTGTAATATCGATGCAAATGGTGTTACCCCAATGCCGCTGGATACAAGAACGGCATGTTCAGCTTCATAGAAATGCTCAGATGGTGACCCATACGGACCATCGAGGAATATCTGACAAAAAATTGAGGATTGTGAATAATTGTTGACAGTTTGTTAACGTTACCTTGTGTATATTTGATCCTACCTCCATGTTACCAGCCTTATTCTTCATTTTCTTTAGTGAACGTTCACTCGCAGCGTCCTCGTTGATAAAAGAAAGATTCTGTGAAATTTTGCCATAGTTGTTATTTATGTTTTCTTTGACGTCAATTTTGTCTTTCGAAGTTGAATGCTTCTTTAGTGAATGGGCATGTATGGTCGTGCGTCGTAATGATTTCGCCCTGTGGAGATTGTTGAAAAAATATTTGAAATGTCTCTTTCAAAAGATCTCTTCAACTTAAAGTATAGAGCAGTCATTTTCACTTAATACTCAAATTTCAATACTTTATATAAGAATAATTTTGATTTTATTGAACATACGCCGAAAATTTATCGGGACTTGGATCAAAAATGCTTTTTGCAATCGATTTCTCAAATTGTTCAGAAAGCCGGGTTGAGCAATTTTTTCTATCAGTTTGAAAAAAATAATTTTTAAAAAACCGTCCTTGCAGACTATCCCCAATCACCAATCTTACCTTGAGATAAACTTAATTACATTAAATTTTATACAAAAGAACTAGAGAAATTATAACATTTGGGTGTGTATCGAGAAAAGAATGAAAGAAACTAATTCTCTCGCTAATTTAAAGTTAACGACTTTTATCTGTCACAATTACCTTTCTTCTCTCAAGATATGAGCAATAGTTTTTCTTCTTGTTGACTTGTTGTGTTTTTGTTCCATCTGAGACTTTTTGTTGTAGAAGTCATATAACTTGTTTGTCCATGTTCCAACTGCTCTAATGTGAAGCCAAATATTCTCGGTTTGATCAGGAGAACTGCTTATTGTAAAAGGATGCCATTCATATTTTGCAATTTGTGGAATGTTTACGAGAACATAATCTCCTGGTTTGTACTTGAAATTCTGTGCTCGTGGTATAATCAGTTGGGTGACCTGTTGTAGAAGTATTGTTTAACAGAATAATTAAATTTTGTGCTTGGGGTCGGTATTGCCATAGTTTTTACAAGGCAGGTTCGCTGTGATAAACTGGCAGGACGAACAGAAAACGTACTGTTTGTGTCTTATAAGCAGTTAAACAAGCAATTATGAGCAACTTCATGTTGTAGTAATCTAAAAGCTTGCATTTACTGGTACGTATAGGAGGTGAATAATGGAAATAAATGCTTTACAATATGAAATTTTGTAATTTTGAAGAATTATAAAGGGGGCTGAGCCCCTCTAACTTGATAAAGAATTTCAACAAGGGTAGCTGAGACCTCCTGAGACCCCTCCATTAAGCCATATGAGCTTAATTTCTGCAATTTTGGCTGATAAGTTTCAATTATCTAAGTAAGCAGAGAATAGATATAGAGTAAACGGCAACGGTATACTTTCATTGCTGCGATGAACGCAAAAATTAACGAATCATATTTGTTTAGTCTTTGCAGAGTTTAAACGAATCTTACAAGTCAAAAAAGGTAGTGACTATTAGTAATAATAATTCTTCACCCTATTAGGAAAAATGATTCCTTCAGCGATGTAAGTTTTGCCATATCTTGCTTTATTTACGATACTGAGTCTGGATATTCTTTCAAAGAAGTACACAACTGCAGGAGCAATGAACCATATCCAAAAGTTCGGAGCGTGAATAATGAGAAGTATCCACCAAGCGATGAATAAATGATGTGTGAAATAGAACAACTGCAAACAAATGCAATTTTTTGTTTTACTGAAGTATTCACGAATTTGATTTGATTTTGACCATCAGCAGTGGTCATATAACCACTTGATGGGCTTATTATGAAAGCTGGACAAGTGTAAATGGTATATTGCTGATTGACGGACTCTTCTCGAAAAAAGACTCTGGATAAGACTCGTCATTTTGCTCATAATTTTTTTACAAAAGCTTTTTACAGATATATGGACATATATAGGAAGTATGCAGTTGCGCAAAAATTGCGTTTCCACAAAATAAGCACTGTCTGGTTTGTAGTTCAGTTAAGCGAAAGGAAAAATGAAAAATTGGGTATATATATGAACGACACGTAATATTTTTTTAGTATTATCTTATACCTCAAAATATCCACGTCGTCTCACACAAGGCAAAGATGTTAAACCCATGACGGCAAACACAATGAATAGAAGTACTCCAGTAATTCCTGCACTTCCGTTTAACCATCCTTCACCAGACTTGGTTGTGAATAAATATTCCCACACCTTGATACTTGTGTCTGTTTTAACTGAAAATAAATACATAACCATGCTGTATGTCTTAATTGTATGCGTTTATTGAAGACTGTTGTAGCCATTTTTTGAATTATAGCTATAAATTTTATAGCGTCAATTTTATCTTTCATTCAGTTTTTCCCAATGGCTACGCATGTTGAGCTTTTGGTAATGTTGTAATACTTACTGTAGCGTCCCAGGTGTCCTATGAAGTGAAGAATACTTTGTAATAAGATGACGACAGCCACGAATTTATGAAAGTCGATGTAGTAATCAATTGGAAAGTATTTTCCAATTCGTGTGGATCTGAGCCATGTTAGTGATCGTTTTAACATGAGAACAAGAATTAAGGCACTGTTAAAGTTTAAACACATGCCATGAGCACGTGCAACGATTATCCAACCACCTTCATCTTTTCTTTGAATAACAACACAGACAAATAGTCCTGCATTAATGAGGAAATAAAGCAACACAAAAAATACTGTGAGGATATTTTTCTTAAGTGTAGCCCAACGCATTTTGTGATAATTATGATGACGTAAACCCTTTCGCGGTTTGTCGTCGGCAGGTCGTAACCAATTTCCAGCTCTATGAAAATAAGAAACAAAGACAGATATTTTTCGAACCTCAAATTTGGAAATAAAACTACTATAGTGCGTCTTCTTCGATTATATCTTAAAAAGCAGGTATTAAAATTCTATGTTTCTTTTCAAAGTGAAATGATGTCATTTTTGTCGGCATTTTTTGTAAATAACACTTTTAAAATCGCGTGTTTTGCCGCTCATATCTGTATATCATTTGATGTCGCTCAATATTTATGAAATTAACTGCGAATTCGTTTTTGAATCTAAAAAATTTAAAATAATGAGCCACGCTTTGTATAATTTTGTCTGTTTTTAGTGGTGCTTTTTAGAGATCACTTAGGCGCAATAAATGATATTTTGTCATAATGCATTTTGTGTTCAATACATGACGTATTTCACTTTAAAAATTCTCGTTGTCTAATCATTTACATGAAATTTTTTCTCACGTGATTGTAAGATTTTCTGCAACGCCAGGGAACTTTGAAAGACACGAAGAAAATTCTTCAAACGTTATCTGCCCGTTTTCATTTTCGTCCGTCTCCTCAAAGAAACATTCTACAAGTTCGTCCATTTGTTCTTTTGTGAACTTTATTTGACTTTCCTGGACACAGGAATTCAAGACAATGTGCATTTCCTCTTTGTTCAAAGTGCCATTACCTAAAATATCAAAGAATCAAAATTACCATTTATAACTAGGAATTATAATAAATAACAAAAAGACAATTGCAATATCGTACCAGCATATAATAATTTACAGCATTTTTATATTTCAAAAAATCATATTTATAAACACAAACATGTCGATCATAGATGAAGTCGGAGTTTTTGGTTGACTACTACTTTTTCATGTTGAACAAGTGATGCGATGAAGAAGAAATCGATTTTTCAATGCACGCCACATCAACATAACATTTCAGACCGATATTTAACGTCTTAAATTTGGACCTGACGGTCGGGGGTGTATAAATGCAACGGCGCAATGAAGTAAATAAATATGTTATTCCAATCGCGCAACAAAACGGTAAAACAATGATCTGGCTTGTATTTTTAACGTTCATATTATGTTCAATCTTTTCAATAGTTTTTCAGTAATAATCTTGTAGTGCTATGCTCGACTATCAACCTGCAAACATTTGAAAATTATATTTACCATCAATATCGTAAACGTTGAATAGAAATTTTAGTTTTTCATTTTCACTTCCTTTTGTCAGTATTTGCAACCCATTGACGAGTTCTTTCATGCAAATAGAGCCATCACCATTGGTGTCAAACAAAGAAAAAAATCTTTGCGAGAAAAAAGACTAAAATGTAAATAAAATATTCTTTGTAAAAGTCTATGAAACACAACAAACGTTGTTTTATGTGTTCGAATTGAACCTTTTTTAAGTGAAGAGCTTCTTGGAACTGTGCAAATGTTATTTTTCTATCTTGTGACTCGTCAATATTGAAACTATCTTCAATCCATCGGTACCATTTACAATCCACAGAGGCACTTTAATGACAAGTAATAGATTATAGATAATCGTAGTACATTGTGTTGTAAATTAATACTACTAAAAGATCAACTTACCATTCAATACGATCCAAGCAGCTGATAAATTCCTTCAACTGAATCACACCATCTCCATTGATATCGAAAACAGTAAACAGACAGGAAGCAAACTAAACCAGGGTTTCATTAAACTTCAGTTACAGCGAGACAATGAATAGATGAATGAGTAATTAAATAGAGAAAAGATTTCATCTTCCTCTATCGGGTGACTGTCATGTCATCTCGTCATATAGGAATTTTTGAGGTATATACTGAGAGAGTTTTCTTACGTCATCTTTTTTCAGTTCTTCTGTTATCTGCACGTGACTGACGTAAGAGTTTTTACCGCTTAGTGCAGTGAAACGATTGTTAAACCACGTAAGTAATTGCCTGCCACTCTTTTGTTCTTTACTACAGAGTCAATGATAGCATAGAAACTATTTGAATTCAGGAATACACTTAGGCACGTTTCAAACGTCGCATTTTACATGCACCGAATGCATTAAAGACAAAAGAAAATGAGATAAAGATTCTTCTTATCTTTTGTTTTAAATGCATTCGGGTCATGTAAAATGCGACGTTTGAAACAAGCCTAACATGCAGGAAAAACAGCTTATGTACGTGGGAATTCTCATACTGACCGAAGTAGAAGACCAAGTGCGCCCACGAGTTCTTGGACATTGAGAGCAGTTTCATTATTTGATTCAAATATTTGTACGAGTTTATCAGCAAACCCCTATATATAAATACATATATACATATATACATAAAGGTAAAGACTCGTATACGTATATCAGTAATAGAAGAGAGAAAATATATTGGACTGTGGTCTACTGAAAGTGAAAAAATTTTAAAGTTGTGAATCATCACAGAATCTGGTCAATATTCCCGCACGAGGCACAAAACACTACGGTTGATGTTGAATTAGTAAGATGCAAAATTATTATAATTCATGTATGAAGGTGAATGCATATTCGATTTGTCTAAACCTATTTGAAATCAAAAAAATCTAAGAAAACCATTATTGATGTAATAGGACAGAAGCCTGGAAAAAATAAACTTACAAAAGAATTCTGTTTAATTTTTTTGCTGTCAATGTTTTCTACTACGACACTGATGCAATAGCAAAAATATTTGTAACACGCAGTTTTTTCATGTATTCTAACATTTTTAGCAACTGTTCACGTATTCTAGAATTTTTAGCTACTATAATTGTTGAATTCTTACGATAATGTTCAACCAATTGGGATGTTTGGAAAGCATAGTATACAGCATACCTCCACATGTTTGCAAGCGCTTACAAACTCTTGTTTTGTAATTCTTCTCTGGTTATGTAACAAACCAAAATTTGTCTCAAACCAAGAACATTTTGAGTGTTTCCTTTGTGGAGTGATCATATTTAGAAAAATTTTATCACTATTGCTTTGATAATCTGATGAAAAACTTCATGTCAACACTGTGTTGACTTTCGTCTGAGTTTGCAACTTATCGCTATGGAAAGCACTTTTAAAATCCTTCATTTGCACATTCATTTTATCTGCAAAACAAATTTCTGTGTGTTTCTAGGCTCCTTTTTGTCTTAATGAAAAGACTTGTACATTAGCAAACACATCAGACCAATACAATGTGTTAAATATGTAACGGATATGCGTAAATGCTTAACAACTTGAATCGAAAAAGAAAATTAATGAGAAATTCTGAACATGCAAAGTTACACTCAGAAAATGTGCCGTTGTCAATGGGTTATGGTGACTTTTGTTACCCAATATTGTCCCCACACGATTGGTGTTATAAATACTGCAAAATTTCAAATCTTTTTTAATAAGGAAATTGAATTTCAAAATTTATCTATAGCTCACAAAAAATGTTGTGCGAGGTGTCGTTTTCTTTTTTGGTACCGAACAAATTCATTTTTTCTGTGAACGAGAGTTTATTAGCAACAAAACTATTCATTTTAATGACTCAGAAAATTTAATGATCTTAAACAAATATTTGCATAGTGAAAGGGAAAGTTCGGGTTGGTTTTGTCACTTAGCACACCATATTAAATAAACGTCGTAGTTATAAAATTTTTCCACCTGTCTATAACATGCATAGTTAACTTTTTGTATAGAAAGCCTGGGTTTTATATCATTGTCCTATTACTAAGGTCGTCCCTGTAAGTTCATGAGCAACTCAGACGTTACCATGGAAGCTCACATGGAAACCCTGCTTAGTACGATATTTTATATCTGTGAAGCTGCATGGGAATTAATTACTAATTAGCGAGTTAAAACCTGAAAAACTCTATATATTCTTTATTATATAATAGATTAACGTACATCTTTTAAATTTATTCTTAATTTATTGTTTGTACTAACAGCAGCGTTCCAAATCATGGGGTCAAGGAGTAAAAATTATCACATGCTTTTGCAAGCTGCCTTGAAACAGAAAAGAATAAAATTTAAGGATCTTAAAGAGCTGTTTGCCTGTCTCTATAGAAAAAAATGCTTAATAATTGAGAGGAATTACAAAATAATAATTACTTTACTATTACGAGAAATACATGTGTCTTTTGTAAATACTGTAATTTCCATAACAAAGTGCTTAGTACTTTAAATATATTTTCCTTGATTGATGGGATCTTTCAAAGAAACATGGTTGATAAAGTACATTTCAATCTTTCTGTGTTTTTATTGAACTTACAGAATGTATTGAGATACAGTTATGCCTAATTCCTCATAAAGGCAACGGTTCAGGCTAGGTTTTATTTTTGGGGCCTTTACGGAGGGTTAAAACGCTCAAATATGGCTCATACATAAGTATAATTGATCATTTGTAAAATTTGGGAATTGTAAATTGGCAATTCAAAATAACATGCTCAACCTAGAGTACCATTTTCCGAATAATCATCTTGGTTAAAGCCACGTTAAAGCGTGTAATGAGCTGAAAGTATGAATATTAACCATTCCCCCCAATTAGTGTTTTATTTTCCCTCCTGAATGTTGTGTTCTGCCTTCTCGTTTTTGATAATTCCATTCTACCCAATTAACATTCAACATCAAATCATGTGACCATTAAGAGTTTATAATTTTGTGGCCATTATTAGTTGACATACAAATGAAACAACCCTTTAAGCTTTCAAAGTGAAAATTTCTGAACAATATTGCGCTTTTTAACTTCTTGAAGCGTATTTTGAAAAATTGAAATAACTTTACGTATGAAATTATAGCTTTTTCGTGGCAAAATTAAGTTAACAAGAGAAATTGTGCTTGCAAAGATTTCATCGCCATTTCGTTATATCACAGGTCACATCGAAGGGCATGTAACGTAGGTCGAGGGAAAGCGTATTTTTGAAAGGAACAATCTTTGTAACAACGATGAATTCCAAAGACGAACAGTTTAAAGAACCTTTTGTCACTTCCACTTGTGATAAAGATATTGTATTTACTGTAGAAAGAAATTCCTCAGTTCACTCACAAGAAAAATCACTCTCAAACAAGGTTGGCGATTCGGGTGTAAACAAAAGCCAAGAAGATGAATGTAAGCCTTTGCCTGTCAAGAAGAAGCACCGTCGTGGTTCGAGGCGAAGCAGAAAGAAGTTTAAACCATATTCAAAGCTGACTTGGGAGGAGAAGAAGGCCGTGGAAGAAAGGGAGAGCCGAAGAGCTGTAAAAAATCGAGAGAAGTACATGCAAGAAAAAGGTCGTCCACTTGCCCCTTATAACACTTCACAATTTTTAATGGCTGAACATGATACTCAAGAACCTAATTTATGTGTACACAAAACTACGAGAATTTCTAGTTCAGCTGATGACTCTGGCGATTCGTTATCGTATTCTGATGAAGAGCGAGATATCGAAGATGTTCGTAGTTTTTTGCAAAAAGATTTTACTGAAACCTATGATCGTTTTCATTCCGAAACCCTTCATGGTATGAGTAAAGACGAATTAATTAATGAATACATCGAACTGGAGAATAAAGTGGAAAATTTGGAGAAAGAGTTGAACACTATTAAATCAAATGGAAAGGTAAATGGGCATGACAATAGTAAAATCAATTCTGAAATGAACAATGTAGAAACAGGGAAAGATGTTGATACAGAATCATTAAAAGAGGAAATCCAGCATTTGCGTGATGAAAACCAAAGGTTAAGTGTTGAGAATATTAGATTGAGACCGGCAGCTATGGATACACCTGTATCTTAGAACAGGAGGATTCTTGTATAATTGTTGAATGACATCAACTAGTATAACAATTCTGAGACTTACATTATATCCAATGTCATTAACGAAATCATTTTATATCCAATAAATAAATCAAATACCTTTAAGGTGTTAAATGGTAATTTTCCTTTTCACCAAGTATTGTTTGTACCCATGGATATATTATTAATGTTTTCATAGGTTGAATTTAGTGATGTTGTAGATAACTATCTCTGTCATCAATAAATTCTGACTCACATGAAATTTAGCTTTAGAAAGTATATTCTTCATCTTTAGAGAATTTCTGTCCAATTAATACATTAATTATAGTAGCAAATCAATGCCAATCCTTTAATGATATTTGTCCATTTTCTTGGCTGAACTAAAAAAGTTACTGTTTGCCTTTACCATATGAATGAAAGAGTTGTTTTTAGATTGGTGTAGTTACTATAATTGTATAAATATCACAGAAAAGAGTTGTAACTATTGTCAAACTTTAAATACATAAAGGACATCCTCATCATTTCAAACTTTTTTTGTCTTGGCATAAATGCGGTAAAGATAGCAAATGCAAAAAAATTGTTTACTGGAATTACACATTTGGATTGAGTAATAACTCATGATTTTTTTTCAAAATGTTTTCCAATTGTCTTTCGTTATGTTAATAATTAAATTATCTCATTATTAAAACGGGTAATTTCACGATTTGAATAAGGATGCGTAGAAACTTTTAACAAAGTTGACAAATCACAACTCAGAAGTCATTTAAAAGATTGTTTAAAAAACGATGTATTGGTTATATATCTGAATATGATTAAGTGATTATTATATCTGAAGACATTATTCATTGTATATATACATAAGTCGTAACTTCATCTCAACATGAACCAAACATTTCCACAGCTTTTGTATTCCACGTAAAGAGAATTCAAATCAAAACTTGCTTATAAAGCTTGTAAATGTAAAAAACGTTAATTAATGACAGCTCAATTTCTTGAGCATGCAAGCTTCCATTATTTTAATTCTAATCTATACAAATGAAAACTGGAGTGTTAGTTTACCACAGTTGATAAGGAGGAAAATCATTGAGAAAAATACGGATAACGTTTTCTTTGGTGTAAGCCGCCCACATAAACAATTTTTTTTGTACATACTGTTGTTGACAAGTGGCACCCAAATCTCTAATAAGATTTTGAACATGACTGGATTCAAATTCTTCATAAATAGTGAGACTCCGATCGTAGATTAGTAGAGATAAAATATCGCCAGAGAACATATTAACGTTGTCTTGCACTTTAACGATAAAACGTTCACCATTTTTTGGAGGAGGTTTACTGAAATTTGGACCAACTTCTTCAAGTCCATGAAAGTGACAATTAATGATCTCTCTTTGGTTACCAATAATACTTTCCGTTGACGTAAGAAGAAGACTCGTTCGTTCAAGTAATTGATGACAGATATTTTTATGTGTTTTCCACTGATTTTTTTGACATTTTCTGTCACAGTATTCAACAGCGTAACACCGCTTACACTTCTTTAGTTCACCAGCTTTTTTGCAATACGAGCAGAATTGATGCTTACACAAAACATTGCATAGACCTGAATTTGTATCATTCATTTCAATGTTACCGTGCAGTTTGTTCTCACGTATTTCAGCAGTTGGCAGGTTTTGCAGGATTGGAGTATGACAATTGAAAGGATTTGCCGTGGCAACTGGATAGATTTGTCTGAACATAAAATGATTAACATCAACATCATTGATATTTTCCACAATACCAGGGCCACTATTATCACAAATTTCATTATTTTCCACAACAGACGGTGTCCATAAAACAGGTCTTTTTCCAACACGAATTCCTCCAACTCGATTTCCTGAAACTTTGTTGTGGGAAATTTTACCACAAGAATTACATTGTAACCATATTCCCCAATAATTGTTTTCATAGACAAAATTCTTCTTCAGTAGTACTGTGGAGTCTCGAACTGATACTCCAAAGTGGTCATTATGAAAAATTGAATTGTTGTTTAATTGTATATCGCCATGGCTGTCATTGCTGTCACGAACGAAAATACCGTCAGTTTTGTTACAATATAGCTTGCTGTTTGCAATGTGGCACTTTTTCGCTCTAGGACCAACAAGCAAGCCACCTACGTTATTGTACGAATAAATATTTTCAGCAGTTAAAACGCCTCCTTCACGAACTTCGAGACCAGACTTTCCATTTCCAAAAAATAAACAATTGCGCAGGCTTGAAGTGCCTAAACAAAGCAAGCCTCCTGCACCACAATTACTAAAACAACTGTTTTCTATTTTCACGAATCCTTCGCTTTGGAAAGATGGAATTGCCTTGTTGGAAGAAGTAAAAGAACAATTAGAAATGAAGGCCTCGAATGAAAACTTACTAATAAAATTCCCTTGTTCAAACAAAAATTCCATATTAGCAACAGCACATCTCTCAAAAACGCGAATAAATATGGATCCTTTTAGTTTCATGGTGATTTTGCCGTTTTTCATATCTTCAGGACAACCTATAACGATGATGTTGTAAAGATTAATAGATTCTTTATTTATATGGTACGTTCCTGGTTGTAGAAATAGAACTTGAGTGTTGGATAGATCGCGATGACCATTGACAGCCAGCAAAAATTGTTCAGTTGAGTCACAATGGGTGACATGCTGTTGCAAATATGAAAACTCCTTAAAAGGTTCATATTTTTCGAAAATATTGGGAAGTAAATAATATGCTTGACACGCAGCCATTTCAGCGCCAAGACGGTCTTCTAAACCTTTCAACGCCAGCGCTTTTCTGGCGTAACCTTTCCAACAATTCGGAAGCTTCGATATATAATGTTCGGCATCTTGCAAAGCTTTTTTAAACTGACCAAGTCGAAGATATGCTGATGCTCGATTGGAAAAAAATCTTGGATCAAAGCCATCATCTTTTCCGTTTCTACTTATTACACTCGAATACAATTTTACAGCTTCTTCAAGACGGTTTTCTTGAAATAATTTATTTCCTTCTAAGCGTAATTTTTCAAACTTCTTGGCTTCTTCTTCATTCTCAATCAATGGATTCTCTTCATTTTTGCAGGCTGCATACGGTGCTTGAGAGCAGTACTGAACGTGTCTTCGTATATATTCAGGCAATGGGAAAACGTAGATTGAAAACAAATTTAGTGCCGCTTTTATCTCAGCATCACTACTTATAGCCCAATCTAAAATCTTCATTGCGAAATATTTTGCTTGTAATGCCTCGTTATGCCTGCAAAATGCACTTAAGTAAAGGGCGTACTGGTAGATTATGTTAGCAGTTTCACTGAAAAACACATTCTTTTTAACACTACTGTCTTGAGGTAAAAATAATTCTTTCACATTTTTCTCAATCTCGGCGGCATGTGTACACAGTGTTCGCCAACTGTAGAACAAAGATTGATTGGTAAAGTCATTAGAACTCCGATTTCCTTCATTTGCAGACGATAGTAGTTGATGTGGAGAATATGATTCCAGAAAGCTATGATTTAACAAACGGACAGCATCAACAAAACTCTCTTCTCGTTCACTGAAACTAAAACCATCTTTAATGACCTCTTGCACCAGGCGATGAACTTTTAAACATTGATGACTGGACTGTTGGAAAAGTGAAAAATCAGTCAGCAATTTACAAATTTGACATTTTCCCAAAGATGTTCCTACAAACTCACGGAAATCTTTGTCATCAATTAATGGTGTTCCAGCATTTATTAATCCTTCTTGGATTTCATGGGGATTAAAATAAATACAAGCGTTCAAAAATCGAATTGCATTCTTTCCTTCGGAATGTTGAGCTATGTGATCAATGTTAAGTTGCCAGGTTGTTTGAACAGTCAATCTCTCGTCGGAATAATAAGTAGATGTTGGATTGACTTGCTGTTGATTAATAAGAGAAAGCCTTTTTTTCAAGAAAGTTTCAAGATAAGAGGACAACGGACATTTTAGATAACAAATATATGCAGCTGCTTGTTCAAGGGCCAGCGGTAGTCCACCAAGTTCTTCAACAAGTTTCCGTGCCGCTGACATTTCGCTGGCGTCATTACGTAAAATACCAGTCCTAGAAAACAGGAAATCTATACCATCGTCCAGATCAAAACAAAGGATTTGAATGCACAAATTTTCAGCTATATCCATGACTTCTTGTGCAACGTTACTTGGCTTTCGTCTGGTGGTAATAAGAATAGAACCATGGTTACAATTTTTTTGCCATGGACCAGAAAGTAACTTCCGAAGATGTGATGAAAGTTTCAACTCATCCATATTATCGATGACAAGCAGCCAAGATTTCTTGATACGAGATATTTTTTCCAAAGTTTGAGACAATGTACGATCAAACGAACCAGAAGCAAATGGCAAAATTTTTAAAGCCAAATCGTTCACTGACATTTCAAAATTTTTTTCATTCGCACCAGAAAGCCAAAAAACGCCACCTTTATAAAAATCTTTCATACGATGTGCATGTTCTATTGCAAGACTCGTCTTTCCAGTTCCTCCTAGACCACACAGTGCTGCTTTTCTTGAACATGATCCATTCGTTTGATTTTCATCTGTCAGAATAGTTTCTAGTGCTTCAATCTGTTTCATTCGACCAATAAACCAAGGTAGTTGATCAGGAGCGTGAAATACATAAAGATTTTCTAAATCTTGTTGATGTATTAATTCTATACTTAAAGCTCGAATCTCCTGTCTGCTTGAAATATATTTTTGCAATAGATCCCCTGGATTTGCACGAAGCGCATTCATTATGTCGGAAAAGGCTGCAGTTAAGGTATCCAGCTCTTCAATAATACGTTCCTATATGAGGAAAAATAGAGAAGCTACAAAGACACTTGTTTTCAAAATTACACTTTAGTCAAAATCCAAAACTTTTTTTTCAATAATTGTAGATGACATCGTTAATGGTATTTCAGTAATTTTTCACGAAAAAAACTAATTGTTTATTTCTTGTAGCAACCAGTCACTGAACTAATTTGATTCCGATTTGTTTCGAACATATAGTGAATGCAAAAAAAATCGCTGCGTTTTGAAAAATCACACCTTTGACTTTTGTTTATTGCTTCGCAGTTGAAATAGACACCTTGCTTTGAATTGAAAACATATTCAGAAAAAAAGTAACACTAATCAAAACCAATAATATTTAAGGAAAAATTACATACTTCTTCCTTGGACACAGATTTCAACATTTGGTCCGAAAAAGAATCTTTTAGGCAAATAATTTCCTCCTGCAGATGTCTGAGTACGTTTTGGTCAACTGGCTGATCAGAACACAGGTCGTTTTCTATATAATGTTTTACTAAATATAAATATGAACATAAAATGTAGTAACAGAAAAGAATTCTTTACCGATTTTTTCCCAACCATCAACATCATATAAAACATGCTTTTCTTCCAAAGGGGAAAATCCAGCTTTCGATACCAATGCCTTAATGTCTGCTACAGCAGTTTGAAATGTTGCTTCAGTCCAATGACAAAAATTACAATGTGCCCATTTGTTTCTAATATCTTCTCTCACTTTATTAGCTAAAGCATTTGCGCCAGATTTGATGAATGGTTCTGCCTCACACATAACTGAAAGAACTGCAGATGTATCCATAGTATGGTCGAATGCATTAAAACCTGCCATGAAAGGCTTAACAAACAGCTTGGCCAACGATAATGGGTCTTTAACAGAATAATCAAAAGCGGATTTAGAGAGTTTGTGAGTTGAATTGTTGTTGATACTGCCATAGTTAAGATTCAAAGTGGATGGTGGAAGTGTTTTCATATGTTTAGAAAAAGTTTGTTTATCAATGTTTGTTGGTGGGTGGATTAAAGTTTGGTGCCAATTGACCATTTGATCACGAACGATTTGTCTTAATGCTGTGGTCAAAGTCTTGTTCAAAATAAGACCAATAACAATCCATCTCTTTTCATCATCTGATATATTCCTGGATGAAGGCACAGCAGCAGACGACAACGACATTGATGAAACAGCTGAAGCCTTTCCAGTACTGAAGACTAGAAAAAAAGAGAGCTGACAGTATTTTGGTAAATGGTTTGAGCCCGGGAGTATCGTTACTTGTTTGTAAATGTAGATCGTCCAGGTTGGTGTAGTCTTGAGAAGGACTGTTTTTGTTGTTGTTGACTGACGTTTCGACAACCTTAGTGCTAGTCATCTTCATTTTGACTCTGAAAATGACTACCGCTAAGGTTGTCGAAACGTCAGTCAACAACAACAAAAACAGTCCTTCTCAGGACTATACCAACCTGGACGATCTACATTTACAAACATGTGACAGTATTTTATTGACATTTTGCTATAACACTATGCACAAGATCTGGTTGGCAGAGCAGGTTAGATTCTAACAACAAAGTTAGCTAATTTCATCATTTAATTATGTGTGTATATCAGTTTTAGCTGTCGACATCAAACCTTAAACTTTAAAACCAAATCCCAATCGATATTTGAGTGCATGTCAATTACTAGATAAACGAAGTGCAGGGCTTACAACCCCTGAGCTACACACATATTTTAAAGAAATTATGCGCAGCTGAGTTTTGGTTTTTTAGCTCTCGAAAGTTCCGTTTGCATTACAACAGTGAAATGGGTTCTGTTTTATACTCCAACATTACTGAACACCCGCTGAAAAAGTTATAATTTATTTTTACTATGTGTACATTTAAACACGCGTTTTATCCACAAACTTAGCTAGTTAGAAGAGAACGAACTTTTTACTTTAGTTTTTCGAGCTAGTGTCAGGCCGTCGGCAAGATTGAAAGTTCCAGAGAAAAAACCAGCTGGTAAAGCAAGATCCGTTATGTCATACTCTGGTAGTAAAATCGATTTTAAGCGCCGCTTTATGTTAAGCACCGCTCTCTTTTCAAAATCCAGAAAGGTTATTTAGCGCCGCTCCCAAGGGCGGCGCCAGCCCTCTGTTCCTGGGGGGTGTAGGCAGAATTTTACCCAGCCGTGACGTCTTGACGACTCAAAATGCAATGAAATTTTTTCATACAATAAATTTATACTAAAATAAGGCCAAAATAAGAAATGCATTTCTAATTCTTTAAACAAATTGGCTTCAATCGTTGAATGTTGCTCATGTCGTGTACATCATTCAATGACGTTTATGTGTAGAAGTTCAAATAGCAGCTAGCAGATCAAAATATTTTGCTTAAAATACAGAATCTCCTGGTTCTTAAAGCCCATTCAATAATTTGAAAATTTGGAACCCCTATCATGAATGTTGAAATAAGAAACTAAACTTGTGGGTGTTCTTCCTATAAGGAACACCACACTACAAAAATTGTGGGTGTTTGGACACCCAGACACTCATGGGCCACGGCTTCCCAAGCGCCTGTAACTCAGCAATGTTTAAAACAATCTTCAATTGATTGGGAAGGCACAACGCTGTTCAACCAAAAGTAAATCTATTTTTGCAGGTACTTATTAAGTGTCTTAAAAGATGTAACAAAAACTCACTGTAAAAAAGACCTGGCCTTTAATATTATGTTATTCATAAACATCAGACTGACGATAAGGTAAAAGTTTTGAGTGTACCGATGCTATCAAAGTTTCGAAGATAGGTTAGCGATGTATCGTTCCATTTACTTTTTAAAAAGGTTTTCCGAGTACAAATAAAATTTGCGGACTCGCTGACTTGTGGGAAGGTGTTTCACTCCCCTACACCCCTCTAGAGCTCTAGAGCTGCCTCTGGTCATAAACACGGCATTTGAGTAACTTTAGTGCGGCACTCCGAAGAAATATAAAGTTATTAAACTTTAAACGTTACGACAACCATGGTCTGCATCAATATGACATTTTTTCATCAAGTTACATAAAAATATATAATGAAAACAGATTTTGTATACTCGTTATTTTCTTGCGGAAGTAAAAATATTTAATAAGCACCGTTTTTACGGTATCGTAAAGTGAGACTGGGTTAGCTGGTCTTTCCATGACAGTAGGTGCTTTTCATCTCATAAAAAATCTAAATGGATCGTTATCTGCACAATTATCACCGCGTTCTTGCAAAGTCTCAAATTCAAAAGTCGTAAATTTTTGTTGTGACACGTCATGTGACATATCAAATTCGCCACCACTAAAATTGAAGTAAGTTTGTATACACGTTGCATATGACTTACCTTAACCCACGATAATGCCTTTTCGTTAAAAAAGACTTGACTTGTATGAATTTATCGGACAGTTGTCGTTTGTGAAGGTCGCATCTCAAATATAATGTGGAACATGATCCAAGTCGTTCAATAACTTGATTATTAGGAAGTTTAACTATTCAAAAATAATCGTATTGCTTCAAGTTTTCTAAAGTTCGAAATCGTGGCCTGGAAACAATGTTGATGCAGTGAAATTTAATACAACAAATTCAACACGTGTTTATTGTAACTGTGTCACAGTCTGGTAAAGTGGTAACAGTTCATTGCGTAGATGAGCAAACCCTACGATATTATTAAATGAAGTATTTCGTTTCATTGGTACACAGTCATCGCTTTTCCCTCACTTCATCTCTTCACTCGTTTTTCAACCCGAATTCAACTTTAATTTATCAAAATCATAGTGATTTGCTATGGAAAAAATATTTTTCTTTTTATTTGTATCTTCATTGACATTGAGGCAATGCTTGTCGTCCATCGTTCTTGGTGTTAACCCAAACAGTAAGTAATAAATTAAATACATTTTCATATTTATATCTAACTCATGTCATGGGATTGACACTCAACGTAGTGGCCAGGAAGAAACATTTGTGGTTGTATGATGACCATTTTATGGAATTGACTTGTTTGAATACAGAGTAGACTCTTCTTTCCACTTACTTTATTTACATTAACTTTCAGGGATGAAAAAATGTCAATTTAAATGAAAAAACCATTATCTATTTTGTTAGGATTACCGCTTTATGATCCAAGTAAAGATTTCACCTGTCTTGATGGATCGAAAACAATTAATTTTTCAAATGTCAACGATGATTATTGCGATTGTGAAGACAGCTCAGATGAACCTGGTATTTATATTTTGTCTTGCGTACCATTTTTTTCAAAATTACATGTGTGATCCATTATGATCCATTATGAATTTGTCTTTAATATTTTCCGAAAACCTAAGATGTACATGGTTAATTTATGAGAAAATTTTGTGCATCTTCTCGAAGAACTTTTTAGCTGATTTGTCTTATTCTTGGATTGCTTTTGATGGTCAGTCTTTTATACAAGAGGATATTTTGAGCTACGTATTGTGGGCACCAGCCAACTTGGGAAAGCAACAGTGTTTTCTGAAATTGTGTTTGATTTCAAGCCAAAAATAGTTTTCCGTTGAAGTGGTGTTTTTATTTGAATAAAGTGAGAAATTTTATCTAAAACAACCCCCCCCCAAAAAAAAATAACATTGGTGTTGTAGTAAAACTCAAGAAAACTTAGTTTGGTTTAGATGGACACATCAGCACTTATAGCTGATGCAATTATCCATCATTAACATATAGGCTGTTATTGTGGAAAAACATGTTTGCATCATTTAAAATAATTTGTTTACTTACGTAGATGTATTTCATCATATGATGATGTGAGATTCACTTATCTTTTCATCAGGCACATCTGCTTGTCCAAATGGTCGATTTTTTTGTGAAAATAATGGCTATTTAGCTCAACTTTTACCTTCATCTCGAGTCAATGATGGCATCTGTGGTGAGCGAATTTCTCTTAAAGTGTTGCTATGTTCATGTTTACATACTTAATGAGTTGTATGGTCAAAATACTTCTCCAGATTGTTGTGATGGCTCTGACGAGCATGGAAATGAAAAAGACTGTCAAAATAACTGTTTGTATGTAGAATGTTGCTTCGAATTTTTATTTGAAAATCATCTTTTTGTCTTACTGTTGTGTCATTAACTTTGTCATGTGTTTTAGTGAATTGGGAAGAGAGTATCGTGAACAAAAAGAAAGAGAAAAACAAATGTTTAGTCAGGTTACAATCCCTACATAAATATTGATTGTTTTGCATCATGTGCAGGTATATTTTCATCTCCACCAATAACATTTTAGGGTGCTGCACTTCGTGATGATCTATCAAAACAAGGGAAATTAAAGAAAGAGCAGAGATTGGTAGATTATTGTCATGTGTTTTATACTGTCAAGTTATCCCACAATTTAGGAAACTTCATCAGCATAAAAACCCAACTTGTGATTGGTTAAGTCACATAACAATCCAACTTGTGATTGGTTAAGTCACATAACAACATGACTTGTGATTGGTTGAGTCACATATCAACCCGATTTGTGATTGGTTGAGTTACAAAACAACCCAACTTGTGATTGGTTAAGTCACATAACAACCCAACTTGTGATTGGTTAAGTCACATAACAACCCGACTTGTGATTGGTTGAGTCACATATCAACCCGATTTGTGATTGGTTGAGTTACATAACAACCCAACTTGTGATTGGTTAAGTCACATAACAACCCGACTTGTGATTGGTTGAGTCACATAACAACCCAACTTGTGATTGGTTGAGTCAAATAACAACCCAACTTGTGATTGGTTAAGTTGCATAAAAGCGAAACTTGTGATATAGGTAACGTTCATGTTTGCGCAATCTTTAAAAGAATTATTGGTTTTTGGTGTTGACTGACGTTTTGACATCCCTGCTAAGAATCTTGAAACGTCAGTCAACATCAACCTTCTTAGGTTTCCACCAACCTGGACGATCTGCAAACATCTAAGAATACTCCCAAATTCAAACCGTTTAATTTATTGATATAAAATGATGGTTGAGTCACAAGAATTTTTTTTAGAATGAACATGCTGATTTGAAGGTGAAAGCAGATGAAAAGAAAGAACTTGTTGAAAATCTTAAAGGTAAAAAAGGTCTTTGATGTAAAAACTAGCCATATCTGACATACGTAACATTTGCACTTCGGAAATACAAATGTGTGCAGCCTTGAAACTACGGTCAGTGTTTCAACGCCTACTTTGACACAATTTGTTCAAGTTAATATAGGAAATGTCGCTCACCTGCCTTTAAAACCGTTTTATTAAGTAACCACGTAGACGTTCAATTGATCGTTTTTTTGCTTTGTCGTTTTTACTTACCACATTGATATGAACGCGTACAAATATAGAAAAAAAGTTGATTAAATTTTTGTTGGTAATGAAATATGCTTAACTATTGTTTTTATTTCCAAAAGGTTCGCTGATATAACAATTTTGAGTTAAATGATTTTTATTGAAATCTTGAACTATCGACAAAATTTTTCGAAAAACCTACTATCCTATTGATAGCGCTATCCACGCATTTTGCGACCATCCCCTAAAAATTTTGTTGTCTCAAGAGTTGAATGCTTTATGATAAAATTTTAGTTCATAAAGAAAATGTTGAGAAATTGGAAAATGAAGCAAAAACAAAACATGACAAAGAATGGGAAGGTAAATATTCTAAAGATCTCTAAATTATTGATATTTCCAGTCCCAAAATGCCTTTGATGATGGGGCAATTTTCTTCTTCCATACATAGAAAAAATCAACCAAATAAAGGCCGAGAGGGATCTGGAACGAGCACAGAATGCTTTTGCTTCATTTGATGTTGATGAGAGTGGAAGGTATATCTATGGTGTTATGAATTTTTCTTGATATTTTTCATTTTCTTGCATTAATGATGATTTTGATTGCTTACTTTGTCTTCACGCTAATTTACAATATTTTTGTGATTGTTGACACCAACTTGTCTTTAATTTCAAAAATAGTCTTACAATTCAAGAAATACAAGCGTCGATAAATCTCGATAAAATGTACACTGAAGAGGAGGCACAGGTACTTTATAACTGTTATTACTTATAGTTATAACTTATATTCTTACCTTGAGACATTGTTGTAGGTTTAAAGGTTAATGGGCCCTGACTTTCAAGTTGTTAATTTTTTTGTGTCATTTTTATTTACATAAAATTTCGTCCTTCTGTCATTTACACATAGTCCATTCTTCAAATGTCATTTAAAATTTTATCAACGTGGATTTGTTTGCACATATGTATACATTTTTCTACAATATAGGAACTTCTAGGTGGTGCAGTGTCTGTTGATCGTGAAAGTTTTGTTTCTCAACTATGGGAGAGCAAATTCCGTGATATTTTCAATAAAACAAAGGTTTGTATTATATTATGAATCTTCAATATCTATAGCTCCTAGTTATGAATATTGTTGTGATCATTATAATTTTGATTCTTCAAACTCTGCGTAGCACATTAACTGTAAAACTGCATGTAACATGTGTTTCTTGCATTTTATTTCATGGTCTATTTTGGCCGTGGTTGGTCAAGATAATGTATTACTGTAGAACAAGAATTATGGGTAGTTTGAGGAAAGTTCGTTTTCTGTAACTAAAAGCCACCACGTTTAACTGTGTTAAAAATACGTTAATTAATGGTCTTCAGCATATTCAAGTAGCTCTGTGCTCATTGCCGGAGTTTCGTTGTAAAAATGCAACTTGTATTTTTCCGGATCTTGAGTTTAGGTCAAAACAAAAAATCCGGTTGCGTAATTTTTGTGAACGTCGAACTATTGAATAAATGTTCAAACTCTCACAAAAAATGCAACTATTTTAGGAAGTTATTGTTAACGAAAAATTAAAAACTCCCCATAAATGTAGTATTTCATGTATAAAAGATATCGTGACGTCTTATTTCATTGACAATTGACAACTGTTATTTTCTGGAGCCGAAAGTTAAACGCACAGAGTTTACACAGTACTATATTCTGTCGTAAAGTCTTGTGATCGCCTTCGAAATTTCCTTTTTAATCCTTCCCTTTTCCATGGCCGAATTTTCTCTCATTTATGTATTAAATACAATGTGCAAATGCATGTTTATGTATACATAAGCATTACCCACAATTTACCCCCTTTCCGAATTTTTTTTCCTGTAGCTATGTAGCCAATTAGTTAATATGTACTTACACTAATGTACACAATTTTCATACTTGAGGATTGTTTAGTGATAGAAATAGAACCCTTAAATCAATCATTGCTATACTATAGCCTTTGGAAACTCCTGATGAAGGAGATGTAGGAACTCCCCCACCACCAACAGAGGAACCTCCAGAGCCACCAAGTGATGGTAATGTTGATAAGAATGATGATGAGAAAGATCTTGATAGCGTAACTGGTATGAGTCAAGATGAAGCAGATGATGATGATGATGATGATGATGATGAAAATGAAAAAGACGAAGAAGATGAAGAAGATATCAAAGATGAAGAAGGTGGGACGCCGTCTGCAACAGGTATGATAATGGCCAACGACTATTTTTCGTGCTGTTGAAATATAGTAGACAAAATTTTATATTTCATTCCAATTTGTTCAGATAAAGTTGACGATGAAGGTCTTCCTAAAAAACCGGATTACGACGAGGAAACTAAGAAACTTATAGAAGGTACTTTTGGAGGAAACCCAACTTTCAATGAATTGACTTACACAAAGTATTTCCTTAAGGAAAATTATGCTTGAGACTGGTATAACAAAAATAATTTATTTTCCACTCATCTCCCTACATTATGTGTATTATACAAATAAATTGTAACATTTCAGTTTTCATGACTTTTGATGCTGTTTTTTTCCAAACATCAAACATGTATGTGTATGGTGCACATTGACTTTAGCAAAGTATTTTTCCCAGGAATAGTTTTACCGCTATCGGCCAGTCTAGTATCTTTGTGATTTTTTTCTATATTTTATTTATTGGTGCAGATGCAGACAAGGTTCGCCAAGAATTTGAAGAAACAACTCGTGAGAAGGATGATTTGTTAAAAAAACTTGCGTAAGTAGATGATGACCATACATTTACGTTTTGTTGCTCTTCAATTCCTTCAGAAGGTCTTATTAATTAAACGCGTTTATAGTAATTGTCCATGCACTTCTATGTATAATCTAAGTCTCTTATATTAATTTGTTTAGTAATTCATTCTCCAATTGTCTTCTGCAATTCATATCTATATTCTCTGTTTTTCTCTTTTTTGCTGTTTGCTTTCAACCAGTACGGATTATCTTAGCTTTTTCAAAGGAATACTCAATAAGGTTGATTCTGTTGTAGAACGTGACGCGAGAAGCTTTATGTTATGACATGTTGAAAATTTCATTTATTTTACATTGCTTAATGAAAATTGTTGATAAATTCTATGTATAACAACATTTCATTTATTTTACATTGCTTAATGAAAATTGTTGATAAATTCTATGTATAACAACATTTCATTTATTTTACATTGCTTAATGAAAATTGTTGATAAATTCTATGTATAACAACATTTCATTTATTTTACATTGCTTAATGAAAATTGTTGATAAATTCTATGTATAACAACATTTCATTTATTTTACATTGCTTAATGAAAATTGTTGATAAATTCTGTGTATAATAATACTTGCTGTGCTTTTTTTCTCCAGAGAAATCGATCGTTTAAACCAGATAGACATGGGAGAACACGAAGAATTTTCACCATTGCATGGACACTGCTTTGAATTTACTGATCGAGAGTAAGTCAACTTTGTGACATAAATAGTTAACTTACGTGCACTGCAGGTCATGAAGTTTTTGGAATGTTATATTAATGGTAAATATTTCATTTCTATCTTTATTATTTACGAATGTTTATCATTTTATTTGTTTATTTGTATTTCAGATATACATACAAACTCTGTCCTTTTGACAAGGCATCACAAACATCAAAGAATGGCAATTCCGAAGTTTCACTTGGGTATGTCATATAAAATTCAATACGTATGTTTGCGAGCAACTAATTATAAATTTAGATAAATGCTATCCCATTCTAGACAGCGAGTTTTCCCCCACTGACCTGTGTACAAGACAAGTACACTACAGTATATTAGTGATAAGATCAGTTGTTTCACTACATAACGTGTCAATGAATCGTGTGTTTCGTTGTATAGGACCTGGGGAGAGTGGTCTGGGCAGCCATACAAATACTCGGAAATGAAATTCACCAATGGCCTGAGTTGCTGGAACGGGCCATCTCGTTCTACAACGGTGTGTATTTTAATGTTTATAAATACAGGAACAAATAATTTTTATTTGTGCAGAAAACTTTTTTTGACACCACCCTTTCTTATATAATGATGTGGAATTTATTGTAAGAAAAATTAGATCTCGTGAACAAGCACGCCAGTGATCGCAGTCTTACCAATGTTCTCTTCTAAAAAACAGAAACTCTTATTAATATTTGATACGTAACATTTTAGTGGAAATTTGAATAGCAGTCCAGTTTCCCATGCTTCGTGCAGTGGATTGCTGTGGTTTGGTGCCGATAGATTGCCCCCGGCCTTGGAGTTAATGTTCATGCTTGAATTGACTCCTTAGAAACATGACCGCCACAATTCTGCACTGATCACATCAATTGGACTGTACTTTTAAGTTTGATTAACTTCAAAAAAAATAGAAAGCCCACGAATCGTTGAAAAGTCTCATTCTAGCATTTTGGGTTCGGTTGCACGAAGAACGAATAGCGCTTTTCACTGGACAGTAACTTTTTTTAACGTTTAAAAAACCTCTTAAACAAGAAAAATATAAGATTTGAAATCAGCATTCACTAAAAGAAAATATTTCTTCCAAGATTACTAAAATTTCTATGTCGTAAGGAAAATGTAAACAACTTTTTTACAATTTGAAAATTTTACTATCCAATGGATAACGCTACCCAGTCTTCGTGCAGTCGGCCCCTGATTTGTCACAACATGGGTATATTTTCGAAAGTGTGTAATGTTATTGGTTGCTTGGTCACTTATAGCGTGTGTAATGTTTACCCGGTGATAGGTTATGTTTAGTATATCCACTTATTCTGACGAATCACTTTTATTTTCAGGTCAAAGTAAGCTGTGGCATAAAGAATGATCTAGTTGGTGTCAGCGAGCCAAGTAAATGTGAATACGAGTTTATTTTTCATACACCAGCTGCATGTCACCCGAATTTTCATCCACACGACGAGTTCTAATGGCGTCAGTAATTTTGAAGCAGAGGTAGTTGAGCTTTTGTTTAGAACTTTTGTAAGTTGAGCGGTAACGTATCCATCATCTTCATGGGAATTCACGAAAGTCTAAGCTCAAAATTTACATCAAACGCTGTCATATTGTTTGAAATGAATGAGTTTTCGACCGTGAAACTAAGACTTGTGAGTTTTCTATAAATAATAATTTTTGGTTGGAGCTCACTTGAATCAATTGTTTCTATGCGTTTTTCCTCTTACATAAAAGCTGTTTCATTGTTTGATTATAAGGTGTAAAGCCTTGTTAACACAATGCAATCTAAAAGTTTATCAGTTCCCATAAAGAGAACTAAGTTAGCTTGCCCCGCGCAAAATCAATCTTTATAATTGAGAGGCAGATGGACGCTATCTTTTAACATTTTATCTGTAAATTTGCCCTGACGCTGAAAGGGGCAATTATAACCGTGGCAAACAATTACTCTGTTGTATATATGTGAGAATGTTAGAATAGTATATCTGTGTGAAAAAGCATATACTAAATATCTTTTTTCTTTAATCTCGTACGCAGACTTTAACTTTCAATACAGACAAATCTTTTTGTATTGTTATTGTAGATCACATTTTGATCATACAAAATGCTTTATGATTGAGTATTTACAATTATTTTTGGTGGTTTTTTCTTTGTTATCTTTAGCAAATCTTTTATTCTCATGTAACGAATAAAGCCATTTTGACGTGAGATAGGTGCAATCATCTCTTTCAGCGTTGAGCTAAATTAATGATAAATTGTTGAAGGATGGTCTGCATCTGTTTTTGTGTTAATCCTCTTTAAACATTGAATATGCACGCTCGGCCATTGCGATTGAAAAAATAGTTTTTGCTCAAGTTGGTAATCAGGAAAATTGATAATCTTATCCAATAGCTTTCAATTAACAGATGTTTCACAATGTTAGTAAATTATGAATTACTTATCTATTCCCATGAGCTACGCACTATCCATACTGGTCAACGTATAATCCCATGGGTTAAGAGGCGATGCCATGGCGATTACAGTGAGAATACTTGGGTAACAAATAAGCAACGAAAGTTGCAAATGTTTCTATTTTTTGACAGAGTTAGAATATATGAAGTTGATTCAATGCCATGATAAAGTAGTTTGTTTATAATTTTCACACTGTGCATATACTAAGTTTTATGTGATCATATGAATGCTCTTGAATTATCGGAGCAACATGATACTCAAAACAACACGTGAGCGTGTGAATTGTGAGATTCACAACCATTTATGTTGTTATTCTCAAAGAACAACATAAGTTTGCTAGACACAAAAATGCGTGCGTTATCGCTTTTCATGTCAGCTCGATTCAACTTTCACATTCATTATATAAGTCAAAAAATTCTGTTTGCAGTCAATTTATATTTCTTTTCGCTACAATTTGAAAAGAAACATGGACTTTTCCTAAACAAAATTCCTCGTCATCTTTTGCCCATGAAGATGAATGTCGAGGAACATTTGTATGAATTTTTTGATAAACATTTCTCGTTCTCCGCAAGTGTTATGTTCAATTGTGGGTGTAAGACTGTACGGGACTTGCTCATTACGGCATGTTCATTTGCTTTAAAGGGTTAACTGTTCAGAGTAAAAGCTTATTAAGTTGATAGATTTTGTCTATTTGATTGTGTTTCTGACGTTGAGCAATTTCACCACATTTTAATGCAAAGAAAATTTAACCTGCTACGATAGTAATCCGATATAGTGTACACGGGGACAAGCTTCGCTCTTAAGACGAATGCATTTTTTCAAGCATCGTGAGAGATAGAGCGATAAGTTTTTAAACATTACGTAGTGTCAATAAAATATGAAGCGTTTCATAATTGACATCGTATCTGTGGGAATCTTGCCAATTATTATCTCTTCATCATGACAGTCTTATGCCATTTTTTCATTATAAATCATGTAATAATCTGCAGATGACAGAGTCACAATATGTGTCAACTTTACCTTAATTTTGCTATCCATCACATCATGGATATGTAATTGATTACGTCATACATGTTTCTTGTGCACATTTGGTGCAAAATATGTTTCAAATATCCCATTTGTCCTTTGAGATGATGATTAAATTTTACTAACTTAATTGAGCACGAATAAAAGCAACGATAAAAAATCTCTTCCACACGTTTGCTTTATTTGCGGTAAAAAAATTATCCACCGCAAAAAGATTTTTGATATTGTTGATATATGGTTTTATTTACGCTACAATCAGTCGGCTTTCGTTAAAGAAGTTTGATTTGGAAGTTTGTTTCGAACACAACAATAAATTAAGCATTCACATTTCCAACCTTTTCTTATGCAAGCCTAGCTTAACTTAAATGACAGTGCATTGCTAAATTTACACCAAACTTTGTCACGAAGCGAATAAAGTCTGTTATATTTTGACGATATATTAAAGTTCCGTGCTTTTTTGCTGTTGCTCACCGTCAACACCAGGACTCTCCATTAATTGCGCTCCATTCTCACTTTCTATTCTGTGTTGTCGATACGTGTGAGCTTTTCGATCTGTAAAATAAGCGCGCACTGCTTCGACCTTCCAACATACATCTCTCAATCTACGAACGATTTTCGCCACTTCTGAACGATACTCTTTACTCATGATGATTAATATAACTGGATTCACCGCACTATGAGCAAAGAATAGAGAAATAAACAAGGAATACCATACGAAATGTGTGCCGTAAATGTGTCCAAACTGTGCTACCAATGCAAACATTGTGTACGGAAGAACGCAACAACAAAATGCAACGACAATGATAACCAACATTTTGGCAACCTTTTTGCTCTGTTCAACTAGCGAAATAACGGATGTTGTTGGTTTTCCTTCTTGAGGTACGATACTGGTGCGACGCGCTTGCAACTTCTGCAGTGATTTAGCAATCTTTATGTAGCAAAAGGTGATGATGCAGGATGGTACCACAAGGCAGGCAAATAAGGTTAAAATAACATGGACTCTTTCTTCTGCGGTGCTTTTCCAGCTTGTCTCGCACGTAAGAAAATTGTTGTCTGTCACTTTGACCAACTTCATCACAAAGACCAACGGTAGACCGGCGTAGAGGTAGCCAATCACCCATATGCTAGCTATAATGATACGTGCATGTTTTTGGTTTGGTTTGGCCTTGAATGGTCCTGTTATTACCCAGTAACGTTCGACACTCAACGCCGTAATAGTCATAATTGCAACCATTACGAACACGTCTCGAAGTGGATAAATAAACTTGCATGTGAACTCTCCAAATGGCCACGATGTAAAATGCATCAACATCTCCAATGGTAAGGCAAGAAGAATTATGGAAAGATCTGCTAAAGACAAATTTATGATGTAGTATGTGCTTCTTGTATTTCGATGTGTTCGATGCTTGTAAAGTTGGTAAGCCGCGACAAGAACAAGAACATTGCCGACAAAACCAACCACAGCAATGAGACAGGACAAACACAACTGCAACACAGTGGCTCCCCATTGATCGCGAACTACGCTGTCTCTCCCTTCCAAGTCGTTCCAAGTTAGCGTATTTGTTCTTGATGATGTTTCGTTCATTTTAAACAGTAGGTCGCTGAAAAACATTTTGCTTACCGATAATGAATTGATAAATATAATTCCTCACAATTTTATTAGCGTCATTCTGACATAATAAGAATTGAAACGTTTTTTGCTAACTATAGTGTTGTCACTTATCTATGACGGAGCAGCTGTAAATCTGAAAATGCCAGAGTATAATTGGCCTTAACTTGCTCCTTCACATTCATAGCTATATTTGCGCACTCCACACTCTCCTTTCCTTCATATTTTGTGCAGGAAATCATAAGAGGATGAGAATACTTTAGTGTTGGAAACATGACCTGTCTAATCTATCGAGTGTTTCTTACGAAAGTGTCAACTGTGCGTATTTGATAAAACTCAATTATACATAAGCTCAGATGAGCACAGAAACATTTACGGAGATAATCCGGGATAAAATAATGCTGCAAAAGACTTACCGCACAAATTTTAATCCTTTCGATTCCTGTGTAAACTGCTATAATGTTGGTAGTAATTTGCTCGCTTTTATTATCATAACAAGCCAAATAATTCTCACGACTAACGCGTTGTTTTGCAGCTGCTTCGATTAATACCACTATGTATAAATAATTGTTTTTACTTTTAATGTTGCGGCACTGCTTTCAATAAAGCAGCAGGGAATAAGTCCTGTAAAGACAAGCTGAAGTTTCTTCGTTGTATAGCGTTTGATGTTTGTCTTCAATAGACCCGATGCACAAGTAGGTAATGTGAATTAGATTTTTCAGAGATAAGTATGCTGACGTATTGCTTAAACTTGTTGCAGGATTATTTGACAAACTTTCCTGAGTAGTCTGATTGGCTAGTCATTTCTGCTGCGATGAAGAGATAAGCGATCTTGACAAGCGTCTTGTGCTGCTAAACAGTGTAATCTAGACACAAGACAAAATCTTTGAGATATCCGGTACGAGTTAACGCCATTGACCATTGAATTATGCGTTTTTATGCCATACAGAAACCCTGCGCCGAAGTGCTAAGTGGTCACGATACATGCCCTAAAATGGTTTCGTCCAAAACTCTGTTTACTTCTTTTTTACCACAAATTGTTACGACAGACAACAAAAAACAGCTTTCAGCAGTGCAAGTGTTTTTAAGAAGCTTGTGCAGACTTATTTTCAATAAGCAAACATCAAAAACAGGCAACAGAGCTGAAGATTTTTTTGTGCGAAGACAATATTGTTTCTTTATGAACAGTATTCCTGCGGAGTGACTATGTATTCCTTAACAAGACACAAAAATGTTTTGATATGGACTATCCTATTTTTTTCTTTACGCATGTAATTAAAAAATTCATTAATTATGACCACCAACATGTACATTTGTAGCTAACAACGTCGAGATGCAATTTTATCCAGTTATGACTTAATTGAATTTCACTAAGTGTGTGAATGCAGCTGAACCCTGTCTACTTTTTGTCCATCATCTACCCCGAAGTTTTCATTGAGATACATAATGGACAGAAGTAATAATGAAATAGTTTCTTCTCGCAAAGTTGCATGTGTGTGCTATCAATCACGTCAACTATCGACGAAGACAAAATTTGACTTCCATTGTTTGTGATGTATCCGTTTGAACAGCAAGAATTTCATTCAGAAATGAAGAAAAGCTGAAGACATGAAAGGATGTTTCTATTTAGATTAAACTATGTCAGCTAGGAGCCTGATTCGAAATATGTCACCTCTGTTTTTTTTGTGATATTTTCCTAGTAAGTGCGACAGTGTCAAATTCTACCCTATTCTATCGCATTATACCCAGCTATCCAAGAAATCACCAAACATCTTTCGCTCGTCCTTTTTTTGAAGTCTTTATCAACAGATCAAAGGAAAATTTTATCAAATTTTTTTTCGTAATTAGCTTCGCGAAAAGATTAATAGATTTTGATGTTGGTAATACTACAAAATTCACAACAATGTCACCATTAGAAAGATTACAATTCTGTGGAATTCATTGACAAAAATGCGACATGCAGCTAAGTTAGGTTATTGTATGAATGATATTTCAATACAAACAATAACAACGATGTTGATTTTTACTGAATTACACAACGAGAGTTGAACGAAACATGCTTGTCACTATTTATTTTAAGTCCATACGTCTTCAACATATCTATGCTGTTCTCGCAATTTCCAAATCTCCTTTTTAGCTTGCTCATGTGTAAGACCTGAAACAAATTTTGATATGTGTTTAAAAAAGTAGATAGACAATTTTCTCATTTATCATATACATCCGCAGAATATTCTAGTTTCTGCCGAACGAATTATGAAAATAAGATATTTACAGATAAATATTTAGAATTATCACTCTAGATCTACGCTTTTACGATTCACTCATTGTCAAATTGATATTCACAATCTGAACTGAAAAAATGCATAACTGTCAAAAAAATGCCGCAAAGTAAAACTGCATTAAGTTCTTTCTTATAGAATCCTGTGAATCAGGTCTACCTTTCACATTTTGTAAAATGTTAACGAAAGCTTCAAGTACATTCTTTGCCATGTTCTTGGCGTCACTAAAAAACAGAATTCATAAACATTTTAATGTCAAAAACGATGCTGTATAGACACAAAACAAATCATTAAAACACGAACCCGCAGACAAAAATATACGCTCTGCAGTTATCAATCAAATCACACAATTCTTTTGCCCAAATTTGAATGTTATCTTGAACATATTTTGGTGGTCTTTGTTGATCAAACGATTCCATGACGTTATCACGTGAGAACGAAACTATAAGCTTCGTCAAAATGCCTTCTTGTTCATATTCATAGAGCTCTTCCCTATAAATTGCATCGATAATCTTAAAAGCTTAATAGTTCTAAAAAACAAACAATATAGGCCATACTTGAAAAGAAAATCTCGATCCTTATGTCGACATCCATAAAACAGCCATGTAGGTCCAAGCGATGATACATTTACATTAAGATGACGTCTGCAAAATTATATATTTCAGGTGTCACCACTAAAGTGGGAATCATTTCTTTTATTAATTAATGAAATTCGTTACGCTGCTGTATTCTAACCTATGCTCAAGAAATCCAATAAATGGCGCTACACCCGTCCCAGGACCAATCATGATCACTGCTGACATAGGCTCGTCTGGTAGATGAAATCCAGTGGGGTTGCGAAGTATAATACCTATCTGGGAGTAAAATTTGTTGAACAATAAATATGAAGTAGAGCTAAGCTAACATACACAGTTGCCCGATTTTCATGTAGTACGACTGCCTTTAAATTTAAATTCTTTAATTGTTGCTTTAGTTTTTATCTTTTTAATAGAAATTGCGTTCAATCAAAAACTTTACATACCTCAGGATCTTGATCCATTGACAAATTCGTTAAATCTTCTTCTAATGTTTTTTCATTGGGTACAGGGTTTTTGGAAATCTTTTTAGACAGACGTTGAAGCCAGCTTGTGCAAAGTCCACATCTAATTAAAGAATAGACAAAGCCTGCAACTCGTATTTTCAACAAAAGTTGAGAATGTTTGACACTAAAATTTCGCAGCTTGATGAAGTAAAATTTAATTTTCTCAAGTCAATCAAATGATTCGATTTAACTAAATTGGATTCACTAACCTTTCCCTTCTTACGTTAACAATACTTGGAAACCTTACAACGTTGAACACAAATCTCAGATGTGCAGGACTTTTTAGCGGTGAACTAAATATACAATTCAAGAAACAAAAACATTTGGAAAATGGAAATTACAAAAATAACCTGGCTTTCTAACCATTTATTACTGTCACCGTGGGCAAGAATGCTAGATTTTGGACAGAATTAATGCTAAACTAATTTTTTAAGATCAGATGCAAATTCTTGTCGATATTATACCTTTTAGTTAATCTTAGGTTGACTTTGGAAGCAAACACATAATCCAACATGGTTTCAATATGAATACTATTGTATACTAACAGATTTACTACGACCGTTTAGTTAGTACCCAGACTCTATAATCTATACCAGTGCATTTCTTCCAGGTTGTAATGCATATCCCTACAATTCAGTACTTCTAAAGATATTTTGACTATAGAAATTTAGAAAAATCAGAAATTCTATAACAAACCTTGCAACGGAATACGGTCGAGGCAACAATCGGGGCAAATGTTCTAAAATAATATATTATTTGAAGCAGTGCGAGGAATGTATTGATGTGAATTGAAATTCTTAAAAAATAAAACATAAATTATCTTCACCACGTCCCAACTTACCCAGTACCTTCTCAAATGGAGGTTGACACGAAGGGAATGCGTTTAAAATGTCAAAGAATGAAACATGTGGCTCTCGTATAAATTGCGAATAATGAGAAGCACCTTTCAAAAAAGAATATTACATGTTGTAGAACAACTTGCTTATAAAGAACGAATGCATCTTTTTAGTAAATGTATGTTATTTACTGGCTGGGAGGTCCGGATAGAAAAATATTTTCCAGAGGTCTCAAAAAGGGCCCAAGGCCGCAGATTTTGGACTCGTGCAATTTTGATAGTCTTTGAAAAACTCGTCCATGTTTTTCCCAAATTGCAATCGAAACCATGCTATTACCTATACAAATAAACTACCTTCTTTACTGCACAGTTCTTGTAATCGACGTTTCTCCATAGGATTGCTTGTGAATTCACACAATGTTCTAAGAAATGCCTAAAATACGTAAAGGTAAAATTACTGCAACACTGCATGCAATATGTGCGTATACAATGCATAAGCAAACCTTTCGAGGAACAGCTCGTATTTCTAGACAAGTCGTTAACGCTTGCCGTATGGTGCACTTTTGCGGAATGTAATCAGGCCTTTGCTTCGCTAAAATAAGTAAGCATATTGTTCCTTGTTGCTGTTTTCTGTAAAAACATAATCAATTGATGTACAATGTCCACCTCTCTTTGTGTTTTGTGGTTGATCTATTCCTTCAAGAGAGAATACTTGATCAGCTTGATCTCGATATCCTAGTCTACAAATATTTATACGTCGACATAAAGTTAGCAATTTTTGTACAAGCGTCTGGATGGAAAGAATTCGGTAGTCACCAGTACCTATCGATAAGTTCATCAACCTCACTTTCACCATTGGGACAAATGATGCCAAAAGAATCACCAGGGTTGTATGGAAGTTTGACATCCTAAAACAGAACGATTTATTTTTCCATGATCGTGATCTGTGTGTGTATTGCATTTAATGTGTTATACATGCAATTTTTGTAAACTAGGACAATTCAGAGAATAACAGTAGAGGTGGATTCTTAGATTTCTTACACCAGTGTTCAAGGTCAAACAATAAGCGATCTGTGTGTGTATTGCATTTAATGTGCTATACATGCAATTTTTGTAAACTAGGACAATTCAGAGAATAACAGTAGAGGTGGATTCTTAGATTTCTTACACCAGTGTCCAAGGTCAAACAATAAGCGATCTTCACGGCGTCATCTGTTGTCATCTGACAAGCACTGGAAATATTTGTTTTAGTTATCGACGATGCACTTCCAGGAAATTCAGCACCACCTTGCCAAGGACATGTTTTTTTATTCTAAAATTCACACAAGAACACATAATAAGCGTTGTGGCAATCGAACATAAAGACATATTAGACATTCTACGTCTGTATACGTATTAGGGCCTACAGCTGAAACTCTTGGCTTAACAACACGTTAATCGCACAGTTTTGTCTATAACATCCACTGTTCCTACCAGCTCAACTTCATCAGTGAATTTGATAGAGAGAAAGGACGTTGGTAGATGGGGAATACTCAAATCTAAAAGTGAAAAAATGCATTGAAAATGTAAAATTCTCATCTATAATCTGATTAAAGTTATAGAAAACATATATTTATTTTAAGATCATTATACTTGAAAAAGTTCTATAGAAAAAAGTCTCAGTTTATAACGACCAACGGTAACACACAGTATTTATTTGCAAGTATTTTACCAGACTTAGATAAAGGAGATGTAGATAGTCTCAAGGAAGGCAACAATTCATCACTCCTTTGATTCGTATGGTTAGTGTGATTATGTTTTTCATTGTTTTCATTTTCAGATTTTTCTTCATTTGATTTTAACGTTTCAATGCTGCTTTCGCAATTTTTATTTGTGGTATCAATGCTACTTTCACAGTTTTTGTTTGATGTATCAATACAAGACTGTACTTCATGATCATTTTTAAGGGTTGTCACAGTGTTTCCTTCTTCATGAGCATTGTCTATTGTTGGGATTGAAATTGTGTCTGTCAAAGTCTAAAAAATCAATATGTAAAAAATAATTTTGAATTTCATGGTACAAAACACAAAGCTTGAAGTGAGCATAAGATTGAAACTTGGTATCTAACACTGTACATTGTCTTCTTTTGATTTGAGTTCTTTTTGTAATGCTGGCCAAAGCCCCTCAATCCATGGTTCAACAACAAGTTCTAATCTAAAAGTGTGACAATGTTCATATAGGATTTGACAAGTATTTTAAGTTGTATTACAAATAAAAAATGAAGCCAGAGGTTTTGCATGGTGAAACTTTGAATAAATGTTCCGAAAAATCAAACAACTGCATTGACCTAAGATACCTAGTGCTTTATATAAAATTTAATACTTTTCTAGTGCATCATCAAGGACACTGGTCCAATGGTACTGATGAGCGATAAAGTAAAATTATGGACCAAGTCAAGACAGCTATTTGCATATGTAAATTGTCAAGACATTACAAAACTTTTATAATGATGAATCCAATTATTAAAGAAGTTTCATAAGATCTGTTAAAGGGTAGTAAATACAATGTATACCTAGAATACTAACCCAACAGCATCGTCCGCAAATCCTGGTGGATAAAAATGAGTTGCTCCCAGCTCAAGAAGACGAGAATTCAGGTTTTTAGAACAATTGCAAAAATTTGTGTAGTTGGTATCCCCTAAACCTATGAGAAAAACACAATAAAGCTGATCCACAACCCTTACTCTTAATATCGTTTGAAGATTCAATTTACATTCTATTCCAATCTACTTATTTTAAATCCCTTAACTGTTCATTCTATTCCTCAAATTGCTTCCCAATCTTTGAAATCATTCTAATTCTTTACCAAGCAATGCAAAGTGGAGATCTTTTAAAAATGTAGAGTCCAACGTTTTCTTTCTAAGTCTTCTAAAGAATTTTGTCACTGTATCTGGAGGATCACCATCACCAGTAGTTGAAACAACAAAAACGACGCACTTTTCTTTTTCAATTGAAAACTAAAAGTTCATAAATCAATGAAAGGTTTCAATTGTTTATTCTATGGCTTTTGTCATGCACTCATGCTTGTAATAAAAAAACTTAAAACCTTAAATGACATAAAAACCTGTTTATCTGTAGTACTAAGACATAGAATCTTTCCCTTTAATTCCAATTCTTCCGCCTGTTCATATATTTCTTCAGCAATCGCTTTAGCTTGTCCAGTTTGAGAACCATACAGGATCGTAAAACAGCTATCACTCATTTTTAGGATGACTGATTTGGTCAGTCGTGAGGCGGAAACAACAAAACGAGAAGATAAAGACATACGCAACGTTCGAAACCCATTTCATTCTCTTTGTTAAAATCTGATGTAATTCCAAATTTCCAATTTCCCAAATCTTTTCTGGAATCTGCCAACACGTGTTTGTTTACATGTTTGTGTTATGCAACTTTTCTGTCACAATTCTCAGAGGATTACATGAGGCATACTGAGACATAAAGGTACATAACGATACCATTTCACGACAGTTTGTGCCCACAAGTGTCCCCTCACTCTGACTGACACATTACTGGATTGACACTAAATTGGATTTTAGGCTTTAGCAAAAACAAGCATGGAGGAAAGTTCATCTGAACAATCTGCTGATCTTTCCGACGAAGAGGTATGAAAAACAATTTGTTAAAATAAATTTTAAATCTTCATCATCATCTGTAAACAATATCCAAAAAAACAAAACTCCGTGCTCGACTGCTCGTTTGATATTTTTTATTTAGCTTCAGCATGCGCTGTTGTCTGGCAAATTAAAACCTGGTCTTAATCATGTTGTAGAGAAAGTACAGAAAGTTTTTATCAATAAGGAGGTATAGTATGCTTTTCTCATTACATTTATGTAATTATACCCTATCATCCTCTGTAATTTACTCTGCCATTTGTACGAGGTCCGTAGATAAGCCTACCAGCGGACGACGTACTGGTACTGCGTTCAGTCATTTTTTTATAAAATGTACTAAAAAGTTCAATATTTATCCAAAATTTTAGCATAGTCTAAATGTATGTACCTTTTTGTGAAACTCTAAAGCTTTTAGCTTTCTAATTGACCATTTTATGTCCATGAGCCTGGGGCATGTTGAATAATATAGAAATTCCCAATAATAGAGCAATTCTTAAAAATCGAGCCTTCTCTTAGCAGAGCAATTCTTAATAATAGACCAATTCTCAGAAATCGAGCCTGCATGGCAACATTGTAAAACTGCTTGTATAATATGTTTACTTTGCTAAATTAGAATTATTTGCTATAGTATATCATATGTTTATCATTACTTTGACGTCTCAATGTTTAGCACACTTGCCTTTGTATCACTGTGAAACATAAGAATGACAGCATATGTTTTCAAATTAGGTTATGCTAAGACACAATTAATATCCTATACTTTGTACGCTCTCAATCATTATCTGCATTTGAAGCCATGAATAGCAACAGAATTGCATGTTGAGTATCATAAATGTGGCAGGATAATTGCTCTTTATTTTATTCAGTCAGCTAAAAGATATAAAAGCCTATTGTTGAGGTTAACTTATTGTGCTTATAGATTTGGAAAAAAGCAGTTGCACTGTCAATTAGTTATTTAAAAAGCACAACATACGTGCGTATTTGAGATGAATAAATCATGTTTGACAACAAATATTTTTATTGTTTTTTGAAATCAATTATTACAAATATAATGCAATCTTGATAATAATGGAATAAATTTAAGGATAAACTCAAGGAGAAATATGATGAAATCAAACTGGATCTTAATTGGTTAGAAAGATTGGATATTACATGTGATCTTAAAAAAGGAAATAAGCAAAAAATGGAAAATTTCTCCAATATTGATCAAGACGACTTCAAAGGGAAATGATGTTGTGAGTTTAGTTGATTTTTGGGTGTTGTTTTAATCAAACTTGAAACATATGGGGAATTTCTCTTTTTCTGTAAACGTTTTGCATTAAACATTGTTCTTATTTCACAAGCTACCAACAATCAAAATGGCTGTTGTTCAAGCATTGTCAAAGTTGAAAAAACTTGGAATTTCTACAGAGCGACCCTCTGATTACTTTGCTGAAATGGTGAAAACAGATGACCACATGCAGAAGGTACATACTGTGTAACTGTGTTACAATTAAGCTTTAACATTTGAAAAGACTACAAAGTGTGAGTTGTGTTTGAAATTGACGATGTAGAACATTATCAAAAGAATGAACCTTGTTTTTTCATTGTTCATGCAAATGAGAAAATATCATTATTCTCATGATATGTATGAAAGTAATTTTTAAAACTTCATGATATTTGTATAATAGACACACACAGAGAAATGAGAAATTGCACTTCAATGTTTTATTTGATGGCGTTGTGCAACATGATGCAATATTTATTACGTTGGATGTTTAAGGTAAGAGAAAAGCTTATCACAAAAGAATTGGTTATGGAGAAGTCAGAAAAGGCAAGAAAAATGAGGGAAATGAAGAAATATGGTAAAAGGTTGGTATATATTTCTTGCTGATCTTTGAAAGTAATGTGCTTGCATGTTTTTTAAGAAATGTGGTTGGAAATGAGTAGAAATTGTATTAATATTATGCATGCCTCTTTTAATCTTTTCTCCTGGTTTATCCCTGTGAATAGGATGGGCTAATTTACCCAGCCACTTTGGTGCCAATATCTCCAACTTTGCATCTTGCTCTAATCATTACATCTTTTTCTTCTTTTTCCTTCGCCACCAGCTTCTTCAATTCAGATGTGTTTGTAACTTACTGTTTGTAACTTTTTGTTACTTACTGTTTGTAACTGTTTAATTTTGTACCTTTTGTAAACATGAAAAAATTACTTATTTCTTACACATATTTTATATCATACTTTAGGTGCAGCAAGAGGTATTGCGGAAAAGGCAGCAAGAAAAAAAACAGATGCTTGATTCTGTGAAGAAGTATCGAAAAGGTAAACATAAAGTTTATTGCACAAGATGTCGTTAAACAGCCATATTTTGGTTACAAATTCAAACCGCATGTTTTGTTAATGTTAACCTTTAATCTTGGTCAATTTGATGAATGTTGGAATTGGAAGTCTGGTCTGTTAACTTTTAAATAAATTATCAAAGAAGTAAGCATTTATAGTAAAATAGATGTGGCGTATATAACGTGTAAATCAAAAGCAACCTGTGTATATGTAGATGATTTCATCTTGATTAAATTAGCATGGAACTTGTTGTTTCCAAATTATAAGTAAAGAAGACAGAAGTTGTTTGAAACTTTGAAGTATCGTAGAGTATTACAGTTTATTTAGTGAGAAAAACTTGTGTAGAAAAAAAATAAAAATTTTGAAACCAAAAATCCTGCCGCGCTATCCTACTTAGGGATGCCATTACAAAGCTTCAGCCCGTGACACCACCAAGGTGCTATGCCTTGAAAGTGCCCTTGCGCTCTACTTTATCAGATTATTGTGAATGTGCAAGTGCGATGTGCTATTTTTCCGGGGGAGGGGGAGAGTTGAAACCAGAAAATTTGAGAGGAATGGAGTTGCCTTTGACGTTATGTGACAGTTTTAGTTTAGAGACATAGAGGCTTTCATGTGTCTTGCTCTGAATCAAAATTAAATGAGAGTTAATGAAAAAATGAAATGAATGTATGAAACATGTTATGGTTGATCAAAATTTTGAGTGAAAGACAGTGTTTTTTGCAACTTTTTACTATTCATAGATTTCTAGGTGCCATAATCTCAAATTTACCTCTAATATTTTAGGCCAGAAAGGAAAACCGGAGTTTTTAACAAACGATAATGATGAATTTGAAGTAAATACAGAGAAAGGGGCAAAAAGATCAGCTGGTAATACTGTCCAAGGGTACGTGCATAAATACTTTCCTGTTATTTTAGGTCACAGAGATATAAGTAATAGTGTAGTTCTCTGAAATTTAGCATGCATGGTAACATTTTAAAGCTACCTGTATGAAGTGCTATAATAAGTTAATGTGTCTATTTCAGGTAAAATTATGATTGTTTGATGAAGTATTTCATTTTTTTTCACTGCTTTGTCATGCAAATGTTCACCAAGTATGACACTGCTCAAAACCACCTTAGAAAACGTCAATTTTTGTGGGTCAAACTCCTGACATTGCACATTTGCCTTTGAATATCTTAAAAGAATTGTCAAAAACTTAACAGCATATGTTTTAGATAAAGTTACTTTAGGACACATACAATATTTTATACTTTGTAAAGTTTTAATTATTTTTTACACTTCGAGCAAAGAATAAATACTGAATTACAGTGTAAATGTTACACACGTGACTGAAGAATTGCCTAATAGCGTAATTCATAGCCATTTGAGCATTTGTTTTGCTACGTAGATATAGATAGTATAAATGTACGTAGCTATCATGTCTATGGCTAATTGTACACTTGCAACAGACAATCATTACTTTGTTTTTATAAATTTCAGAAAATCAGCTAAAAGGCAGAGAAAAGTAAGTTCCTGTACATCACGTTTATTAAAACTATTCTTTTCACTACGAACCAGTATAGCGACGCATGACTTCTTAATTTAGTTTTATTTTTCCACGATCACGACTTCATGTGCTTTTTTTGATATGTGTTTTCTAAACACAGCTCAAAAGAAAGTTTCCCCGGAGACATGTTGTTATTCTTGATGAACGAATCCCATAAAATTAATCACTGCATTGCTTAGACTTAAGATAATTTGCTAATTGCCATGTGAATTATGAGATCAATTGTGCTTTAAAACGGGTATTGTCTCTTGAAGCTTTAAATGGGGTATCGTCTCTCTAAGTCAAAAACATCCAATTTCAAAATCAGCCCTAAATGTAGTATCATCAATTTTACTCATACACTGTCCAGCTGCGTTTTTCTTTAGTAACCGACTTACTTTCATTGTGATAGTAACCGTCTAACTGCATGTCATTCTCATTAGAGATTGCCCATTTTATTGTATTAAAACAGAGCAATTGCTATTGGGCTGTAAGAGACTGGCAGGAATTCATTCATGGAGCACTTACGATAATTTATCTCGGGGAACTTTTTTGTTTGTGGCGTTTATGGCGTACCTTTTTTTCCATACGTAGCTACATATGTGTTTTTCTTCTACATGCAGGATGTCAAGTATGGATTTGGTGGAAAAAAGCGAGCAAACAAACGTAACACGTCTGAAAGCGTTGATGATATTCGTTCATTTAGTTCTGCTAAACACAACAAAAGTCCACGGGCAAAAACGAAGGTTATTCTAACGTTGAAACGTTTCTTTTTAAATAGTTAAGGCATTTTCATGTTGTTGTTTTTGTTGCGAAATGTTTTACTTTTATGTTCACATAGACGAAAGCAAAACGACTTGGCAAGTCGAGACGACAAAAAATTAAAGGAAAAGCGAGATAGTGAAAAACATAAACATAGCTTCAAATAATGAAATCCTGGCCAATCTCCAAGAATATTTACCCACCATAAAGCTCTTTGGGGGTCGATTTTTGAACTGCTAACGCTAAGTTCGTTATCTACGTACGAGAGAGAATATAGTTTTAATAGTCCTTTCTGTTTCTTTATTGGCGCCAATAGTTTTAACGTCTAAGTACCAGGTTTTAAAATTATTTAATCGGTATTGTTAAGCTTGTTCACTCGTCATTTCTTTCTTTTCATGGTGTAAAATTTAAACGAACACCATCACGTAAGTACGAGCACCAGAGGAATCATTTCTGTTAATTTTTCCTAACAATTTTTGGCTTCAAAGTGGAACTGTTTTTAATAGAACATTTTATTAAATTTTAAAAACGATCTGCCTCGCTAAATTGCTTCATAATTCTTGGCCTGGATAGTGATTCCGACTCACGCATTCTAATGAAAGTACTACTCACGCGCAGTACGAGCACCAGACGAAAACGATCACGTAAGTACGAGCACCAGAGGAATCATTTCTGTTAATTTTTCCTAACAATTTTTGGCTTCAAAGTGGAACTGTTTTTAATAGAACATTTTATTAAATTTTAAAAACGATCTGCCTCGCTAAATTGCTTCATAATTCTTGGCCTGGATAGTGATAGTGCAAGTGACTTTGCCAGTTGTCTATGTTTATGTCGAAAACGACCTGTTGAAATGTGTTGGAGATAAATGGAAGCACAACAAACGTGTTCACTGAGTTCATGTATTACATATATGTATATTTATTTCACCACAATAAAATATATGCATTTCTTCATCACGTGCATATGTCTACTGTACTTTATAATTAAATTAACTCAAATGTTTCTTTTAAACAAAAACTAAACTAGCCACACATTTAATTTCGTGTGTTCTACACGTATCCTTTAGTCCTTTCTATCCAATCTATTTGTATAGTTAGTAGTATGGCTAACGGTAATCCTTACTTCTCATGAATACACAATGACAATTTTCTATTTACACACAATCAGTTAGTAAATCATTCTAGATTTTTACACAAAGGTCATTCCCTATGTACACATACTAACGGATCTTGGAGAACAAATTCAACTCAGACTTGCATTCCTAAAATCAAAATGCAACGAGAGAATGAAATAAAAATGTGCTCACGTGACTTATGTTACTCTAGCCTGCGTGCAGACCCTTACTCCTTTTGGATTTTAGGGTCAGCACGCAGACTAATGGTGCTAGTGAACATTTACCTTTTGAGATCTAGCCTTGCTAAACACATTCCAGAAACGTAATGTTTCATCCCCTGCACCCGTTACAATAGCTTCGCCATCGGGAGAAACAGCCTAGACAAGATAAAATAGCAAATAGCATGTCAAATATGTACATATGCTAAATACACGTATTAATGATTCCGGTCCTTCTATTATGTATCCTGTATCTCACCAAGTAAAGAACTCTGTAAGAATGTCCTGTCAACTTGGCGACTTGCATTAACGAAGGATACTTCCACACGAGAATTTGATTCTGAGAATAACCGTGAGTACTGACCTAAAAATCAAGTGCCATGGTTTGGTTATGGGTTAAAATGGAACAACCAAGTTCACGTGTTGTTAATTGCAGCTACGTACGATTGGAAGTACGACAGTATATCATGTATTTCTCCAAAACAAAGGACAACTAAAGTTATCTTTCATCAAAGAGTATACATAATACAAAATTATTGAAACGAAGAAGATGAGAACACAAGAAAAGTATTTACCAGTTCGTTGCTATGCTTGGACCACGCTAAATTGCAAACCTGAAGCAAATTCAACAATAAGAAAAGGTGAAATTTTAAAGTAATCTATCAATTTACGTACAAACAACCGGCTTTTATTCATAATAATGTATTGGCATGGCAGACCGCGAATTGTTTGAATTTCAACAGTTATAAAAAAGGAAAACTTAGAAATCCAAACGTGTAACATACCTGAGAACCTGTATCAACAGATTGGAGAGGCTGAGCTGCTAAAGTGTTCCAAAATCGTATACATCTATCTGCAGTTCCACCACCAGACGCTAGCAAACCATGCTATCGAAAGAAATACTATGAGACAGAATGAGGATACTGTTTGGATGGATTGCTTGAGGGCACTTTACAATGGATGCACTACCTGAGGGCAGTGTAATGGTTGCACTACCTGAGGGCAGTGTAATTGATGTACTACAATATACATAGCTTGAGGAGAGTTTGATTGACTTAAAACCTTCAAATGGTGCACCACTTTATAGCACTAATGGATGTAATACCTTTAGGAACTCAAATAAATGTACTACTCACGTGCAGTACATACCTTTGAGCATTCTAATGAATGTACTACTCACGTGCAGTACATACCTTTGAGCATTCTAATGAAAGTACTACTCACGTGCAGTACTCACCTTTGAGCATTCTAATGAATGTACTACTCACGTGCAGTACATACCTTTGAGCATTCTAATGAATGTACTACTCACGTGCAGTACATACCTTTGAGCATTCTAATGAAAGTACTACTAAGGTGCAGTTTAAAAGTAAATGTAGTACTTAAGAGCACTTTCGAGATTGTACTGCTGGAGGGCACTTTAATGGAAGCCCTATTTGAGGGGACTTTTATGTATGTAAAATATGAGGCAGGTACTACTTGGGGCACTGTAATGGATCTACTACTTAAGACAGGTACTACTGGTGGGAACTATAATAAGTGTCTTAAATGGAATCTATTAGTTGTACAACTAATGGCAAGAGAAGTTGTTTCTTAAAAAAAGATCACCTGGTGTGGCGACCAGGAAATTGCCTTGACTGCAGCAGTATGTTCGTTGTACTGTTGTATGGGAGTAGAATTACTAGTATTCCACACAAGTAACTACAAAAAGGTACAAAATAGTTATTTACTTTTTGCTGCAAGCCAACAGATGCATAAGTGGACGAAGCATTTCCTTTTTTATGAATAAGAATATATTGACATAGAGGAAATAAATTATGTCTTACTTTATTGTCATTTCCTCCTGATGCCAAATGTTGATGATCGGGTGACCATTTTAAACCACAAACCTATAATTTAACACACGCTAAAGCTTAAGGACGCTTCAAAGATAAATAGCCATTAAACATAATAACATATTCTAAAATGATTTAGATAACCTCTTGTCTGTGTCCAACAAGTTTTCTTTCGCTGGGTAAAGGTACTCTTAAATCACGCTGTAAAATTGATCTATCTCGACTTCCAGAGCACAAAAATTCTCCATTCCATGCAATCGCACCTAAACAAAACAATGAGGAAATGATCGTTCTCAGGGATGGATTTGTTGGGGAGAGGTGAAGGAGGGCACCGATAATCCTACGAAATATTACTATACCCAGTAATTAAGCAAAAGCAGTTGTGATTTTCTTTTAAAGGAACACGCTTCCAAAAACATCTCCCAATCATTGTATGAGAGTGAAAAAATTTGACAAAAAAGTCTGACATGTTACGACAACATACATAAAATAGCCACAGAAGTATAGTCCAAACTAGAGCACCCTTTCTACAAAATCATCTTGGACCATCCGTGAATTAGTTCATTTAAATAGCACATCTTACATATTGCATCTCTAAACTGACATTTACAGCTTTTGAAGAATGAAAAACCCACAACTTGATGAGAACGGACTTATGAATATTTCACTTACCAACTCGGGCCGTGTGACCTTCGAGAGTTCGAAGTTTTTGCGCTGCTGCGTCCCAAATTTGAACGAGACCTCGATGTGTTCCGACAGCAACATGACAAGACTTCGATAAAACAAATCAAAGACATAATTAACTCCACTTTTTCATGTGATATTCATCGGTAAAAGTGTTAAATGTTGGAGGAATCGTGATGAATAGTTGGAATCGGTGAAAATTGATGCAAAAAGTGAAAGTAGTATGAGTCTGAAGGCTATCTTAGTTTAATTTGTATTACCCTTTCTGCCCAAGAAACTGATGTAACTGAGTCACCATCATTTGACAAGTCGCAAAGCTTGGTAACCTAGAAAATATAAGTGATATGATATAAACAAATCTACATTCATCCATAGACCACTTGAGTTTATCAAATGGTGTTATTATATTGTGGAAGACCAACCTGACTGGTACATGCACTCCAAAGATATACACAAGTACCTAGTCCAACACTGAGGATATTTTGTTGTGACCAGTCGACTAAATTTAGGTAAAAATCATCCTAAAACAAAATGTAAGCATATGATAAACCATTCGCATCAATAGATGAATGATAAAACTACAAACTAGAAAATACAAGTGTCGTGAAGAGGATTTTATAGCATTAGGCTACAAGAGGAACCAACACAGCTTATAGTTTGAACTCAAATTAAATTATATAAGAAATACCTGCAATTCAGGAGCATCTAAAACTTTAAAAGGAACTTTGGATATTTTGCGAGTTGCCTAGTAAAAACATAACTAACTTTCACTTCGTGTTCTTGAATCATATGACAGAAGGTATTTGTGTGCATACATACAAATAAATGTTGGCGGTGGCACCGGAAACGTGGAGGGAAAAACCCACAACCCCCTTCAATAATAGTTTCAAGACTAATGTTGCAACATTGCCTTTTTAAGGTAGCGTGTTAAGCATGATAAAAACCTTTAGTAAGGAAAGCTTAGCAGAGTACTGCTTTTTAACTCGTCTACTAAGTGAAGAGGGGGAGGGCACAGCCAATTAATGTGACGTCATTCTTTGGAACGTACTCTAATAAATCATGGCTCCGAAATTTCAATGTTATTATGTAATCTTGTATAACTCACAATTCATCGTGCATAATGAATTGAGTACACGTCTTCGGGTACGAATTATAAAAATAAAACGTTTAAACACTTTTCATTGGTTATATGTTTGTAAAGTCTTGACTAATACATCTAACATGTGCATACGTTTCACAACGTTTTATGAGTCTGCGATCACATGATTTTGTAAAATCTATTTGACATTGTGCAGTTTCTGGTCTCAAGTATCTTTCTCCGCGTTACTTCGACATCTTGGAAAGGACAAGTGCATATTACATACTCGTTAGTTCGGTGACGAATCAGTCATTATCATTACTAATTAATGAAACTGTCGTGTTTCCATGCAAATCTACGTAATGCCTAAATCATGGTATGTATTGCAGAAATGTGAAAGATAATGTTTGGTTGTATTGATCTATGTGAGTTTTCATTCTCTGTACTACATTCATTACCAATAAAATTATATCTGCTCAAACATTACCAATAAAATTGTATCAAGTACATAATTGTGATATTAAGTTTGTGGTTTGGTTCTTTACATACTTCGCCACTTCATTTCTAACATTGAAGTAAATTTAACAAATAATGTTAATTAATCTTTATGTTAGGCGTCATGTACTTTTTTAGACGACTTAAAATTACACCCGGATACGTCATTTCTTTTCGAATTCATATTAAACATAAATAAACGACTTTTTAAACGAGGCCAAAATTGCCTGATGAAATATTCCCCACTCAAAACAAAAAAACCTTTCCAGCGCCACGGAAATATAAGTACTACGTATTACTGAAGTACACATAGTATTTCATCAAATCGATTTGAAATATTGTAAATTGCTCAATGAGAAGTAATTAGTTCAAATAACTGCTACCTTTCTCGGTGAACGAAGAAGATTGTGACTAAAACGAAACAATAAAGATGAAAATGAAAACCTTAAACACAATGTTCTTTCATGAAAAACCTTTTACTTAGCCTAAATATTACAAATACTGAAGTTGATATTATGACGAACAACGATACATTCAAAAACATTACATTGTCGTTTAGCTTTTAACATAAATTTGATATTCACATTTGGCATCTTGCTTGCTATAATATTTGAGTAAATATTACCTATTTTTGCTCACAGGTGATAGTGAATAAGATTTGCTATCGAATTCAGACCGCTTTATTCGCTTGGCTTTATACTAAACAATAAAGACATCGGAAAATATAGTAAAATTTTAGAAAACACCGTTTCTCTCACATTGAGCAAATGAAAGGTTCAAGGTAAAGTTACTCGCGAGATGTTGGGGACGCAAAATCTTGGAAAAGTGCCTCAACTTAATTATCCAACTCATTTCGCAGTAATTTTGCGGTTAGGAAGAAATCTGATCTTCTATTCAAATGCATAAAAAACCATCTGACTAAAGAACGGTGTGACTTGGAAAATGCTTTATGCATATACCTGAAAAAGATTTCTTGCACAACTTGATTTTGGCGTATTTTGGTTTTCATTGGTCACAGGCGACGCTTGTACATCCTTCAAACAGTAAAGCAAGAGTACATACATAAAATGCGACTTAACGATAACGCAGGCATTACAGGTAAGAAAAGATTGTGTTAGGATGATGAAAGCGAGGACAAATTTACCTCACGATAAAGCAAGTTTAGTTAATTTGAACATTAGGATAACGAATTAAACAAATTAGTATAAACGTTGTATTTATAGTGATAACGTCATTATGAAATATATAAGTACATTCATTATTACCTTCAAATTGTCAAACTCCGTTCCCAAAAGTTCGTTCTTCAAAAGGCAATTATAGGCTATGCTTTCTAGAAACATTGATTATGCAATACAAAAATTTGCATCATTAAGTTATTCAAGGAACCAGTCAGAACGCACGCTATATGATAAACTAAATTTATTAATCCAAACCAAGTTTACCTTTTAAATCAGGACTAGTTTCTCTACAATGAATAAATTATTTCAAATGAAAAAGTTAAAAACTAAAGTTTGAATGATACATCAATTAAAAAAACTTTATCTTCATAAATGATACCTATTAATAGGACTATTTTTTTTCTTGTTTACATTCTCCTGCAAAAAAAAGGAGAATATGTGAATAAGAACATTAAAACTCAAGTTTGTTCATTTCTGGTGAATATTTTGATGGTAAATCTCAAACATGTTATCTACTCACGAAACATATTTATAAAATAAACACAATGAAACGCGTGCGCTAATTGGTGTAGAGCTGTGTTTGTATTAGCCTGTGCAAAACACATCTGATCTCAACCAATCAAATCAATTAAAACAATCAACCAGTCAACGAGAATTTGCAAATCGATCATGAATACATTTTAGAGGAAAAATTAAAATGTTTGTCTTTTTCGCATTATTGTTATTTTATATAAGAAATAAAAGATGTTTTTCGTGTTTGCACTCTCGGAGATGTTTGTGAGAACTCTCGAGCATGTGCAACCCTTGACCTTTGGTCTTGGGCTTGCACTGATCTGCTCTCGAGTTCTACCAAAGGTATCCTCAGTTTGCATAAGCCCATGCAAACACAGTAAACATCTTTTATTTCTTAAGTGCAGAATACGCAAATTTACCTGTAATAAATTAAATCCTACATCCAGGTTGTAACCAGCTCTACTGGGAATAAACCTAAACATTACAAGAGTTTTTTCTTTGAAGTTTCTTGTGATTGCTTTTTGAGACATTTGAGGTTGTGCAATTCATAAATAAAGTATGTAATACATACTTCTTCAAAGATTAAACTCACCTGTCACTGTAAATGTTTTTCTTAGGTGATTTATGAGGTGAATTGATCTATAGAAAATATTTTTTACTCCACTTGAAGGATGATTCTCTAAACTTAAGTCCACTTATTTTTATAAGATAAGAAGATTTGATCATTTAGATGATAGAACAAATATTCACTAAAATTTTTTATGTGAAAGTGCTAGTAATAAAACGTTCAAACAGACAGCAAAAAAAACAAAAAATGGGAGGAATATTCGTGACTGCATCTCTTAATTGCCAATCATCTAAGATGCTCATTTTCTTTGTCAGCCGTTCATACAGCTATTTTGGTAAGTAAAAATTACATTCTTAATGGAATAGCCAACATACGAGCTTTCGCGAAGTGAAATTTTTCTGTAAAATGTAGCAACTTTTTCAAATACACAATAATATGAAAGTATATGGTGCCAAATCACACTTTAAACAACACCTAAATTATGCACCGTATATTGTGACACATTCTTACAGGTGAAGAAGTAGAAGATCTTGGACTTAAGCTAAAAGGACCAAGCAGTAAGCGTTTTTCATATTCAGGATCCATTATCCATACATGCCAAGTAATATGTTTCAAAAAAGTCTAAAAATAAGAAAATATTTTATCACAATTTTTTAACACAAAGTAGCTGGTAGTGACCTGTAATTGATATCATAAAAACTTATGACTTGCTCATTACTTGCTAAGGTTATGCAGCTCAGTGGTGAATTTATCAACAAAGCATTAATGATATAAAGGTTCAATTCCCAGTCATGTTAACTTTATTTTGTAAAATTATTTTCTCTCCAAAATACAATCCACGCTTTCATTTTTTAACAACAAATGCATTAGAATACAACTATGTCTGGTTAATATTAGGGTTTAGGAAGACTTTGTTCAAGATTTGAAAAGGGAAATATTAAACTAAAAAAACTAAACTAAATAGCAGGCTGCTGGCTGTTTTAGTCAATTAGTTTCTTATAACCCAACAAACAAAAACATTGGGTTTTCTGGACATGCTTGAAGCAACTCCACTTTTGTGGAACAATATCTTATAACTAAAAGATCCAACCTCAATCCTCTTGATGATAGCAAATAAAATTGGAAAGTACAATTCATAATAAGGGGTAAATATGACAGAAAACTAATAACTAACTAATTTCACTAGTTGATTGTACAATTTCAATCAATTCCAGCTTGCTCATCTTCATGAGGGAAATTAACTAGTGAGAATTGCGAGAAAAAAGTTAATTCCATCTATTGTTAAAATGAACATTTATCACTTATCATAAGGATAAAGGAATTAAACAGATTGAACATAAAATGCAATGTACCTTTCTTTTTCAGCAATTTTACCGACAAAAATGAGAAAAATCTTTAAAACTCAAGTTGAAATCTTTTATAAACACAGAAAATATAAACAAATTTAAATATCAACGTTCGTTTCTTTCGTAGCAAAGAAGAAAGTTGCAACTTTGTCTTGCGCGAGCTCCTGGTAACTAGTTTCTTTTCTTAATGTTGCTATGGTTACGAAAATGGCAGCATCGAGAGAAAAGTTCATGATAAACTCTGTGCATCAAAATGCAATTCTTTGTGAAACAATTAAAAAGAGCAGCAAAATCAAAAGCTTTGTAAAACTACAGCGTAAATCCTTTTACCAAATGTATGTGCCAAACTTATCATAGCAGCTATACATAGATTCATAGACTCTATCGAAGTTTACAACTTTGCATTTTGCCAATGGTCGGTGGCCTTAAAGTTCCTGCTTGTTTGAGTTGTTTCTGTGTTTTAGAGAAAAATATCGTGAAATCACATCTATTTTATTTTATTTCATCTAGTGTACACTTTGACTGGGAAACCAAATTCCCTTCATGACTCTGCTGATGGGGAGGAAGATGGTATTTTTGAAATCCTATATATTTTATAATACGAGTTACAAGAAATTGTTTCCCGTTATTTTTCTGACTTTCCTGCCATAGATGCATTCTTGGAAGTGATTTCCAAAGCTCATCGAACTCCAGTTGAGAAGTTTGAATACCCAATGACATCAAATCAAGAATATGGCTGGGATGTCGAACCATTGGTATGAGCATTTGTTGTATGCAAAACCATCAATTAGTTCAAATCAAGCTATCTGATTTTAGTTAAAAAGTTTATGATACACCTATTTGAAACATAATAAGATATTATAATATGCAAACAGCTTATATGAAGTATAATTTGGTAGAATGTGATGTGTTGTGATGAAGTGTGATGTATTGTGATCCACTATGATCCACTGTGATGTATTGTGATCCCCTGTACTTTGCACTATCCTTGGATCCCTAATAAATAGTATGGAGATATATATGTGAATCAACTATGTCTATTTCAACTTAGTATCCTTGTTGACCTTGGTGGACCCTAATGAGTCATGAAGTCTAATCTCATGAAAACATAAAATATATTTATAAAATCATTGTTTGTGTTCTTAACATGTATGTACAATGATTTATGTCGAGTTTTTCTTAGATTGATGGTCCAAGAAAGGATTCCAGGTTACACTGTCCTCGGCGAAATTCTGAAGTGACGAAATACATGGATGTTGCTTGGCGGGTGAAAGAACAGTCAGAAAATATGAATTAAAGAAATGTGTTGTTGAAGTCCATCGGGAAGCTCCATAAGTTCATATACTTTTTCCTTCTACGTAAATTTTACGAAAGTCTTGTTTGTACATGTGATATTTTAATTTTATACTCCGGGGTAGAATTGAAGCTGATTGATTAACTCGTTTTAGTTTTTGCGTAAATTCTCTTTTACATGTGGAAATTTGTCGAGAAAATTGGCGAACTATCTGTGCTCATGAAAGTTTTAGGTATAGAACAAATTTTTACCATATAACAATCGAGATATTAAGCCGCTGCTAGGATTTTGCCCTGGGGTGGGGAGACAAGTCAAAAGAAAATTGCAATGGCAGATCCAGGGCACTGCGTAGGCGTAATGCAAAATTTCAGTATGAAAATTGTGTAACCGTCCAGTCAGAAAATGCTTGAAAGTTGGCTTCGTTTCAAGGGTGTTCTTAATTTTCTCAAATTCAATTGGAAGATTGTTGATTAATGTTCATCTTTAATCTCCAGTAGCGACGCCTTACCGCGCAATGAACCGACAAGCCTAAACTTTCATTTAGGCTAGTATACTTTCACCGTTACTCAATGGCTATCGTGTACACCATTTCTTTCAGTTCAATGTACACTTCAAAACTTTGTTGTCATCATCGCATCCTGTTTTTAACGAATGTTTAGTCTTAAATCAATAATTTGGTTGTGGTTGCAAACTTAGACATTGCACAGTGTATTTGTCATATTAACGGTTGAAGAACAATACAAAGATAGCCATGAAGGTAAATAACTCGATGCATAGTCGGGAGACTGGCTTTTCATGAAGTGCCACTTCTGCTTTGATGAAAAACAGAAATTTACGTCTATTTGCAATGAAGACAAGCTTGTCTTTTACAGCTATCTTTTTTTTGGTTTTCTACAGTTCTTTTAAGAATTACCTAAGTCACCATGACAAATACGCTGTTCAAAGCAATATTTAAAAATGCTTAATCGTTGATCAATTCAAGAAGCCTGATACGTATGCAAAAGTAACCTCTCTTGTAAACTTTCATCGAAACGTTTGCCGAAGCACTGATTGCATGCAGATGGCCACGCATAACTAATCTTGTCGTTCAAAGTCTAAAATGCGAAACTTTCCAATGAAATAAAGTTGTTAAAATCAATCAACGATTTGAATTGTAAATTATCTGAACTTGCTATCAATTTTGAGTGTTTGAGAGTCTTGTTGACGACATCACAGTATAGTGAACGAGCATTCTAAGGCCATATATCGCAGCCAGTCAATTGAACGTAAGGCTAACTGCACTGTAGTATTCCATGTAGATTTATAGCACAAAGTTGCTCGTCGAGATGGTCGTTTCGTTTATTCATTGTACTGTGACTGTATTTATATTTTTACGCTTAGTTAGTGAAGCAAACTCTAATGAACATTGAATATCACGAACATACATAAATTATAATGATATTGTACACTAGGAGCAGACGTCAATATTATAGCAATTGAACTGCTAGGCTAAAGGCAATTCTTAGAATAACGACTAATGTCCAAAAATTGCTTTCAAAAAGGAATACATATTTTTGTAAAGGATTGTGGTACTTGGACTTTAGTAGACTCTACAAAGTTGCTCAACTGTAAACGTCATAAATAGAATATGGAAATAGAGAGTGATTAATATCATTTCTTTATCTTTATCTTTAAACATTAGTACATTTCATGAAAAAATACGAAAGTAGAGCTATAAATTCGCAAAGGTAATTCATTATACGCAAATCAAAGTTAGCTATTTTGGCTTTATCACTCTGTGCTTTTTAGAACAAGAACATTGCTAACGAGAATTTTCCATGCTTCTCAGCGGGAAATGTTCCCTTTTGTACGGTCTGTCAACTTTAAGTAGCAATGTCGTCATTTTTTTCTGTATTCCTTTGAAAAGCTGCCTTATATCTTCTCTGCAGTTGAACGAAATGTGCTCATAGTGCCTTCAAAATATTATTATCACAAAAGGCATGATTGAATAATTATGTACAGCATGTCACGGTCATGTTTACCGTGACATGCTGTACATTTTCTTTTTTCATTATATCATTTCTCTCATTAGTAACCAACGTTGAACTATCTTCATTTATGTACATGTGCAGACATTCTGGTGGAAATGTACCAAAGAAAGGCAATACTTAATATTTTGTATATATGGTTTGTTTTATAAAACAAAGTGACGTTTGTCCTTTGGCATTTGGGACACTAGTTATTGTGATTCGCAACGGTTTAACTATACCATTTGAAGCCATTTTTAATACCCTGAGACTAAAAATCTATGTTGTTTAGGGATAATAAGCATGTTTAAAATATTGATTGATATGTCGATCTTTTATGATACAGCCTGTATATTATCGTGTTCAACTGGATGACCTTGCACGTCATGACCTTGCACGTTCCATTTTCGCATGACTGATTGGATATACGAATTTGTCATAACATATTGGACTTGTTCATTTGCTATGTGAACTCTTCGCGTATAGTTTCGTCAACTGTTCACCTGGTTTATTGAAGTTTGTAAAACAATAGAATCCTTCTCTATACTTCTGCATCGGATACACTTCTTAAAATTGCTCATTCCTATCATGAGGGGAAATTTTTTTTTATATGTTCTTGGTGTCATTCTTATTGTATCACGAAGACAATGGGGTGCAAATGGAAGTCTCTTGTTGTAAGTTGCATGAAGATTGAATTATACTTAATCTGTCTGTAGAGTGGTTCATCTTTTTGCTTTGATATTCATGAAATTACTTGGTTATTCTTGAAATTGCATCCTGTGAGCGAAAGATTGATGTCTACTTTAATTAGAATTTTCTGTTGACTGTTTCTACGCTCCGTTTATTTCAACTGTGTATGGGCTGATTTTTGTTCGGGATATATTTTTGTACACATATAAATATATAAAGTAATATTGAAAAATTTCCTCGTATGTTCTGATCAGATCTGCACGGTATTTTGTATTCCTTCATTAGTGAAAAGGAATTGGATCGAATTTCCGAAGTAGCATTGAAGAAAGATGAGGAAAAGGAGGTGCGTGGCGAAAGTAGGAGGCCAAATTTTTGTAAATTCGTCGAGGAACACATTACAAACGTCGAAGAATTTTTCAACAAAAGTATAAACACGTCATTTCTGGTTCCGTGCTCCAGTCAAGAGGGGAAATGAAAGATCTAAAAATAAGGATGATTTGTGTAAAGTCTTCAGGTATAATATCTTCACATTTCATCTAATGAAATAGATAAAAAAACTACATGACACCAAACATAAATAGATCACCACTGTTAATATTATTAAACTTACTTCAATGTTGGAGATAAAACGTGACTATGTTTAAGAACCAATTAATCTAAGGTCAACCTTAATATCACCATTATATACTTGATATATTGTTATTGGTAATGGTTGAATAGCCTGGCGTGTAGGAATCTAGGAGCACGTAAAGCCTTTACCCAGCAAGTTTTTTTCTATTTGTAACCTCAATAAGGACGATTATATTTTTTAAATGTACAAATGAAGGCTATATTAAGCCATTTGTCCCAAGTTGTTGGTGATATTGAACAGAAGGAAAGCTTTTAAAGCACCGCGATGTCTAGTCCGCTTAATGGGGTCAACTTTTGAAGCGGGGGCGTTGTTTTATACGTTTGTTTTCTACAAGACTGTCTTTTAAAATCATTGTTTTTACAGTCTGTAAACAAGAACAAATAGACAATGCTCCTCCGCCAATGTTTGAAGTACTGGCGCGACCGTCGATAAATTACTTATTGTGTCATTTGTCTGTTCATACAGTACATGCGGAGAATAAAAAACCCCTAAAATTATATAATTGTTAGCAACGAGTTTCAGCAGCAAGTTCAGAAATTTCTTTGGAAATCGATTATTTTATCGTCAAAGAATACCGTCAAAATTTTGGTGTAAAAAGTAGAGTTGCCTATCTTGACAAGTTTTTTGTATAATTGATTTTAAAAGTAATAATACGGTTTTAGTTTATTTAGACTTATTGAGATGAAGTTTTTAATTTTTTGTGAACGATTGCTTTAGCTTTTTCATTAACATTATTTAACAAAAGATGCATAGGCTAATGCAAACACAGCTATAGACCAATCAGCGCACGTGTTTTATTCTGTTTCTTTTATAATAAAACTTTACATTTGCTAACATATTACGTGTTGAATAAAATTATATTGATCATAAAAGAGAGAAGTTTCATTAACGGCTTCAAACGCACCAAATTACTCCGGGTTTATCAACCATATAAAATGTTGTTTTGTCGAATTTTTTCTTGTATTCACTGTCGAGTGTTAAAATAAAACTGACATTAATGAATACGTGGCACATAGAATGAAACTTTCATTGATCAAATACAAACATGAATCTTCACCCCAGGGCGGATCAATGCTCATTTGACTAGAAGGGTGCAGATTTTTCAAGGCGGGTGCATTGTAATCCTAGAAAAAATGTTAGAGAATATTTTTGGGGGGTGTGCACCCACTGCACCACCACCACCCAGAAAATCTTCCCCTATCCTTCACATTTCTGCAACACGTCACGTGACATATATATTAGTATGAAAACACGAATTTGCAATGACCGATGCATCACAAATATTTGACAAGAACAAATACTTTTAAAGATGTCGGTGTGAACTTCTTTTGTTTCCCTTTCATGTTTAGAATTATTAACGTGCCTTCGAAACGCATAGTACCGAGAACTGAACAAAAAGTCGTGGAAAGATGTTGCGATGGTTGGACTGGAGACGACTGTATGACAGGTAATCATCCAATTATTAATTCTGATTTTTCATGTGTGATATATGTAGATATATTACTTTAAATTTATGTAAGCAAAGATTGGCTTGACGTTTTCTTTCATTATATGCATTAAAAGCAGTAGCAGACTTTCTTCTTACGGAGATTTTATTATTACACTACTGTCCACGTACACTATATCAAAGGACACAATTTTACCTACTGACTGTTCTCGTGTGCTTCTATCTCTTATGTGCTTTACACCCATGTGATCAATCATTTAACGTAACTACTGCCAACTAATTAAACGAATCGAGTATTTTCTACAACGAGCTCTTCAACGAATAAGGCTTCTGCGTTCAAATTGTCCCCAATTATTTAGATCGTAATATACAGGGTGTGTCAAAAAAGTTAGACATTTTGAAAATGTCTAGAAAACTATCATTTCATCAAAATGTTTAAAAAATGAGTTAACGTCTACGTATGTATTTTGGCATTGTTTGGTTAGACTGGTTTATCTAAAAGTAAAAACAATAAAAAAAATTTATCTCGAAAACCGGAGAGCAGTTTGTAAAGCCTCAACTTTAACCGCTTGCGCAAAGAAAATGAAATGTTTAAAATTTCATTTAATTCGATGAGGTGAAAGTTTGAACTCTTTTGTGCCTTGTACCAAAATCTTAGAAAATTTGATAAACATGTTGCAAAGTACATTGAGTGAAATTACGTTGCTTAATTTCATATGAAGTAAATGGTTTGAACCCAGGAGTATCGTTACATGTTTGTAGATGTATATCGTCCAAGTTAATAGAGTCGTGAAAAGGACTGTTGGTGTTGATGTTTACGGTGGCTAACAAGGGACACCACACAAAATAATAAGAATTATAGAAAATAATGATATCAATACATACACAAAATACATTACACACACACAAAATACATTATACACACACAAAATACATTATACACACACAAAATAAAAATATACACACACAAAATACATTATACACACAAAATAAAAATACACACACAAAATATGATCGCGGGCGCTTGCAGTGTCGGATAGCTGACTACTATCAGTTTAATCACAAGGTTAAATTGTTGGAATGTTATTAAACACAAAGAATGATAGCACAACGCTATAACCAACAACTACAAACAATAACGACCAAATTATTTCTAATTATTTTTAATTATTTCGTTATTGTTTGTAGTTGTTGGTTATAGCGTTGTGCTATCATTTTTTTTTTACTATCAGTTTATTATAAGGTTGTAATCAGATATGTGTAATTGTGAATTTAAAATGTGGTCGACTAGTACTTGTCGTTGTATTTAACAGTTTTAACTTCAAAATATTTTTGTAACAATGTTATCGGAAGAAGCGAAGCTCAGGCAAAAAAGCATTGACCTCGGTCTGAATAATTCTTGATATCATGCTCAACCTCATCCAATAATTGCTTATTATTTCTCTTATTTGTTTTTCGCTTCAGTATCACAAGACCTTGCTTTCGATTCCTTTCCAAATGTCGTTTAGATTATTTCGCAGTTAAAACTGTTAAATACGATGGCAAGTACTCGTCGACCACATGTTAAATTCACAATTACACATATCTGATTACAACCTTATAATAAACTAAAGTAAATGGTTTGAACCCGGGAGTATCGTTACATGTTTGTAAATGTAGATCGTCCAGGTTAGTATAGTCCTGAGAAGGACTGCTTTTGTTGTTGACTGACGTTTCGACAACCTGAGCGGTAGTCATCTTCATAGTCAAATGAGGAGTAAACGTCTGGTTATAATAAACTTATAATAAACTGATAGTAGTCAGCTATCCGACACTGCAAGCGCCCGCGATCATATGTTGTGTGTGTATTTTTATTTTGTGTGTGTATAATGTATTTTGTGTGTGTATAATGTATTTTGTGTGTATTTTTATTTTGTAGGTGTGTGGTGTATTTTGTGTTTGTATTAATATCTTTATTTTGTATAATTCTTATTATTTTGTGTGGTGTCCCTTGTGAGCCACCGTAGATGTTGACTGACGTTTTGACAACCTTAGCGGTAGTCATCTTCAGAGTGGTACATGTAGTACCGTTTTCAAAGAACCTTATTAATTTGTATGCGACGTATTTTTGTATCGAAAAAAAAGAAACATGGACATATTTCAAAGGTGTTTAGGAACTCTTCGAAGGCTTGATTAATTTCTTACAGGCAATGTTTCCTTACATTTTAGCTGTTGCACAAGATCCACACAAAAACATCAAACGAAGGATTTTGAGTACAAGTAAGTATAACGTCAAGATAAATGATGATTAAAGATCGTGTAAAGAAGTTTATAAACTGTAAATATTTTCCTGGTGAATTTTTTTGTATTATACAAATACACATCTTATAGAATTTAATACGTATAGAGAAGCTGGTTGGTTAATTGTTTATTTTTATGGCAATCTAGAAGTGATGTCGTGTTCTTTATTTTTTATTTTTATTCGATATTCCAGATTTTTTAATGGTAAAAATATCTTTTTTAAGCGAAATGCAACCCATCATGTCAGAATGGAGGGATTTGCAATGCGGGGAAATGTTTTTGTGCGAAAGGATATCAAGGACTTTATTGTGAAGCACGTAAGTGTTTGTTTTGTAACGTTTTTGAAATTCATGCTTAAATACAGCGTATATAATTGATATATTATTATAATATAATATGTTACAACAATATACTGTTTTCAAATGATAGCAAATAACGACAAATATTTAATGTTCACCATTTGAGGAGAAGCAAGCCTTTAAATTAGACAACCTCAGATTTGCCAGAAAATGCATGTGTATTGATTTAACTAATATCATTTGTTGATTTTGATGTAATAGTATAATCTTCAATTAGCTCGATGTTTATTCCATCTCCTATGTCTAATAGTTAACTGCACTTTTAAACGTCTAAACATGACTTTCCTTCGTTTCAAGCATGGTAACAAATTACAACCGAATTTCAGCATAGAACTGCTTTGAGTTGTATACGCTTGAGTACAGCTTACCGTTTTTCACTTTTCAACTCTGATTCTGTTTTATGAACAGCTATCTGCAATCAAGGCTGCAGACACGGTAAATGCAAAAGTCCAGGACGTTGTGAATGTGATGAGGGTTGGTCAGGAAACAGGTGTCAAAAAGGCAAGTAGTTTATTGATGGTTTAATTACGGGTTTTTTTAAGTTAACACTTGAAAAACACACACTGTAAACTTTGCCCTTTACGTAAATAGACAAAATAGGCTGAAAGAGTTGAAACATGGCTGACATTTTTCGAGTTATTTTGTATAAAAAGATTAGTTACTAACAATGTGAACTTTTTAGCAACGTAATTTTTTTCTTCATTTTAGTTTTTCTGCATCCTTCTCATAAATAGGAAGTTTTTATGTCTAGTAGCTATATTTACTATGAAAAGTCTCATGGTTACATATTATGTTGTGCATTTTTCAGCCATTTGTAAAAAAAGATGTCAAAATGGAGGTGAATGTGTAGCTCCTGGTACTTGCTCATGTCCACGTTACTACACTGGTCCACAATGCTCTACGGGTATGTTGAGGAAAATTCTTTTTTTATTAGAATGTCCCTAACCCTAACGCTAACTCTAACCCAATCCACTCCCCAGTAGTGCATGACGACTCATTCAGGTTTCACGAACAAAAATATGAATCCCCCTCCCTCCACCGCCAAAAACCAGTATAATTTCACAAAGAAGCGTATGTACAGCTATAACAGTGACAATGGAGTACCTGCATAGTTAGGTTGTGAATGCAACTCTGTAATCTCTAGCTGCTCAGTTACAAGAGTAATTTTGTACGAACCAGCCAGCTCTGAAAATATATCTATAGATCTTAAAACGAGGCATTTGTTCATGTTTACATCTTTCTGAATATATACGTTCAAAGAATGTTAGAGAGAATGTAATGCAGAAAAACCTTTAAATAATTCAAACTTTACTCATGCTGACAAACTTTGTTGATACTTCCATTTAGGGGCGATTGTTTTATTGTGTTCAGAAACTATGTTAATAAAAAACTCAAATCCAATTTTTTCTGTTATTTCATCAGATTTTTGTCGTATTCCATGTGAGAATGGAGGGCAATGTCGTGCTGGCATGTGTTTGTGCTCAAATGGATGGACTGGACCAGTCTGTGGAAAACGTAAGAAAAATTAACAACGTTGCTTCAAAAAATTGTGTCACGAGTTGCCCAATCCAGAAGAAAAAACAATTTTGATTCGAACAGCATGCACATATCTCCATATAAACTTTATAGCTATTTGTCGAGGCGGTTGTGGTTTGGGGAGTTGCATTCAACCTGAGAAGTGCAGTTGTCCTGAAGGATTTAATGGAAAGAATTGTGAAATAAGTAAGGGAACATTTTTCAACACATTTTTTAAATCATGATTTTTGTAAAATCCCATTGAACAAGTTCATCATAGCTAATACAGTCGTCCTTTTCATGTTACTTTATAGAGTCGATTTCAACTTCTGCTGCGCCAACAGTTGCAGGTACATAATTCGAGATATGTCTTATTTCAATTTAGCCAGATTACCACGCTATAAAAGTACTTCTTGTTTATTATTTTTACCTATGAAAAGTGCTTCCTTTTTCAAGCAGCTTAGGCATTGAAATTCTATACTTGTGTGCAATTTGATGACATTCCGTATCAAATAAAACGTTTGGAACTTGTGTAAAACTTCTTCTTTTTTTTATTGCTTTTTTTTTGTTTATTGCTTTAGTTTCATCCACGTACAATGATCCCAATTTGTGCTTTACATTTGGCCAAACGCATTTTCAGACGTTTGATGGAAAATACTTTTACTTTCCGGGAAGATGCAAGTATAATTTTGTAGAAAATTGCGATGGCAGTGATAGTTTTCGTATTCATGTGGCGAATGATCCAAAATGCACACACATAACTGACTGCTTACGATCAGTGTTTATTTTCATTGGAGAAACTGTCATAAAGGTATAAAATATAATTCAATTATTTATGTTATGAAGGTATAAATCATTCAATTATTTATGCTGGATGATTTATTTACGTAGTCTGAAACAAATCCCAAAGCATTTGGTGAGTTTCAAAAAACGATTTTACATTAAAAATTATTTTGGTTGATTTTTGGTCATTTCACTCTGTTCGTCTCTTGTCGTCATTCGTATCTTATCGTGTTCTATCGTGTCTTATCGTTGTCTTATCTTTTGTTGTCATCTTCTATCATGTGTTATCGTTGTCTTTTATCTTCTGTGTTTTTGTATCTTATTGTTTCCAATCGTTTATTATGAGAAACAAATAACACTACCCTGCCGTCTACACAGCAACTTCATTTGTTTACTATTTTACAGCTTCATTCTGACAATGTAACGGTCGATGACAAACCAATATCACTGCCGTACTTCGTAGACAGCATGTTCATTCGAAGAGTTGCGCACAATATTCTAATTAGCGGTTTCGAAGGTGTTCGAATCAAGTGGGACGGACGTAACGGTGTGTATGTGCGCATGGACGAGTCAATGAGAAATTCGACTTGTGGTTTGTGTGGAAACTTCAATGGCATTCTCGATGATGACTTGACGACAAAAGGTGGCGCGATCACAACGTCTGTGGCACGGTTTGCTAACAGTTGGAGTGAACCTGATATAAATGAAGTATGTCGTAATATTCAAGAAAAGAGACAATATCACCATGCAGTAAAAGAATGTGACAGAAATGATGAGAATTCGCGGTACTTGCGGAATTTTAAAACATTCACCATTTCGATTGTGTCATGGTAGTCTTAATCCGCAACATTTTATTGAAATGTGTGAGCAAGATGCCTGCTCCTGTGATATCACTTCGTATCCAAACTGCGCATGCGATTCTTTCACGCAGTACGAGAGAGCATGCGCCAGAAAAGGAATAACAGTGATGTGGAGAAGTTCAGATCTCTGTCGTAAGTTACGAATATTTGAAGCACTTTTTTACATACATTAGTGTAGTACACGTAATTTTGTACGTATGCAATGGTTTGTGCGATGAATTTCTCAACTTACAAACAAAAAAGGCTGAGATTCATGCATGTTAAAATATGCCAGCACAATGACTTGTGGTAGTTGTGTTTGGTTACATTTTCGCTCATTCGTGATATGTTTTTCTATTTTTGTATTGATATTTTGAACTCAAGAGCTGATCAGTGCAAGCCCGAGACCGAAGGTTGAGTGTTGCACATGCTCGAGAGTTCTCTAAACGTCTTCGAGGTTTGCATAAGCCAGTACACAAAAACATCTTTTATTTCTTTTATAAAATAACAATAATGCCAAACAAACCAACGTTTTAGTTTTTCCTCTAGAATGTATTCATGATTGATTAGCAAATTCTCTTTTATTTATTGATTGATTGAGCTCAGATTGGTTTGCACTGGCTAATGCAAGCATGCAAGCACAGCTATAGACCAATCAGTGCACGCTCTGTGTTGTTTTATTTTATAATATGTCTTATGCTGCATGTTTATTGTATTTTTTATTCATTGAAGCCGTTGAATGCAGTGGCGGTAAAGTTTATAAACCCTGTGGCTCTGCCTGCCCAAAGACTTGCACCAATCATGGAACAAAATCTAGTTGCTTGGAACAATGTGTTGATGGTTGTCATTGTCCTAGTGGAAAGGTTTTGCAAAATGGACGTTGTAAGGAGATCGAGGATTGTTTATGTGAACATAATAAAGTATGGTATAAAGCAAAATCTAAGGTTCGCGTTGATTGTAATGACTGGTAAGTTGCTTTTGTTTTTAAATTGTTTTCTGTTAAAAGATAAGAATCGTCAACTTTTTGAAGTAAATTTACAAATTCACAGTAAATTGTTATTCAAAAGAGATTAATCTTCCACGTTTGAGACAATGTGAATTGAACTTTAGTTTCTTGTACGTTATTCGATGGGCTTTTTCAAAGTTCTTTCTCTTTTAATTTATAGTTATTGTATTGATGGTCGATGGCAATGTACCGAGAAACTGTGTCCTGGTAAGGAATTACTGTAGGTGAAAGAAAAGTTCGATGAATGAAGTTACCATCATAAAATTTGTTGTATTTTCTTTCTAGCTACATGCTCTGCAGTAGGCGATCCTCATTACAGGACATTTGATGGCAAATACTTCTCGTTTATGGGTCATTGTAAATATATTCTCGCTAAAGATGCCATGGATGATTCTTTTATGGTTGTTGTTGATAACTTTCCTTGCGGAGTCGACAACACTCTATCTTGCACGAAATCTGTGACTGTCCATTTTGATAAAAATGTCATACAACTGAAAAAAGACAGTTTAGTCAACGTCAACGGAAACTATCTTTCCTTTCTCCCGTACAAACATGACCGTAAGTTATAACACAGCTAACATGAAGTTCATTCTTGTTTTTCTTGAATGATACAACTTTCTACGTAGGTGTTTGAAATCGTAGCAATTAAAAGAAATGCTTTTTTGTAAGCTTCTAATTTTCATGAAAAAAATTAACTTGTTGTTGTAGTTTATACTTTCGCAATAAATTCTTTCAATTATCACAGCGAAAGGCCCCAGGAAAATGGCAACTCCTATCTTCATTCTAATTTTAGGAGAACTACGAGGATTTTTACATTTAAGAGACAGTTTTAATCTTAAACGACCTAGGACCATTTCATTGTAGGATGACCAAAGAATATTATTTTCAACTTAGACTTTCTACGCAGGTGTTTGACCTTACTAAATAAATATTTCTTTTTATACGTCATTTTTGTATTGAATGGCTCTTTTAAAAGCACTTTGCTGGGCTTTAATATTTATAGTAAGAATTAGAGCTTCTTGGATAAAAGTCGATTTAAATTTTGATACTTTTGCTTTGTTCTTCTCATGATGCCTTTGTTGTAATAATTATCGTTGTAACTGATTCTTGATAGTTTTTGTCGTGGATGGATCTTCCCTAATTACACGAGTCATTTCCAACGATGGAGTTGAAATCACGTGGGATGGATTCGGTCGTGTTTATGTAACTCTGCAAAGTCGATGGATGGGTAAAACGAAAGGTCTTTGTGGTAACTTCAACAAAAATCAAGAAGATGACTTCAAAACCATTGAAGACAACCTGGAAACGGACATTGCACGTTTTGGCGAATCGTGGAAACTTGATCTGTCATGTCCATCGGCGAAAGATGTTCTCCATCCCTGTGAAGCTTATGTGCAACGAGCTAAGGACGCTGATCGCTTGTGTGATATCCTAAAACAAAATCCATTCACGAAATGTCACCATGTTGTAAACCCTGATGAGGGTTACATGCATACATGTAGGTACGATTTATGTGGTTGTCAAGATGGTACCAAGTGTCTTTGTACTGCTGTTGCATCGTATACACATGACTGCGCAAGGCATGGTGTTGAAATTGAATGGAGAAATCCGAGCGTCTTGCCTGAATGCAGTAAGTTGACGTTTTGATTTTGCTACACAAATCACGATATCGTGTGCTGTTTTTTAAACTTAAAGTATTAATGATTGATAGGATTTATATCTTTGCTATTGGAAAACATCTTATAGTGAAAAACTAGAGAGCTGACTAGTTTCAGAGCTGACTAGTTCATACGAAAACATCTTATAGTGAAAAAACGTCTTTAAAATAAAAACATAATGTACAAAACCATTGGTATCATTTCATATACAATTCATTGATATCGATTGTTCGCCATACGATGCCATAAGCTGTTATGTCGAAAACAGCATAAATTGTTGTAGTTACATGAAGTAACCATTAAACTCGGTGTCTCATAACCCATTGGCTATTTCGTTCTGCATGGATAATACGAGGAGGGAAGAGACATACATGCATGGTTAATGAAGTATAAGATGTAGTAAAGCAACACCAACATGGCATAGAATGTTTATGAAGTGACTAAGCCAATCAAAACTAATTTTTATTTACTTTAAGAAATTTCCTGTCCTATTGCTGGACAAAGGTATCGAGAATGTGGCTCATCGTGTTATCAGAGATGTAGCGATCTCTCAAAGAAAACTGACTGCAGCGAAGAATGTTTGGCCGGCTGCTTTTGCCCAAAAGGTCAAATATTAAATGACGACGATAACTGTATTCCCATTTCTAAATGCTCTTGCTATAAAGATGGAGAAGTTTTCTCCCCTGGTTCTGTCATAACAAAGGATCGTTGTATATCATGGTGAGTAATCTTTCATCATCACCATTTTTTCTCATCACCATTCACCATCTTCATCACGTTTATAAGTCAAATTTAATTCAAGTACAAACTCCATCATTTTGAGTAATCTTTCATCATCACCATTTTTTCCAATCACCATTCACCATCTTCATCACGTTTATAAGTCAAATTTAATTCAAGTACAAACTCCATCATGATGAGTAATCTTTCATCATCACCATTTTTTCTCATCACCATTCACCATCTTCATCACGTTTATAAGTCAAATTTAATTGAAGTACAAACTCCATCATGGTGAGTAATCTTTCATCATCACCATTTTTTCTCATCACCATTCACCATCTTCATCACGTTTATAAGTCAAATTTAATTGAAGTACAAACTCCATCATGGTGAGTAATCTTTCATCATCACCATTTTTTCCAATCACCATTCACCATCTTCATCACGTTGATAAGTCATATTTAATTGAAGTACAAACCCCATCATGGTGAGTAATCTTTCATCATCACCATTTTTTCCAATCACCATTCACCATCTTCATCACGTTGATAAGTCAAATTTAATTGAAGTACAAACTCCAAAGGAAAAATCGTGTTTTGCTTACGCATGACCACTCCTCTATCTTTGCTTTGGGTAACGACGAACGGCCCAAGAGTCCACTAAAAACTTTTAAAATTACGTTAAACGTGTAAATGTTTCCGACTTCTGTTAAAATGTGGTGTATACACCGTCACAGATATTTAAAATCATGACATCACAATGCTTCTTGAAAATAGTACATTCCGTTTTCTTGTTTTTTGTTCTGATTTTTTGTTCTGAATTTTTGCAGCAAATGCGTCAATGGACGTTTTCAGTGTAGCAACAGTTCATGCTCATGTAAGTTTTTTAACATATTACACTTGCTCAAGTGATGTGAATAAGATGGGTTGAAAATAATGTTGGGGCTTAAGATCAAGATGGAAAGGTGATTAATAGGATGGAGATTAAATTGGGATGTAGATTAAGATACGATGGAGATCAAGATGGGGTGAAGATTAAGATGGCGTGACGATAAAGATCGAATGGGAAGCATAACTAGTGATAAGAAAAGACTGATGAATGATTTTTAATACAATATCTTTTGTGACAACATGTAGATCTTGATGATGTTTCAACGAAATTATGTCCAAAGGGTCAGTCTTATGTTAAATGTGGTAAAGAGTGTGAAAAGACATGCCGTAATCTTCATTTGCCGTGTGGAAGTCATTCATGTAAGCCCGGTTGTGTATGTCCTAAAGATCGTGTACTTCATAATGGGACATGTGTTGCACCTGAAGATTGTCCTTGTCATCGTGGAGGAAGAACTTATAAAAGTGGAGAAACAATTAAAGAAGACTGTAACACATGGTATGCTCTTTTACTTGTGTCTACGCATTATGAGCTTTACCAGGCTATAACTTTCTTTGGACTTGCATGAAACGGCTATAAATATGTTTGTACTTGCATGGCGCACATGAATGAATTAGAATTAGTCAAAGAATCACTAGAATTTTAACAGGCTGTTTTGCTGCCGTCCTATTAGCTAGCTTTATAATTATTGCGACCTTTGTGCCTTCTATTATCTAATAATACAAAAGTAGCATTGTGGCTTCCAATTCAACTTAGCCTGGAATGAATGTTGCTAAGTAGGAATGTATTTAGTGGTAGTAGTACTTGGCATTTAGTATTTCTATTTTGTGATCTCTTATGTACGAGATCACTTAGTTATAATTTTTGTTTTCAGTACTTGCACTGGTCGAACCTGGTGTTGCACTAGAAAGAACTGCCCTAAAACATGCTCTGTGTATGGTGACTCGCACTTCATAACGTTCGACAACAAGCGTTATCAATTTTGCGGTGCGTGTAATTACATGTTGGTTCGCGACAACTGTGCTAATAATTCAGAAACATTCAGTATACAAGCAAAGAATGTCCCTTGTGGAACTGGTGGTGTAACGTGTACCAAGGCCATCACAATCAATCTTAATGGTACTCAAATAAGCTTGGACCAAGGCCGTGAACCATTGTTTCGTTCTATGATCAAGAACAAATCTGAATTTACTGTGGAAAAGAGTGGCCTTTACATTATTTTTCGTACAATTACTGGAATATCAATTGTGTGGGATTTTGGAACAAGAATATACATCACCCTTGATAATCGTTACAGAGGTTTGTATCAGTATTTACATCTATTTCCTTCAATTTAAGTGGTTTAAGTTTGAAGTGGTTTAAGTATTCGCTGAATATGGTGAGTGTAGGGAATGCGGTGATTGTGGTGTATGTAGTGAATGCGGTGAATGTGGTGAATGTAGTGAATGTAGTGAATGTAGTGAGTGCAGTGAATGTAGTGAATGTAGTGAATGTAGTGAATGTGGTGAATGCGGTGAATGTGGTGAATGTAGTGAATGTAGTGAGTGCAGTGAATGTGGTGAATGTAGTGAATGTAGTGAATGCGGTGAATGTGGTGTATGCGGTGATTGCGGTGAATGTAATGAATGTAGTGAATGTAGTGAGTGCAGTGAATGTAGTGAATGTAGTGAATGTAGTGAGTGCAGTGAATGTGGTGAATGTAGGGAATGTAGTGAGTGCAGTGAATGTGGTGAGTGTAGTGAATGTAGTGATTGTAGTGAATGCGGTGAATGTAGGGAATGTGGTGAATGTAGTGAATGTAGTGAATGTAGTGAATGTAGGGAATGTGGTGAATGTAGTGAATGTGGTGAATGTAGTGAATGTAGTGAGTGCAGTGAATGTGGTGAATGTGGTGAATGTAGTGAATGTGGTGAATGTAGTGAATGTAGTGAGTGCAGTGAATGTGGTGAATGTGGTGAATGTAGTGAATGTAGTGAATGTAGTGAGTGCAGTGAATGTGGTGAATGTGGTGAATGTAGTGAATGTGGTGAATGTATAGTGAGGGCAGTGAATGTTGTGAGTGCGGTGAATGTAGTGATTGCGGTGAGTGCGGTGAATGTAGTGAATGTAGTGAATGTGGTGAATGTATAGTGAGGGCAGTGAATGTAGTGAGTGTAGAGATTGCGGTGAATGTAGTGAATGTAGTGAGTGCGGTGAATGTAGTGATTGCGGTGAGTGCGGTGAATGTAGTGTATGTGGTGAATGTAGTGAATGTAGTGATTGCGGTGAATGTAGTGAGTGCAGTGATTGCGGTGAGTGCGGTGAATGTAGTGAGTGCGGTGAATGTAGTGATTGCGGTGAATGTATTGAGTGCAGTGATTGCGGTGAGTGCGGTGAATGTAGTGAGTGCAGTGATTGCGGTGAGTGCGGTGAATGTAGTGATTGCGGTGAGTGCGGTGAATGTAGTGAGTGCGGTGAATGTAGTGACTGCGGGGATTGCTGTGAATGCAGAGAATGCTGTGACTCATATATGTCGACTCGCTTGGAACTGATGTATATTACAGGCGCAATCTTTTCTTCAGGAGAATTCTGTACTTATTTTCAAACCATTGTAAATCAAACTGTCTGCGAACATATTGATTTAAGCAAAAGCGATAGAAAAACGTGTTTTTTTTTTCATTTTAGGGAAAACATGTGGTCTGTGTGGTAATTATAATGACGATCAAACTGACGATTTTAGAAGTCCTTCCGGCTTAATTGAAGCATCTCCTAACAGTTTTGGGGATTCATGGAGGATGAGTGAATACTGTGCTGATGCGAAAACACTAAAACATCAATGCACTATTCACGAAGAAAGATCAGCATGGTCAAAGAAATCATGTGATATCATCAAACAAGATGTTTTCAAACCATGTCATGAACTGGTATTAAATAGTCTTGTGTCATTTATAATGTTCTCGTTTCAATCAATATTTGTCGGGAAACACTGTATATGTATATGCGCACATTGGGTTTGTGGGAGTGGAAGAGAGAGTGACACTCAGTGTGGCTGTATGTACAAATTTTTTACTAGATTTGGTCTGATGAGCTTTGATTCTCTCACCTGATAAAGTTCAGAACTGAGGATAATGATCACATCTAGTTCTCTCACCTGATAAAGTTCAGAACAGGGGGTAATGTTCTCATCTAGTTCTCTCACCAGATAAAGTTCAGAACAGGGGATAATGTTCTCATCCAATCAAATCCGGTTGAAACTTTGCATATATAGTCGCACTAGGGGAATCCCCATCTTGTGACTTATGTCTAAAAAGTTGATCCGTCAACTGATAGACGCTGAAAAATACTTGCCGATTTTTTTGGAATGCGTACTTCTATGTATGGCCATCTCAGTGATTTATGATGAACGCATTTGAAAACGTCATGATCGAATGTATTTCTGTTGTAGGTAAATCCTGAAGAATATTTTCAAGCTTGTTATTATGATACCTGCAGCTGTGATACGAGTGGTGATTGTGAGTGTATGTGCACGGCTATTGCAGCTTATGCCAGAGAGTGTAATCGTCACGGCATTCATATAAAATGGAGATCACAGCAATTGTGTCGTAAGTATATAATTTCATTAAGTCAATAGCAAATCATAAATGCAAAAAATTATAATATGCAAAAATCTGTTTAAAATTAATGACATAACCTCGTTGGTGGTAAGTACTTTTGTCAGGGATTACGGAGGATATTTTTTATTGAGAGAGAGGGGTTTTGTCTCTGTCGAAATTGATGCAAAATCAATTTTCAGCTGCTCTTTATAATTCATCATGAATAGTTTTGTCATCACAAATAATTTGTCTAATTATCAAAAACAGCTGTGCAATGTGAACGAGGAATGGTGTACAAGGCATGTGGGCCAGCTTGTGTGAAAACATGTTCAAACTCCTGTTATCAGGACACGACTTGTCCTATAGCCTGCGTGGAAGGATGTCATTGCCCTGATGGCTTCGTCAAACATAATGACAAGTGCATTAGACGGGAGGATTGTCCATGCAACGTGGATGGAAAAACATACAGCGCAAAAGCATTCGTTATTCTGAACTGCCAATCATGGTAATTATAAGAAAATATTATTTCTGTGTTCACCCTCACTGTGTGTTGTCGCAGCAGAAGAAGCTTGATGTAAAAACAGCCACTTGCCATGCAGTCAACTATCTTTATATTACTCCACAAACGTAGAAAATCTTACTGGTCAAGAATTGATTTTTAAAAAAGTCCTACTTCGCTGCACAAGCCGAATATTCGTCATTTATCTTTTCAAATTGCAGTCAATGTTTCTTATGACTTTGACAGCCTTGTTACTATCTTCACTGTAGCCATCGTTAATATAGAGGTCAATTTTTTTCAACCAGAATGGCAAATGTTTCCCATGACTAACCACCAAACATGTCAAGTTTAAGTATTAGCTATGTTTTTGCATCATGAAAGCGCTGAAGAAGTCAATTAAAGAATGGTCATTGTGTTTGCATTTTGCTTAAAAGCATGTGAATAACACGGCAAAAATCAAACAGCAGAAAAAAGCTAAGTTGTAACCCTTATTCAACATCATGAGTCATGTAGTATACTGTATATTATCTTCTTAATAGTACTTGCGACGATGGCTGTATGAACTGCTATGGACCAACATGTACAACGCCAACTACTATTATCCATTCTTCAACCACTGAGTCAACAATGACGTCCACTAACTCAACACAATCAACAACTCCATCAACAAGGAAATCAACACCTACAGGAACACAGTCAACAACTCCTTCGACAAGGAAATCAACACCTACAGGAACACAGTCAACAACTCCTTTAACAAGGAAATCAACACCTACAGGAACACAATCAACAACTCCTTCAACAAGAAAATCAACTCCTACAGGAACACAGTCAACAACTCCATCAACAAGGAAATCAACACCTACAGGAACACAAGCAACAACTCCATCAACAAAGAAATCAACTCCTACAGGAACACAATCAACAACTCCTTCAACAAGGAAATCAACACCTACAGGAACACAGTCAAACACAACTCCTTCAACAAGGAAATCAACTCCTACAGGAACACAGTCAACAACTCCTTCAACAAGGAAATCAACTCCTACAGGAACACAGTCAACCACTTCATCAACTCCTACAGGAACACAGTCAACAACTCCTTCAACAAAGAAATCAACACCTACAGGAACACAATCAACAACTCCTTCAACAAGGAAATCAACACCTACAGGAACACAATTAACAACTCCTTCAACAAGGAAATCAACACCTACAGGAACACAATTAACAACTCCTTTAACAAGGAAATCAACACCTACAGGAACACAATCAACAACTCCTTCAACAAGGAAATCAACTCCTACAGGAACACAGTCAACAACTCCTTCAACAAAGAAATCAACACCTACAGGAACACAGTCAACAACTCCATCAACAAAGAAATCAACACCTACAGGAACACAATCAACAACTCCTTCAACAAGGAAATCAACACCTACAGGAACACAGTCAACAACTCCATCAACAAGGAAATCAACACCTACAGGAACACAATCAACAACTCCTTCAACAAGGAAATCAACACCTACAGGAACACAGTCAACCACTTCATCAACACCTACAGGAACACAGTCAACAACTCCTTCAACAAGGAAATCAACTCCTACAGGAACACAGTCAACAACTCCTTCAACAAGGAAATCAACTCCTACAGGAACACAGTCAACAACTCCTTCAACAAGGAAATCAACTCCTACAGGAACACAGTCAACAACTCCTTCAACAAGGAAATCAACTCCTACAGGAACACAGTCAACAACTCCTTCAACAAGGAAATCAACTCCTACAGGAACACAGTCAACCACTTCATCAACTCCTACAGGAACACAGTCAACCACTTCATCAACTCCTACAGGAACACAGTCAACAACTCCTTCAACAAGGAAATCAACACCTACAGGAACACAATTAACAACTCCTTTAACAAGGAAATCAACACCTACAGGAACACAGTCAACCACTTCATCAACACCTACAGGAACACAGTCCACAACTCCTTCAACAAGGAAATCAACTCCTACAGGAACACAGTCAACAACTCCTTCAACAAGGAAGTCAACTCCTACAGGAACACAATCAACAACTCCTTCAACAAGGAAGTCAACACCTACAGGAACACAGTCAACAACTCCTTCAACAAGGAAATCAACACCTACAGGAACACAGTCAACAACTCCTTCAACAAGGAAATCAACTCCTACAGGAACACAGTCAACAACTCCTTCAACAAGGAAATCAACACGTACAGGAACACAATCAACAACTCCTTCAACAAAGAAATCAACTCCAACAGGAACACAATCAACAACTCCTTCAACAAGGAAATCAACACCTACAGGAACACAATCAACAACTCCTTCAACAAAGGAATCAACTCCTACAGGAACAACACAGTCAACAACTCCTTCAACAAGGAAATCAACACCTACAGGAACACAGTCAACAACTCCTTCAACAAGGAAATCAACACCTACAGGAACACAATCAACAACTCCTTCAACAAGGAAATCAACACCTACAGGAACACAGTCAACCACTTCAGCAACACCTACAGGAACACAATCAACAACTCCTTCAACAAGGAAATCAACACCTACAGGAACACAGTCAACCACTTCAGCAACACCTACAGGAACACAATCAACAACTCCTTCAACAAGGAAATCAACACCTACAGGAACACAGTCAACCACTTCATCAACACCTACAGGAACACAGTCAACAACTCCTTCAACAAGGAAATCAACACCTACAGGAACACAGTCAACAACTCCTTCAACAAGGAAATCAACACCTACAGGAACACAGTCAACAACTCCTTCAACAAGGAAATCAACACCTACAGGAACACAATCAACAACTCCTTCAACAAGGAAATCAACACCTACAGGAACACAGTCAACAACTCCTTCAACAAGGAAATCAACTCCTACAGGAACACAATCAACAACTCCTTCAACAAGGAAATCAACACCTACAGGAACACAGTCAACAACTCCTTCAACAAGGAAGTCAACACCTACAGGAACACAGTCAACTACTCCTTCAACAAGGAAGTCAACACCTACAGGAACACAGTCAACAACTCCTTCAACAAAGAAATCAACTCCTACAGGAACACAGTCAACAACTCCTTCAACAAGGAAATCAACTCCTACAGGAACACAATCAACAACTCCTTCAACAAGGAAATCAACACCTACAGGAACACAGTCAACAACTCCTTCAACAAGGAAGTCAACACCTACAGGAACACAGTCAACTACTCCTTCAACAAGGAAATCAACACCTACAGGAACACAGTCAACAACTCCTTCAACAAGGAAGTCAACACCTACAGGAACACAGTCAACAACTCCTTCAACAAGGAAATCAACTCCTACAGGAACACAGTCAACAACTCCTTCAACAAGGAAATCAACACCTACAGGAACACAATCAACAACTCCTTCAACAAGGAAATCAACACCTACAGGAACACAGTCAACAACTCCTTCAACAAGGGAATCAACGCCTACAGGAACACAATCAACAACTCCATCAATATTTCCTACAGGAACACAATCAACCACTTCATCACTTTGTCCACTTGGAATGGTAAGTACAATGCATCTGTTCTGACTATTTTAACCAATTAAAATGATCAAGAAAAGATTTTTGTAGCAATTTTATTCGTGACTATTTTATGATTTAGATACATTTCTTTAACACAGTTTCTTTATGAAGTTATATTGTTTTGTTTGTCACGTTGTTTTACTAAGGAGTAGCTTTTTGCACACATTATATTTATGGAAGTATGAATATAATATAACGACTTTTATTTACTAAATTTCATGCGTCTCACTTTGCTTCAAGTTAGGCTTGAATATATAAATGTTAGCAAAAACTTTATTTCGGGGATAAAGTGGGGGTGAATGGCTAGAGCCCCCTAGTTTCCCCCCTTCGGTGCTATGTATTTAAATTCCAAGTGTTTCATGAATTTTTTAATCATAAAGATGTTTTTTGCAGGTGTATACTGATTGCCTTCCGACACATTTAGATCAGTGTCAATTTATGGACTTGCACTTTGCTTCAACTCCTCTTGTCCAACAGGGTGATTCCTGTACACCAGGTTGTGTTTGCCCAAAAAATACTGTTTTTAATGGTAGTAGTTGTATTCGTCCAGTTGAGTGCCCTTGCTATCAGAATGGCACATATTATAAACCACGTGACCGCTGGAGAAATGGATGCAATATATGTAATTGCTGGAATAATCAAATCAGCTGCATGCCAAAACCTTGTCCCATCATTGGAGACTGCTCTTCGCCTTCATTCAAAATTGTCATTGAGGACTGCTGTGAAACATGCAAGCCAGTTTGTGCAGACTCGTTAGGCGTTGGTACGTTGAATAATGCACGGTCAATCTGATACAGTCAAACTATACGAATTAATATTGGCCATTCATCACATGATTACTTTGCTGTTGTTATAAAGTCTCATTCGTAATGATTGTATTTGATGTCGTTTATAGATGTGAATGGAGCAGTACCTGCAAAGAACTTTCATTCTTCGTCAAATCATTTTCATCCAGCGAAGGTCGTCTAAATAACAGTGCTGGCGTTTGGTGTCCTGGGAAAAATGATACGTCACCCTGGTTGGGCGTGGAACTATTAACAACGTCAAATATTGCAGGTGTTGCAATTCAAGGATCACCTAAAATTTTTTCACAGCATGTTAAGTCGTTTTCACTGCGTTACAGCACAAACGGCGTACATTGGATTACTTATCCCGTGAATGGACATAAACATGTGAGTTGATTATTTGATAGTATATTTAGTGTCACATTTACCTTTATTTCTGTAATTAATATAAAACGTACATGGATATTCATAGGTTTTTGCATGCGATTAAAATTGCACTCGTGGTCACTTGTGCATTGGTATTTTTTTCTTTTGAGATTGACAGAAATATTTTTTAGATACTAAATATAAGCAACGTTGTTTAGAGAATTATTGTAGTTAAAGATGTGTTATATTTTATCATTCAACTTCTACGTTTTAGGTTTTCAACGTCCTTGACAAATCTAGAAAAACAGCTTTTTTTACATTAAATCCGTTCGTTGCTCGTTTTGTGGTCATATTTCCTATTTCTTGGGGATCGCGTCCTTGCCTCCGCTTTGATTTGTTTGGTTGTCCGATTCACCCAAAAACCACATCATTTACTACACAGACAACCCCTGTTGGTAAGTTCAGAAAAGGTCATTGGCAAAAAGAAACGTTCTTATGTCTAATAAGATGGGAATATGTCTAGTTTCAAGACGGAATCCTTATGTGCATTTATGTATAGCATTGAATTGGATTCAAAACCAATAAATAAGATTAATCTTTTAACCAAAGATCTTCACTTCCTCTGTTATTTTCTCGAGTTTATATAACCTCTATTTCTTTAAACTGCTGATTTCTCTTTCCATCGAACTCCCCTGTCTTAGTAAGAATTAATTTCATCAAAGTATGAGTGTTATGAAATCATCGAAAATTTTTTAGGACTGAAAAGCTCAGTAGGTGTGAAAAGGGCTTGATAAGTAGCAAAGAAAATAAGAAAATGTTCAATTCTATCTGGAAATCATTTAAAACTTGCAGACTGAGTAAGATTAGTAAATCTCAATATATAGAACATAGAGTAGCAAAATTTTTTTTGATTTGTTTAGGATCAACAACCCATTCAACAACAGCCAAACCTTCGAACAAAACTCCTTTTGGACCATTTGGTTCAGCCAATGTCACAACGACTTCCAGTCCTTCATGCATATACAATGGAACAAGATACCAGGTAAGACCACATTATATTTATCAAAATCTTCCTTTTACCATTGAAGATTCAAACGAGTCATGCGTATTGTAAACTTTCCGGGAATGTGTGTGTGTGTGGGGGGGGGAGTTGAATGCTATTTATATTCGTTGTGATTTGGATGTAGTTATCAATGAATCGAAGGTTATTTAGACAGTTTTAGTTGTCTTATTTAGAAATTCTTAAGACATTTTTGCCAAAGTCACGAAAATTTGGAGAATTATTGCCTTTATTGTACATCTTGCTAAATTTGTCAAAGTCCGTTGTGTAAAGAACACTTAATTCTTTCTCGAAAAGCGTCGTACATGAAGCGATAGATGAGTTCAGGAATCTAAGGTGTCTGCAGACTGTATAGTTTTTGAACGTATGTAAATAGTTCTGACTTGAATATTGAGTAAATCTTGCAGAATCTACGCGTTACGTGAATTTTGTTATGTACCGTTTTTTAACTCTGAAATTTCTTTTGGCTTAATGAAGAAATGAAATAAATGTATGAAACATTTTATGGTTTATTCAAACTACAAGTCAAAAGGCAGTTTTTATAAACTTTGCTATGATCCCTAGTTCTCTTTATTCATAAATCCTTTCGCTACATATTACCTTAACATAAGCTTCTTTTCCAGATTTTTGAATCATTCCAAAGAGGCGATTGTGAAACGTGTCAGTGTGAAAAATCTCTTAAAGTAGTGTGTGTTGCTTCTTGTAATATTCCCGTTTGTCCTGAGGTGAGTCGTGGAGATGAAATATTATTTGTTTTTTTCTTTTTATTTATGTATTGTCCATTAGCTTTATTTTTATCACATGCTTATATAATCTTCAGTGGCGTAGGTATAAAGTAGTCTTTGGAGGGGCACAGTCCGGCATTATAGGTGGTAGAGTGCAATAGTTATACATAGTCAATATAATAAAAAAGTCTCAACTTTTACAACTGTAATACATATGTATATATGTCAAATTGTATAAATCGCAGCATAATATATTTTACTTAAAATTTCCCAAGTACTTGTAATAATATATACCTGTGGCATATTATTGGGGAGGGGGCCCCTACTTTCATTATTCGAGGGCGTCCCACCGCCACCCCCCGTTCCTACGCCATTGTTTATTTACCTGTGCGGGTTAAAGATGGTCAATTTCAAAATACTTTGATATCAATGTTATTGATTACAAATTTCAAAAAGACTAAATGAGTTATAGTGCTCTTTGGGGATTTTCAAATGTAATTTTATCCAAGATTGATGTGTCATAATTTATTTTGACTTACCCTAAATCTACGACTAATATTTCCAAGTAGATTCACTTCTAAAATATTTCATGGGACAAATAACATCTTATCCTTAGGGCCAGGAACTAGTTGATGAAAATGCACAATCGTGTTGTTACTGTCAAAAAAGTAGGTTCTTGTGTACATTTCCTTCATTAATGAAGTTAACGACCATAATATAATCCTGAGACGCATCATTATCCTTCTGTTTTAAGAATGTCGTGAGGGAATGCTTTATAAAAGTTGTTCTTGCAAGAAAACCTGCCAGAATACGTCATGTGACAAGTCATCGTGCGTTCCCGGATGTCAATGTCCTGATGGAACGTTTGACAATGGTATAAGTTGTGTTGGTCTTGACCAATGTCATTGTGTGGTAAATGGAAAAATTATGAAGGTTTGAGCTTGTTTGAAATGTTTCTGTGTTTTAAACCTATTCAATAATAATGAAATTTTATTAGTGGTATCTGCAGGGTCTGAAAAGTTATGCAATTTTTTAGCCTAATGAAACATGGACAGAGGGTGAATGTTTGACATGTAAATGCAGCAATGGAAAGCCAAAATGTCAACGTCATTGTAGGATTACAAGTTGTCCAAATGTAAGCTCATTTTATTTTTTCATTAACCAGACATTGACCTCGCTAAGGCTATTATGTAGTAAGAAATAATTAAAAAATGAACTTCATTCTTACGATTAAAGAGAAATGTGTCATGTCATACAGTAAAGTTTTCATCAACCTCATTTGCACTGTCTTCACAGAAAATTATCGGACCTTCTTCTTTTTGTACAATTATGTAACGCCTTCCCCACCCTCCCCACCCCACAGTTACTCAAGGTGCAGTTATGTTCTAGGCATGTGTAATTAGCTTGGCTTCCCTGCGTTATGGTAACATGTGTAAACATTTACATATTGTAGGGTTATGAACTTCGTACTCCATTCAATGAATGTTGCAGATGTGTACCAGGTATATTGTTGTTTATCGCCTGAAAGAGAGCAATTGCCATGACGAATGGACTGAAACCAAATAAAACCACGAAACTCAAGATGAAACCGAGAAAAAATTCAAAGGTTACATCGGTTTTATCTTGGGTTTCGTGGTTTTATTTGGTTTCAGTCCATTCACCAAGACAATTGCTCTCTTTAAGGCCATATTCAAATTTGTCACCACGACAAAGTCTCTGTTTTATATTATTGTTGATAACATAAGCGTACGGGAGTTATCATATCATTTCTGAGGGAGGACGATAATCATTTTGTCACAATAAAATTTCTTATTCTGAGACTTCTTGACTTGACAAATTACGCGACATAATTTCTTTCTCACGTATTTTTCGTCCGACTAACGTCTGAAAATTAGCCCCACTTTTCAACCTTCCATCTTTCTTGGGATTATTCTATGATTTATGTTAATGTACAGTGTCTCTTGTAACTTCGAAAGCAATAATTTTGTTGCGCAACGGCATTTTGTGTAATTTATGTAACCAGAACAGTTTCCTTCCTAAGAATGAAATTTTTTTGCGTAAAGTGAGAATAAGAATGCATAAAAAATGAAATATGTTGTCACTTTCTATTACAACAGCTAGTTTACTTCATTCTATGTTGAACTAACATATAATTCTATGATCAAATATAGTTACAAAAACACCCGTTACTACAAACGCACCACGACCCACATATCCACCTAATCCGCCATGCAACGTCGCTCAGAAGAAAGTGACTGTTCCAGACTCCAATGGCTGTGTTGGAACGTTTTTATACACAAGTTGCGTCGGTTTTTGTTCATCGAATGCCACGATCGACTTGTTTTCCTATCCTTATGTTCAAACACATTGTTTGTGTTGTCAGCCGTCTTCAATTGCTATTGATCAAACAACTATGAAGTGTGCAGATAGAGTTTATCAACACAAATACATGATAATAGAATCATGTCGATGTACTGCCTGTGGCACCAATCCCTTGAAGAAGGAAGAGCAAACCATTTCTAATAATCTGAAACATTTTGCTTGGAAACAAAAGTTCTCTAAGTTCGAAGATTTTGTCATTCACGCTAATTATGAACACTGATTATAGTCTGAGCGGTAACGTTAATTAAATACGACTTTAGGTTTAAAATAAATAGATTATAGATGTTCTTTTTCACATTAGTTTATTGTTTAACGGTTCATTGAAATGTAAAATGGGAAAAAGCCTGCCTTGCTTGACTGCAGTATTTATTTCAACATAAGTTGATTGACAAAACGCACTATATTCTCATACGAGCTCAGGTAACTCAAAAGATCGAGTTTAGGATTTGATTCAGCTTTAAAGTTTAGCCTGTAATCGCCGTAAATATCATGGAGATCAGAGAATTAATTCGCGGAAAGTGGATGTTTTCGCAAGCGGAATTTTATAATTTTGCGAAAAGACGCTCTCTTGGGCGTCAATCAGTCAGCCAAAGAATTTAGCCAAAGGCATTGGCCAAAGGCATTGAACTAAAATACATGGAACGCTACCTGTAATACAAAACCCTAATAATTTTTTGAAGCCGTGATTTTACCCCAGACACGCGTGTGTAGTCAAATTAATTATTACTCCGCGAGAGAATCTCGAAACATTAAACACGCGTGTCTGGGGTAAAATCTCGCGTGTCTGGCGTAAGATATGGCTCAATTATTTGCTTGAGGTAGCGTTCCAGCTATTTTAGTTCAATGGCCATAGGTTAAGCGTTGTCCAACTGGATTAATACTTCATGTTGTTTTACGTTGCATCATTGCGTGTTTACAGTTGACATCATAACGAAACGATTAACGTTTCGCTTTACGATAATAGCGATATTCAAGCCAAGTGAAGAGTATAAATCATCAAAAGGTACATTAAGCTTAAATAAATCCAATTTCATCTTATCCCATGAATCCAATTTCATCATTGCGTTTTACTTTCAGAAAACAAGAATACCCCTATGGGTGCAGCAGAGTCGACAAATGACGAGCCAGCAGTCAAACAAAATCTCTCCGATGATAAAATAAAGGAGATGAATGAAAAGACACAAACCTACCCAAGTGAATGCCCCATGCATCAAAATAGTAGTGTCAGCCGCACTGAATGTCCAATAAGTAGCAACGGTGAAGCTATCAATCCAGCAAATATGGTACACAAAGTTACTGAACTATCTCAATCACAATCTCACTTTTTGGTTTTGCTGACAGGCAGTCTTTAGCATTTTATCTTTTCATCTGCACTATGTATTTTTCATAAATATATGGGTCTGCTGCAGGCCTGGTGCAAGTTCTTTGGCTACCTTTTTTGAAAAGTGGCTTAGTCATGGAAAATTATAATTTTGTAATTGTACATAAATTTTGTGCTTGAAGTCTGGGGCCGGTTTCACGAAACCAGGATAACGTTATCTATTGCATAGGAAAAATTTTCAAACTTGTAAATAAGGTGTTTATATTTTTCATATGACAAAGAAATTTCATAACCTTGAAACAATATCTTATTTCAGTGGTTGCTCAGTTCAAATCTTATAATTTTGCTTGTTAAAAGGTTTTTAAAAGTTGATAAAAATTGCTATCCAATGGATAACGCTATCCAGGCTTTGTGCAACTGGCCCTGGACAATATAGAGTGCTTTCTTACCTTCTGATCTTGTCAGAAATTTTGGCAGTCACATGAGACAGGCCTATTGCTTGCCTAATGTGCTTGGTAGAAATCTCTGTTTAGCTTTGATTGACATTTTTGGTCGCGTAGCTTGGCACAAAACAGTTGGGATGATTGAAGGCTGGTAGGTGATTACTGAACAGCAGGCCAGTCTACTTTGCCTTATATATATATATATATATAAGTAAATTACCTACAAGGTCATACATCTTGAAGATCTCAAATATTCAAGGAACAAATATAGTAAATTGGTTCATATTATGAATTATCATTTTGTCTTTACATAATACATGGTATTTTTGTTGTTTGTCTCTTAAGATAAAAAATTGTTTGCATTGTATTCTTATGTTTATGTAGATGCCACCTGCCAACCAAACATCTGCTCCAGACCAACCATTCCCACTGTCTACTGAAAGAGAACTTTCAACCATTCCTAAGGCAGATGAAGATGCAGTCTGGGTGTATCCCTCACCACAGATGTTCTGGAATGCTATGTTAAGGAAAGGCTGGCAATGGCAAAAGATGATCTTTCACAAACGGATATGGATCATATCATTCGTATTCATAATACAAACAATGAAAGAGCTTGGCAGGAAGTTTTGAGATGGGAATCATTTCATGCACAGTTAGTAGAAAATCATCATGTATCTTGCTACCCAATCTTTGACATTTTACAGGGTCTTTGGAAGTTAGAAAATTATGAGAGCTGATATTCATATGTCTTATGCCAAATTAAGTTATTTTGAAATCCATCAGTTTCTGTGGATCATGTCATGCATAATGATGTTTGAATATAACCCCCTCTATTATCAAATTTTGTACAGCTTTGTGTTGTAATACATTTTATCATGATTAAGTCTTGATCACACTAAATTAGCTTTAAATAATTAGATGATTTAAGTCATTCACGGTAATTGAAGATAATTGAAATACAAGTGATTGATCACTTTTCATCACTATTAGTAAACATATCCTCTTTGTTATAACCATGTTGACGGTGTCTTTCGCACTTGGGTATAGTATGCATGGTTTGAATGCTCAAACTTAAATCAGTGGGCGATGTGTACAACACACCAGGTGAACATCTGTTGTTAAGACTCACCATTTTATTCAGAGTGTTCTCATATTGCATGAGCAGTGACCCAATTGTAAAAAAGAATGTGCCATTCTGGTTTTCACCATTTTTGCAGACTCTTGCATTCACACACAGGATGTACGTACGTACTTTATTTTAGTACGAGCAGTTATTTATGCATAAAATACCGCGTGAATGTAATGATATCAAAACAATAGAATACTCAATATTAATAAAGACAGAGGAAAATTAATCCAATCCAATCCAATCCAATGCAAAATCATACGGAGGCTTTATTAGCCCTAATTAAGATATGACTTTTTTACATAGTGAATGCGATCAGCCAAAGTTGGCTAAATTTGGCGGAAAAGCTCAAGAATATTCCCCTAGAGCAAGATTCCGTAGCTGGCTTGGGTATGTAAAGAACAGTTTTTCCAATTTTTTTCTTCTTTAATTTACAAAATTGTAACGTTGTTAGCTATGAACTTCCGTTTGACCGACATGACTGGATTGTTGATCGTTGCGGTAAACGAGTACGCTATATAATCGATTATTACGACGTTGGTAATGAAGAATCGTACTCCAAAGGAGAATTTGTACACATAGACTGCCGGCCTGCTTTGGATTCGTTTGAGGCGTTTTTTGACAGGACGAGGGTCGCTTTCTTGCGATTGGCTTGTTATTTAAAGGAAAAAAAAGCTGCGAGATCGAAATCGTTGGATGAAAGCTCAAATCAAGTCGAAAACAAAGCTTAGCTTTTTACTGAATATTCCCCAGTAAATTTCTGACCTCGAAAGTCAAAGGTTGAATTGCTCAAATAACGACGTGGATCCCGTGAACTCTTGGAAAATTTTTGTAACAGGTCTCTCTCTTGAGCTATATATGTATAATATTTATTACAAATGAGACATATTTTAAATAAAAGTTATTTGTTTTATTCTCATTGTAGCTCGTTGTATTTTTACTGTGTTCCATATTTCCAAGAATGTCTTTGTAGTCTTTTTACATTCAAAACTCGTTTTGCTTTCATTTACAAATCTTCTTCACTCTGTTTTCAGAAATGAACTTCTCCACTCAAAGCACTTTCCGTTCTTTGGCATTCGTTTTACCAACTACGTGATGCGTACGTTTTTAGGTCTTGTAGTTGCACTTGCTTAACAATTTTTCCTCTACACAAAATACGAGAACAAAATTATCGCATATTATCATTTCTTTTAATTCTTCTGAAATTTTCCTCCTTTTGTTGCGCAATCCATGTTTCATCAATTTCTATAACATTTCTTTCAAATGTATCTACTGTTATTTTTCAAATTTTAAAACCCACTCCTCCCATGAAATACGCGCTACTTGTTTGAGAATATTAAAAAAGCCTTAGAAAGTTAATTTTCGATAAATGGAAAACTCTCCTGAGGAGCGGAGACTCGACGTGATATGTTGGAGAGGTTGGGGCGGGAAGCGAGCAGAAAATTAAGTCAAATGATAATTTAACATTTTCAACAGAGGTGGGGCTCAAAGGATAATTTACTGACTAAAAACTCAATGTGTAGTATATATTTAAAAGATATCGATGAGCGACCAGCCTCTCCTCGCTTGTTTGCAAAAATTGCCATTTGCTAAGTTTTGTAATAAATTAAGTACACAAATTTCTATTTGGAAGAAAGAAAGCCGAGTTGTGTGGATTCCTTTGAGATTGTAAGATGGTACTACAAAGGTTGACATATTTAACTTCCATTGAGGCTGTTCTCACGTGTGAAATATCTACTGAATCATCCAACGTTGCACTGTCGCTGTAAAGTACTTGTCAAGTGTATGTATCATATATATTCATCTGAAAAAACAATACGGAAGCTCAAAAGTCTTCAATTGATGTATAAAGTCAAGTGTTTTTAATGCAGCCAAGTATGATAAATGCCTTTAGAAATAGTCATTTAGAATTGGATGATAAAAGTTGTTTTGTGTGTAATAATGTGTGATAAAGGAAGATTGAGGGAAGTGGGGGTTGACCTTCTCTCGCTCTTTCTAAAGCTGTGACAAAAATATTATCAATCATTGATAATTAAAAAAATTTAAAGTCCAAATGTTACTTGAAATTTAACATGGGCATACATTCTAGTCTTCTTGGTACTTGCAGTGTATGCAATCTCTTCATATGCACCATGAAAAGCTTGCATTAGTGACAAGTTAATTTCTTACTTGATAGGATCCAGACAGTACTCCAAGAAAATCATCAACTATTGTTATGAATCGCTTTTGATCAAACTGAAAAAAATATTCTCAAATTGAATTAAAAATAACTGTATTGAGAAATTTTATTTTCCTTTGCAAGTTTGCTTGAGCCAATCAACAACTTGTGACAATCCTCTACCATTATGTAAACAAGTCTCAACAACTGATATTTTTTGATTTGAGCGTTGAATAATGTCTTCTAAACGCATAATAGAAGTTATTTCCATCCGAGACATTGCACACGGTATATCATTCTTATTAAACAAAACTAAAACAGTCCAATTGTTGGTTTCTGTTGCAGACAACAAATTCAGTAAAAGTATAGTAGAAGCTGAAATCTGCTCTCTATTTGCCATGTCTATAACATATATACAATGTGATGAATCTTTAAAGTAATTAGACCAAACGGGAGCCATCGCACCACCTAATTCTCTGAAGGAAAATTTCATTTTGTTTATTTTCAATGATGTCAGATTGACTCCAACTGTTGCTATGGTTGACGGTGGTTCACCAATTTTTATATCGCTCTCAACACACGGCATTTGTGATGTGTAACTTTCGAGTCTTTTCAATAACATCGTTTTTCCACCGCCTTCCGGGCCGATAACCAAGATTTTACTTTCCATGTGAAGAATATGATAAATTTTCTAAATTTCTATCGTATCTTGCAATTGACATGAATGGTCGAAAAACGTTATGTAAGACATTATATTATGATTTATGAATTCCTCATTAAGTCAATTTTTGGAGTCACAATTATTTTACGAAATTTGTTTCACTTTTCAATTTGATTCACTTAAATCTTCCAAGAATTGACATAGACATAGCTTCACTTTTTAGAAATTTTTTAGTCCAAATTTAGAGCAAAATCGCGTGTTTTTTCTTAGCGAATAAAGCCGTACATAGAACAAAAATAATGATATTGTTGTTAGTGAGAAGTTTATTGAATGCACAATCGGTAAAAAATTAATCTATTTTTTGATCTATACAATTATCTGTTTTAATTACGTGGTGAATGTATAGTTGTTTTTAGTTCTCGTGAAAATTTATCAAGATTCACGATACGTTGTTCAGTTGAAAGTTTTTCCATACTGATCGTTAAATATTTCCAGTTAATTTTCTCGCAGCTATGTAGATCGTGTGGTATACAATTACTGATTTTAACCTTCTTTAAAGTATGAAAATATCTGTGGTAACATGTTTTATAGTTTTCAATAAGATTAAACAACGATGTGAATTCCAGTGGTTTGTACATAAGATCATCTCTTCTGCTCAAGCCAAGTGCCCCAAATTTCCCATTATAGAACACTCCGAGTACAACATGACTTAACCATGAAGAATTGACCTGTGTCTTGAATCCGATAGCAAATCTTTTGACATCATGTAAGCCATTACTAAGATAAAGTGCTAAGATAGTTGCTTCAAGGCATTTGATTGGTAACGACTCCCTGATCATTTCTTTAGCTGTTTCCATTAGGCCATGCATTGGTCTATCTTTTCTTATCTCAAAAAATTGAGTGCCAGTATGATTGTATTTAAGCTCGGAGAGATAATTTTGAATCAACTTCAACTTTACTGTAATATCGATCTCGCAAGTTAAAGATGACAAGCTTGGTACAGCCACTACGGGTAAACGTTTATTACCACGAATGTTTTGAGCCATGCTCGAGCCATCCGGATGAACACTTTTCACATGCTGCCACATTCTTTCCCAAACAAAGTCTTGGATTGGAAAACCAGTTCTATTTACATAAAACCCAGAGAAAGGCTGTTGCGTCTTGGAAGTTTTTGCGCTTGTGCACGGCTTCTGTGAAGGGCTCGAACACTTGCTTGTATTACTTCCTGGGTTGTCTTTGTTCACAGAGCCTGAGGAGCATTGCTGCATTTGTTAAATTTAGTTGTGAAGTCGTTGCATTAAAATCTGTTAGCCAACTTTTGATAAACTTTGATACTTGTGGTATTGCCTTTGTTAAGAACGCTGACTGTTGCCATGGAGTTTCGAATTAAATTAATATCAATTATCGAACAATTATGAATGATTTAATCTTGTTCCATGGCGACAAAAATGATGACAAATGAATCCGTTTGACAAAATTCGCGGAGATCTGGCGAGAGTCGATAAAAGCGCTTACATTTAAATGGTAATTAATGTTGATCAAAATTAATTTCATCACAATAAGAATTTTTTTGAACAATTTCTATCGTGATGATTTTACTCAAAGAAAATAGTGTTCCACACAAGTTCATTGTGTTTTGTTTGAATTAAAGGTTTTAGGGTTGATAGTTTTCATTTGTAAAGAAATGGGCTGTATGTGATATATTTTATTGGTAAAAATCTGAATATGACTGTTGCCCTTTTACTGTTGAAGTCATTCTGGTTGCTTTTGTGACTTTGTACGTGCTACATCAGTTTGGTAATTTGAAAAAACAACATTACATTGTTACTGGAGCCGTTTTTATTTCGTGGTTTTTCTCTTTCTTAATTATATTCGTCTTGCCCTTGGATGTATCTTCCGTAAGTAGTGTTATTAATATTTTTTCTGTTTATGTTATCGAGTCTTATTTTATACTTGTTTTAAAAATTAGTCGATATTAAAATTCATAGATTTAGTATACGTAATATTTTTTAAAAGATATTTGAACTATGAATTCGCCTTTTCTTGGTACTAATTATTGGTGGTACAGTTTTCTTGGTACAAATTCATTCGATAATCTTTGAAGACATTCAATTGATCTTTGACGTCTTTGTTACTTTATAATTATAGCTACAGATATAGTTTTTACAATCTGGAGATGTCTGTCTTTTACACTAAGCATTCTGGACATACAGACGAAAGTATGGTTTAGGAAATGATGCTACTTTATTAGCACTCTGCTTACAGAGCAATGGACTGATAATGAGCTCTTTGAAAATAAACTGTAATTGGCCAGTTCTTTATGTATATTCAGCCTTTCGAAGATTATTCTTTCGCTTTTTGCTCTTTAAAGATCAGACTGTATAAAATCTTCTTGTTTGCCTTACTTTGAATGCTCGTACGAGAATCTTGATTTACTGCATATAGCATTATTAATTTATATGTATTTCCATTTTATTTCATTTTATTTCATTGTTTTGTGATTGATTTGATGTTTTATATGTATTAGTCGGTTTTTGCTGATTAATTGGTTAAATTAATGCTCTTAATCAGCCATCGATTAATCATATTGGCTGTCGGCTTTTTATAGCAATGAGCTCATCCCTTATGGGATAATTATTTTGAAAATTGACAGGAAATTTTAAATTGATTATACTCTAATTTAGCCAAGCAGTGCGCACAAGGATTAGTTGTGTAACAAAAAAGTTTTTGTTTAATTTCATAGACTTTTTATCATCAATGTGTTGCTGGACAGCCTAAACAATCAGGCAATTCTTCAGTGACATCAAATAATGAACAAACAAATAGCAGCAACTTGTCTTGTAAAAAACCATGGACGTACATGTCTGATGATGTACTTCTCAATCTTTGGCGTGTTGTCTATTGGTCATCGCAAATATTATCATGGTAATGTTCTTTCTACATTCACTAAATAAAGTGAAAATTGTGCTTAGGTAGTATTGTCTTTTTTAGGATTGTATTACCTATGATGCAATCCTATACATATGCTGGAGATTTTACAATCCAAGGGAAAATTAAAACTGCTTTGTATGAAAATGCTCTTTGGTATGCCAGCTATCTTGTGATATTCATTGGACTCATGTTGTATGTCATTTTTCATCCTGGATCTCATCTTGATGGGTATGTAAATATTTTTGTTATTTTTTATTGGAAAAGTACTGAAAATACAAGATCTTGTGGAAGATTTCTGGAAATTTATTTTCAAGGTGGATGAAACAACGATATAAAACTAAACAATATGAAATTTCTGTCTCATAAAACTTGCAGTAAAGATTATTTTCCACATATTTACTCATCTTGAGAAAACTATCAATTATATAAATTATTAAACTGAGCTTTTTTCAATTATCTTTGTTGAGAAGACATTTTTGTTGTATATTAATTGTTTTAGAAATAAACTGAAAATGATCGGAATTGCTGCTTCAAACACATGGGGTCTTATCTTGCTGGTGATTTTAATGGGATATGGTCTGGTAGAGGCGCCAAGAACTATTTGGCATTTCTCAAATTTAGAATATCAGCTTGCTCATACTTATTTCAAAGTATCCAAGATGAGCACAGAGAAGGAAGAAGCGAAGAGAAATTAAATGAAGTACTCACGGTGAGAGTCACATGAGTATTACCACAGTTAAATGAAGTACTCACGGTGAGAGTCAAATGAGTATTACCACAGTTAAATGAAGTACTCACGGTGAGAGTCAAATGAGTATTACCACAGTTAAATGAAGTACTCACGGTGAGAGTCAAATGAGTATTACCACAGTTAAATGAAGTACTCACAGTGAGAGGCAAATGAGTATTACCACAGTTAAATGAAGTACTCACGGTGAGAGTCACATGAGTATTACCACAGTCGAGATGTTATAGTCAGCACTAGGTCGACCAGTGGTTTTGTACACACTGTGGCGTAGCCAGCCCTCAAATTTTGTCCTGCTATGTTAATTTTTTTTCACTCACAGTAAAAACAATATATTTCTAAAGAAATGAATAATGTTAATGATCTAAAATTTACATAGCAGGACCGAGACTTGTGGGTTGCCTACGCCACTGTGTACACACAATACGATGACGTAATAACCAGATAACAAATACGGCTAAACCGACGTTTACTCCTCATTTGACTCTGAAGATGACTACCGCTAAGGTTGTCAAAACGTCAGTCTACATCAACACCTACAGTCCTTCTCAGGACTCTACTAACGTGGACGATCTACATATACAAACATGTAACGTTTACTCCCGGGTTCAAACCATTCACTTTAGTATCATATCGATGAACTGCATAAGAGGTGATAACTCTAAACTATTCAGACAGTCGTGCTATGTAAATTTCTGCGCATTTCCTAATTCGTTTCTTTGAAAATCTATTGTTTTGCGGAGTGAATGAACAGTGAAAAGTTTTCATTGCAGGACTGTATTAACGGACTCATTACGCTTCATGTTTAATTTTCTCACTAGTAGGGTGCAGAATTAGTTCCACGAGACCAGTACCAAAGAATTCTGTCGATTATTTATTTTTCAAATAAACTTTTGTATATTCTACTGATCTCTATTTTTTGCAGGATGTACGTAAGGCAAGCGAGTCCATCCGATACAATCACAGATTGCGAAAGCATATCAATGTTATTATAAATAAGGTTTGTCAACATGTATAATTGTACACATTAAGAGTCTAAAAAGGTTAGGCCAAAAAAAACGATATAATATGACGTCTGTGGGAGGGGGGAGTTTGCAGGCGTGACGTCTTTTTTCCTTCGAAATATATGCTCAAATATAAGAAAAGTCTATAGCCAGTATGACTGCAAATGAAAGTCAAACACCAAAATATGCAGTGCTGTAAGGTTGTAAGTTAGTAGAATAGACACTTTTCATTATGCTTTCATGAACGCATGCAGCTACATACCATGAATTTTTCGTTATTGGAGCCATAAGTTTTTCGGAGGATTTCAGGAAAGTTTATTATGTGGAGATTTGTCATATTGGCGTTATTTTAGCAGAAACTCATTTTTGATTCTCTTTATTTAATGAATAAAATGTGGACAAAACCTTTGTAAACAGTTTAATACACTTTAAGTGCTTATGCAAAGCATTTTAATAAAAAATTCTCCTAAATTAATAATTCTCAATTAGTATTTATTGAAATTAAGTTTGCATCTTTTCTTTCTGGTGTGTTAATTAGACATAAAGACTCGGAGTTTCAGATTGGGTATTTTGAAGCTATTTAACTGATTATTTTTGGATCAGTTAAGCTCTGTCTTTTATAACGATTTTAGTTTGATGTATGTCCTCTGCAGCACTTTAACGGTTTTGTTTGTGTTTTGCCACATTTCATACCGTTAGTTAGTTAGTGCGATTAAAACATCATGATGCTTGTGCTTAAGTATATTTTCTATTTAAGTAGTGTCCTGTTTTGCCACATTTCATACCGTTAGCTAGTGCGATTAAAACATCATGATGCTTGTACTTAAGTATATTTTCTATTTACGTAGTGTCCTGTTTTGCCACATTTCATACCGTTAGTTAGTGCTATTAAAACATCATGATGCTTGTACTTAAGTACATTTTCTATTTACGTAGTGTGCTGTTTTGCCACATTTCATACCGTTAGTTTGTGCGATTAAAACATCATGATGCTTGTACTTAAGTACATTTTCTATTTACGTAGTGTCCTGTTTTGCCACATTTTATACCGTTAGTTTGTGCGATTAAAACATCATGATGCTTGTACTTAAGTATATTTTCTATTTAAGTAGTGTCCTGTTTTGCCACATTTCATACCGTTAGCTAGTGCGATTAAAACATCATGATGCTTGTACTTAAGTACATTTTCTATTTACGTAGTGTCCTGAAAGAGATCAACAAACATTTAATAGAGGTACAGATGATTATGTTGATTATGACCAAAGGCGGAGAAATGACGACAGACGAGAAGTTTATGAAAAGAAAGATCTTGTAAAACTACACAAACAAGTAATTGCGCAGACGTTGATCACAAAGAAAGCAAGATGGTTAGTACGAACGTCACATGTGTCATTATTGACAATTATATTTGTTTATGTACTGTTGAACAGGATTTTGAACGGTGTGGCGTAGGGGTCAGATTTACTATGAAGAGTGTGGTTAACTACTTGCTTCTCATTACCTTGGCTAGAGGGGGTACAGGGTGGGTGTGGTGGGGTTTGCACTTCTCATGGCCTTGGCTAGAGGGGGTGCAGGAAGGGTGTGTTTGGATACGCACTTCTTATAGCCTTTGCTAGAGAGGGTACAGGAAGAGTGTGGTGTGGTACGCACTTCTCATAGTTCTGACCAGAGGGGTATAGGAAGGGTAAGTTTGGATACGCACAAGTGTGCTGATTTCCTTAAAAACATAGTAAAGTACCAAGCAATTAAGCAAAAGTTATAGTGATTTGTGTTTAATGAAGCACACTTGATAGTTTCAAAAAATTTTAACATACATTGTATAAAAGTAGCAGAATTTAAAAGAAAAAGGTCTGTCAAGACACAGCAACATCCACTATGGAACCAGCAAAATTTAATCCAAACTTGATCACACACATCCCTACGCACTGTACAGTGATTAGAGTAACCTCAGAGCGGAGGGAGAGCGAGTCAGTGATACCGCGAGGCAATGTGGGAAGGCTTGTTTATGCTTAAAGTAACATGGGTAGAGTGAGACACGGAGGTAAAATAGTACCATCTCTATTGAAGATGTAGTTTTTGACGTGTCATGTTTTCTCTGAATATTGATTTATGTAATATGTACAAGGTGTAATGAATTGCGTCAGGAAGCGAGAGAGAGAGGTTATTGAAGAAGCTCGTTTCGTTGCAGTAAACACTCCGTATTTTTTGCCTGTGTGTTTTTTTTTCACGGAGATTTCGGTTTGACAATGAGAGTAACAAAACTTTAATATTTTCTTTAGTCAATGGAATCGGGTCATTGAAAACGCGTTCTATTTGGAAGACTTAGAAAGAAATACGAAGAATCGTGAAAGGTAAAGTCTTTTATATAGTGAAAGAGTCTTAGTGTCATGTTTAGCGTGCTTGCACGGCTATTTTTGGCGACCTCTTACACATGAACCTAAAAACATAAGCATGAACTTGTGAAACGCGAAAAGCACGACTCTAACTTAATATAAACGTATTAGAAAAACGAAATAGAAATTTTTTGTTGGTGAAATTTTGTTTATATAGAGTCTATGTATCTGCAATTGATAAAACTAACGTCTTAATCCGTCTTCCTCCTTCAATGGGTAAGCAAAGAAAGATAGTGTTTCTTTTGGTTTGTTCACGTACTTGTTTCTGTCAAAATTAATTCGAAAATTAATACCATGAATTTGTTCGTGTGTTTTTAATTTTTTTTTGTTTTCTTTAATGAATAGAGTGGCATTGGAAAATATGGATGAAACCGTGGTTGTGGCGTGTTAGTGCTGTTATATTGGCCGTACTTAGTATAGCACTTATATGGTCTGAAGTGACATTCTTTGTTGTAAAACCAAGACTATCGCTGTTTGCCTTACTTCTTTACAAAGCACAGGAAGGATACTATTATTTTTATGTCGAGGTATTTGCATTTATATTTAAAATCTTTTCTTTTCCCCACCCACGGACACGTTAGTCAAACCAAACGTAGGTTCATTTGGCGGCCGCTAAAATATTCTTACTTACAAGAATTACTTTACGTATTTAGGCATAGGCAGCTTAGTACAAAAATATCTGGCAAAGATTACAAAATGTGACTTTACTTTAGAGAAAGTGCAAGTGCATGACGTCAATCGTTGACAATTGTTTGATATTACTGCGCATGTGTGTTGCCACAAGTTTTTCAGACGATCGTCATAAACATCGTTGAGTTGAAGACTTGAACTCCGCCTTAGCTGTGATTCCAACTCTAATCCTAACCAAGGCGTTACTAGAACTTTATCGGGGACTGGGGAGAGTGTCTTGCATGTTTGTATTCAACATTTATTGTTTTGAGTTTCTTCTTGGACCAAATTTCTTTTATTTTCAGTTAGTGTCCTGGGTGACAATCACATACATGTGTATTTGTACCTATTACACTGTCTTCAGAATCCGGGTATTCAACTTTTACTACTTTGCTCCACATCATCAAACTGATCCAAACAGCTTGTTGTTCAGCGGATTGTAAGTCATTTGTCGAACTACTATGTACTTGGTGTCATAATCATATAAACTTGTTTTCTTTTTTCATTATTTAGGATATTATGTCGATTGACGTATGCTCTCTGCTTGAATTTCTTGAGTGTAATACATCTTGATAACCATGTAGTCGATGTGCTCAGTCTTGAAGATACAGCATTTACACGGGTATGTATATTATAATACAGCTTTACACGGGTATGTATATTATGATACAGCATTTACACGGGTATGTATATTATAATAAGTTTGAAAAATCACTTAAAATCCGGAGAAACTTTTATCTTTTATGTATATTATAATATAGCATTTACACGGGTATGTACATTATGATACAACATTTACAATGATATGTACTGTACATCATTATACAGCATTTGCACGGGTATGTATGTACATTATGATACTGGCTGTACTCGGGTAAATACATTATGATGCAGCATTTACACGGGTATATATATTATATTATAGCATTTACACGGGTTTGTCATTCTCTCTGCCAGAAAGATTTTATTTTCGACATTTCATTTTTACATTAGTATGTTCGTTCATGACCAGAGAGACTTTTTGAGTAATTTTTGAGGTTTTGAATTTTTTCACGTCAACTTTCAATTTTGAAATGCGTTGTTTGTTTGGCTTTTAAAATACCCTCTTTGTAACATTTAAGGCATGTTCATTATTTTATCACAGGTAATTGGTCATTTGGATGTTCTGAACTTCGTTGCAAACGGTTTTAACATCTATTATCCCATGAGCATTGTATTAGTTTGTTTGGCTACTTACTTCAGTCTGGGGTCACGATGTTTAAATTGTTTGGGGTTTCAAGCTTTCGTTGTTGAAGATGATGTTTCCGTCGATTATGTTGCCGAGGGAAAGGAATTAGTCAGAAGAGGTTTGTGAGAATTTATTTTATCAGTAATTTTTGTCGAATCAGTGAAAACCATGATTTTTCACCTGAGGACCCATCGTAAGGACTCATTGTAAGGCCGCTGTCGGTTTCTACTTTATTGCATGTACAATAACCTGACTTGAAATGATGTAGATGTTACAGAGATTGTTGACGATATATGCGCCAACAAAGTTTTTTATTGGTGTTATTAAAACTTCCAGCGTATCTGTTGAAAAAACTTTCTTATTTGGTCAAATCAGTCCATGGTTATTGTGGTTTAAAATGAGAAGAAATACCCTTTTTGTTATCCGTTGTAAGAAAAGTTTGGATACATAATCTTATTTAAGTGACATCATACTTTAATGATTACCTTTCTATAATAATCATAATATAAAGGACGATAAATTAGGATTCAAAAATTGTGTCATTTCCACATTTTTGAGCATGTCAGTTGAATGCGAACGAACGCATCTATTTTTAATACTTCGATAAAATTGTTTTTAGGAAGTTTCATGTTTCAAATCACCGTATTTTCTGTGCACTACACCTTTATTGAGATTTTTAGACGCAATGTGTTTTTATGCTAATATTTGTCAAATAATTTTTCAATAATTAGAAAAAAGAGAAAGAGATGTTTCCATTAATCCTGGAGATACACGGCAGGTACGTAATTCATTCATAGTTTCAATGTTCCATGCATCAACTTATGAAACCATTGAGAATCGAGCATAATGTCAATCATTAACAAAGTTGTGCGCATCAGGAACGGAACCAGAATGATTATGTTGTGGAGGGGTGTGGTCTAGTTTGCATTACATTTTGGTGGTTCGCTTGTGGATATCGCCGTTAGGCTTTTTTAGCTCAATTTTATCACCTTTATACCATGATGGGGGATATTTTTTGGAAGTGTGTTGCATTGAACACAAGTTGCCGTTGCTTTTGCTAAATTCACTTGATATTAATATTCAGTAAAGAAGTTAGCTTCTCACCCTCCTCCGTCTATCCAAGGTCTAAGAGGAATGTGCACTCTCCCTCCCCTCCCCTGTCCACCCTAGGTCTAAGAGGAATGTGCACTCTCCCTCCCCTCCCATGTCCACTCAAGGTTAAAGAGGAGTGTGTACCCGCCCTCCCCTCACCTGTCCATCCTAGGTCAGGAAGAATGTGAAGCCACTCTACCCTCCCCTGTCCACCCTAGGTCAGGAGGAATGTGCAATCCTAGCAACACCATCCTCCGTCCACCACCACCTAATAAATCCATCACTGGTATTCATAAAATTTACCTCATGACATTATGCCTTTATGATATAACAGTTCGAGTCAACACCAATGTAATGCTATCACACTTTTTTGGACAGTTTGGACATTGTATTTTGAAAAAATCATTTTGAGATTTTGCCCACGGAGATGATTCTAAAATCCAAAATTTATTGTCCAGGCTGATGTACTAAATACCTTTTTGTTCATTTCATGTTTTTTTTCCAGCGATGGAAAAGCCGTGGTAGAGAGCTGAAAGAAAAACTGAATAGAGGCCGAGGTGAAAGTTCTAATGATGTTCATGTTGATCATACACCAACAGTATCGGGATCTTCATCTAGATTAGTGAGTGATCGCAAGATTGCGCGTTATTTAAAACCTTCCAGAGATGAAGGAGATCGTGTGGAATTACTCTCCGATGTCGATGATCAGTATACGTCATCGCCGTACTCAACATCTCGATTTGAACGATCTGTTCCGAAGAATGTTTTTGATGGCATATAACTAATTTATCACTTGAATTGAAGTATTTATTCTAAGCTGTTTAAGCGAATTGTCAATTAAGAAAATCATGAAGTATACTCAAGTACAAAATTCCTATTAATCACAAGTGAATTAATAAAATCCCAACGTCATTATTTAATTTTTTCTTTAAACATTCATGAAAGAACGCAAAATGAAATGAAGACAATTTCAACTGACGATTCCCACGAAACGTCGTTTCGAATGACATTACAGCTTTATTATGACGATTTATTAAAATGTCCTTTCCAACAATGTATGGTATAGTTTCTCTTGCAAGTATGGCAAAGTCTAAGCCAACACTCGTGAGTCTCTGTAATGACAGAAAATTGATGTCCTTTCCAACAATGTATGGTATAGTTTCTCGTGCAAGTATGGCAAAGTCTAAGCCAACACTCGTGAGTCTCTGTAATGTCAGAAAATTGATGTCCTTTCCAACAATGTATGGTATAGTTTCTCTTGCAAGTATAGCAAAGTCTAAGCCAACACTCGTGAGTCTCTGTAATGACAGAAAATTGATGTTCTTTCCAACAATGTATGGTATAGTTTCTCGTGCAAGTATGGCAAAGTCTAAGCCAACACTCGCAAGTCTCTGTAATGACAGAAAATTGATGTCATTTCCAACAATGTATGGTATAGTTTCTCGTGCAAGTATGGCAAAGTCTAAGCCAACACTCGTGAGTCTCTGTAATGACAGAAAATTGATGTTCTTTCCAACAATGTATGGTATAGTTTCTCTTGCAAGTATGGCAAAGTCTAAGCCAACACTCGTGAGTCTCTGTAATGACAGAAAATTGATGTCCTTTCCAACAATGTATGGTATAGTTTCTCGTGCAAGTATGGCAAAGTCTAAGCCAACACTCGTGAGTCTCTGTAATGACAGAAAATTGATGTCCTTTCCAACAATGTATGGTATAGTTTCTCTTGCAAGTATGGCAAAGTCTAAGCCAACACTCGTTAGTCTCTGTATTGACAGAAAATTGATGTCCTTTCCAACAATGTATGGTATAGTTTCTCGTGCAAGTATGGCAAAGTCTAAGCCAACACTCGTGAGTCTCTGTAATGACAGCAAATCGTCCTTCGGATTCGCGATATTTCGTTGAAGTCTTTAAATAGGCCGTGGACCAATGTGCTCAAAAACACAACTAAGAATTTCTTTCATAATGGCGAATAATGCAAAAGCAAGTAATCAGTGTGGCCCCAAGCGATAAGTGTACACAATAAGCAGAAGTTTACGTTTTATTCACGATCACGTCATGAATAGTTATCAAAACCAAAAAATATGCAAATTCCAAAAATTCTCTGTACCTTTCGATAGACTAGTATGAATTGATTAAAAAGTATATTAGACCGTTTACTTTCAGTCACTTATTTATGAAGCATCAAAGAATGTTTTTACCATGATGTTGACTCAGCAGTTTAAGGTCTGGTCTTATACCACTGACAGACCTGCCAATTCACGCGGTTTTATCGGCTGTCACCTAAATCTTCAAACAAATCTTATGAATGTTAAATAGGGTGTAGGTTAAATACATTATAAACCTGTCATCGATTGCATTCATTGCATTGTGATCATGTAACACAAGTACAATGTAGTCGATTGCAGGAATTTTTACAATGTAATTGATTCCAAAATTACATAGTAATCAATTACAAGTTAGTGACGAGGATTGCGGGAAATTGCCGACGCGTGGTAAAGACAGTTTCTGCTACCACTCAACGACATAAATTGTGGAGCAGAAATGAGCTAACGTGGTGATTTCATAAAAGAAGGCATTTGAAAAAGGGGCTCTTTCACAAAAGACGGACATTTGAAAAAGAGGTTATTTTATAAAAGACGACATTTGAAAAAGAGGTTCTTTCATAAAAGACGACATTTGAAAAAGTGGTTCTTTCATAAAAGACGACATTTGAAAAAGGTGTTCTCTTTCATAAAAGACGGACGTTTGAAAAAGGTGTTTTTCATAAAAGACAGACATTTGAAAAAGTGGTTATTTTATAAAAGACGACATTTGAAAAAGTGATTATTTCAGAAAAAAAGACATGAACGGAAAGGAAAAGGTTTGTGTGTGTTAAAGGTTTGTGTGTGTTAAAGGTTTGTATTGAATAGTAAGAAAATATGGTTGTGTCATTTTTTGTTCATGAATTTTTGAACAGGATTATATACAATGAGAAACTGTAAATACACAACGTCTCTTGATTGAGTGGTTAAACTATAGCCCTTGGTATCAAAATGTGTGAAAATTCATGAAATTCATATAGTCTTTGGCACAAAAACGCTCCAAATTTCGTGAACTATAGTCTTTTTGTGAAAATACGTGAACTATAGTCTTTTTGTGAAAATACGTGAACTATAGTCTTAGGCATGTAAATACGTGAACTATAGTCTTTTGCAAGAAAATGTGTGAAATATAGTCTTTTGCATGAAAAAAACTGAACTATAGTCTTTTGCATGAAAATGTGTGAACTATAGTCTTTTGTATGAAAATGCGTAAACTATAGTCTTTTGTATGAAAATACGTGAACTATAATCTTTTTGTGAAAATGCGTGAACTATAGTATTTTTGTGAAAATACGTGAACATAGCCTTTTTGTGAAAATACCTGAACTATAGTCTTTTGTTGAAAATGCATCAACTATAGTCTTTTGAAGATAAATACGACAGCTAAAGTCTTTTTGTGAAATTGCGTGAACTATAGTCTTTCTGTGAAAATACGTGAACTATAGTCTTTTTGTGAAAATACGTGAACTATAGTCTTTTGCATGTAAATGCGTGAACTATAGTGTTTTGCATGAAAATACGTGAAATATAGTCTTTTTGTGAAAATACGTGAACTATAGTGTTTGGTGTGAAAATGCATGAACTATAGTCTTTTGAAGGTAAATACGACAACTAAAGTCTTTTTGTGAAAATGCGTGAACTATAGTCTTTTTGTGAAAATACGTGAACTATAGTGTTTTGTGTGAAAATGCGTGAACTATTGTCTTTTACATAAAAATTTGTGAGCTATATTCTTTTTTAAGAAAATGTGTAAACTATAGTCTTTTGTGTGAAAATAAGTGAACTATAGTCTTTTGCGTGTAAATACGTGAACTATAGTCTTTTTGTGAAAATACGTGAACTATAGTGTTTTGTGTGAAAATGCGTGAACTATTGTCTTTTACATAAAAAGTTGTGAGCTATAGTCTTTTTTAAGAAAATGTGTAAACTATAGTCTTTTGTGTGAAAATAAGTGAACTATAGTCTTTTTGTCAAAATGCGTGAACTTTAGTCTTTTACATGAAATTGCGTGAACGATAGTCTTTTGCATGAAAATGCGTGAACTGTAGTCTTTTTGTGAAATGTGTAAACTATAGTCTTTTGTGTAATGAAATAAATTATAGTCTTTTTGTCAAAATACGTGAACTATAGTCTTTGCATGTAAATACGTGAACTGTAGTCTTTTGCATGAAAAAACTGAACTATAGTCTTTTGTGAAAATGCGTAACTATAGTCTTTGTGTGAAAATGCTTGAACTATAGTCTTTTGCATGAAAATGCGTGAACTATAGTCTTTAGTGTGAAAATGCGTGAACTATAGTCTATTTGTGAAAATACGTGAACTATTGTCTTTTGCATGAAAATAGGTGAACTATAAGTCTTTTGTGAAAATGCGCGAACTATAGTCTTTTTGTGAAAATGCGTGAACTATAGTCTTTTGCATGAAAATGCGTGAAATATAGTCTTTTTGTGAAAATACCTGAACTATAGTCTTTTGTGTGAAAATGCTTGAACTAAAGTCTTTTGCATGAAAATGCGTGAACTATAGTCTTTAGTGTGAAAATGCGTGAACTATAGTCTATTTGTGAAAATACGTGAGCTATTGTATTTTGCATGAAAATAGGTGAACTAAAGTCTTTTTGTGAAAATACGTGAACTATAGTCTTTTTGTGAAAATACGTGAACTATAGTCTTTTGCATGTAAATACGTGAACTATAGTCTTTTGCATGAAAATGCGTGAACTATAGTCTTTTTGTGAAAATACGTGAACTATAGTCTTTTGCATGAAAATGCGTGAACTATAGTCTAATACATGAAAATGCGTGAACTATAGTCTTTTGTGAAAATGCGTGAACTATAGTCTTTTGTGAAAATACGTGAACTATAGTCTTTGCATGTAAATACGTGAACTATAGTCTTTTGCATGAAAATGCGTGAACTATAGTCTTTTGTGAAAATGCGTGAACTATAGTCTTTTGCGTGAAAATGCGTGAACTCTAGTCTTTTTTGTGAAAATGTGTGAACTATAGTCTTTTACATGAAAATGTGTAAACTATAGTCTTTTGTGTGAAAATAAGTGAACTATAGTGTTTGACATGAAAATGCTTGAACTATAGTCTTTTGCACGAAAATGGGTGAACTATAGTCTTTTGTGTGAAAATACGTGAACTATAGTCTTTTCCATGTAAATACGACAACTAAAGTCTTTTTGTGAAAATACGTGAACTATAGTCTTTTTGTGAAAATACGTGAACTATAGTCTTTTGCATGTAAATACGTGAACTATAGTCTTTTGCATGAAAATACGACAACTAAAGTCTTTTTGTGAAAATGCGTGAACTATAGTCTTTTTGTGAAAATACATGAACTATAGTGTTTTGTGTGAAAATGCGTGAACTATTGTCTTTTATGAAAATTTGTGAACTATAGTCTTTTTAAGAAAATGTAAACTATAGTCTTTTGTGTGAAAATGCGTAAACTATAGTCTTTTGCATGAAAAGTAGTGAACATAGCCTTTTTGTGAAAATACCTAAACTATAGTCTTTTGTGTGAAAATGCATCAACTATAGTCTTTTGAAGGTAAATACGACAACTAAAGTCTTTTTATGAAAATGCGTGAACTATAGTCTTTTTGTGAAAATACGTGAACTATAGTGTTTGGTGTGAAAATGCATGAACTATAGTCTTTTGAAGGTAAATACGACAACTAAAGTCTTTTTATGAAAATGCGTGAACTATAGTCTTTTTGTGAAAATACGTGAACTATAGTCTTTTGTGTGAAAATGCGTGAACTATTGTCTTTTACATAAAATTTGTGAATATAGTCTTTTAAGAAAATGTATGAAACTATAGTCTTTTTG